AAGAGGTCAACTTTCAAATTTAAGAGAAGAGAGTATGAAGTAAAATAATTTTTAAGCAGTAATCTTTTGCTTATTTTCTCCGTTATTTTTATCGTAAAAATAAAAATTATTTTTTGCTTTGTTCTATATTAATAATTAAAATAGATTTTATTTTGCTCGTAACTGCTCCAATTTCTGATTTTTCATAATTATTTTTAATTTTTTTTTGCAATATAACTACGATACAATATCTAGAGGCTAATATGATATTCCCTTTATCCAAAAATATTCAATTTTACAAATTAGTCATAATTTTTCTTATCTAAAAGTTTAATCTACATAAGAGTGCTCTATAGAGAGAATAAATAGGCTAAAAAGCCATGAAACTCTTTAAAAGAGGGGAGCATATAAAAGTATTGTTATTATATAGTTCTAACTCCTTAAAAAGCTGAGTACATTATGCCAGCGATTGTTTATGTTTATTATTTAAAGATGCATAAAAGATTGCTTAAAGTTGATTCTTTGTATATATATATTGTTAGTATATCAGTAATTCAGCCTATTAGATAGTTATTTATTCTAACTGTAATTAAAGTGAGCTTAAGTTTTCAAATGATATTGATTATTAGAGGCCAGACAGAGAAATTTAAAAGCATTAATCTAATTGCTGTAACTTTTTTTTTACAGTTGATAGTAATGGTTTTAATTGGTAATGTTCTATTTTCTAAATCTTTACAGATATGTTTCTATTAGTTTTGTTACTAAATAAAATAATAAGTAATTGTTACCTATTTTTAATTATTTAATAACCAAAATTAAATTTAGCTTTTCACTAAATATATAACTAAGAAAAATAATAATTTAAAAAAATTTTACAACATCCTTGATGATTTAAGAAAAATATAGTTGTTTAGCTTTCTTTTCATATTAATAAAAATTCATTTTATACCTTCTATTATTGCTGGTCAGTAAAATATTTGATTAGTATTTTATAATCTATATTATGCAGTATTATACATATTTAAACCTCAATAACATTATTATGACTACTGAGAAATGATTCCCTACTTTTGGATGATAAGAGATTTTTATATTAGGTGTACAATATAGGTAAACAAAACTAAAATATTTAATCGTTAAGAAGTAACCATTTTCTGATAAGATGAAGAGACAGTACTGAAGTGTTAATGAAAACTTTTATAAAAAAGATTAGAAATTAATTGTAAATATAATATTATTGAAAATATTCAATTAGACTTCTGTAAAAAACTGTCCAAAAATAAACTTCCTTTTTGTTAAAATAAAGTCTTTAAATCAATACCATATTGATTAATAAATTCTCCTTTAAGTATTAAAGCTCCTTATGCTTAAAATATTGCCTGTTGAGATATATAGAAATTAGTATTGTAATTTGAGACTAAAAATATGAAAAATAAAAATATTACCTTTGGAAAGAGGATTATTTAAAAATAGAGGTGTCTTAAATTGCATTAAACAATTTTTGTAATTTTAATCAGAAAGTTTAATTTCCTACCCTGTTTTAACATCCCAAAGACGGATAGACTCATTATCATTTCGAGATGCTAATATATTCCCATCAGGAGAGAAACAGACTGACCAAACTATATCGCTATGACTATCCAATTCGGCTTTTTATTACCCTATTTTAACAGCCCATTGATAGGCAGAGTTGTCATTTCTACTAGAAGCTAATGCATTTTCACCAGGGAAAACAAGACCTGAATTCATATATCTACTAAGGCCATCCTATTTGGTTTTTTATTATCTGGTTATTATATCCCGTAAATGGATAGTATTATCTACACTACCAGATGCTAATTTATTTCCATCAGGAGAGAAACAGACTGATCTAACCTAACATGTATGGCCATCCAATTTAGCTTTTTATTATCCTGTTCTAACATCCCATAAACGGATAGAATTATCATCACTGCCAGATGCTAATATATCCCCATCAGGAGAGAAACAGACTGACCAAACTCTATCACTATGACCATCCAATTTGGCTTTTTACTATCCTGTTTTTACATCCCATAAACAGATAGACTTATCTAAACTTCCAGATGCTAATGTATTTCCATCAGAAAATATACAGACTGAATTCACACATCTACTATGCCCATCTAATTTGGCTTGTTAATATCCTGTTTTTACATCCCATAGACGGATAGACTTATCTACACTACCAGAAGCTAATGTATTTCCATCAGGAGAGAAACAGACTGAATAGACAGGGTTAGTATGGCCATCCAATTTAAATTTTTATTATCCTGTTTTTATATCCCATAATCGTATAGAGTAATCATAACTACCAGATGCTAATGTATTACCATCAGGAGAAAAATAAACAGATAATACAGCCTTAGTATGGCCGCAAAATTATGCTTTTTTTTTTCTTGTCTAAACATCCCATAAGCGTATAGAGTAATCATAACTACCAGATGCTAATGTATTACCATCGGGAGAGAAAAAGACTGAATTGACATGATTAGTATGACCATCCAATTTGGCTTTTTATTATCCTGTTTTTACATCCCATAAACGGATAGATTTATCCCAACTACCAGATGCTAATGTCGTACCATCAGGAGAGAAACAAACTGAGTCGATCTAACTATTATGGCCAATTAATTTTTTTAATTCAGGCTCAATTCTTAAGTTGTTCCATTTGCAGTTTAATAATAAAGCTCCACTCAAATTCATCCCACTAATAATAACATTATTAAATTAGGATCCACTTAAATTACAGCGAACAAAATTAGCTCCTATCAAAGAAGTATTTTCAATCTTAATATATTCAAAATTTTTGTTTCTAATATCAACCTTAATCTAAACTAAGATATGTAATGAATTAGATCCACATTGAATTAAAGTGACATCTATGGATGTGAGGTGAACCAAAAATTCCAAAAATTCTATGATCTATCTATTATCCTTGACGTATTTAATCAGATCTTGTAAAGATTTTTAATTTTCTAAACTTGAATAGTCGATCTAATTGAAGTCATGATCCTTTATTTTTTATAACACATCAGTAATTTTTTTCAAGTTATTTCTAACATCATGTAATTACTATTCCTTATCAACTTGTTTTAAGTAATCTCCTTGTTGTAATATTTATTATTCTAATAATCTTTGATTTCCAAGATCTAAAAGATATCCAACGCAATCTTAAGCTTATTCCTTTCGAAATATTTTTAATATGAAACCAAGTATTTGTTCATCTACATGTTTAACTTATTTAAAGATATTAGCTAGAGCTTAATTGTCTTAGTATGTACAATACATTATCTTTTTTTATTTTAATAAAAATTTCTCTAACTTGAACTTTAAGTTATATACCACAAAATTGAGAAAATTATCTTCTATATTTTTGTAAATTTGAAATTCAGACTTTGTGTAGCTTTGAAATTTATTTAATTGATTTCTATTTTATAGCCATAAATTTGTACTTATTTTAGATCGTAATACACATCAGCACATTCATGATTAAATAGTTTGCAAAAATGTATTGGAAATAAAATATCTCTTTAAAGATATATTATTTCCAATAATATATATTTGATTCAAAAAATCTATTACGAAATCACCTCTTTTCTTTTCATAAGGAATAGATTTTTTTCTTAATACTTAAAAGCTTAAAAAAACCTACTCTTGGTCTAAGCGAATTGCTCCTCTTTTCAACAAAAAATTTCTCCTTCTAAGATAATCCTCATAAGCAGTAATTAGCGCAAATCTTTAAAAATATCTCAAATAGATATTAGATTACTGATTGTTAATTTCTTTAAAAAAATTTAGTCTTTCTAATACTTCATGGTTATGTATTTAAACTTTCTAACCAAAAAATGCTTCAGCCTCATCAAAAGTCTCAATTTCAGCTTACTATATGTGGATAGTTAATCCTTTAAAATTTCCTTAGCTTATTCGACATTATCTTCCTATTAACTCTCCTGATAGTCTACATTTTTAATATTTACTGTAATAATTTTAAATTCTCTTCGATTAAATGTGTTTCTTAAATCAATTCTCAAAATTAAGATTATAGAATTTTCTTTTTAACTTATAATTAGAAAATAATAATGATTGGTATTCTGGGCATAATATTTATATTTTTAACTTTTAACTAATCTTTACAATCCAATAGAAAATAATCAATATCCTATTAGAAAATTTGATTTTCACTGTTATTTATCTCTTTAATTTCAATAAGAGTATCGATTTAATTATCGGAATCAAAAATTTCTTTTTATATCAAAATTTCAATTTAGACAGTTCAAAAAAGTATTGATTAAACATAAATGGTGCCGCTAGAGCTCGAAAAGTGCTTTATGTAATTTTATTGTATTCAAATTTTAGAATTGATAAAAATAATGACAAATTTTTCATTAATGCTTAAAAAAATATTCAAAATATCATAGTTACTTTTTGATCTTTTCATTCTGAAAAATTTTTCGTCTATTAATTTATCAATCTCATTTTATTTCATATATTCGATTTTCACTGTTTAGGTCTCAAAAATACAGAGTGCATAATTTAGTTTAATTTTATTCATTTAATCATCATAATAATCATTTATTGAATAATTTCCTAAATTGAATTTACATATTAAATTATATTAGATAAGAAAATCGATTTCAAAATTTAATAATTTCTTATTCTAAATTAAAAAAAAATTGATCAAAAATGGTGATTAGACTATAAAAAAAAAGAGATATTTGTTGATGATGCCTTAAAGACTAATAATAAGGTACCATTTTATTTTTACCTTTCTTCTTGTTCAAATTTGTGTCAAATTGGAATAATTTTTATACATGAATACCTACATTCATTACAATTTCTTTTAATTTAAGACACTTTAATTTTGTTAAATATAGGATTGGATGTATTAAGAATAAAGATAGCCTAAAATATTGTCGATGGGTATCTTTGAATATAAAATTGAATCATATTGAATATTTTTATTTGACTACAATGGCTTAAAAACCAAAATCAGGGGAATATATTATTTATTTCCTTTGGTTCGTTGTCTATTTATAATCGGCTTTAATAACTAGCTTACACATACTTGATAAAAATATGATTCAAACATGGTTATAATAGAGTGGAAGTATCAATAAAATGGTAGAAAGGATTAAAAAATTGAATTAAAGTAATATTATTGGGAGCAAATCATAAATAAAAAGATTGATGTTTAATAGTCTTTATAATAAAATTTATAATAAAGAATATTTACATGATAATATAATATGAGTAGAGTAAGTTATGGATAATTGAAATTAATGATAAATTGCATCTAAACTCAAACATTTAGATTAAATCTATTTTAACTTATTTTTTGAATATTATGTTCCAAATATAATATATAATAAGCAGAAATTTAACCATTCAAATCTTTAAAAAATAACATAATTTAGAAATTTTATCCTTCTAATTTTATAAAGAGTTATCAAACAAACTATTTTAAAACAATTCCAATATGAATACTCAAATTTCAAATCAGTATTAGAAAATCTGCTTTATATTAGTATTTTAATAAAAAATTAAAATAAATAGTAACTGAAGTAGATTCCAATGAAGTAATAAAAAGATCATTCTTGTAAGAGTAAAATGAATTTCCAAGAAAGAGGAAGTTAGTATTGTGTCCTCTTGTGGTGAAAAATATTACCTTCATAATAATATTGGTACTTCTTCAAATATTATAAGGAACACAGAAGGATTGTGGGAATTTCCTAATTCACTTTGATATTGATTAGCATAAACCTCATACTACTCCCTTCTATTTTTTAAGGGCTTTTAGAACTCCACACATCAATTAATAGGGTTCCTCTCTATTCTAGGCCTTCGAATTAAGCTTTATATGTGAGTCATAAAATTTTTTATAAATTATTAACAATATTTTTGAAGAAGATGAAGTAAAATTAAAGAAAGAAAATCAAATTTATCATGATTAGAAAATTTAATGTAAGTGGATATTTAAAAATGGTCGATATAGTAAAATGATGAGAAAATATCATTTAGATAGATTAAAGAAAGATAAATAGAAAGAAGAAATTATTGGAGGTAGATTATGATAAAATATCTAAAAAAAGGAATATTGCATAAAAACTTTGAATAAGTGTGAATTAGCATATAAAAATTTATCAATTATATTATAGATATTAATATAAATATTTTTGTCCTGTTCTAAGGAGAATTGGTATTGAGTAATGTAAATTTTAATGTTCCAAATTTATTTTAAGGTCATGATTAAGAGAGCTGAAGAAAAGATAATTACCATCATTAAAAATAATTACTATATTTAAGAAAAATTTTTATTAATTTATTATGAGTAGACATGACTAATATTAAACTTTCAAATTTATCTTTTTACTCAATATGGATCTTAATTCCTATAAGAATTAAGAGCTTTAAAGAATTTCTATTTTGAAAGTTATATTAGACAAATAATGCAAGATAATTCTAATTATGTCAATTAATTTGAATTTTATCTGAGTGCAAGGTCATCAGAAATATTATTATAAAATAATCAACCATATATCATAAAAATAGGAAATTATTGATAATATATATATTTAAATGTTGTATTTTAATATTTTATCTCATTCAAATCCTCCCTTAGCTTTTTTTTCTACATTTAGATTCCAATAGGATTAAATTATATCTGCAGGTTAAATATTAATAATATCTAAAAATTATCTAATTTCGAGGTCTCCTTAATCTAAAGAAGAAAACAATCCTTTGTAATTAGTACTAACTATCATATCATAAACTTTTTTTCCACAAATTTATAAATGAGTTATTATATAATTTTCCTTTGAAAATGCGTAAACGTATTTAGAGAAGGCATTAAAATATGAATCTGCTTAACTAACTTAAGGTAAAAAAGTTCCACCATTTATTTTTTAAAATTCTCCTTCCTCGACCATTTCACAATAATAAAATTCTTCTTTATCTATGATATTTATAATTTCAAAATTTACCTTTAAGTTTTAAAACGAACTATCTAGCAATTTGAAAGTCTCCTGTTTTTAATCTTTATGATTTTAAAACCTAATTAAATTGTTCAATTAGTAATTAACATAAGAAATTGTTTTTAGAAAATTAAATCGCTTCTTGAATAGTAGTAAATGGTTGAGTTTATTAAATTAGATCTTTTCTTAAAAAGAATTTTCCTTGGAACTCATTTTAAGTTGAATCCTTTACTTAACTTAAAAAGCCCTTAAAAAATGTAGACTCAGCATTTGGTTACACACTTCTATTTAATGTGACATAACCCTTTGGATTCTTTTTTAAACATTGTTCAAATAAAAAATAATGATTTTTATTCAAAAGTTCTTTTGCTTAATTATATTCCATAATTATCTCAAAAATTTCATATTCTTTCAAATCAAAAATGCCATTTTCATTTTGATCAAATTAGTAAATTTTATGAGGTGATTTCATTATTTTATCCATTAAACCAATTATTTTATCAAAATAAACATCATCCCTTATTTAGATTTATAATTTCTTTAGAATATGTTCTTTAATAGTTAATTTAAAATTAATTTATTCAATTTCAGACTTCAATGCCAAATTTTTTTCATCCAACTTTTTTTAATATTATTCAGTACTAAATTAGTCAATTTTATTTTTCTCTTCTATTTACTAAAATTAATTTTTAATTTAGCTTAATTTCAATTCTAATTCAAATATCTCTCCGTTTTTCTACAAAATCTAATTGTTTTACTATGTTATTTTAACTAAGTTTTCTGAATTTTAATTTGTAATATCTTTCTCTTTTTATTCCAAAGTTGTGATATAATTTTTGAGTTTTATTATTTCCTATTAACTTTATTATACTCTATATTATTATTCTTCTAGTTTTAAGTTTAATTATGATAATTAATTTCTTAAATTTTAGCCTTCAATATCAATTTATTATTTTTATTATTCTAAAACTTTCAATTCTTTTGTTAATTTATTGAATTCTTATTCTTTTTTCTTCAGTAATTCTTACTGTTATTGAATCTTTTCATTTAATTGATCTATATTTTAGTTTAATTATATAATTTATTAGTTTAAATCTATAATCTTTGCCTCCAAAATATTTTTATTATGTAATAACTCTTAATTATCATACCCTAATTAGTTAATGTTTTAATTTAAACTCTTATTATTTTCTTTTAATTTTTTAATTTCTAATTCTTAGCTTGAAAGGGTGGATGATGCAATATTAAAATTATTTGTTGTAATTTTGTGGTTGATTTCCAAGTCCTAAATTTTATCCTCCAGTTTTTTTTTTTTTTTTTCTGATTTGGACATTTCATCAACTTATTAAGCAACTTTAGTTTCAAATTAGGATAGACTTTCGTTAGCTTTTTCTAATTTTTCTTTTTCTGTTTTTAATTATGATTTATATTTTCCTACCTCATTTTATTAAGTTGATAATTCATTTCCTAACTCTTGAATTTAAATCTAAAGACTTCCTATATTTGAATATAAACTCTATGCTTAAAAGTCTATTTGTTGCTTTTATTGCAACTATTATTACAATTAGGTGTTTAACTATTAACAGTAAGTTTGCCATTAACTATTTAAAGGATTTTTTTCTTAAATTAATTTATTTTGCGATTCTTCAATATTTTATTTTAATGTTTAATTTTCTGCTTATAATTAAACATTATTCTAATTTTAGGTATTGCTTTTAATAATCATCTAATTTAGGTCTAATTCAAGTTTATTGTGTTTATCTTAAACTTCTTAAATTTTTTATTCTTTTTCTGCTTTTATCTTTTCAATTTCTGCTTATTATGTTCTTAAGATGTCAACAATTTAACTTTTATTTCTTTCAGATATTTTATCTATATCAGTTTTATGCTATATTTCTTTTTCTTTAATGTATTAATCTAATTTTTTTAATTGTTATTGGGTCTCAAGCAATTTTTGATAATTATCTTATTTAATAGATAGCAATTCTTTATATTCCCTGTAAAGTTATAGAGCATCAACAACCTTGAAAAAAACTGCATCTTTAATTTATTTCCTGTTTACTTAATATAAAGCACTAGATGCAGTGTATAATTAATCCGAATCATCAATTAGGATTATATTATCGTAAGGTATTTATGTCGTTCTTTTATACAATTCTTTTCTAATATTTTAGATTTCACAATCAAAAAAATATTTTTGCCCGCTTGGCATTTAACAGGTTATTTTAAGACGTTCCATTAATTAATCTTAATAATAGAGTTTGAAATATTAATATCTACTTTTCAATTATATTATAAATTAATTAAATAATATATTAATCAATGTCCCTCTTTAATTTAATAAAATATATTGAAATAATGAATTAGTATTGTATATATAGATTTATATCCAATTAAAATTATTCAAAGTAAATTTAGAAATATTATCTTAGAGAGATCTCATAAAAATTATAAAGGTTTATCTAGTTATAAAAAATATATAATGTTATCAATTTTAATAAGTTAAATATATAAGAGAAGGACCATCATAATTCTTTGTTTTCTAATTTTCAATTTTAGATTAAATCATGATGTTTAAAGTAAATTTGATTAAAAGATAAAGACAACGATTTAGATTTTTTTCAATGTATTATGATCCTTTCTATGAACCATATTTTTAATCTACTTAAGTGTTAGTTAACTAGCATAAGTTTCATGTTTTATTTTTAATATCAAAGAAAATAAATTTCATTTTATACATATTATATTTATTTAATAAGAATCTAAGAATAGACTAAAAATGTTTATACTCTTTAAATTGGCACTGAAGACTATCAATTTTTTTTAATTTATACAATCAACTTTATGATGATTATATATTTTTCTATGTTCAGTTTATCTTACTAATAGAGTCTATTTAAATGAATAAAAAACTTACTAAATTTTGCTTTTATTTGCTTATGACTGTTAATTTATTATTCTATTTATATATTAAAAAGGTAGTATTTTTAAACCCATTTTATTATTTGATCATTTATTTGTTTCATATCAGTAACACAATTTTGAACACATTAAGATACAAATAGATTTATAAATAATTATTTTTATTTATAAATTATCAATAAATTAATAACATTACCTAAGATTTGGCCATTTGTCATCAAAACTTAAATTACAAAAAACTAGAGTACCATTCCAAAAGATCACAATATAGATTTTTTTTTTTCTTCAACATATAATTAAAAAATTATAATTTTTATTATCATTTTCAAAATCTCTAATGTGTAGGAAAATTTTTGATCGATCTTTCAAATAATTTTATTATAATATATCTTTTAACTTTGGATTAAATTAGTATTATGAATGAATCTAATGGATGAAGATGCAAAAAACAATAGAACATAGAAAAAGCAGAACTAAAATTTTAGAACGGATTAGGGGAACTTCAAAGTAAATTAGCCATTCTTTTAATAGATGAGGATTATTCTTAACAAAAGCAGCAGCACTAGTATATTGGTCCCAAATAGGCACACAAAAAACCAAAAATAAATAAGAAAAAGTAGATTCGATCAAAAGAAGAGATACCTATGCCAATTATGTGGATTAAGCTATCATCAAAGACAATAAGAGATTAATCCCCCATTTGATGAGTCCCTACAAGTATATAAAGTAAGCAGAAAAAAAAACTATTGAATTTACTTTTATTTTTTATTTCATTCTTCAAATTTCACTTTTGTTAAATAAGTTTATCTTCTGAAGCATGTTAAAACTTAATAATTTTCTAACATGTTTGATTTCTTCATTTCTATTTGCAGACTTTCAGTTGCTATTCCTGAAAAATATTTTTCTGCAGTCACAGTTCTAATTCCTTCTCATTGATCAACTGTTGTATCCTCTAAAATTTATGGCTCTATTTCTTTTTTAATTCCATTATTTATTATTCTAAATCTCTTTAAGAATTATGTTTTCCTATGGATGTAATTAATTTTTGAAGCTTATCTAATAGATGACGAAAATAATGAGTTACTTAAAGTCATTCTCAGGTATTTGAATTATCTCAGATTCTTCTAATGACTTCATAAATATCATTAATCTTTAGAAGGTAGATATGAAATTCATATGCCAGTCCTTAATTGGACAGGTTGTATTTTTGACTAAGCCTTATAATACTTAGTTCCTTTTTTTAGACTGTTTCAGCATAGTGCCCTGTGTAAAACCTTCTTTTTTTGATTCGAAGACACTTATTGATGGCAATTTAGGATGATGTCAAGTTAGGCAACTACCACCGCTGCATATACAAATTGCTCCTATTCCTCCCATCATTAAGTTGGCTTATGAATACATGAGATTTACGAGAGATTAAATAGCGATAATATTTATGCTGTTTGTAATTGGATAAGTTATAGGTTTAAGAAAATGAGTTTTGTTGTCTTTGATTTAAGTTTAACATCAAACTTTATTATTATAAAATATTAATTAACATTGTACTCTTAAGTTCCTTGATTCCAATGAAATTATAAAAAGATCTTTCTTACAATAGTAAGATTAATGTCCAAGCAAGAGGAAGTTAGCATTGAATCTTCCATTGGTGAATAATATTACTTTTCCTAGACATATTGATACTTCTCCGAATATTTAAGGAACACAGAAAGATTGCTGGAATTTCCCAACATTCACTTTGATATTAATCAGCATAACTTCATAACACTTCCTACTATTTTTTCAGGGCTTTTAGAATCCCTTATCATGAAAATTGACAGAGTTTCTCTCCAGTCTATGCCTTCTACCTAAACTTTATGTTTGAGTCAAAATCAGAAAAATTAAATATATGTTAATTACAATTTAATATTTTAATATTTTGATGAAAAAGTTAATAACTTGTAAGATTCTTATTAGAAATACGAGAGAATTACCCACTTAGCACTAAAAAATTTTTTATAGGATGCGATGTACTATACAATAAATATTAATAAAATATTAGTAGAAATAGATAAGCTAGAATAACAAAAAATTGTTAAATAAACCTAAGTAAGGCCAAAGATAAGCCAAATTCCAGTAAATTCGTTGTAGTTTATAAGAATTTTCTTTAGAATGCTTCAACTCTATTCAATGTCAAGGAGAACCAAAAAAAAATTGGAGATTAAAACTTAATTAATAAGTTGGCTTCAAAATAAAATTCTTTATCAAAATCATTTAGTGTGAAAAGAGTTTACTGAAAAAGGCTGCTGATAAAAATAACGATTAATGAATATTATAACCAATCGTACAAAATCTTTTTCCTTTATAATTTAACATCTAACTAGTTTTTTCTAAGACTTTGTAATCTTATTATTAAATCTCTGTAGAATATATAGCTTGTGATTTAAAAAGAAAGGATATTAAAAAAAATTCAATTATAAGGATTGATCATTAGATTTACTCTTAAAACAAAGAAGTTGTTGGAAATAAATCTTTTTTTGCATTAAAACTCTCTTTTAAAATATATGAGCATATTTTCCTCTAAAGATGGAAATCGAGAAATTATAGAAATCAAATGAAAAAATTATTTCATTCATATATTTTAAATTTATGGATATATAATTGATTGATGACAATTAAATTTAATTGATTCAATTAATTTACTCTATACTCGTAAGTATATAACGAATTTAAGTTTAATAAAATTAATTTATAAGAAATCATTCAAAGGGATTTCCATTATAATTTTATGAAATGTTGATTAACAAAGATGATTTATTAATTATTTATTTTAGAATTTTTGGATGGATATCTTTAAGTGTAAATATCTAACGCATGAAAATGAAGAAATTATGGGATTTTGTTTAAATTAGAGGTGTTAAAATGTAACTCAATATTGTTATTTATGTTTAAATACTACTCATTAAGAACATTTCAATGATTGCATAAGATTCACTAAGTTGATCTTATTTATGAATGAATGCATGCAAGTTTACAACCAATAAAGGAAATAAATAGAAAAAAAACTAAACAAATTTAAAATAATTTTTATAGATTAAAAAAAATGGATCAGGAAATTAATATATTGGAAAATATGATCAAACTATTTATAAATAAAGACTATTTAATTTTTTAGTCATAAATTCAAATAATCAAATAGTTTTACTTTAAAGAAAAAGAAAATTATTTATTTATCTTTTTTATGTGATTATAATAGAATAATAAATAAANTAGTTTATAAGAATTTTCTTTAGAATGCTTCAACTCTATTCAATGTCAAGGAGAACCAAAAAAAAATTGGAGATTAAAACTTAATTAATAAGTTGGCTTCAAAATAAAATTCTTTATCAAAATCATTTAGTGTGAAAAGAGTTTACTGAAAAAGGCTGCTGATAAAAATAACGATTAATGAATATTATAACCAATCGTACAAAATCTTTTTCCTTTATAATTTAACATCTAACTAGTTTTTTCTAAGACTTTGTAATCTTATTATTAAATCTCTGTAGAATATATAGCTTGTGATTTAAAAAGAAAGGATATTAAAAAAAATTCAATTATAAGGATTGATCATTAGATTTACTCTTAAAACAAAGAAGTTGTTGGAAATAAATCTTTTTTTGCATTAAAACTCTCTTTTAAAATATATGAGCATATTTTCCTCTAAAGATGGAAATCGAGAAATTATAGAAATCAAATGAAAAAATTATTTCATTCATATATTTTAAATTTATGGATATATAATTGATTGATGACAATTAAATTTAATTGATTCAATTAATTTACTCTATACTCGTAAGTATATAACGAATTTAAGTTTAATAAAATTAATTTATAAGAAATCATTCAAAGGGATTTCCATTATAATTTTATGAAATGTTGATTAACAAAGATGATTTATTAATTATTTATTTTAGAATTTTTGGATGGATATCTTTAAGTGTAAATATCTAACGCATGAAAATGAAGAAATTATGGGATTTTGTTTAAATTAGAGGTGTTAAAATGTAACTCAATATTGTTATTTATGTTTAAATACTACTCATTAAGAACATTTCAATGATTGCATAAGATTCACTAAGTTGATCTTATTTATGAATGAATGCATGCAAGTTTACAACCAATAAAGGAAATAAATAGAAAAAAAACTAAACAAATTTAAAATAATTTTTATAGATTAAAAAAAATGGATCAGGAAATTAATATATTGGAAAATATGATCAAACTATTTATAAATAAAGACTATTTAATTTTTTAGTCATAAATTCAAATAATCAAATAGTTTTACTTTAAAGAAAAAGAAAATTATTTATTTATCTTTTTTATGTGATTATAATAGAATAATAAATAATACAATTGAATAATATTTTTGAAACAATTAAGAATATGGTGTCAGATGAAACTAAGGTAAACGATTAATTTGATTCTGATCATTAAATTCATATTAAAATAGAATAAATAACTTAGGAGAGTGAAGATAAAAATTTAGAAACTTAAAGAAAATAAAGAAGGTATAATCAATTTCATTATTATTTAGGTTCAGCATTATCTACTCATTCCTATTTCTCAAATAATCTAAGCAAACTAAAGAAATATTAAGAGGCAATTAAGTGTTACGAGAAAGCCATTTCCATTAATCCTAAAGAATCTGCATGGAGTAATAAAGATAAATTAATTAATAATTCAGGCGCTACACTACATAAATTAAAGAATTACAAGGATGCCGTCTAATGTTAAGATCAAGCTCTTTCAATTTACACTAAATCTATAAGACTAAAACGAAAAGGTACACCATTGTTAATTTAATTTTAATATAGCTGATTCACTATTTGAATTAGGAAACAAATATGAAGCTTAAAAAAATTATTTGGCTGCATAAGAATAAGGCTCAGATGAGAAAGATTATATTTATTAGTAGAATATTAAGTTGGAGGCTATACTTATGATCAAAATTATGTCTAAGAGATTAGAATTGAGCATTATAATATTGAAATAAATCAATAGTTACTTGCCTAATTCTCATATAGATCCTACTTCTAATAAAAATAAAAAAAACCATAAAATATAGACGAATCATAGAAGTGTTAACTTAAATTATAATTCATAATTTTATTTTATTTTTTTTCAATTTCTTTTTGTAAAAAATCAAGTCTTTTTGTTAATATTTTAGATGTTATTGAAAATTTATTTATATTTAAAATTAGATAATTACAATCCAAAATATCTATTCAAAATTTAATAATATTATCTTTAAGAATTTAGTCTAAAAAACTTGTATTTTTTCATATGTATAATGCTCGCTTTAGAAGTAAAATTATCACAATTTTTTTTTTAGTGATACCAGAAAATAAAAATTGGATCAAGATAAAGTAAAATTTCTTTTGGAAATCCTAATCTTACCTTTTCTTAAATCTCTGTTTTCAAAATTTAGCTCATATGTTTAAGTAATTTATGAGTATATTAGTATTCATTATTCTTGAAGAATGATTCTGAAATTATAATTTACTCCTTCTATTTATGTATCTTATAAGATAAATAAAGTAAGTTTTTTTCTTGGTTTTTTTACCTTAATGAGACATTTTTTAATCTCTACATTTTAGATATCATGATTTAATTCAAATTTCTTCATTAGTCCATAGTTTCATCAAATTAATCTAAATTAAACCATTAATCAGGATTCTAACCCAACTTTACAATAAGAAAATCCCTTTTGAAATAATTATTTATTTAGCTAAGACAAATTAGTAGCTTGTTAAGAGACTTTTTTTAAATAGCTTATTACAAGCGAGTCAGATAATCTGATAATAACGATGATAATATGAACTCCAGAAAACAACGTTTATTATTCAAATTTGCTTGAACTTAATGCTTAGAGCATCATAAACCATTAACATGCAAGAGCATCCATAATGATCTCCTGTAAAAAACCTTGGAAATGCTTAAAAAACTAACGACAAAAGGACCAAAAGCGAAAGAATTTGAAATAAAAAATTTATAGAACAACTTTAGAAATATCGAGGCAAAAATGAGATTAAAAAATTGGTTTTGAAATAATAATTGTATTCAAAATTCCTTTGATGGTTAATAATATATATTTTAGAGAAGGTTAAAAAATTGGATTATTTCTGATATTACCTAATCGTTATAAAGAAATATTCAGCAATTTTTGCTATTTATCAATAGTTCATAAGTTTCTCTTATTATCAAAATGACCAATTTTACTTTAAGCAGATTAAAAATTGATTAAATTAGAAATAAAGTAAATTCAATTAATAATTAGACCTTAAAGACAGAACAAATGATTCGAAACCTAAATATATTATAATAAAATATATTTTGGATATTCTATCCTGAAATTAATTTCGAATAAATAGATGGAAGGGATAAATCAATTGCGTGGAGAAAATTTTGAAAATTATGATTATTAAAGAAGATTCTGTTTTGGATAGACGTAGCAGATATTTAAACAGACTAAAAAATTCTTATCATAGAGTTTAGAGGGAATATGTATAAAGTGGGAATAATTTACTTATTTATTATAATAATAATCTAATTTATAATTTTTGCTTCAATTTTGATTTTAATTTAGGTTTCAATAGAATCATCAGAAAATTAGTCCATTATTAAATAAAATTTTGAAAAATAATTCTTAGTATATCGTAATAAGAAATTTTAAAGTTCGAAAATATTAATATTGGACAAAAATTTTAGAGGAAATTCTAAAGATATTTAAATCAATTAAAAAGAGAGTCTTTATCTCTGAAATCACTTTATATCCGTATTCTTAAATCTCATTATATGTCTCAAATAGATTAAATATAATGATTACAAATTCTTAAATAAAAGATTAAATTTCTATACAATCTTTATAACTTAATTATTGACTTCTATTTTAGCTTTTATGAGATCAGAATATTTTCAAATTTAATATCAGAATATATGGGGTAATTTTATGGATAATTTTTGGTGAATACTTCTATTTCTTGAGGACTTTAAAGTCATCTTGTATAAGAAATCAACCGAGACATTTCAATTTCATTAGAAAATAACTATTGGATTATGTTCCAACTTCATGGGCTTAACCTTATTCAATCATCTAGAAAATCAAATATTTGGAAGTATGAAGATGCATAAAGAAAGGTGGATAAGGATTAATATATTTTATATATGAATAAGCAGAGTAAGCAGAGGATTCTTTTATTATACTTAATATTGCACTTGATTTTTTTCTAATCTATCAGTTTAAAAGTATTAAAAGTAAGATGCAGAATCATAGTAATATTATTTTTATTAGATTTTTCAGAAGACATCTTATGCAATTTTTTTTAATATTTATTAATTATAAAACTCTTTTGTTTAAGATTAAAATTTTTCAAAGAATGTTGAAAATTGTGAAGAGGCAAATCATTGATTACCTAAAATATTTTTATATGTGAATCTCATTTCTTCCTCAATACAAAAAATAAATTGTTGAATTATTTCAAATATAGAAATTCTTAAGCATAAAAAAAATCGATTTAATTAAGGAGTGATATATTCATTAAAGTTTGTGTTAATATTGCTATTAAATTAATTACTATGATAAAATCCTTTTAATATTATAATTCTAAATTTTAGGTGAAATCTTTTTGCAACATTCTTGTGAATAATGCTTCTAATATAAATTGGGATATTAATTAAATGAAATAAAAAATACATGGGAAGTTATTTGTTTTTAATAAATAATATTTGGTTTGGAATGATGTGATAATGGCAATCAAAATATTGAATTATTCCGACCTTAAATCTGATGATCATGATGTCTGTCTAAATGATTTGTCGAAAGCTATTATATGTGTGTTGAAATTAATTCCATTATATTAAAAATAAGGTTAGGTAACTTTAAGATCTCCCTACAATTAGCCCTTTTATTAATTAAATGAATCCCTATTGCTCAATAATTTAGGATTTATTATGCTTATCAATAATTAATATTAAATCTTAATTTAATTCTTCATAGGTAATTTTTAATTCATTTTACTTTTTTTATAATTATTTAGTAATTCTGTTAATTTTATAAAGTGTTTGAATAAAGGAAGAAATATAAAAAAATAAAGATATAAATTTAATAAAGATGCCTGAAGCATTTTATTTGCCTCTTTCTTCTTTTAATACTCTCTTATAGTTTTTTTTAGATAGTGAGAGATGTTTACCTATTTGCCTACTATTATTTTTTGTGTTTATTCTTATTATAGATTAACTCCTTTTTCCGATTTCAAGAAATTTCCTTAAAAAAATCTTTTTAAAAAATATTTTGAACTTTTTTTATGGTTTTATGGTTAGGTAAGAAAACTATTTATCATTATATTTTGAGAAAAAGATTGGGAATGAAGAGTTTACTTCTTTTGTAAAATTTTTTAAGTCCTTTAACACTTTTGTTCCCATATCTTGAACACCTTAATTTATTACATCTATACTTTATATAAATTCATGGTTTCGAATCAAATTTAACCAAAAAACTCAAAAGTTTAGCATTTTTAGAGCAACAACTCTAAATAATGTTTAAATGAAATAAATAAAAAGCAGTTAATTATTATCGAATTTGAAATTTTATATATTTGGTAAGTTGAGTTGTATTACAAAGTCTATTAGATACTAGAACTTGCGATTAAAAAATTTTTATAGATTACTCTCTTATTTCATCTTTGCTATTATCTGGATAATTTTAGACCAAATAAAATAATTTGAAATATAAATATATTCTAAATTATTCAAATGAAATTAAAAAATGGAAGTGAATGTCAATTATTTAGATTAAAATGGTTTTTTTAAATGAGAAGCAAAGAATTGAAATTTTATCTTATAATATAATTTAAGGAGATGAATAACTAAATGCTTTAATAATTTATATTTTGTAATATTAAAAATAAAAACATTTTATTGCTCTTCTTTAAATTATTCAATACTTTGCTTTCAACTATACAAAATTTTAGGGTAATCTCATTTAATATATCTAATTTTTTATGTTGAAAAATACAAAATTCTCATTCATCAAATAAATTTTACATTTAAAAAGATTAATATTTATAATAATCAGTTCATTTCTTTTGATTTTTAGAAGTTTGAGGGAGTTTTTAATCTGTGATTCTAACTCTAAATTTGACTGGTTGATTAGTTAATCAAAAAATTTGGTTTACAAATGCTAGGAAGTCATGAGGAATATTTTTGTCTTGATATTAATTTCCCTTAAAAACCATCTTAAAGGTAAATGATTATATAGTTCTGATTCTTTAAAAGCTATTTACATTGTGCCAGTTATTTTTAAACATTTAGAGATTCGCAAAAGATTGTTGTATGTTGATCATTTGAATGCGAATTTGGTTGCTATAAGATGGTTGTTTGAACATTTTTATTGATGATTAATCTTTTAGATTGTGAAAAAAACTATGAGTAAATAATGAGAGGGTTTTATGCATTTTTTAAAAAACTTGCTAAAAGTATTAAATCTAATTGTTTTATTTTATTTTTTATCTTAAAGTTCTTAATTGCTTTTAATTTAGGATCAACTCAATTAGTTAAATTTTTTACAGATCTTTTTCTATTGTTGTTATTATTGAATTAAAAAATAAGTAATAGGTCCTTTCTTTACAATTTACATTATTATGAAAAAACTAAAAAATCTAATTAATATTAAAATTAAATTTTCATCCCAATTCTTTATATCAATTATATAAATAAAAAATTAATAAAATCTATCATAACGTTTTAGATGATTTTAACGAAAGATTTTTTTACTTTTCTGTTAATTCTTAATAAATATATATTTAACGCTTTGGACCTGCCTTTTAATTGCCTCACAGTTCTTAGTTAATAAATTTATTGAGTATTAACATCATTAAATAATAATTGATATGAAAAACATCATTTGTTAAAATAATAAAATATAATAGGTGTAACTTTATATTCTAATTAATTAAATTTTGTATAATTCTTTCTTAACATTTAAAATGTAGCTTATAACACTATAATAAAATGATAAAGAGCAGAACTGATAGAGATACCAATTAAAAGTAAAAGAAATTCATTTTAAATTTATTTTTATGGATGTAGATATTAAGTAAATCATTTATCTATTTAGTTTTACAAAAAATAACTTCCCTTAGATTGTAATAATTATCGTAGGTCTACTCCTTAATAATTAAAAAATTCTCCTTTAAAAACTAGAGCTCTTTTTGATTAAAATATTGGCTTTTGGGATATTAGGAGAATAGTCATAATCGTGCCTAAATTATATGAAAAAAATAAATACTTGGAGAATCTTATTAAAATACTTGTGTTTAAAATTTTTCTAAAATATCTTTGTAATTGCTATTATATGGTTCAAATTATTATCCTGATTTCACATCCTATAATTCGATAAAGTTAGAGTAATCTACATGACCAATTGCTAATAAATTTACAACAGGAGAGAGAAAAACTGAGTTGACATTATTATTATCTTCAAATTGGGCTTTTTATAAACCTGCTTTTGTATCCCATAAACGAATAGAATTATCATAACTACCAGATGCTAAAGTAGTACCATCAGGAGAGAAACAAACAGAAATGATTGTACTAGTATGACCATCTAATTTGACTTTTTATTATCCTGTTGTAACATCCCATAAATGGATAGAATAATCCCGACTACAAAATGCTAATGTATTTCCATCAGGAGAGTAACAGACTGATGAAAAAGGTCCATAATGTTCATTTATTTTGACTTTTTATTATCCTGTTTTAGCATCCAATAAACAGATAGACTTATCATTACTAATAGATGCTAAAGTAGTACCATCAGGAGAGAAACAAACAGAAAAGACTGAACTAGTATGGTAATATAATTTGGCTTTTTATTATCCTGTTGAAGCATCCCATAAACGGATAGACTTATCGTCACTACTTGATGCTAAAGTAGTACCATCAGGAGAGAAACAAACAGAAAAGATTGAACTAGTATGGCCATCTAATTTGGCTTTTTATTATCCTGTTTTAGCATCCCATAAACGGATAGACTTATCATGACTACTAGAGGCTAACGTTGCACCATCAGGAGAGAAACAAACAGAAAAGATAAAACTAGTATGGCCATCTAATTTGGCTTTTTATTATTCTGTTTTAGCATCCCATAAACGGATTGACTTATCCGCACTACCATATGCTAATGTATTTCCATCAGGAGAGAAACAAACTGAGTTGACAATGTTAGTATGACCATCTAATTTGACTTTTTATTATCCTGTTTTAGCATCCCATAAACGGATAGACTTATCACTACTACTAGAGGCTAAAGTAGTACCATCAGGAGAGAAACATACTGAGTTGATAATATTACTATGACCCTCCAAATAAGTATTTTATTATCCTGTTTTAACATCCCATAAATGGATTGAGCAATCTCTTCTTCCAACCTAATCACCGCAACCTGATGCTAATGTAGTACAATCAGAAGAGAAACTGACAGATAAGACAGGACTAATATGGCAATTTAATTTTGTTTTTAATTATCCTGTTTTAACATCCCATAAATTGATAATCTTGTCTTAACTACCAGAAGCTAATGTATTTCCATCAGGAGAGAAAAAGACTGAGTTAATAAAATTACTATGACCTATCAATTTGGCATTTTATTATCCTGTTTTAATATCCCATAAACGGATTGAACAATCTCCTTTTTCAATACTATCACCACCACCTGAAGCTAAAATAGTACCATCAGGAGAGAAACAAACCGAATTCACTTTACTCTTATGACCAACTAATTTGGCTATTTTTTTTTTTGTTTTAACATCCCATAAAAAGATAGATTTATCTTTACTACCAGAAGCTAATATATTACCATCAGGAGAGAAACTTACTGAATTGACTCCACTCCTATGACCAACTAATTTGGCTAATTTTTTTTTTGTTTTAACATCCCATAAAAAGATAGATTTAACTTCACTACCGGAAGCTAATATATTACCACAATTAGAGAAACAAACAGAATTGACAATACTTGTATGACCATCTAATTTGGCTTTTTATTATCCTGTTTTTATATCCCATAAACGGATAGACTTATCTGCACTACCAGAAGCTATTGTATTACCATCAGAAGAGAAACAAACTGAATTGACAACATTAGTATGACCATTTAATTTTGCTTTTTAATATCCTGTTTTTATATCCCATAAACGGATAGACTTATCTTCACTACCAGATGCTAATGTATTTCCATCAGGAGAGAAACATACTGACCAGACATTACTTGAATGGCCATTTAACTAATTTATTTCCTCGATTCTTAAGTTGTTCCATTTACAATTAAATAAGATAGCTCCATTCAAATTCATCCCGCTTATATTAACATTATTAAATTAAGATCCACTTAAATTACAGAGAAAAAAATTAGCTCCCATCAAAGAAGTATTTTAGATCTTAATATTTTAAAAATTTTTGTTTCTAATGTCAGCCTTCATCTAAACTAAAACATGTAATGAATTAGACCCACATTATATTAAAGTGTTATCTATGGATGTGAGGTGAACTAAAAATTCCAATAATTCTGTTATATATCGATCATTCTTTATTCTCTTAATCAGATCTTGTATAGATTCTTAACTTTCTTAACTTGAATAATCTTTACTATTAAACTCATGATCTTTTATTTTTTTTAAGACATCAGTAATTTGTTTCAAGTGATATCTAACATCAGACAATTTCTATTCATCCTCAAATTATGTTAAATTTACTCCTGATTGTAAGATGGATTTTTCTAACAGTCTTTGATTTCTATTATCTGAAAGATATCCAATGCAGTCTTAAACTTTCTCCCTCAGAAATATTCCTAATATGTCACCAAACATTTTTGCACCTACATCTTTAAATGAAACAAAGATATCAATTAGAGCTTCCTTCTATTAAAAAGTGCTATTCATTATTTTTAATTTTATTATTGAATTTATATGACTCTAACTTTAAGTTTTATGCGACAAATCAAAAAAACTATTTATGCATATTTGTATATTGATAAAATAGAAGTTCAGACGTTGGGTAGATTTAGAATTGCTTACAATTGAGGTAAAATCTGCTATTGAGTATTCATTTCCACATTTGCATTGCTTGATTCTTTAAAAAGCATGGAGTAGAAAATCTTTGTAGATTAATTTATACTTAATTAGAGTTCTATGATTGATCATTATTTTTCTCACTAATCCTAAATTTAGGCATAAATAAAGGTCATTATTATCTAAATATTAAGAAATAGGAGTATCACTGAACAAAATCTTGCTCCTTCCTTGAAATTTTTAATACTGTATTATTATTTTATTTTTAATAGACAATTTCAACTTTAGCTAATAACCTGATATTCATTTGATGTTTAAATGAATCTAAAATCTCGTCATTTTCTTATCAATTTAAGACTTTGGAAAAGTATATCATAAATAAAATAGCATTCATTTTACAAGTGTAAATCTTCTCTAATATGAGATTATTGTTTGCTATGCTATTTCTCTGAATACTTTTCTTTTCTTATTTTAAGGCGGAATATGGGGTTTGGCTCACTTCTAAGCACCCCTTCTCCTGCTAAAATTCGGTTGACAGATAGGAGAAAATAGAATATGGGCTGAAGGTTATAGCCTGAGAAGGCCAAGTTGTATTATTTCCTTATGTTTTATAAGAGAATTATTGGCAAATTGAATATAAATAAATAAAAATCAAAGGATAGGGGGTAGAGATCAGGAATATTTATGGGTGTACGAAAATATATAAAAAAAGCAAAGGGAAGGGATCTGAAAATAAGAGAGCAGGCACTTTTGTAAAAGTTGCAATCGATGTAATAGATGTGATCTTGTTATTTGATGGGTTGCTGTTATTTTAATTAGAAATAATTAATTGATTATTTAATATATTAAATTTGATAATATCTTATTGGCTCTATATATGGAAATGCTATATAGAAATTAAAGTTTATAAATAGCAAAGCCTTAATAATTCGAATATAAACAATGATTATCATAAATACAATTAACTATAATTGTAAAATATTAGTACTCATATAAAAACTAATTATTTAATGCAGAAAAGTTTTGCAATATTTAAATTAAACACAATTATGTTACCTTTCAAAATATTGTTAATTGATGAAATTATTGAAAAGCTAATATTCATATTCATATTTTTATTTTGTAGTTGAATAAAATTTTCTATTGGTCTAAGGAGAGAGAGATAATAATTTTCATTGAATTTATATTGTATTTTCAAATATAAAAGAAAATTTTCTGTTTTATGAATTTTGGGATTGAAATCATTTAACAAGTGATGATCATCTTGAATATTCTCTAATAAATTTGTATATTAACAGCGATAAAAGTTGATTTAATATTAAATGAGATATATAAGAGGTAAAATTTAGATGGTTAATTTCATGACAGTTTAGTTTTTAGGCAAAAGTATTTGAGTTATTGAAAGCAGAAATAGAAAAATAAATAAATTTAGTAATGTAATTACTGATTTGATATTTATTCCATTAACAATTTTGTCAAAAAAACTCTAGTTATTTAACAAAATGATATTTTCTTTAAAAAATAATAAATTTGATCCTCATTAAATATTTTTGAACTCCACAAAGTTATTTGAAAGTTACATTATATCTTATTGTATTTTTAAATAGTTTCTAATTAGCTTCTTAACTAAATTATATTCAACTATTAAAACATCAACTTTCTTAAATGACTCTTCAATTAAGCAAAATATTAGTTGAGATTAATATTTTATTGTTTATGAGATTTATAAATATACATTTACAAGCTTGTAGAATGTGTTTCATTTCAAATATATTTTAATATGTCATTCATTCTCAAAATTATCAAGGATATTTCCATTAAAATGATTGATGGAGAAGATCATTAAAAATAAAAGTATCAATTAAGTAATTACTGTCATGAAGAAGCAAGCCAAGTAAATAGTTCCTCCTTAGCCTTAAATGATTTTGAGTGGTTACAGGGAATATCAGAAGTCGGGTATTCATGGAGGATGGAGTCGGAATAATTTACCACGCTTTCCTCGTTTCATGGAAAGGTTTAGTCGAGAGAAGCAAGTCTGCCCTCTCGAGCTAAATCTGACTTCGGATTGAAGATAAATAAGGTAGTCGCTGTAAGGTGGATTAGCCGCAGCCTATTTCGAATATTATGTATGACATTTCTAGTTCCACGAATAATTAATTCTAACCTCTTTCAAATTTTGAAATTCTGAAAAATAGGTTTATGGAGAATTTTTCACAGCCTATTAGTGGAAAAAGATGAAAGCAAGTCTATTGACTCTAGAATCTAATAAATCAAATTAGAATAGCTAAAGTTACTAAAAAGAAAGGTAAATTTAGAATACAAGACCATTGTCATTTCCTGACAGCGGATTTAGAAGCACAAAACAGACATAATGTTTGAAGTCAAAAAAACAAAAGAGTTACTAGCAATCCCTTTCTGAATTCATTTGAAACTTATTATTAGATGAATAAATAGTTATCTAATTTAATGATTAACTTGAAATCATTTTTGATTAACTCAAATAAAAATGGACTTGATCAGTTGCATTTTAATGTAAATTTTTATTTTAGATTGAGCAGATTAAAAGGTAATAATCTATTCATTGGCAAAAACATAAAGAAGTAAAGAAAAAGTATTAAAAATTAACATAAAAAAATTCTTCTATATGTAAAATTTCATTCTTCAAATAATTTATAGATTTCTATATAAATTATAAAATAACCTTATTCAAATTTTTGAGTATTTTATGCATATTACTCAAAATTAATCATTACCTCTAAACTTAGTTATGAAAATTCCTCTTTTGTCTTATTAACATTAAATCAATATAAGGTATACATAAGAACTTTTATATTAAATAATCTGAAATTCAAACATATATTTTCCTTTTGAATGAACATATTAAAAATTTCACCATAAGATTGCTTTTTTGCCACTTTTACTTCCAATTTATTATTTTAAACATTTATTCCATTATACTCCTGATATTTCACCAATATTTACATCTTATTAATTTCTAACATTTTGGTTTTAAACTCTCAATTTTATTATCAATTAAGAGTTATTAAATAAAAAAATGAATAATTAAATAAATTACATAAATTTTCCTAAGAGCCAATCATTAATAATTGAGATACGAATTTTCAAGCAGAATAGTTGGAACCTAATGAGATGAGATTTATAGATGTTTAAATTAAATCACAATTATCTAAAGTAATTAAATGATTTATTCATCATAGGAAGGTGTAATCTTGAGAAAGTAGATGATCTAGTGGAGAATACTTTAACGGTTAAAAATTAAGGGAGATGGCATAATATCTATTAAAACAAGAATATTTTTATTATTGTAAATAAATTAATGCTGGTAGATTATATTTACATTGGTAATAGATTATAAAAATAAATGGATATAAAGAATATAAACTAGTAATATCTGTGTTTTTAGATGTAGAGGGTCAGGAATAAATGGTTTTTCTTACATCCATTCTAAAACATAAAGTTAACTCTCTTAAATACCTTGAGTCTGTATTAGATCTTGTATACATATAGACATTAAATAAGAGTAGTCTCTTAAAAATCACTTTAACTAATAAGGCATTATTTTTTTCTGAAATTTCCATTCTGGCAGTTGGGATGATATTTATGACTGAAATCATCAAAGGATTTCCTTCTCTTTCTTTATGAAAACACTGGTATTTAAACCATTCTACTACTTTTCTCTTATTCACATATTAGACTTCTAGGGCTGCAATGATATTTTATTTTCTAGTCAATTTAGATTATTAGTCTCCTGGTTTAGATATTATTCTAATAAAATCCCTTTCTTGAACTAGACCATAGACAAGTACTAATATGTCCTGCAGAAATTTCTTAGTTAGTTGTATATCCTGAATCACAGTCTCCGAATTGGAAAACGAGTGACATATGTATACCCTAATCAAGATCAATAGTCTAAAAAAAAATATTTTAGAATTGATATACAAACGAATGAGAATTAAATTATATTTTCCCAGTTAGTAAGTTAAATCTTATATTTATTGCTCACTATTTGTTATTTTTAATTTTTATTAGGGTTAATCACCAAAAAGGGTTTTCAAAATACACTTTTATTAAGTAATTAGGAAACAAATATAACTCCTCTTGATAATATTAATTAAAATAATTCGACAATGCAAATTTTAAATGGATATCATAAAACTCCTTTAGGAATTATTAATTTGTGGAAGAAGTATATTTATTGTAAAAAGGGATTTTCTTAATATCGATTTGGAATAAAACTATTAAATTTGATTATTTTAATTCTTATAAAGTTTCTGAATAAAAAGACCAATCGTTTATTTATGGATTCAAATAATAGTTAATTTCCATTTTGAGCTTTTCCTATTTATGAAGTCTAGATAATATCTAGATTTATCAGATCAAGTATTTCTAAATAGGTTGTTAAATATTATAGAATTAGACAGATTCTCCTATTTGTTATACCAAACAGGATTCCCAGATTGTAAGAATACCATTTGATTCAAGCTATCCATTAATAATAAGCAGGTTCGCATAAAATTAGAATTAGAATTAAGTTTATTTATTAAGTAACCGTGCATCTATTTATCTTAAAATTATTTTTTTCTCTCTAAATAAAATTTTTAAATAAAATTTTTAATTTTATTCAGAGGACTATTAAAGATAATTTTTTTAGAAAAATATTTTATTTAATTATTAAGCAAAGTAAAGATAAATAAATAATCATCTTTGACTTAAGATCCTCATAAATTTTCGAAGATATTCATTAAAGAAAATCGTTTCTTATGATTTTTTAATCCGGTTTAACTTATTTAGATTGAAAAATGATTAATTTACTTTATATTTAAGATTCAATTTATTTCTTTAATAAATATTTTGTTTTCAAAAAATTAAAATTAAATCTAAAACTTAAATCTTTGCTCTCTTCTTGTTTGGATAGTTAAATTTTAATTTTATCAGAAACATAAAAGTCATTATAGGAGATTCAATAAAACATATAAATTGTGAAAATTGGTTTAAAATTAATATTTATTAATTATAATTTTTTTGCTTTTTATAAATGTTGAAGAAATATCTTAAAAATAAACAAGTTGAAAAAATTAAATAAAATACTAATTATTAAGGATCAACATAAATTGAATATTTAACCCAAATTTAGTTCCCTAATACTACTTTTAATAAATAGCCATAAATTTTGTTGTCTTTAAAATATAATATATAGAACAATAAGCGGCTATAGTTAATTATTAAACCTTGAGATAATTCATAATCATTTAAATTGACCGAATTTCTTGAAAAGATTGGAAAAAAAGATGTAGATTTTAACAATTAACTCATTTGATAAAGATTTAAGGAATAATAAGAAGATAAAGAAAATAATGAAGTATAAAAAATTTATTTATTTAATATGCAATTTTATTTTTTATTTCAAATTTTTCTATTCTTAAAAATTTTTCCATAATCTGAGATGCACTCTGCTTTTATTTAATAAAAATTAATTCCTTACTTTATTAAGTAATTTATTGCTTTATTATAAATTAATTACCAGGAGCTTTTTGAATCCTGACAAAATAATTCCAAATAAAAAAGAGAAACCACTGTTGACCAATAAATATCTTGTAAACGATATTTATTATCTAATTTGCATAATTTTAATTATTCTTCGATATGAATTTCTAAAAGAAAACTACCATTTGCTTAAATGCAATCAATTAATTCAAAATATGATAGCATCTGATAATCCTCCTAAAGTATTTTTGGCTTAAGAGCAAATTAGATGCTTTATTTAGGTAGTAATCTATTGGGTTATTTTTAGTCGTATTGTAAGGATTGAGTTGAGCTGTGTAAAACAGAATCTTCATCCATCTCAACAAATTCCTTTGTTTCTATTATCTCCATAGAGTTATTAATACATTTTTTATAAAAAAACTTTTTTGCATTAGCTACACCTTCTAGAGTTTAATAATCTTCCTCTTCACTTTTGCTAATCAAGAGCTTTTTCTTTATCAATGCTTAAAGAACTTTTTAATTTTTACAGGCTTCACAAATATATGCTGTTTTAGAACATATAATCTGATTTTATAATGACAAATTTATTATATCCTAATCTTTGAGGAATTTTTGATTGATCATAATCATATCCATTTGTTTAGCATATAAGGAGATTGATTTTTCATAATACCTTATCAGTCTATTAGCAGCTATTTTATGGAAATATTCATTCTCTATGGAACTTTTAAGATTCATTTTGATTTCAAAGGAGATTTATTTATTTAATTATGGGTCATAACAATTAATCTTGAATTCTAAATTTTCCTTTTTATGTTTCTTTGAAAATAAAATTTGTAAAGTTAATTATTAATTTTTTTTCAGTTAAGTTATTGATTTTGGATCAGGAATAATCTATGATACATTTTCAATATTATGTATTAATGAAAATCCTTTTAAATAATATGTAAGGGAATCTTCTAATAAATCAATTACTTTAGAATTAATATCTTCGTAATCTCTTACTAATAAGCATTTTCCATTTCCAACTTCAGCTAATCTTGATACTAAATATTCACTGCAATTATTCCCAATACCTAATGTATAAATTCTTGTTTCAGGTCTTTGATTTTAAATTACCAAGTTAATGATTTCTTTTGGGGAATCTTCTCCATCTGTTAGTAAAAAAACATTTAAAGTTTCTGTACTATCTTTGCTTTTTTAATAATTTTCATCATAAATTCCTTCTTTTAATGCTAAAAATATATCAGTTCCACCAAAATCTGCCTCCATTTCTTAGACTTACATTATTGCCTAATATAATGTTTGCTAATTATATGCTTATGCAATATCGAACATTTTTATTGCAACACTACCAAATGAAATTATGTTAAAAGAACAATCATCTGGAAGGCTCTTCAAAAATAGTATCAATGATTGTTTGGCTTTTTCAATTCTTATGCCTTCCATTGAATCACTACGATCAATTAAAAAAATATAAGAACCCTTTTAAATTTTTGTCTGTGACGGTAAATTTAAACCATTTATATATGATTGATAAGCATCATCTATTTGAAATTCATTAAATTTCGGAATGATATTTAAAGTAGCACAATATTTGATATGTTCTAAAGCCTCATTTTTTGTATGGCTGAGTATTGCATCAGGGCTATTAATATCGTTGGAGGAAAATAATAGTTCAAAATTTTTATTAGGTTCCATATTTTCTGGATCATTAGTATCTAAAGTAATAATTAATTAGTTCTATGGAGTTTATAAATCAATTTATTTCTCCTTCATATTAATATCAGAATTTAATAATATTGAGTGTGTTGGAGACTTAGCATATGTAATAGGTTTTTACATGTTAATTATTACAGTAATATTTTACTTGTAATTTAATTTGATAGCTTAAATGTCAATATGATGTTTCACAAAAGCATATTATTAAGCATAACCTTAATAAGTTTTCTTTAATCCATTAACTGTGAGATAACTTATATCTACCAATGGAGACAATTCTAATTTCCAAAATTAGTTTAGATACACCTATAAAGGTTAGATGTACTCAAATTAAATTTTTAACGATTTACCAGGACTCAAGCAACCAATTTTTACTTTTTTTATATTTGATATTTCTTAATCTTCTTCACTTAACACTATAATCTTTCTTTCTTTTATTCCCTTTTTATATTTTTTTTTTGACTCTTCTAATTCTTTTATTATTCCATAAATCTTTTAATCTCCAATTTCAACAATCATCTTAGTTACAGCAGAGTCTTAATCTATTGTAAATAGGTATTCTAATTCACGTTAATCTTTGTTTTATTCTGTTGAATAGATTTGGAATATTTGAACCACTGCTAAACCAGATTAAATATTAACTATGTATGAGACTTATTTTAAATCGATAGGTAATTTTGTCGTACTATCATAACAAATTATTATAGGATGTCTTTATTTTTTTATTTCTTTGTTTTCATTACTATTTTCAGTACTATCTATTTAAGGATTAAACATTTAAGTTGGTTTGTTGTTAATAATAATTAAAAGTGATATACTGAAGAATAATATTTAAATGTGAGTTAATATATATTTTCTCGGTATTTATTTATTAAATTAATCAATTGTAAATTTTAAAGAATATAAATTATAAATTATAAAATTGATAGAAAAGTAAGAAAGATTAATATAAAAAAGAAAATGCATGTTATTGTTATGCTCTATATTGCAAGTAAAAACCATTGTCCAATGATTAAACTTTAATAGAGAAAATTAAAGATATTATAATAATAAATATGGTTTATTAAGAAATATAAAAAAAGGGTCTCAATATTCTAATACATATTTCATAAAGCTATTTCTGAATATTAAGTTCCTTTTTTTGAAGTAATGATTACATTATTGTTTTTCTTTTAAGTAGTGAAAATTGAATGGATCTAATTGACCTATGATAAGTATTAAATGTTATTATTAATATTCTGATAGTTCTTAATAACAGAATCATTCATCTAATTAAGTATGCCATTTTCTTTCACTTTAATATACGTTTTTTCATTATTTAGATATTAATTTAAATTTATAATCTTAATTAATTTGAGTATTACATAAAATATATGAAACCAATTCAATTAGGAGATTTTCATTAATTAAACTTTAGTATTTTTAAAATAATTATTTAATTTGTTTATGACATAAGAGAAAATATAATAAATGGATTGAATAATAAACATAATATCTTATTCAAGACTAAATTATCAATTTTTAAAAAGATCGTATCAAAGTAAAAAATGTTTTGATTATAGATTCCAACTATAATACATTTCCTAGTTTTGTTTGAATTTTAATGAATCATTTATCAATTAAAGATTTTAAAATTAATCAAAATCAAATACTAATTATTTAGAAGTCTAGTAATAAGAATATATTTGAATTATTCCAAATTTATTTAAGGTTTATTTTATAAAATATATATGTATTTATGTGAAATCTAAATTATGAATTTTAATTTTCTTTTATTCTTTATGTACCTTTTGTTCTTAATTTAATAATAATTCTTTTATAATTAAATGAAGTAATTATAGGAAAGTTGTTTTGAAACTTATGATTATAATCTCTAAAATATTTGAGGTATTAAATACTATAAGACTTATTGCAATATCATATATAGTTAATTATTTTCATTTCAATTCATGTGAAACTTGAAATTAGATTTGTCTAAAAAAGATACTAAAAATCGACATCTTATATTATTAACTTTATTATGCTTATTTATTTTAAAGTTTTTATATCTACAGAAAAATTGATATTATAGAATTTTAATAAATATTTTTCTATGTTATTACAAATTTCTTATTCCATTTAAATTCCAATATCAAATGAACTATAAAATAGAATTAGGTTTTAGAAACGGGAGTCTAAAAATATATGGTTTATTTAAAAAATGAATATTTTCGAGAACAAATTAATATTAATTTAAAAAATTTTGTAATCGATATTAATCATTCCGAATAAACAACCTTTGGAAACTATAAATTGTTGATAATTTGAATACCTTGTAACTATTCAAACAAGACTAGGAAGTAGTGAACTCTTATAATACTCCTGCAAAATAATTTGGACCTTTTAATTTGACAATGATGCCAGGTCCCATAAGTATGGATTTGATTTCAAATGGAATATAATTTTGCAATTTTGACTATTCTCCTTAACATATTTAAAATAATGTTCCAGTATAATTACATTCACTAAAAAAGTTAACGCAAGGAACTGAAAGTCTTAAAATATAGTCTCTAAATCCCCAAGATTCTAAAATTCATGAAATTAATACCATCCCATAGATCTTCAGGCCAAGAATTAGAGTTTAAATTATCTTTTAATTTTATTGTTAAATCAGTTCCTGTTATTTAAAATTTTAATGAGAGGGGCTTTAATAAATCTTACCAAATGTCATTTCTACATATAAATGTACCTTCATTTAGATTTAATAATAGATTTTCTATTAATACATCATTTGCATAAATCTCGAATCCTTCAATATCCCAAGAGTCTAATTTCCAAATGCCAATTGAAAACTCCAATTATTTATTTGGAGGAACATTTGAAAATGTTTTGGTCACTCTAGTTTGAAATCCATAAGGTCCCATAAATAAATTTTTAGTTTCCGAACCACACCTTTCTAAAGTGGCATTGCTTGTTCCAACAATTGAAAAATCTGTATATCTACAATCAGCTGCATCGTCTGTAATACAATTTTCGTATATGATAGATTTTAGAAATAATATTTTGAGAAAGGAAATTACATGTGCCATATTATAAATATTAAATCTAAAATAAATATTTTTTTTAATTAAACGAGTGAGATTCAAATTAGGTATTCTAAAATTATTAAGAAAGAAAATATAAATACTCATTGATTTTTGTTAAATATTTTTATTTATAAATATATATTATGAATCTAGGTTTTTATTTAATTTCGAATTTAATTAATAAGTTTATAGGATATTAAAAAAAATAAACAAAATTGTTATTATTAAATTGGAAATAATATCATTTTTGTTATTATTTTTGATTATTACTATTTCATATAATTATTATTATTTGTTTTCGTATTTTAAATAGATAAATTTGTTCATTTAATTATTTTTGACTTTACTATCTTATATATAGCTAAAAGTTGTAAATAATTAAGCAAAAAGTAATATATATTGTGTTATAGGCTTGCCATGATGCTTGGTAACTAATATTTACTTAGATAACTAAATAATTTTGCTATCAAATTAATTCCATTTGTTTAATCAATTCATTTTCAAATAAAATAGACGGTTGATTGGAAATTTATTTGTTATAGAAAACATAACTAAACTTAAATTGCTTACATAAATAATATCAAAAAATTTGATAGATTATCGTAGATCTTAATATAAGATGAGAACTATTATTAGACATAAAATAAATTAAATTAAATTTCTAAAAATTCTATCCCTAATTTATTCTTAACCATAGTTACCTAAATACTAATGAATTAATGCATTGAAATTTTAAACTTAGCAAATAATTTCAATTAAATATTAAGAATTTTAAGCATCATTTTCTTTTTTTCAAGAATTAAACCTCATTGTGACATATGATTTCTGTTCTTTCTTTTCATTTATTAACTAAGGAAATACTTAATTTTTAAAGTATTTTCGTAAAATAAAGACAATAATGAGACAAATATTTGTTATGATGGATGAAAAAAAAAGTAGTAATTAAATAATAAATACAAAATTTGTTTATTATTTATTGATTGAATTAATAATTAATTAATCTTATTAATTTCAGAATAAGAAGTAGTAAGAAAAAAAAAAATTATAAATGCGAAATCAATTCAAAACAAATTGTCTAAATTTTGGTTAAACTCTATATCAAGATGAAACTTAAAAATGAATTATGTGAGAAATAAAAACAAAGAGCCATCAAAAATTAAATCTTGAAACTCTAATCATGAAAACTAGACTAAGAACTGATTTACCTCTTACTATATGAGTTGAAAAACTTTGTCAATCTAGCGATACTATTTCATCTTTAATATCCGGAAACAGAGTTATCGTAAATTCCAATTCTTCAAATTTTGAGTGTTTTCATTATGGATAAATTGTTAAGAATGCCAATTTGCCTCTGATTTATTGGAATTATTATTTAAAGAAAAGAATTCATTTTTTTTCTTTAAAATAATCATGTTTTATAGCTTCTTCTTTATTTTAAGAGGGAGTAAATAAACTTAAGGGGGCAATCTTCAGAATAATCTTCGGGATTGCTTTAAAATTTCTTCACTCATGGTTATTTGCGGATAAACCTTAAAGTACACTCATATTTGATGATACTTTGAGAATTTAATCAAAAAAGAGGTTGGATTGGTAGCCAACTCGAAAGTAGAAATACTTAGGTTAACTATAACATAAATATACAAAATTGATTATTTATTTTTTGTGATTAGTCCCTTAACAAGATCATAATAAGAATAATTTATAAAAAAAGATATAATTTTAACAAGAATTATAAAATTAAAATATATTCTATATTCTTATGTTTTTCCAGAATGATAGTTCATCATTAGGATTAAAAGAGCATATATCCTTGGCGTTCTTAATATACAATTTTTGATGGAATTGAATTTTTTATAAATAAACGTGATAATAATATCTAAAACATCTAGATACTATTATTATAGATTTAGATAATATAAACAGGTTTTATAAATTTTCTAGTTGATCTCAGTAATTATAAAAAGCTATTTTATATAATTTAGTTACTTAAAGTGATAACCTTATAAATAGTAAAAAGTAATGATTCTCAAAAAACTCTCAATTATTTTTCATTTATTAATTTATAATTAAAAATTATTGCATTTAATAAATATATAGAAAAATTATAATATTTTAAAAATGAATAATTTAGTTGAACAAAAATCACACTTATTAGATGAAAAATTTGAACAGTATGATGATGGTACTTATGAATATGATGGAATTCTTTGGGATTATAATATTAATCCACCTAGAAAAATAAGAACAAAATTTCTAGTTACCTTTACTGAAAGCAAATAAATCTATTATACTCAAGATAAAATTTGTATAAGAATGTAATAACTAATAACTTTATTAGTTATTAATATAAGAATATTTCTGATAAACATGAAGTGATGAATAATTTGGAATAAATTTACTATCTGTAATTGATAGGAGAGTATGGGAAAAATAATTAAAAAATTGGAAAATGGAGAGCAACTTGGGATGGAGAAATTTTAAAAGATGTAGGTGGAGAATACTCAGAAGATGGAAAAAAATAAGGATAATGGAAGGAAATAAATAAAAATTTTTGGAGGGAAGTTAATTTACAATTTTATAGTTTAGCTTAAGTTTATGAAGTAGGACAATATGTAAATGATTAGAGAAATGGAACATGGAAGTTCATATATGAAAACAATGAGATGTATTTTATGTAAATATTAATTAGAGGTGGTGGAAAATACAATATGGATAGTTAGAAGAATGGTAAATGGATTGATTTGAGCAGTGAATTTTGGAGTGAATCATAAGTTACTTATAGTGGAGAATATAAAAATGGCAAAAAAATTGGCATTTGGGATGTGTGGTTTTATGATGATAATGATAAAAAAAAAAATTAATTGATGTAAGAATTTATTTAACATTTAACTATTTTAGTGGTTGTGGATTATATTAAGAAAAATAAGGTGAATCAATAAAGATTGGAAGGTGGTATGAATTGAGTGATGAGTTTTGCAAAGAGTCGTAAATTATTTATAGTGGTGAATATAAAAATGATAAAAAAGTTGGACGATGGGATATTTTTTATAGAAGGAAAGCTAAATATTAATTTAAATAAATGTAAATATTACAAAAAAAAGCTAATTTTTAGTGGTGGAGGGTCATATGATGAAAAATTAGAAGTAATAGACTCAAATAAGATTGGATAATGGATTGAATTGGGCTATGGGTTTAAGGAAGATTCTTAAGTAATTTTTATAGGTGAATATAAAAATGGTAAAAAGGTAGGTAAGTGGGATATTTAATATGAAGGAGAATATATGTAAAATAATATTATTAATTCAATATGATAAAAAATATAGTGGTGGTGGATAATATGATGACAAAGTTGAAAAAGTAGATTCGATAAAGATAGGGAAATGGATTGAATTATTTGATGGTTTTAGTAATATATCATAAGTCATATATAATGGTGAATACATAAATGGTAAGTAAGTAGGTAGATGGGATATCTTGTATAGAAAGAAAAATGATATTCCTTTTAAAATGATGTACTTATTAAAAAAATATTAGTGGTGGAGGATAGTATGATGAAAATTTATATAAAGTTGATTCCATTAAGATAGGGGTGTGGATTGAGTTGAGTGAGACATTTTATAAGTATTCATAAATAATTTATAATGGGGAATATAAAAATGGGAAGAAAGTTGGTAAATGGGTGAAAATTGATTTAATGGCAAATGAATAAATTCAAGAAATAGATTATGATAATTGAATACTTTCTATTTAAACTATAAATTATAATTATTTTAATTGGATTATGTAGATATTTAAATTGTAGATTTATTATGCTATTTAAAGAGAAAAGGAAATTTTTGAAAGATAAGAAAATTTCAAAGAAAAAGAAATTTTCAAGTTACAAACATAGCTTTTAAAATATGAACAGAAAAGTTTTACAATTAAAACAATTATATTGTTGTTAAATAATATATATTTAATAATTAAACATATATTAATATAACTATTATAATGTATAAATCATTAGTTTTATTAGGAATTACAATTTAGTTATATTGCAAAATTATATGATTGGATGAACTATTATAAGTATTAAATTTTAGAAAATAAAGTATTGAATAATAAATTATAAATTTAAAGAATGATATACAAGGATCAAAGCAGTAGTAATTCTTATGAATAAAGTTTGGATCAAATGGATGCATTTTTCATCAAAATCCTAATTTTATTTAGTTGATATCAAGTTCATATGATTGAGTATTTCTTATTTCTCCTTATTTTTTGTTATATTTACAAATAATGGACTTTTAAATTAATGTAATGTGAATTTAATATTATTCAAAATTGATTATTATTCAATTCTGATTTTATATTAATTATAACATACTTCTTTTAACATCTGTTTATAAATATATTTCAATTAACTATATCTTCTTCAAATTAAAATATAGCTCTAAAAGTTTTTGAAAATAATTAATAATTAATGTAACATTTTTTATAATTAGTTGATCAATATGTAATTGAAGAAAAAGTTCTTTTTTCAAGATCAATATCAGAACCTAAAAATAAATTTGGAGGAATAATGACAATAATTCTTTATGGAGCCAGCTTAATCTATTTTTTATTTCAATTCATAGAATGGAGATCAAATAATAAATTGCCAAAAACTACAACAACATAAATGCAAATCGATGATCTTGAAAGAGTTTGGAATGAAGATGTTATAGCTGAAATTTGGTATACTAAAAAACACTAAGATCAAATTGATCCTTTTGATCCTTAATAATTAATATATTATCCAATTTTTCAAACTATGCCTGCACATGTAATCTTAATATATATATTTTCATTAGATATAATAAAATTTTAAATTTGAACAAATCATTTTAGATGATGGAAGAAAAGTTAATAAAATAATTTTTGAAAATATGGAGCTAATTGGATCTCCTTATTCCTTTTCTTCATGGAACAAAGTTGATTATTAGCTTCAATTTGAAAGATGTAATTAAGATCTATTAAAAGATGGTATGAAATGTGCAGATCAAAATTTATATGAAAAATATTAAGAATAAAATAACTTAATCTAGGTTTAAATTTTTATATAATAATTTAACATAAAAACAAAGAAATTGGATAAGATTCCAAAAATTTATAATGTAAATTTAATGATAGGCAAAATGGTATATTATGAAGTTTAATTTGAAGTTAATTCAATTAATATAGATGATGGATTTTTACTTCCTAATTCCAATAAGTACTAATTTTTTTCAAATTTTTATTAATTAAAATATGAATATGATTCTGATTATTCAATAAAACATTTTGGAGATAGTCCTATCTTATTAATTTACTTTACTATGGATTAAATAAAGTAATAAACATTATATGAATATCCAAAAATCTCTGAAATACTTGCTGATACAGGTAGTATTATTAGTTGGATTCTATCCATATCATATTTTATTATTAAATATAATGAAAATGTAAGTCTAAATTAAATGAAAAATGATATTTTAAAAATTTATTTTTCTGATTATTAAAAATTTATAATTAAGAAAAATTGTTTTGGAAAAATTATTCAAATTTAAACTAATGAAAAGTAATATAATAAAAATGAGATTATTTAAATCTTCCAAAAATTAGATTCATTAGCATTAGAAAAATTAGGTTTTAAGAATTTATTGTAAGAAATATTCAAGTAAATATAATATATATTATCTAGAATTAAATATTTATTATATAGAATTCTAGGAAAAGAGGAAATTATAAGATAATCTGAATAGAGTCAAAGTCTAGAAAAATTAATAGAAAAATATTTAATACAAAATACAATAGTATTTTAAAAATCTTAGAATTAAATTGTAAAATTAAAATACTATTTTAAAGATACCCTAGGCAGAATTATCTCATATAAATATTTAAAATTAGGAATCTGATCAAGGTTAGATATTTTCTTTTGATCAATCTAATGAAGATGAGTTATATTTCTAACTAACATTATTTGACAATAATGAATTTTTTAGATTCAAAAAGGAGGAAAATTATGAGTAAATTGATCTTTCCAAAGATTAATTGAAATAAATATATTGAATTTATATAAGAGGACACAGAATTTAATAATATATTATATTATATATTTTCCAATTGTTAATTAATTTTTTATTTCAATTAAATAATAAAATTTATTTTATAATTTTAGAAAATAATTATTCATTAACATAATCTCATTTTTAATTACTCTTATAGATTTTTTATTTCATCTTCATTTTCTTTTTCAAAAATAGTATCTGTTAAATCAAAAAAATGATTAAAATTGACTTAAATTAATGCTTTTTGCAATTTTTCAATTAATTCTTCTTTTTAAATATTCTTCCTAACAAATAAAATAGTATAAGGATTGAAGACTTTAAAATTATTTTGTAAATCAATTTAACTGTTATATTCATTGTCACTTAAATGCATATCTGTAACAATAATACTGATTTAGGATTAGAATTTTTTGAAATATTTATATATAGATTGTAATTTCTTTTTCATTAAATCTGTTCTTTCAAAATTAACTACAATGAAAAGTGTAGCAATTTTTTATGGATATTTATAAAACAGATCTTAATAATGTTTAATTTAGATTTCTCTTTCATCATAATCATTTTCAAAATCAAATCCCTTAGTATCCACAAAATTATAAGATAAATTATCATCAATCTTTAACTCATACTATTAAAATTCTATTATTTTAGTTTAGAATAGTTTTTGCATCAAAAATGTTTTGCCTACACCTGGAGTACCCAAAAATATTGCTATTTAACCTAGAATACAAGATGTTTAATGATATGATTCATCCACTTTAATTTTCTATTAAGATGATTACCCATTTTCATTTTATGGAGAAGGAGAATATTCAACTTTTTTTTTCTTTATACATTATAATTGCACTTTTTATTTAGGATTAATCTATTCATGCTTCATTTTTACATCTTCTATTTTTTAATTATTAAAAAGTGAGTATTATTACTTTTTTTATTTGTTTAAGAATTTAATTGTTATTTCAGATGTTTTACCTTTTTAATTCTAAGTTATATTATTTTTCTAATTCTTATTACCTTTATCAAAAGAAAATGGTTTTTTGGAAGTTTTTGTCTTTATTTATAGCAAATTTTTGTTATTAGGTATTTTTACACTTTTTTAGTCTGAATTTTGCATTCTTAATTAATAATTATTATATCTTTAAACAATATATTTTTTTTATGTCAATTTAATAGAATTAATATTTATATATAAAGTAATTAGTTTGTTTTTACTATTTATTAATTTTGAGCAAAAACTATTATTTTTATGCTTCTGTATTTTTATTAAACCATAAATATAAAAATCATTATGAATGATATTATAATTAAAGTTAACTTATGATTACTTAGATTTTATTATAAAATTGAAAATATATTATAATTAAATTTTATGAATATTTTCATTAGATTTTCTGTATTTAATAGAATAACATATTTAATGTAAAATTAAGATTTATTATTAAATAAGGAAAACATATCTACTTATTGGAATAAGAAAAATAAGGCACCAGTTGGTTGATTCTTCCCAAATCAGAAATTGTTATTTTTCCAGATAATTGATTTTTTTTGAGTGTCTTTTTATTTCCCAATAAGGCTAAGAGTACATTATTAATCAATTAATCAAGTATTTGAAATCTTGATTTCTACATAAAGACATATATCCAAAAATTTAAATTAATAATGACATTAAATTATCATCTCAACAATTTTATTTATTTAAAGTTTAATGTTCACTTAATTTTTAAAACAATGAGAATTAACTTAAATTATAATAATTAAAAAGCTCTATTTTATCCTTAATTTAATAATATTATTAATTTTATTTTATAAGCATATATTTATATTTTTACATATTAGAATTTCATTCCATTTAATATGTCTAATGCCCTTCTAAAATGGCCAACTCTAATTTATCCTTCAAAATCTATTCTGAAGAATATTCTGGTAATTCCATAGTTAAAGTACTAAAATAATAAATTTAATTCATACCATGTGTGTGAAATAGGGAGTGATTAATCATCATTGTTTGTCGTGAATTTTTTAATTATAATAGGTTTTGGTAAATTGATGAATCCTCCAATAGGGACTAATCCAGAACCTTAAATAAATTTTATGTTAAATACCTGCAACAAACCATAGAAATTTTGATAACATATCATTTGAGAAACTTTTTAATACATTAAATAGCCATTATATAACTTAATTATTAACATCATAATCCTTGAATTTAAGATTTTTAATTAAATCTTCAACTATAAAATAATATTTAAAATTAAATACTTTCAATTTCTGTTTTTCCGCATAATAATTACTCTATTTAATTTTAATCAAAAATTTTAATGTATTTTTGGGGTATCAAAGAAAAAAACCCTTTTTAAAATGCTTTAATTTAGTCTTCTATATTTTTCGCCAAAATTGAATAACATAATTCTCTAATGTACTACTTTTTGTTTTCTTCTGTTACAGAAATATTTCTACCACCAGGAATTAATTCTAAAATCTCTGTATTGATACAATAATCTTCATCTTCACATTCTACACAATTATGAACTTGATATTCCCATTCTAAATCACAAGAAAATTTTTCATTTAAAATTTTAGTTAAGGTTAGATATTTAGTCTTATCAATTGATTTAAAATCATTTATAGTTAAATTTCTACCCAAAATATGCTTAAAAAATGATTTCACAATTTTTCCTTAAATTAATTATCCCTATAGAATTGCTTTTGCATAAATTTTTCCAACAAACTCAAATTTTTATAGATGATCTGGATCATTAGAAGATAATCGATATATTTTATACTTACGAGAATTAATTGTTTTAGTGAATAGTTGATTACGAGGATTTAATATTTCCTGTGAAAGTTTAGAAAACCATTCTTTAAGTAGACCACCAGCATCAATACCAGGTTCATTTAAAAATTCGATTTGAAATTCATTTTTGAGATCAAAATCAGTTAATTGTGATATTTTCTCATAAGAATCTAAGAATATATTCTATCTATCTATAATAAGAATAGTTTTTTAAAATTAATGTGTATTCCTGTTAAAACCATTTAATTCTTTTATTATATTTTGTAAATAAAGTTACTTGATTGAAATATCAATAATCTTAGGATAATATGTTATAAAATCTTTGACAAATTTTTTTATTCTCTTATTATTATAATTTTAAAGTTCTCTTTATAACATATAATTTATAAAGTTTTTTCCTTTATCACAAAGATTTTTGAATATTTTTTCAATGTTATTTTCAGATGATGATGATTAATTACTTATTTAGGATATTTAAATATTTGATTATATTTATTCCTATTTTGGATAAAGAATTTAATGAATTTTTAAGACACATTTCAAATAAGGCATAATTGTCTCAAGGTATAGTTGTTTATTTTATGGTTACATATCTAATATAAAGAATTATAAATTTTCACATAATTTTGTTAACTACTACTCTTAGATATCTTTGGCTATATTAAAATTAGAGTTTTAATTATAGATAAATTTAATTAACTTAAATATTTCCAAAAGTTAATATCCTTTAAATAAATTTTTTATTTCAACTTCTTATTTTTAGAAACAATTTTCAAAATATTATTATTACTTTTCTAAAAAGTTATAAATATATGCTTTTATTTTCTTTTAATTATCATAATTATAATATAATTTTGATATAACTCCTTTTAAATTCTTTTTATCTTTAAATTTCCCTGAAATCAACAATGTTAATAATAATTTTATTTATTCAAAAGATATTGATTATATTTTTTATACTTAATCAAATGTTGCCAAATTTAATACAAGTAATAGTAATTAAATTAAATGATCATTTTCAGAAAATAACTATAAAAATTTTATTAATTCATTAACATTTGTTTATGATAATTAGCATTTTTTTTTTTCACAAAATTTATATATTAACTCTAAAATTATTTTTGATACAAATTAAGATACATATTTTTTATCTTTTTTTAATTGATAATCTTCAATTATAAAATTTGATTATAAATAATTTATACTCATTTCTTATTAATTTACTTCTTTTAATTATTAAATTAATGGATTAATTATTTCATAATTCTAATAAACAGCAAAATATGCAAAAAATGCTTTTACCTCAGACAGAATTAGATTTGGATTTGGATAATTCAATAAAATAAGTCTTTATAATTATTTTATTAATTATTAATCTATGATTCCTAAAAGTTATTGAATCTTTTTCTTAAATTTCTGCACTTAATCTACTTAATTCTGATTTTTGATATCATCTTATATTTTTATAAACTTGTCTAATTATACTTTATACTATATGTGTTAATCAAAGTTTTAAATAAAATAAGGTCTGAAAATGCAATCCAAAAAATCCGTATCTAAAGTTTCACTTTAATGTAAATTTTCATCTTCTTCATATTCTTCATATACTTCATATTCTTCATATTCTTCATCTTCTTCATATTCTTGATTTTATTCATCTTCTTCATTTTATTCACCTTCTTCATAATTATTTATCCATATTAATTATTGCTAATCTATTTTATCATAAATTTGTTAAATATTATTATTCTCTAAAATCTATTATTATTAATCAATCTAAACTTCTTCATCAATTTATGAATCTTTTATCCATATATTTTAATTTTTATTAATAAAAATTAATTAGTAATTTCTTTCTAAATTAGACATAGATATTGACTAAACTTAAGTTTATGAATCTTGTTATTATAAAACAAATGGCATAGTCATTTCTAAAATTAAATAAGAAGCCAAATTATATAAAATTCTCAAAGTCTTAATTATCTAGATTAATTGAGTCTTAAAAATATTAATTTATAATATATCAAAATTTTTAATACCTTCCTTATAAATTTTGATAAAATTGAATGAATTATCTGGTTCCTTAATATTCTAAAAACAAATTTTAGCAACTGAATTTATTTATAATAAACATAATAAAATATTAGAATATTAGTATATTTTCTTATCAAAATTTTTGATGGATTAGCTAATTTCATAATGCAATTCCTTAATAATTATTTTTCTTATTTCATTTGCAAATGGAACAATAACATTATTTGATGTCTTAAATAAAACTATGTTATCTAAACACAAATCAAATATAAAATCATTAGGTGGTATTATATACTTTGTTATCAAAGAAAGAAAAGATATTTTATCAGGTAAATCTTATGAAATGAAACCAATTTCATTTTTGTATTTTTATAGAAATTTACTACAATTTATTCTAACTATTTATGATATAAGTAATGGAAACCTCAAAATAAGCAATTATAAAACAGAAAATATTATCTTCTAATCATATTAATACTATTTTTTAGTTTCAAAATATGAAGTAATCAGTTATTAAACTAATAAAGATAAAATTGTTTGTGTTTTTTGAGTATGTACAAAATTAAATTATTAAATTGAATCATTATTTTTATAGATACTATTTAATTCATCAAGCTAAATACCTTTTTTAAGTATCAAGTAACCATCTTGACTATCTTCAAATAATGAATTCATAACATATTTTACATCTTTTTTAAAAAAGCCATTTTTAAGTGCCTACAAAGTTGGGTGATTTTCAGATAATTTTAATTAGTCATTAATCTTAACATTATATTGTACAGGTTATATACACACAGGATATGTATTTTAGTTATAATATTACTATTTTGATAATTCTATATTAGATTTTTCTATCTCTTTATTATTTTCTTAATCAAAAATACTCTTCTTAATTTTTGCTTCAATAGAAGCTCTAATTAAAGTTTTATCATAAATTATTGATATGACTAATTTAGATAAACACCTGTATTAATCTTAATTACTTCCTTCCAACTTCAATAGTTTTTCTAAGCCTTTCATTTAATAAATAAACTTATGTACAAAAGATCTATTAACTTAGAAGATTTTTATTAAAATTTCAATACAGTTGTTAGAAGTACTACTAGCAAAGAATTAAGAATCAAGTAATTTTATGATAAGAATAAATGTTGAATCCAAAATTCTTTCATTATTTATTTAGATTTTTTAGATAATTAATAATATTTAATTTACTGCTTAAATAGCTAATTCATCGTTCAAATATAATAAAGGTATAAGTAATTTAAGCAATTATTATACTATTTAATTTTCTTCCTCTGCAAAATAGACAGATTTATTGATTTCCATTAACATTTAGACTAATGCATTAAGTCTATTTTAGGTTGGTATTACAATCTCTTATTCAATCCCTTGGAATTTTAATTATATTTAAAATTCCTCTTTAACAATTAGACATAAAATCTAAAATAATTCTGATTTAGAAAATTTAAATCTTTCAAAAATATTCAAATTAGAATAAGGAAGATATAGAAAATTTAATCTCAAATAATATTTTAAATTTGCAAATTCTTTTAATTCCATAGGTTATCTTATAATTCTCGGATTAATAATAGAATTTGATAGTTATAATAACTATTTCTAAATTTCCTAAAAACTCTTATGCTATGTACTAAATGTTATTTTGAAGAGATCTAAAATATTCTAAATAAGTTATGGGAGTGCCTATTTATTATATATTGAAATTTTCGAATTAATTTCAGTTATTAATTATAAAAGACAACAAAATTTATTATTAATTACCATAATTTGAGTTTATTCTAAATTATTATCACAAATTTAGGAAATATAATATTAAAGAGTACTTTATAAGTAATCATAAAATTGAGTTTAAAAAATAAAATTGAGAAATTTATAAACTATTTAATAAGAGATTATTAATTTTAAGAACAATTTAATTTTTTAAAGGACTAATAAAAGTATTCTTGGGCTTTACTAAGATTAATAAAATAGTTTGGTAATAATTAGTTATAAAATTTCTAAATTTTAAGATTCCTAAAATTATTGTTTGATATGATTAATGATAGCAAACATCAATAACTTAGAATGTTATTTTAAAGTAAATTCCTTTTATTATTAATATTAACTTTTATTTTCAGTAATGAAGAGTAATTCCAATAAATTACAACAATTTAATAAAAATTATTATGATAAACATACTTCATCACTTTAATTGAATGAATAAATCAATGAAAATATTTATGCAAAACGTTTTGCTATCTCAAAATCTTTATATGAATTTATTTAAAAAAAAGATTTTTTCTTAAAATACTTATAATCAGCCAATTCTTAAGCTTAATTTAAAGGATAACCTAATTCACTTTCCCATTATTCAATAATTCTCAATACTTAATTCATTATTTCATTTTTATTTATGTTATTTTAGTCAGATAACAATAAACTTTTTTATTAAAATGATTAATATTTTTACATATCTTAAAAATAAGGGATTTAATTAAATTGTTTAATTTTTTCTTAAATTCCATTTTCTTATAAATATTGAATTAATTATTAATCTTCTATCAGTAAAATACTTTTAATTACAAATTTTTTATATCTAAGAATTCTTTGATATTAAATTTTAAAATCTTAATCAAAATTTAAATTTTATACTGAATTTTATATTTATTAAAGTATCTAATCAAATACTCTTATAATGACTAAACTCAATTAAAATCGGCTTTTTTCAATTTTCTTGGCATAGCCATCTATTAATAATATTAAATCATAAAAAGCTTATTAATCATCATTCTCAGTTAAAAGAAAAATTAATTAGTGTTCTATAAATGAATTTACTGAATCATTAAATTAGTAATATACGTTATCAATGATTGAAATGCTAGAGTAAAAATTCATAACCATATTAATAGGAATTAATCCTTTTGTATTCATTTCTAAAATCATTTAATTCAATGTAAAAGGTAAATTGGAATTTAATAATTTAGGAATCTAGTCATTTTAATTATTTGAAATATTAGAAATAATTTCTAAAGAACTCTTAATAGTATACCTTAATTTTTATGATTATATTAAGATCTTATCAATTTCTTCTAGTATTTAAGTTTATAGTTTATTTATAAAACAGTTTCTAAATTCATCATCTTTTATTTAAAGAAAAAATTGATTTATAGATTAAATAGATGTTGAAATAATTAAGTCTAATTCAATTTCTTCTATTTTTTCATAACCATTATCAGTAGGCTTTTCTAAATTGAAATTTTATTTAATGTATGGATAAAATATATTTAGATCATCTTCAAAATCCTGTTTTTGTGTTTAATTTTTTATTAATAATGAAGTTATTAGTTGAATAGCTCTAATCAATTATTTAGGAGGCAGCATTAGTTTATTATCTTAGAAAATTATAGTTTGCTTTAAATATTAGATTGCGAAAACAAAGAAGGAATCATTCCTTAAAAATTTACTACATGCATTTGATTAAATTAATTCAAAGATACCAAAAACTATTGATTCATTTTTAACACAAATGTTATCAATAATTTATAGGTTGTTATACTCTAAAGGATATCCTTAATATTATTGAATTTATTTTTTATGTTTCATTGACAAAACATCTTAAAGTAATTATTTTATTATTTCTTCGGAATTGTTAAAACAATCAAGATCACTTTTTTCTTTTAATTCATCAATTAACATAATTAATATAGAAGGATCAATTATTTTTTTATGAAACAATTTTAAATAGTTTTCAAATGGATACATATTAACTTCATAAAACTTATTTAGAATTTTAGATAGTTTTATTGATTTAAAATGCAATAAGATTACAATTTTCTTTGTTTCCTATGGATTATTTTATAAACCTCTTTTAATGATTATTCTCTATTTTACAATATCTAATAGAGGTGTAAAATGTTAATTTTATATGTTTAAGAGTTTTCTTGAAGAATCAAGAGCAGATATTTGATTATCATCTTCTATTAGAATTTTCTATATATAAATTATTATATTAAATACCCTTAATTTGAATTAATTTGATATTATTGTGGGATTTTATTCATCTTTTTATAAATCTTCATAACTCTTATCTAATTCTGTTGGTTCTAAGTATTCAATATCAAAAGAGATTTTTATTGGATCTTAAATATAAAAATCAAATAATTCTATTTTTTAGGATGACAAATAATTAACATGTTCTTAAAAGATTATTATTAACTATTTTATTCTTTTGCTATTCTTTTCATAAAATTAAGAATCATGAATATTTATTAATATAGAGAAACAATAATCTTAAACAATAAGTTTATCAGTATATTGAATTATATTTATTACATGATCATATGAGAGAAATCCATTCCTAAATAAAAATTAAAAATAAACTTATACCAATATATTTCTGTTATCATCATTAAATCATAGATACTTTTTAATAATTAGGTGCAATCATAAACAGGATTCTTCTGGATTTCTGTTACAATGTTTTCTAATTCATAGTCTATTTTGTTTAATAGATATTATTATAAATATTAGTTCTTCTGAAAAATATTTTTATGATTCAAGAGTCTTTACAACTAATCTAAATCAAATAAGTCTATTATATTTAAAATCTAAAAACTAAATATAAAATACTTATTTCATTTCAACAGTCACTTCTGATGGTGGAGAAAGTTGATATTTCATATAAGTGTTATTTAATTAATTTAAGATATTTGAATAAATAATTATACAGAATTAATATCTTAAATTATTAAATACACAAACTTAATCTACATAATTAACTTATATAATAGAGGATTATAATTTTTAAAGTAAACCTTGATGAGACTAAAGTCTTATCAACAGCTAAGAAATTTAGTATCTCCTTTTGACTTGTTAAGAAGGAAAAATAATATAAATATTTTTTAGTTTATATTTATAATAGTGAAGGTTCTATAATTTTTTAGATATAGATATATTTAGATGTAATGTAAGGCTTTTGGATAAGGAATGAGTATTATAAAATTCAATCATAATTCACAATAAATTTTAATTTTTTAATTTATTTATTGTTTTGTAAATATTTTTTTATTACACTCATTTTCTAAATACATATCACAGCCGATCTCATCTATCCTCTAAATTTGTGACAAGACTACCGAAAATTATCTATTAAAGCATTTATATTAAAAAGAAATCTAATTTTTATTTTAGGGCTCCCTGATGATTAGTATGGAAATCTGAGAACAAAAAAATGCTCTTCACCAGAAATTTTTTAATAGAGAATTCTTTTATTTTATAGAATTATCAGCTGTTTGCATAGTTAATTGCAATACTAAAATTGAACTTTGTTAATATAAGTATCTCTTTCATTTATTATTTAATTTCTCATACTAAATTTTTGTTTCATTCTGTATTGATTCCTGTAATATTAACAATAATATGAATGGAGGATATTTTTCTTTTTTTTTATAAATTCATATTTATACCCTTTTTTTTTTGGATTGAATTTCTTAATCTCTGCTTAAAGTTGAAGAAAAAAATCTATTGTACCATATTGAGAAATTTATTAAATTTTGTGTATACGGCATGATTCTTGTTATCCTAAAAATCGTTATAGGTGTATAGTTTACTTCCATAATATTTTGGGTTAAATTAAGAAAGTTGATTTTCTAGGGTCTGCCCTTATTTTGAGTAAAATTAGATTAAAATCTCTTTATTTTATTAGCACTCTGAGTGTTTCTCTAATGTAGGTAAAATTAAATCTGATAATCTTGTACTGGACTATTTCTGATTATAGTCTATCATATTAAATCTTATTATATATATAAAAAATGATGCTTTATATTCATATTTTTCTAATCATTCTATGCAATAACTATACTTTATAATTTTTAAATATTGGTAATATTATCTAAGATGCTTATCTTTGAGATGAAATAAAAGTAATGATATCAACTTTTTTCTTTCAAATTTAAGTATTTAAAATTAAAAAAAGTCCAAATATTTTATTCCTTTATATCTAAAGACTAAAATACATTATACTATAATTATATGATATTTTAATGTATTGAATTAGAATTCATTGATATTTATAAATTTATTTAATATATTCTGGTCTATAATATTTACAATTATAAAGATAGTCAAACATTTGATGAACTTAAAAATAGATTTCATACTCAACATTAACAATTTGACACAAAAAACTAGCAATCAGAAATCTATTAATAATATTAAAAGAATTCAAATAACTTATTTTATAAATATCAGAAAGTTATCAAAATTTAAATAAAGCTAATTAAGAAATCTTATTAAATAAATCAAAATTAAGTAAAAAAAATGAAGCAAGCTAAAATAAAGGGAAACATTAAGAAAAATTCAAAGAAAGTCAAAAAGATTCATAAATAAAAAAGCAATACTAATAATATCAATTAAAGAGAATTACTAAAGCTGAATATAAATGAGGCTGAAGAAATAAGTGAATTTGACGATGGATCTTTTTCAGTTGGACTTCATGAATCATGTGACTACAGTTAAATTAATGATTATGGTAATTTTGATAAAATAAATAAATAAGGTGTGGAAGTACAAGAGCATGATGATTATGAAGGTGCTATTTTATATTTCAATAAAGCAATAGAATTAGCTCCAGAAAAAGATTAAGCATATTATTATAAAAGTAAATCACATAAATAATAATATAGGTGTTTCATTACATAAATTAAATCGTTTAGATAAAGCGTTAAAATATATAAAAAAAGCATTAGAAATAGATCCTACTAATGAAGATTCTTTAAAGTTATAGAGTATTAAAATTAAGAATTTATTAGATAAAATCATAAAAAAATTGAATCATTAAGGATAATAAATTTAATAGCAAGATAAAATATAGAAATCAAATAAAAAATAATAAAAGAAACCTTTAAGAAAAGGAATTGCTTTATTGAAAGATGACAATCCAAAAGAATCAATCTTGTTATTTAATTAGGTGAATAAATTAAATCAAAAAAATGAAGAAGCTTATGAAAATAAAAGTATAAACATATTATTATAACTTAGTTAATGCATTATAAAATTTAAAAGAATATGAAAAGAGCATTAAATTTATTAATAAGGCAATATAATTAAATCCAAATTACAGTTAATTTTACTATTTAAAAGGTATTGATAGATAAAATTATAGGTTGTGCACTAAATGAAATGAGAATAATAAATGAGGCTTAAGATTAATTTATATAAGCTATAAAGCTTAATCCAAATAATGAATGTGCTCTTGTTAATTTAGGTATTAGCCAAATTAAAGATAGCTAATTCCTTAAGAGAACAACAAAAATATAAAGATTCAATTCCATATTATGATTAAGCTATCAACCTCAATCCAAATAACAGTGAATATTTTTTAAATAAAGGTTAGTTAATTTATAATAAATTTAGGTTTGAGCTTATAAAACAGTTATTAATATGAAAAAGCAATTATATGTTATGATTAAATCTATAATCTTGATAGAGATAAAAAAACTGAAGAATTATTACTCTTAAATAAAGGTTACTCTAAAATTGAAATTTTAGGAAAATCTTTAGGTGCAATAAACCGTTATGAATAACAACTAGCATGTTATGATAATTTGATTAAGTTAAATCCTAAATATGCATAAGCATATTATTTAAAAGGTATGTAAGATTATTTAAATAATAGGTCTCACCTTATGGCATTTAAATGGATATAGATAGTCATTAAAGTTCTTTAAAAAGACTCTAAAAATAAATCCTAACCATGCAGCTGCTTATAGATGTCTAAGTAATTTTAAATATTAAAAGATAGATGATGTCTTATAACATTTAGATCTATTTTCAAAATCAAAAAATAAATCTAAAAAAAAGAGTTCCTTATAATATAAGAAAAGAAAATGAGATTTTATTTAATGTATATTATAAAATAAGATATGATTCTTAAAGAAATAATCATTTAAAATTATTTGATTTAAATTAGTCAATACTTAAAGGATTAAACATAAATTTAGAAATTAATTAAAAAAATGAACTATTAGAATTAATATAATAAAATAGATTAACAATTAATCATTAATAATCTAATTTATAAAATATAAATGATTTTATTTTCATATTCCAAACTACTAATTATGAACCATCATCACTTAAATTACCAAACATACAAGCAGATTCAAAATATAATGGTTTACTTATAATTTTTAATTGTTTATTAACTTATTATTGTAGTAAATAAATATATTAAAAATGTTTTAAGATTAAAATTTGATTAGATTAATTAAAAATTAATGGAAATAAATTATATTAATCGCTAGAAGGAATTCTATTTGGAATTATTTATAAATTTACATTCTCAACAAAATTTGAGTCATGTAATTAAAATATATGAATATAACCTTAATTCTAACACCATATTATTGTATCATCATTAATGAAAGTAATTCTTTAACCATAATCATCTATATCTTTGATAATTACATATCCAAATTTCCAAATTAACTTTTTGTTTAATTTCCATATTATTATTTATTTGTCTTCACTGCATGAAACTAATTAAGTTTAACTTTCATTCAAACTAATTTAATATACAAATGAATTATGCATCTAAAGTGAATATTCAAATATAATTAAATTTTCAAGATACCTTACTGACCAAACTCTAATAGATCCATCATCATGACTTGATAGTAATTATCTTTCATTATCTCTTAATATCAAACACCAAACAGTACATACTGTTTCTAATGAACTAAAGGATTCCCATTTATTAGAATTAATAATTTATTTCCAAAATATTAGTTTATCATCTCCACTACACCCAGATATAAACCAGTTTAATTTTTTGCTAAAAACTATACAATAAACCTAATTTTAGTGTCCATATAATATTTGATCTGTTTCTATTGGTAAACCATTTTCTAATTTCCAAACCTTAATATTTGAATCATATCCACTTACCATTATTGATCCTTATTTATTAAAAGCAATTGCACCACACCAATTTTCTTACTTTTTTTCTGCAATTAGATTTAGTTATATTTTTGTGTGCTATTTTATTTTTTATTCATTATTTTTGTTTATAAGTTAAAGAGATTTTTAAAGATTTTGAAATTTAATAAGAATTTTGTTATCTCTAATATTGTTTTCTAATTCGTTGATAAAATACTCAATATTTTAATAATAATAATTATGAATATCTGTTAATTATTACTCAATATTTATAAATTATTTAGTTTTCAGATTACCATCAATTAATTCAATTTATTATAATTGCTATAATTCAAATTATAAATCAAAATTTTAATTTCTCTAATTCAAAGTAATTAGTTCCTCTTTCCATTAATTACAATTCACATTTATTTTATCAAATAATTATAATAATTCATATTTGAAAGAGTTTATATTAATACAGAATAAACTTATTTTTTCAATAGCTTTTTAAATTAAGAAATCTAATTAAATCTATTAATTATTCTTTTATTCTAAAATTTAATCTATTAATTTTGTTAAAGAGATGGTTTTATTTGTACATTATTAACTAATTAAACAATCTTCACAAAGTAATCTTTCTTCAAAGTTTTATTATTTGTTTACAATCACATAAAGTGCAGAATTATTATGATGCTAGTTGAAACATTTAAGAGAACTAATATCTATAAGATTTTTGAATTATTACATTAAATATAATTAAAAATTATATCAGAATTCTAAATCAATAGTAAATATATTATTAACATTTTCTAATCTTAAATAACTTCTTAAATTATAATATTTTCTACATTATTGTATTCTACAATTCTAAGTGGACATTAGTATATAAAATGTAATTTCATTAAATAAAAAATTAACAAATTTTATAAAAAGTAAATTAGATATAAGATTAATCTATAATAATTTTTGAATTGTTATTAATAATAAAATATATATTGTTGAAATTGTTTGTCAAAAAATCTGCATATGTTATAGATTCAATATAAAAAATACTTATTATGTTATGTAATTGAAGCTATTTAAAAATTTATAAATTAATGCTATAATAATAATAAAATTAATATTAACAAATACTTAATTTGTTTTATCTTATCAGAAATTATGGGTGAATATATTANTGCTATTTTATTTTTTATTCATTATTTTTGTTTATAAGTTAAAGAGATTTTTAAAGATTTTGAAATTTAATAAGAATTTTGTTATCTCTAATATTGTTTTCTAATTCGTTGATAAAATACTCAATATTTTAATAATAATAATTATGAATATCTGTTAATTATTACTCAATATTTATAAATTATTTAGTTTTCAGATTACCATCAATTAATTCAATTTATTATAATTGCTATAATTCAAATTATAAATCAAAATTTTAATTTCTCTAATTCAAAGTAATTAGTTCCTCTTTCCATTAATTACAATTCACATTTATTTTATCAAATAATTATAATAATTCATATTTGAAAGAGTTTATATTAATACAGAATAAACTTATTTTTTCAATAGCTTTTTAAATTAAGAAATCTAATTAAATCTATTAATTATTCTTTTATTCTAAAATTTAATCTATTAATTTTGTTAAAGAGATGGTTTTATTTGTACATTATTAACTAATTAAACAATCTTCACAAAGTAATCTTTCTTCAAAGTTTTATTATTTGTTTACAATCACATAAAGTGCAGAATTATTATGATGCTAGTTGAAACATTTAAGAGAACTAATATCTATAAGATTTTTGAATTATTACATTAAATATAATTAAAAATTATATCAGAATTCTAAATCAATAGTAAATATATTATTAACATTTTCTAATCTTAAATAACTTCTTAAATTATAATATTTTCTACATTATTGTATTCTACAATTCTAAGTGGACATTAGTATATAAAATGTAATTTCATTAAATAAAAAATTAACAAATTTTATAAAAAGTAAATTAGATATAAGATTAATCTATAATAATTTTTGAATTGTTATTAATAATAAAATATATATTGTTGAAATTGTTTGTCAAAAAATCTGCATATGTTATAGATTCAATATAAAAAATACTTATTATGTTATGTAATTGAAGCTATTTAAAAATTTATAAATTAATGCTATAATAATAATAAAATTAATATTAACAAATACTTAATTTGTTTTATCTTATCAGAAATTATGGGTGAATATATTAAATATAAATAATACTTTAACAATTAAGATTAAAATTATATATTAATTATATCTGAAATCACTATTGATATGAAAATTATGATCAAGAATTCTTTTTAAAAAATATCGAATATTTTCTTAAAATTACAAATCCCATAAATAATAACAAAGATTTATTATATTTTTTTTTGAATTTTAAATAGATACTTAGATCATTATATAATAGATTATATTAAGTCTAAATTTGTAAAATTTATAAAATACTATATTTAGTTAAACAAAATATATTATATATTAAAGTAATTTGAATGAATTAACTTCAAAATGAGCATGTAACAACAAATTAGTGCCATTTTAAACTAGTAAATACTTTGTAATTAGGAAAGCAAGATATTAACTATTTAAATTATAATATTAAGTATTCAACTTTATTGGTAGGAATTGGAAGAAGAATTTGTGTCTTCTAATTTAATAATTTCTAACTTAAATTGATTGGAAGTTTTTTTAATAATCGAGAACATTTCTCTATTATATATTCTATGTAAAAATAAAAAGTGATTATCACTGGAGATTCTACAGGAATGCTTAAAGTATACTAACTGTCCAATATAAATTAAAATCGATATTTGTATTAACTAAAAGGACATGATGGTTGCATATCTCATATAGCTATGAATAGTCAAGAAAATGATTTGATTACTAGCAGTGTTAATTCAACTATAAAATTTTGGAATTAAAAAAACATATGGATATGCTATTAAACTCTTATATAACATCAAGATCTTTTGTTAGGATTTAGTTTGAATGAATCTGGAAATCAATTGATTTCATATGGATTTGATGATTACATATTAGTAACAACAAAAGTTAAAAACAAATAATTTTGGTAAGTGATATAAAAAATAAGTAATAAATTATTTTCAGGCGGACGATTATCATATATTAGTGATAATTCATTTTTCTTTCAAGCTGGATAGAAAGATTTTATGATAATTTATAATAAAACGGCAAATATAAGATTATATTAATAAACCTCATAAATAAATTTAAAAATGAGTTCTTCTAGTCTTGATTGTTTATCTAAATTATAATTTGCTAGATAAAATTTAGTACTTTTAACAAAATTAGACAAAACTATAAATTGTCTAAAATTTAATGAAAGTGGAAATATTATTTTTTAAGAATATATTGACATCTAAGCTAATAAGTTTGTTGTTTGTATAAGTGAAGATGCAAATTATTTATTTACAGCAAATAATGAATCAAATTAATTATAAATTAGAAAGAATTTTAGAATATGAAATATTATATAATTGACATATATTTCAAAATATATTTTTAAGTAGTAATTATAATAATTTAAACATATATTTCTAAAAATTATATTATTTGTTCATAGACCTTAAATTTTAAACTTAATCTGATATCAATCACAGTTATTCAGTAATACTAATTTGTGATTACAATCTAAAAAAAATAAAAGTCTAAAAGGTAATTCAGATTACATATCTATGAGAATTCAAAAATAAATATTCTTTATAATATAATCTTAAAGTCTATTGAAAATCATAATTAAAATATTAAAAAATTTCTCAATAAGGCTCTAATATTTTTATTACAAAAAAGTAAGTAGTATAATTTAAATAAATATAATCCAAATTGGTTTTCTTTTATGAATGAAAATAAATTATACTAATCATCAAACCCCATTGAACTTGAGTTTATTAGGTTTTTTAGAATTATATAAGATTTTCGCCTACTGTCTATGATTAATCAACATACCATAAATTAAACCTACAGTAAGAAATTAAGGATATATTCAATTTCCATCTCTTTATTCATCTCTTAATAATAATCTCAATTACCAACGAATAAAAATATCATGATATTTAAATACTTTAATTTGTTTAGTCTATTAAATGATTTATTATTGTTTTGATAATTTTTTTATTACAACAACAAATCTTTGAAATTTTAATAAGCAACTTTAATGTTTTGTTATTTATCCATTTTTAAATAGATTAAAATTGTTTAAACTTATTTTATTATATATTTTTAATGATTCTATTCAATTTATGATTTATAAAATTATTATTCTATTAGGAATTGATATGATTTTTTAAACTTTATCCCTTATTATTAATTAAAATGTTATTTAATGGTAGATTATCGAATATATATTATAATTAATGATTTTGAAGAATTCAGTTTCATTAAATATATATTTCAATTATTAATAAATAAAATTAATTAATTTTCTAACTTAAAGTTATTTATAAATTTTATAATTTTAATACACTTGTTTTCAATTCTAATTTAAAGAATTGTTTTTATGATTCAATATTTTTAATATACTTTCATTATTTCATGAATGGTAATCATATATATTAATGTATATAACATAAAGAACAAGCTATATATTTAGAAAAAGAATTGAAAGGGAATCAAAGAATGTTTTATTGTTAGAATTGCATTGACAAAATTTAATATCCTCATAATTTATTATTAATCAAGGATGTTGAGGCTTTTATTCACAAACATGAATAGATAATCTTAAAAGAAAGAAAAATAATTAATCAATAAAACTTAGAGTTACTTCTTAGATTAAAGGAATAATTATTCTAATTTTAATCATAATTATCTTAATTAATTGAGTAAAATGTGTAATATATCAATGAACAGATTAAAATAATAATTGCAATAGATGAATCATTAGAATAAAAAACTAAAGAAGCATTTTAAAAAATCATCTATGAAAATTTTGATATTGAAAACACTTTTGAAGAATTAGTTGATTATAGATAAATTAAAAAGACAATTGCTTGTTCGTTAATGCCTATGTAGACTCTCTCTTTTCAGGAGTAATAATAAAAATTTTTAAAAGAAATACGATTATAATCTAAAATAAACTCTTTGGAATAAATTAAAGATTTCTTCAAATAACAATAAGAAAAATAATTAATTAGAAATTAAAGATGCAAGATTCATTAACTTTAAGTTGATATTATTAACATTACTTCAGAAAATCAATAATATTTAGGCTGTATAAAATGTGATTTTAATTTTGTTGTTTAAAGACATAATTTAGAAGACTTAAAAGAATATTGGAATAAATATTAAAGACATACAGAAAAATATATTGGATTTCATTAAAAAGCAAATTCCTCATTAGAATTATTAAATTAACATAAAATAGCATTGAATTTATTAATAAATTAGTTTAATTAATTAATTGAACCTAATGAAGATAGAATGGATGAAATTCAAAAAAAAACATCATATTTAATAAAAAAAGATTGGTCAGATATGACAAATGAAGATATATTATCGATTGCAAAAATCCTAAATAATTAAAATAATCATTTAATACTTGATGATACAATTTAAGCAGAAATTGAAGCAAATTAAATTCAAATTCGGTAATTTTGCTAGAATTAAATATAAATGACTGATTAAATTAAATAATACTATCAACTTGCAACTATTAATAATGTTAATTATACTCAAAGTATTCTTACATAATTTGATAATAAATAAAAAACATTAGTTGATGCCAAAAATTTGATTTCAGGAAAATAATATGAATTAATAAACTCTTTTAAAGAAAATGAATGTAAAGCAATTGCTTTTAGTTCAGATTCAGTGATTATGATAGCAGGATATTTTAATGGTTTAATAAATATTTATGAATTCAAATTAGGATTCTTAAAATTAATATAATAGTTATAATAACATAGAAATATGATTACTTGTTTAAATTTTATGAAAAAATCTATGTCATTCATATCTGGTAGTAAGGACATGACTATTATTATTTGGATGATATAAGATAAATAAAATTGGCAAGTATTATAAAAAATATCTGCACATTTAGATTGGGTGGTATGTTTGATTGTCAATAATACTGATAATTTAATTATTAGTGGAAGTGATGACAAATCTATAAAATTTTGGATAAAAACCAATTAATGGAACCATTCTTAAACTTTAACATATCATAATGGAAGAATTAGAAGTTTAAGTTTAAATTAAAGTTAAAATTAATTAATTTCTTGTGCAGCATAAGATGATCGTATATTTGTTAGTCAATATGATAGTAATAATACATGGGTTTTAGCATAAATAATTCAATAAGTTGGATAAAGAGTATGTTTTCTTAATGATTAAATTTTTAGTGTTTAGTCTATGAAAAGTTAAGAGATATAAATTTATGAATTGAATTAGAAAAATAAATAATTTTATTTATCAAAATAAATATAAGTAAAAAGTGGAAATGGATGTGATTGGTTATTTCCAAATTAATTCATTAAATCAAAATCAATATTGATTAATAAAAATGGATCAAATATTAATATAATTAAATTAAGAGATAATGGAGATATGATAACAGAATAATACATAGATTTTGAAACTTATTACATATATGGAGCTGCAACAGATGATGGTAAATTTTTAGTAACTTGGAATGCGAAAACTTAAGAGATTTAGATTAGAAAATATAAGGAATGAATAATAATATAAGTTATTCTATTTAAATATCATAGCGTATTCAAAATCTAAATTATACACTCTATCATAAATATGATTTATATTACCAAGTGTTTTTAGATTTTTAATTATTAGAAATTTTGTGAATCTAATTTCAAATTTTCATCATTGAATATATAATTAAAATCTTCAAGATTATAATCAAACAAAACCTTAATCATATAATTTATTATATTCATATTTCAACATCTAAATATTCTTACCTGTATTTTTTATGATTATTTATCCCATGTTACTAAAATTGACCATCATTTGTTACTGCACCATATATTTCCTATGTATTAAAATCAATATTTTATTCTAATTCAAGCTCAAAATTCTGTTTCACTTTTATAATATTAATATTTTATCCATTCTTGCTTACTATATCTGTTTTTAGGGAATATATTATTGAGGAAATAAACATTCACATTAATTTCCACTTTTCACTTTAACTTTATTCTTTTCAATAAATTTTTAATTACATTTATTTAATTCATAAAATACCATCTATTTAGCTAACTTCTTTTGAACAGCAAATAAATTATTATTAACAAAACATAATCTTTGTGCTCCCTTTTCTATTATTTAAATAACTATCCATTCTTTATATATTTATTTTTACTAACAAGTATTTAATTATCATCTAATGCAAAAGAAATCAATAAATTTTAACTTTCATTTAAACATATACTTATGATATAACCTTTATGTTAATTTAATGTAAATGAATGTTTCCAAGATTTATCCTTTATCCAAAATCTTATTCTCTTATCTGCACTACCAGTAATAATTAAATCATCATTGTTATTCAATAACAAACAACTTATTTCTTCCTCATGTCCACTTAATCTTTGTAAAATGTACCATAATTTATGATTATCCTAAACTCAAATTATAATACATTTGTCTGCACTACCAGACACAAATGAAATTTAAGTTTTTATAAATTATAAACAAAGTACATCAGATTTATGTTCTGTAAATACATGAATTTGTTTGAAATCTCCTGATTTAAATTAAAATATTTTAATGTAATTGTTTTTATAACCAACTGCCATTAATGAAGAATCTTAATTGAAACAAATAGCTAAATATTCCTCTTGTTCATTAATTTTTATAAGTTCATATTAATCATATTATTTTTATTAATATTAATAGTGCTATCATTTTATTAATTTATTTAAATTGTATGATCATTAAATTAATTTATGTCTATCGTATGAGCTTTTTAATCTAATATTATACTTTCATTTAATTATTATTAATTATCTTTTATCAAGTTATTTAATGATTCAATCAAATTTTGTGTGTTTTAAAGTATGATATCCAATAATATAGCCTACTTTTCTATTTAGCATTGGAAAAGTATTGATAAAAAGTCATTCATTTTATTAGCACTCATTTCTCTTAACTTTTCAGGTGATAAAACAAATTTCTCTTTAAGAATTTCTTTGAGTTTGTTAACAAATCGATTTATCTGCTACTATAACATTTCTAAAGAATCAACAATTTCCAACCGATCCTTTGATTATGGTAACAAAAACTTTTCCTTTAACGAACTCATCTTTTCCCAATCCCTTTAATAAGTAGAATGTAGGTTATTTTTTACACAAATAAAGCAAAAAAGTCTTTATTCTGAACAAGAATTATTCATACAAAAATATTCAATTTTTTTCAGAATGTTTTGGACAAAGAATTTAAATCTAACTCATTAATTAATTTTATTATTTTATAATATTTATATTCAATAAATGTTCTAAAAATACATAATAATGTTATATTAATACATTGACACAGATAGAATAAAATAAAATAAAAAATTTTAGTTAATTCTAATATTAATTTTAATGTTTAGAAATAATTGTTTTTTATTAGTCTATAAATTAAATAATCAAATTAATAGTCTTAAGAAAACGTTATTTTAACTTTGATCTCAATAATATTAATTGTAATTAATACATTTATTATTGTTAAATAATTTAATTTATTTTTATTATTTTTTTTCCATAACATTCTTTAATTTAAGATATTATTATTAGAAATAATTATTCTAAAAAAAGCTCATAAAATTAATTTCTCATAAAACTAATAATAATTATTATTAGAATATAAAATAAAATTCTAATATAATTAAATGAAGCCCAGTAATTTAACTCTCCTTTTTACCCCTTAAGTGGACCAGAAGGAGGATCACTAGCACCTGTGATGATGGCCTTTCGGCCATGAACTATATTGCCCTAAAGTCTTTCTTCAATAATCTCAGAGTCTCTTTCAGTTGGTCTTGATAATGGTAAATTTTTTTCTTGTCTTGCTTACATTTGTAGGCCAAGTTTAGCAAACAGATTTATTTTTTAGGGTACTGCTCTTACATAAGGATTTACCTAAAAATTATGAGAAGATCCTTCTGTAAATTGTTTTAATTGGATCCGATACAAGTATGAATTATACGAACTTATTTTTTTTATTATTTCTAGCAATAGCCACAAATTTAGTGGTGTAGAAACCTTCATAATTTCCGTAGCTGGTTCTTTGGCCATTCTCTTCCCTGTATAAATGGACTAAAAGGCTTTTAGTAGTCTGTTTGAATTTATTTCTTATGTTATTTTTCAGATTTTTAATTATTGAGTTTTTTTCCCCTGTTTCAACCCAAAACTTAAGTTGCTCAGGTAACTAGGAAATTAATCCCGTCCTGGAAAGATTCCTCTTAAGTCTTAGTACAATATCCTAAACTCTCTTTCCTGCTTTACATTCAAGAATATTGGTAGCCTTAAATTCACACAATTCATAGAAAAACATCAAACAACTTCTTGAATTTTGATGGAGCTTATTCTTGTTTCTCGTAAATCTTTCCCTCATTCAATAAAAAAAGATAAGAATAATAAAATTATATTCGTATGAATAAAGAATAACATTATTTCTAATGTATCTTTATAATATTATAATAAAAAACTAGATTTTTATAAAATTTGCTTATTAATATATCATAAAGAAACTTAAAGAGTATTTTTTACATATATTTTTAACTTATATGGTAGGTTTTGATATAATTTAAATTCCATTTGATATTTTAAAAAAATGAAATAATTCTTTGTTTCTTATTAATATTTTAAGTTAGTAGCAAAGTAATTTTGTAAGAGACAGATTTGAGATACTTAAAAAAATTAACTTAATCGTTTCTGATTGCTTTAATTTACAATTATCAACTTTTATAAAGTAAATAAAAAATTTTGAAATTGACAAAAAAAAAATAATATAAAACTATTTTGTGTGAAAAACCTAAGAAATAAATATTAAACAACATCAAAGTATGTAGATTATTTGAATTAATATTTACTAAATTCAGTAAGGTAACTTAAATTATTCAAAAATATATTTTTTCTTTAAATTTTAAACTTAACTACCAGTATCTTAGAAAATGTATTTATAACCTGAATTTGAAATTGCTTTTGATTTCTTAAAGAAAAATTATATTAATCAACTATATTATCTTAATGATTCAAATTTAATTCGAAAAAAAATTTCAATGTAATTTTTTTAATTAAATTTATTGAATATCTAAAATTGTAAAAAAATAACCCAAAATAGCTACTTATTATTATATTAAGAAAAAAATATACGATATTAATATATATGATTCATTTTTATAGATGAAAAATGTTGTTATATATTAATTTTAATTAATTACATTTTTCATTATGATAATTAAAGAATAATTCTACTCATCTAATTTTTAATTGTTCTATAAAACCATAGTAACCTGCTTAAATTTAAAAACATTTCTTATGATAGTTTATTATTAAATAAATATTAAAAAAAATTTTAATAATATATATTAAAGTATTAAATATTTTTCATATTTACAAACAAGTCATTGTTATTTTTGTATGAAATTGAAAGAAATTCAATTGATAAATTTGTAAGATATTATAAATCTAAGATAATTAATTTTATTATAAAAATTAAATTATTTATCCTAAAAGTATTTTTGAAGAAAAGAAAAAATTTTCATATAATAATATTTTTGNTCTTTCCCTCATTCAATAAAAAAAGATAAGAATAATAAAATTATATTCGTATGAATAAAGAATAACATTATTTCTAATGTATCTTTATAATATTATAATAAAAAACTAGATTTTTATAAAATTTGCTTATTAATATATCATAAAGAAACTTAAAGAGTATTTTTTACATATATTTTTAACTTATATGGTAGGTTTTGATATAATTTAAATTCCATTTGATATTTTAAAAAAATGAAATAATTCTTTGTTTCTTATTAATATTTTAAGTTAGTAGCAAAGTAATTTTGTAAGAGACAGATTTGAGATACTTAAAAAAATTAACTTAATCGTTTCTGATTGCTTTAATTTACAATTATCAACTTTTATAAAGTAAATAAAAAATTTTGAAATTGACAAAAAAAAAATAATATAAAACTATTTTGTGTGAAAAACCTAAGAAATAAATATTAAACAACATCAAAGTATGTAGATTATTTGAATTAATATTTACTAAATTCAGTAAGGTAACTTAAATTATTCAAAAATATATTTTTTCTTTAAATTTTAAACTTAACTACCAGTATCTTAGAAAATGTATTTATAACCTGAATTTGAAATTGCTTTTGATTTCTTAAAGAAAAATTATATTAATCAACTATATTATCTTAATGATTCAAATTTAATTCGAAAAAAAATTTCAATGTAATTTTTTTAATTAAATTTATTGAATATCTAAAATTGTAAAAAAATAACCCAAAATAGCTACTTATTATTATATTAAGAAAAAAATATACGATATTAATATATATGATTCATTTTTATAGATGAAAAATGTTGTTATATATTAATTTTAATTAATTACATTTTTCATTATGATAATTAAAGAATAATTCTACTCATCTAATTTTTAATTGTTCTATAAAACCATAGTAACCTGCTTAAATTTAAAAACATTTCTTATGATAGTTTATTATTAAATAAATATTAAAAAAAATTTTAATAATATATATTAAAGTATTAAATATTTTTCATATTTACAAACAAGTCATTGTTATTTTTGTATGAAATTGAAAGAAATTCAATTGATAAATTTGTAAGATATTATAAATCTAAGATAATTAATTTTATTATAAAAATTAAATTATTTATCCTAAAAGTATTTTTGAAGAAAAGAAAAAATTTTCATATAATAATATTTTTGATTGAGCTTGAAAGTTTAATAATTTTTTGAAATAAAATTAAAAAACATAGAATTGAATAAGTTTTCTAGTGTTCTATCTCAAAATATAATGAATTGATAATTTCAATATATAATACTTTGCATTTATTGAATATTTCAAAAGTTTACATAATTAACTATTAAACATAAATCACTAAGTTTTATTCAATATTTTAATGGAATTATTGTAATTTATTTTCCTATAACAACATCCATTTTGTTAATCTTAATTGATATTTGATTTTTAAGATTTAAGGGATGCTTTATTGTGCAATGAGGAATAAATTCAATCCTTTAGTATTACTTATCAAACAATATTATGGATTCCGCTACTATACTTATAAGTTATTTAATCCTTTCCTTATTTATATCAACTTCTAAGACTTAATATTGTTTTTATGTAGATTCATTTTTATAAATTTTGCTCTGATGATTTAAAGTACAAGTAAATGCTTAAAAAGTTTCAATATCATTTTTAATTGAATCTATAAAATCTCTTATTTGATGATAATTCAATTAAAAGTTAAGACTCAAACTTATGTGATATTCTTGATTCTATTTACGTTGAGGAAATTAAGAGGTAACATCAATTTTACAAAATGATGGATAAAATCCACTCATGTGAGTTCTATTTGTAATTTTAACTATATTTTTGCTTTCATCATCTGAATAATCAACTAATTTAGACATTTGTTATTTTCTTGATTAAAATAAAAATTAAGAAAATAAATAAAAGAGAATATCATTTATCGGTTCATTTTGGTTAATTCAAAAAATAGTGCCAAAATAAAATTTTAATTAATAGACGATAAAGTATTTTGTGAAACAATAAATTCAAGTATTTTAAAATCTTCATTAATCTGGTTTCTTTGCCTATATTTTGGGTGTCTTTTCTNGAGACAGATTTGAGATACTTAAAAAAATTAACTTAATCGTTTCTGATTGCTTTAATTTACAATTATCAACTTTTATAAAGTAAATAAAAAATTTTGAAATTGACAAAAAAAAAATAATATAAAACTATTTTGTGTGAAAAACCTAAGAAATAAATATTAAACAACATCAAAGTATGTAGATTATTTGAATTAATATTTACTAAATTCAGTAAGGTAACTTAAATTATTCAAAAATATATTTTTTCTTTAAATTTTAAACTTAACTACCAGTATCTTAGAAAATGTATTTATAACCTGAATTTGAAATTGCTTTTGATTTCTTAAAGAAAAATTATATTAATCAACTATATTATCTTAATGATTCAAATTTAATTCGAAAAAAAATTTCAATGTAATTTTTTTAATTAAATTTATTGAATATCTAAAATTGTAAAAAAATAACCCAAAATAGCTACTTATTATTATATTAAGAAAAAAATATACGATATTAATATATATGATTCATTTTTATAGATGAAAAATGTTGTTATATATTAATTTTAATTAATTACATTTTTCATTATGATAATTAAAGAATAATTCTACTCATCTAATTTTTAATTGTTCTATAAAACCATAGTAACCTGCTTAAATTTAAAAACATTTCTTATGATAGTTTATTATTAAATAAATATTAAAAAAAATTTTAATAATATATATTAAAGTATTAAATATTTTTCATATTTACAAACAAGTCATTGTTATTTTTGTATGAAATTGAAAGAAATTCAATTGATAAATTTGTAAGATATTATAAATCTAAGATAATTAATTTTATTATAAAAATTAAATTATTTATCCTAAAAGTATTTTTGAAGAAAAGAAAAAATTTTCATATAATAATATTTTTGATTGAGCTTGAAAGTTTAATAATTTTTTGAAATAAAATTAAAAAACATAGAATTGAATAAGTTTTCTAGTGTTCTATCTCAAAATATAATGAATTGATAATTTCAATATATAATACTTTGCATTTATTGAATATTTCAAAAGTTTACATAATTAACTATTAAACATAAATCACTAAGTTTTATTCAATATTTTAATGGAATTATTGTAATTTATTTTCCTATAACAACATCCATTTTGTTAATCTTAATTGATATTTGATTTTTAAGATTTAAGGGATGCTTTATTGTGCAATGAGGAATAAATTCAATCCTTTAGTATTACTTATCAAACAATATTATGGATTCCGCTACTATACTTATAAGTTATTTAATCCTTTCCTTATTTATATCAACTTCTAAGACTTAATATTGTTTTTATGTAGATTCATTTTTATAAATTTTGCTCTGATGATTTAAAGTACAAGTAAATGCTTAAAAAGTTTCAATATCATTTTTAATTGAATCTATAAAATCTCTTATTTGATGATAATTCAATTAAAAGTTAAGACTCAAACTTATGTGATATTCTTGATTCTATTTACGTTGAGGAAATTAAGAGGTAACATCAATTTTACAAAATGATGGATAAAATCCACTCATGTGAGTTCTATTTGTAATTTTAACTATATTTTTGCTTTCATCATCTGAATAATCAACTAATTTAGACATTTGTTATTTTCTTGATTAAAATAAAAATTAAGAAAATAAATAAAAGAGAATATCATTTATCGGTTCATTTTGGTTAATTCAAAAAATAGTGCCAAAATAAAATTTTAATTAATAGACGATAAAGTATTTTGTGAAACAATAAATTCAAGTATTTTAAAATCTTCATTAATCTGGTTTCTTTGCCTATATTTTGGGTGTCTTTTCTCATTTTTCTTGGTTTATGACAAAATTTCTATTGCAATTTTCCAAAATTAATTATGGTGCATAAGTTAGGTTTTAGTTATTGAGTATTGAATATAAATAAATAATTGATTATATGCCAAAAACAAATAAATTTGTTGTAAATTATTTACAGAAAACTTAAAATTTAGACTCATAATTCATAATTTAATATATACTATCATTTGTGTTATAGCCTACATCAATACTAATTGAATAATTATAATTTAATTACTTGACTAATTAGATAGATAGAGGAGAAAATAAAATATAAGAAATAATTTCTATAATTACTTTGATCTTAGAATTTAGCTTCAAATATATTTTTTAAGATTTTTTTATTTAAGTTACATAGAATATAAATTAAAATGTGATAAAATTATGTAAATTAATCCAATTTCATTTTTTCAAACATGTATATGTAAATTATTAATAAATAATTCTTTTTTTATTAAGATGATGAAGTAGATTTTTCAGTCTTTTAGAATCTGCGACATTTTTGGGTAGTAGATTAGACTTAAAGCTGCTGGCCAATCTGTTTTTTAAACCTAAATTGGAGCATTTATGACTTTATTGCTTTTTAGCATTCTTATATATTCAGGTAGCTTATTTATTATTGAAATGAACAAAGGAAAAAATGCAATTATTAACTCTTAAGATGCTGTCATCGGAACTAATGAAGTAAATATTTGTCAATCACATTAATTTAGGGTTTTAGTTTCAATTCTACTGAATTAATTTTTTCAGCTGGTTTAGTTGATATTTTGGGCCAACCAATTCCAAACGAGGACAATAGAATATTCAAGATTGGATTTTATGTTTGCAATAAATCTTTAAATGAAACAGAATGTGTGGTTATACCAGGAACTATTTGTGGTGAAAGAATTAGATCAGCAGCAAAAGTAATTATAGCATGATCCTTTAATTTAGAAATTAAATATAGCAGAGGCCTATGAAAATATTACTTATTGTCTGAGTGAAGAGTACATTCAAGAAAATCCTGAAATAAGAATTTAAGGATCAAATCGTTATGATAATTTTACTTTGTTGGGAGCATTAATTGAAAGGTGTTCAAATAACACTGAATTGTTTAGTATTATAAATTAAATATCTTCTTAGATTGTGCATCAAATGAAGAAATCGATAAATATATAACGAATGCTAACCTTTATTATTCATATTCCTTTCATTAACTTAATAAAGAATTAGATGTCTCTCCTTATTAATAAACTGAAAATGTTGATTTAACATCACTTTATTACTAAGTAGGGAAATACATTAAAATTTATTTTCAGTATTCCTAAAGTTATCTTGAATATAATCCTTTTTATTTTTTTCCTCGATAGGTGTACCATGAAGGAGTTGAATATTAAAAGACAGTCACTGATAGTGTTCTTTATTTCTAAGATGCTAATACATTAGCTAGAATTGAACTTCATTTAGATGCTAAAAAAAAAGTTAATTTTATAACATATTAAACATTAATGGATGTAGTTGCTAAAATAGGAGGGCTATTTACAATTATAAGAGCTTTAATTGATATTTTGATATTTCCAATATAATCTATTCTCTATAGACTTTTTTTGATTAATTTTTTGATCAACCATTAGAATAAAACCAATAAGAAGGACGTAAAAATCCAGAATTCTAAAAAGAAATAAATTAATATATAATAACTTATAACTTCTTCAGATCTAAGAAGATTTTTTTACGAAAAATCATAAATCATCAATGAATATTTGGATGTTAGACAAATTTTAATCCATCCGCTTTAATTTTCTGAAAAAATAGAGGGTTTACAGGATTCTATCAGGAAAATTGATATCTTAAGTTCTAGATAAATTAAGGTAATAAGTAAGTAAGAAATGGATGAATTAGTAATGTAAAGTAACCACGAAGAATGCATGGATTACAAATATTTGAGTTCAGGGACTATAAATTCAGAATGTAAAATAGGAAATTAAGATTAATCTATCATTCCAAGGATGAAAATTTAGATTCGTTGATATATCATTAAGTTAAAAACAATGATTTTTCAATATTTTTTACTAAATTAATATCTTAAAAGCATTTATTTAATTAAATAAATTGATATTTATAGCGATAATTTTAAACCAAACAGACACTATTTATAAAAACTCTTTTTCAAAGCCATCATAATGTTTCTTATAAATTAATATCTTCATAATTTCATTTCAAAAATGATCAACCTCTCAAATTTTGAGCGATTAAAAGAAATTATATTTCAATATCTATATTAAATATCATGCGAAATTTGTGTATGATTGAGAAGATTATGGTCATGAGATGTTTAGGATAAATAATAGAACAGGGGGATTGTAAGAAATATTATTTAGTCAATGAATAATAAGATCTTGAAATATTGTATATATATTACTTATTGTTATATTTTAATTACTATTTTTCAATTAAATAATAAATAAAATAATAAATTATTAGATACATTAATTTAATATGAAAGGAATTAACATAGTAATAGAATTGAATAGAGTTGAGTTCGCATCATATAATTAATTTAAAGGTTAATGTTATCAAAATTTCTAAATATGGACAAAGTGATTTGTCAATATTCTAAAATCTATTCCTCTTAAGTGTTTTTCTAGGGTTTTAGATAATAAAACAACGATATACGAAAATTGTTCTTCAACTAATTTAGATAAATACAGAAAGCTGAATAGTTTGTTATATTTATTTTGAAAAATCAATCACAAATATTGAATCATTTATGATTAATAGGAGAGAAATTCGAATTATTTTTTTCTGATTAATAAAATTATAATTGAATTTAATTTTATAAAAATATAATTATTTCTCCTTAATACTAAAAAAAATTTATATTATGTTATATTATTTTTTATATATTACTTTCATTAATTATAATAAATTAAATTTATTACATTTATTAACACTTTTGGATTTTATTATTAAAAGTTAAAATTATATTTTTTTAATTAGAGTGCCTGTCCAGTCTAAATTATTTATAAATAACAGAAAACTATTTCGTACTTTTGAGTATTAAAAATAGAAGGAACCTAAAAATATAAATTTGCCGATATGATTTATTATTATAATATTAATCAAAATTATAATCATTTTAACAGTTGTTCTTCCTCTTTATTCCTAAAATATTATACAACATTAGTAAGATTAAACGTGTTTTTCAATTATTTCTGTTATTATGCCTATTTAATAACCTGTAAGAATGTCATTCCAGTTGATCTTTTGTTTGGTTAAGGCTTGATAAAATAAAATAATACCATAGTAAGAATAGGCTGAACAACAATAGTTTTGAGTTGCTCTTCTAATATTTTTTCTTCTTATTAAGGTGTTATTTTTTCATTATTATCCTCCTCTAAATCTGTGTTAGGTTGTTTAACTACCTGACCATAGGTCTTTTACATGCACTTATCAAATTCAGAAAGATCATCAGATTCACGAAATTAAGCCTTAACAATCTCACCCAATCTAATGTAAATGAGTAAGGTTAAGGCATCTAATTTCTTAAACAAAGGTTATTGTCTTCTATCATCAATTGTAATTTAATCATTTGTTCTTATTAGAGAGAGTTTTTCAGCACATCTAGCAAGAGCCTCTAAGAATTCATAAAATTCCATCTAGAAATGTTTAAGTAAGTATAGTTCATCAACTGATGTCTGCATAGCCAGCAAATATGCAAGATAAGCATCTCTTTCAACAAAAATATCACAATATAAATCGCATTTATTTAATAAATCTCTGAAATCTTTAAATTAAAGCCAAATGTGTTTGTAATACTTTTATTTGGAATTTAATTTTGATGTATATTTGAAAAGCAATTTTAACATAGGTAACCTATCCTCTAAAAGAATATTTAATAATGAATTACTTAATAAAATATCACATTATTCATTCCAATATCTCATATCCCTCCAATCTTAGCTACGATCAATTTCTTATAATTTTAATTTGATTCCATCTTCTTCAAACATTTTTCTCAAACTCTCTTTAATTGTTTTGCAAATTTATGTTCGCAAATATTTATCAATAGCAATTCTAACCAGTACTTCCATAAGCTAGTATCTCACTAGAGCTTTTTCATAAACGTTGGGATAATTTATGTCTTTAACATTTGAGGTAGCAATAAAATTTAAATCAATATCTCCAGATCTAAATTTTTCAGAAATGACTCCTGTAGCAGATAAAAAGTCTGAAANTATGTTATATTATTTTTTATATATTACTTTCATTAATTATAATAAATTAAATTTATTACATTTATTAACACTTTTGGATTTTATTATTAAAAGTTAAAATTATATTTTTTTAATTAGAGTGCCTGTCCAGTCTAAATTATTTATAAATAACAGAAAACTATTTCGTACTTTTGAGTATTAAAAATAGAAGGAACCTAAAAATATAAATTTGCCGATATGATTTATTATTATAATATTAATCAAAATTATAATCATTTTAACAGTTGTTCTTCCTCTTTATTCCTAAAATATTATACAACATTAGTAAGATTAAACGTGTTTTTCAATTATTTCTGTTATTATGCCTATTTAATAACCTGTAAGAATGTCATTCCAGTTGATCTTTTGTTTGGTTAAGGCTTGATAAAATAAAATAATACCATAGTAAGAATAGGCTGAACAACAATAGTTTTGAGTTGCTCTTCTAATATTTTTTCTTCTTATTAAGGTGTTATTTTTTCATTATTATCCTCCTCTAAATCTGTGTTAGGTTGTTTAACTACCTGACCATAGGTCTTTTACATGCACTTATCAAATTCAGAAAGATCATCAGATTCACGAAATTAAGCCTTAACAATCTCACCCAATCTAATGTAAATGAGTAAGGTTAAGGCATCTAATTTCTTAAACAAAGGTTATTGTCTTCTATCATCAATTGTAATTTAATCATTTGTTCTTATTAGAGAGAGTTTTTCAGCACATCTAGCAAGAGCCTCTAAGAATTCATAAAATTCCATCTAGAAATGTTTAAGTAAGTATAGTTCATCAACTGATGTCTGCATAGCCAGCAAATATGCAAGATAAGCATCTCTTTCAACAAAAATATCACAATATAAATCGCATTTATTTAATAAATCTCTGAAATCTTTAAATTAAAGCCAAATGTGTTTGTAATACTTTTATTTGGAATTTAATTTTGATGTATATTTGAAAAGCAATTTTAACATAGGTAACCTATCCTCTAAAAGAATATTTAATAATGAATTACTTAATAAAATATCACATTATTCATTCCAATATCTCATATCCCTCCAATCTTAGCTACGATCAATTTCTTATAATTTTAATTTGATTCCATCTTCTTCAAACATTTTTCTCAAACTCTCTTTAATTGTTTTGCAAATTTATGTTCGCAAATATTTATCAATAGCAATTCTAACCAGTACTTCCATAAGCTAGTATCTCACTAGAGCTTTTTCATAAACGTTGGGATAATTTATGTCTTTAACATTTGAGGTAGCAATAAAATTTAAATCAATATCTCCAGATCTAAATTTTTCAGAAATGACTCCTGTAGCAGATAAAAAGTCTGAAAAGGCATTTGATGAAATACAAGGAATAGTTGCCCCAATGAGAGTAGATGCTAAAAATTTATAAGATGCAAAAATGCAAGGATAATACTCTCTCATTATCTCCTTGACTTCATTATATTCTATTGGATCTTTGATAATTTTATTAATTTTTGAACTTCCATAATCATATTCAAAACATTCATCAATTTATTCCTCGTTGTCGGGTTAATAGTTTTTGAAAATGGAAATCTCATAACTCCAAAATTTTTCAGTTTTAGTCAGAAATTAAGTTAAATCAAATGTTTTTTCTTCTTCTCTTGGTTTACTAAAGATCTTCGCAAAATACCTATCCATAATTGATTATTTATCATCAGTAAAAAGTTCATTAACGAATCCCATTTTATTTCCTTCAATGAAAATATCTCCGTTATATAAAAATTATTATTTATTAGAATATAAAGGGTCGTCTTGAGGAGTTTATGTTATTAACTAATTTTTCGCTGTAGTTTAGATTCCAAGTACAGGATTACTATAAAAATAGGTAACTCTGAAATTAGGAGGACACATTTTATAAGCAGAATATTCTCCGTTATGTAGTGTCATTAAAACTGGCTTGTAATTCTCAAAATTTAAGTGTAAAAATATTGGATCATTGTTCATACCACCAGATTTTCCAGGAGTCCAAGTAAATTTAACTTCTTACCAGCCATCACATATCCAGCATGCATCCAATTCACTATCAGTGTCATAATTTTATTTTATTGGTTTCATTCCTTAAATTCTTCGAAATCTAAAATTTCTATACAATTCTGCATCAGTTTATAGATCTTTTATTCTTTTTTATTAATATTATTAATGCTATTTTTGTTCTAATAATTATATTTCAGGATTTAAATTGTCATCTACTAACTTCAAAGTAGTTTATGGGTTCTTTTTATACTCTTCAATCTTTTTTTGAATATCTATTGCTTCTTGGATTCTATCTCTTAAATGCCCTGTTGAATCAACTGAATATTTTTGACAATTCCCTTAATAATGAAATCCATAAATATTTTAATTTTAATCTAATGCTTTTTTAATTTCAATTGATTATTCTTCATTAAAACCATTATATGAAATGTCTATATGCATTAGTTCTGGATANTTTGAAAAGCAATTTTAACATAGGTAACCTATCCTCTAAAAGAATATTTAATAATGAATTACTTAATAAAATATCACATTATTCATTCCAATATCTCATATCCCTCCAATCTTAGCTACGATCAATTTCTTATAATTTTAATTTGATTCCATCTTCTTCAAACATTTTTCTCAAACTCTCTTTAATTGTTTTGCAAATTTATGTTCGCAAATATTTATCAATAGCAATTCTAACCAGTACTTCCATAAGCTAGTATCTCACTAGAGCTTTTTCATAAACGTTGGGATAATTTATGTCTTTAACATTTGAGGTAGCAATAAAATTTAAATCAATATCTCCAGATCTAAATTTTTCAGAAATGACTCCTGTAGCAGATAAAAAGTCTGAAAAGGCATTTGATGAAATACAAGGAATAGTTGCCCCAATGAGAGTAGATGCTAAAAATTTATAAGATGCAAAAATGCAAGGATAATACTCTCTCATTATCTCCTTGACTTCATTATATTCTATTGGATCTTTGATAATTTTATTAATTTTTGAACTTCCATAATCATATTCAAAACATTCATCAATTTATTCCTCGTTGTCGGGTTAATAGTTTTTGAAAATGGAAATCTCATAACTCCAAAATTTTTCAGTTTTAGTCAGAAATTAAGTTAAATCAAATGTTTTTTCTTCTTCTCTTGGTTTACTAAAGATCTTCGCAAAATACCTATCCATAATTGATTATTTATCATCAGTAAAAAGTTCATTAACGAATCCCATTTTATTTCCTTCAATGAAAATATCTCCGTTATATAAAAATTATTATTTATTAGAATATAAAGGGTCGTCTTGAGGAGTTTATGTTATTAACTAATTTTTCGCTGTAGTTTAGATTCCAAGTACAGGATTACTATAAAAATAGGTAACTCTGAAATTAGGAGGACACATTTTATAAGCAGAATATTCTCCGTTATGTAGTGTCATTAAAACTGGCTTGTAATTCTCAAAATTTAAGTGTAAAAATATTGGATCATTGTTCATACCACCAGATTTTCCAGGAGTCCAAGTAAATTTAACTTCTTACCAGCCATCACATATCCAGCATGCATCCAATTCACTATCAGTGTCATAATTTTATTTTATTGGTTTCATTCCTTAAATTCTTCGAAATCTAAAATTTCTATACAATTCTGCATCAGTTTATAGATCTTTTATTCTTTTTTATTAATATTATTAATGCTATTTTTGTTCTAATAATTATATTTCAGGATTTAAATTGTCATCTACTAACTTCAAAGTAGTTTATGGGTTCTTTTTATACTCTTCAATCTTTTTTTGAATATCTATTGCTTCTTGGATTCTATCTCTTAAATGCCCTGTTGAATCAACTGAATATTTTTGACAATTCCCTTAATAATGAAATCCATAAATATTTTAATTTTAATCTAATGCTTTTTTAATTTCAATTGATTATTCTTCATTAAAACCATTATATGAAATGTCTATATGCATTAGTTCTGGATACTATTTAATAATTACTTTAGCCATTTATTAAGAACATTCTAATGAGGCTGTCCTATTATATGATATGTCAAAAACTTTCACACTTGAATTTTTATACAATGCTTTCCAAATATTAACAGCTCCAATACTATTTATTGAATTAAAATGAAGATATAATTCAAATAGAACTTGCGTTTTCTTAAGATAGTTAGCAAGTTCAACACAACAATGTTCTGTTAAATTATTTTTGGATAAATTTAAATATAGCAAGTAATCATGATCTTGGACTGCTTAGCATAATGCATTACTTCCGATATCTCCTATTCGATTGTTTTCTAAATTAACCTTTTTTATTTATGATTTTTAAATATATTTTGATAACAACTAGCAAGACTTTGAGTCTAATCCATTATTCATTAGATCCAATTCTTGTAAATGTTATGGGAATGACTTAGTTAATTGTTAAATTCTAAAAAAAATATAGTAATTAGAGAATACTTTAATGAATTAAGTTTATTATGATTTAACTTTAGATGTGTTAAGGTTTTACATTAGTGAGTCTTGAGAGCATCAGAAAATACTTTAACTTATTAGGGAGATCTTATTTATGCTTGTGCATTGGCAGCTTGGATGTGATTGCATTATTGAACTAGTCCTAGACCACTCTAAAATATTTGCTATTGATGAGAGCTTTTATTCAATTACATGTACAAATTTGGAGATTATTTATAAAATTGAGCATAATCCTCCAATTTGTTAAATTGTTTGATTGTCTTTCTGTAATCTTCTTAAGAAATTCTATTCAAATTCTTACTAATATAATAATGTCTATTGATTACTTAGCTAATCGAAATTTCCTCATATATTTTCCTCTATCAGTATTGAATTCTTGATTAACATCTCCTTTATATTCTAGTTATTATAAGTATAGTTGTTTCTATTCATCATATCTTTGATTATTCTTGAGATGTGAAGGGTTGGATTTATGATGGTGATGTTAATGCTTTTTGATTAAATTCATTCTTTGAGGACTATAATCTTGATATGAAAACTGTTTCATTGAATTGGTATGTGCTTCATCATTTTATCTTTCTATCTCCTATTAATCATTCTCCATCATATCATCAAATTATTCTGGTTTGTAATTATCAATTAATTCTCTAATCATTTTTTCTTCCTCTTATTCATTCAATCTTTCAAGAATACTCTTTTGAGGAGGCTGAGGGGTTGATATTCTACTAATTTGATATAATATTGAAACTGCTAACGAATTGGTATCTCTGTCATCCTTGTTATATTTTGGTATCTTTCAAATGTGAGAGGCATTTTTATTTTTTCTATTTCTAATATGCACTAGACTTTAGGGGATGTAGACAATCTATTTAAACTATTTAAAGTTGTTCTTTATGATTAAGATGTTGAAACTAAATTATTTACTCAAATTTTTACATACAAGTTCTTTTAACTTTTTCTTTTATCGGAGTGTTCCTTTTGATCTCTTCCTCTTTCTTTAATTCTTTCAATCTTTCCAAAAGTTTTTCTTTTGTATTGTAAATTTTTAGTTTCTTAAATAACATACTTTAATTGTTATTATTTAATATAATCCATTTCAGCAATGATTTCAAGCCTCTTACCAAGATTTCGATATATGGATCAATTATAAAGATGTAAGTTTAATATATATATGAAAGTCTTATAAATTACAAGAAATACAACAAAATCAGATTTAATCTAATTCAATAATCAATACTTAAGTAAACATAAGATCAAACCTATTACTTATTAAATTCCTGGATTCTATAATTACATAAAATAAGAAATTGTAATAATTTGACTAATATAGATTTAAGGAGACATAGAATCATTAAACAAGGCATCCACTCACTATTTCAGCAAAGAAGGCAAACTTATTAGACCAATGTTAAATTTACTATATGCCAATCATATAGAAAAAAACAGTTAGAACACAGAATAATAAAAAATATGGGCTGCAGTGATAGAAATTCTACATGTAGCTAGTCTAGTGCATGATGATATTTTAGATGCATCAGAAACAAGAAGAGGAATTCCTTCAGCTCATGTCATTTTTGGTAAACACAGGGCTACTTTCTCAGCTAACTATTTAATTGGAAGAGCGTAATTAAAATTATAAAAATAATAGTGGTAGAAAAATATCTGAATTAGATGATATCAGGATGTTTCAAATCTATTCACAAATTATGGATAACTTAACTAATGGTGAATATTTATAAGCTATGAAATAAAAGAGTTTTCATAACTTTGAAATCACTCTATAAAACTATATGATTAAAACCTATTATAAGACTGCTGCATTAATTGCTAATAGTTTATAAGGAGTTTGTTAATTAACCAACATTAAAGATGAAGTTTGTGAAAAATCATTTAATATTGGATTGCATTTGGGTGTTGCTTTTTAAATTATTGATGATGTCTTAGATTATACTTCTAACACTGAATAATTAGGTAAAGCTAGTTTAAATGATCTAAAGAGTGGAGTTTTGACTGGACCTGTCTTATTTGAATTATTCAATTAATAAAAAATTAACTCACCAGAATATTAACTCATGAACTCAGTCTTATTAGGCAATTCCAAATAGTATGAGACCGTAAATTCTATTGTTCTTGCTGGAGAAGGAATAGAGCAAAGCAAATTTTTAGCTTATTAACATACTCAAGAAGCATTAAAAATATTATCAAGCATCAATACATAACCTGATTAAGATTTAATTTCTTTGATTTTCATGTTCATCAACAGAAATAAATGACAATTATAATATTCATTTTATTGTTATATTTACATAATTATTGAAATAATTTGAATAGCTTTTTTAATATTATTAATTTCAATTCTATCATTATATTATTAAATAAATTGTTATTAAATACTATTTTAATATAAATATGACATAGAGAGAATAAATAAGATTGATGATTAAAAAAGGGAATAGTAGTCTATTAAATAATTAGATAAAATATAAATCAAATAATGTAAGTTTCACTTTTTCTGNATAGAATCATTAAACAAGGCATCCACTCACTATTTCAGCAAAGAAGGCAAACTTATTAGACCAATGTTAAATTTACTATATGCCAATCATATAGAAAAAAACAGTTAGAACACAGAATAATAAAAAATATGGGCTGCAGTGATAGAAATTCTACATGTAGCTAGTCTAGTGCATGATGATATTTTAGATGCATCAGAAACAAGAAGAGGAATTCCTTCAGCTCATGTCATTTTTGGTAAACACAGGGCTACTTTCTCAGCTAACTATTTAATTGGAAGAGCGTAATTAAAATTATAAAAATAATAGTGGTAGAAAAATATCTGAATTAGATGATATCAGGATGTTTCAAATCTATTCACAAATTATGGATAACTTAACTAATGGTGAATATTTATAAGCTATGAAATAAAAGAGTTTTCATAACTTTGAAATCACTCTATAAAACTATATGATTAAAACCTATTATAAGACTGCTGCATTAATTGCTAATAGTTTATAAGGAGTTTGTTAATTAACCAACATTAAAGATGAAGTTTGTGAAAAATCATTTAATATTGGATTGCATTTGGGTGTTGCTTTTTAAATTATTGATGATGTCTTAGATTATACTTCTAACACTGAATAATTAGGTAAAGCTAGTTTAAATGATCTAAAGAGTGGAGTTTTGACTGGACCTGTCTTATTTGAATTATTCAATTAATAAAAAATTAACTCACCAGAATATTAACTCATGAACTCAGTCTTATTAGGCAATTCCAAATAGTATGAGACCGTAAATTCTATTGTTCTTGCTGGAGAAGGAATAGAGCAAAGCAAATTTTTAGCTTATTAACATACTCAAGAAGCATTAAAAATATTATCAAGCATCAATACATAACCTGATTAAGATTTAATTTCTTTGATTTTCATGTTCATCAACAGAAATAAATGACAATTATAATATTCATTTTATTGTTATATTTACATAATTATTGAAATAATTTGAATAGCTTTTTTAATATTATTAATTTCAATTCTATCATTATATTATTAAATAAATTGTTATTAAATACTATTTTAATATAAATATGACATAGAGAGAATAAATAAGATTGATGATTAAAAAAGGGAATAGTAGTCTATTAAATAATTAGATAAAATATAAATCAAATAATGTAAGTTTCACTTTTTCTGTATCATATTTCGTACGAATAATAAAGAATAGACAATTAAATCTATCTTATTCTTGTATTAAATCATCTAAATCTATTATCATTCAAAAATAAAGGCCCAATAAATCTAGATCTATATACAAATCCCATACTATAACCTAATAATTATTAATTCCAACATGAAAAGGAGTAACTATTGTTTAGAATGTGGAATTCAATGTTAATATTAATATAAAACATAACATATTCCATTTTATAGAGTAAAAAAGAAGTTGGTTTCAAAAAAGAATAATTTCCAATTCTTATTCTCAGTCTTATTCAAATATTCATGAATTCGAAGATTCGCCAATTCTGAAGAAATCATCTGTATTATCATCATAAAGACAAGATAGATTTGCAAATCAATGTAAATTTGCTAGAGTATAGCTGAAAATACTAACTAAACCTTAAAGTCTAATTAATAGCATTAGTGTATTTACTAAACCATTAAATGAAAATTTACCCTTAAAAATAATCAATTCAAATAGATTGCTAATGTTTTGGAAAAATTATTATTGCAAATAAGGAACATTAGAATATATATTTGATTCCAATATTCAAAAAAAATTAATCAAATAATATTCATCACAGCCAACTCATCTCAAAGGAAAAAGTATTGAAATATTTATAAAAATAATACTAATTACATTATTATATGTTTAATTCTACTCAATTAATATATACAAGATAATGTTGCGTAATAATTAACTATTATTATTATTTATATTTGAGATTATTTATAATGATATTGTAAATGATGCAATTTAGAATTTTAAAAGAATGTGGATAAAATTAATATGATAAAAATAATTGGGTATTTGTATATAAAAGATAACCAATTACATAAAAATTTTATCATTTTTAGAATACAATGAGGTTTCTATGTTTTTCAACATGTTAAAGTAACTCCTCTATGTCTAAATTGGGTATTTCCATGTCTAATGCAATATTTTTGAGATGTGTTTTAAATTTATCAAATTATTAGTTGGTGATATTAAGATTTTTATGGACCTCTATTAAATCTCTATAAATATAAAAGCAAATAAAATACCTTCCCGTATATTAGGTATTAGAATCACCCATCATTTAAGCGAAGAATCGTTTTTATTGATATCGAACTCTACTCATATCTGCCTTCAAAAATTTATCTCGAAGTAGTTTATCAAACAAGACTTTATAATAGAATTGATCAATGAGTTCTGAAACTTGTTAGTCTCCTCCAAATTTTTCAAAAAGGCACTTCTTTTAATTATCCATTATTAATTTTTATTATCAAATATAAGTATAATATCTATTGAGCTTTAAATAATAATTTTGATTTTATAGTTACCAATATGAAATAAACTTTGATTTGAGTGATCTTTTTTTATAGATAATGAATTCCAATAAGAAAATTATTACATTGTTATATATTTAATGATTTTATTATTCACAACTTTATAAATACCTCTCTTGACATTTATCGAATTGTTATACTTAAATTTGGGTGTTTTTTCAGAAGTATTTATTAGATTATTAGCAAAAATGGATTGAGAAAATCTTATGTTTTGTAGATATTAAATAACAATCCTACAAGTTTTTGGAATTGACTTGGTCTTTTTAAATAAATAAAAATACTCAAAATATAGTATTTATAGATAATTAAATTTATATACAGGTAAGTATTTAGATTAAAAATTTATTACGGTTAATTATTTAAAAATGAAACAACTAACAAATTCAACAAATAAACTAATCCCTCATATAATGAATAAATTAGAATAGTTGATATAAGAAGTTTAAAAACTCACAAAGCTATCAAATAATTTAATGGATAACTTATAATTATAAGAGATACAATATAAAAACTTATAATATAAATATCAATAAGTTTGGAATCAACTTAGTGATGAGCAAAAGATTAAGTTTAATTTGAATCAGACAACTTTAATATAAAGTCATATTGAACCAACTTAATTATCTAATTTAATTAGTAATATAGAAACTAAAGTACATGATTTAAAACATTATCGCTAAAATTCACAACCAATTATTTTACCAGTTGTACATTAATGTTTAGAGTGTAAAAAGAAAGAAGAATAAATTTAGGAATTAAATGAGACATTAGAAAAAATAGAAATTCAAATGAAAAAGCCTAAAACAAGTTTTTCAACGAGATTAAATACAGAATTTTCTAACAAAGATACTTAAAATCATTATTAATAATTTACAACAAAGAGTAATTATTTAAAAAATAAATTTTGAAGTATTATATTATAAGTTAAAAATTCAATTATAAAGTTTTAATTTTGATTCTAACTATTATATTTCGTTTTTTAACCTTTAAATTTGAATAGAATAACCTTGTTCTTTATTTGTTTAAGGTAGAATTTAACTTTTTTATTTTGGAGAAGTGGAAGTAGTTATAGAATATCTTAATTCTCTACTTGATCTCTATTGATAATTGAATCTCAATTTATTTTCTTATTGTAATTCTTATTACTAAATAGACCATGAACGATATCTAGAATAATCATCATGTTGGGTTTGCAATATTTGTAATTTTGATAATTCTCTGTCCTAGCTGAAATTATTGAGTTACTTTAATTGTTAACATTTTTGAAAGATACTATTTAGAATTAAAAAGCCAGGTCTAAGATTAGGAATGAAAATATTTAGGTTTAATATCAAAGCACTTTTTTGGAGATTTATTATTTTGAATAATTTTGTTCTTTTTTGGTTAAATTAGTATACAATTAGGTTTATGTGTTTATTTTAATTAGGAAATGGACTTTAATTCTTATTATTAAATTAGAGAGTTCAAAAAAGTTATAATCTTAATGTTATTCTTTAAGACTATAAATAATAAAATATTACATTGTAATTTTCAGTATTAACTATGTATCTAAGAAGATTCGATTTCGATTCTAACAAACAATATTTATTGCAAACTAAGTGTTTGGAATTATTAATGTTATCTAATAATGCATTTATGTCCAAATTTTATTAGTAATCATTAATAATACAATGCAATGCTTTAACTAAATATCCATCTATTATTTTTGTACTTCTCATGATTTCCTAATATTTAGTATTAGAATTACTTAAATATCATCTATAGTCAGTTGATCTTATGACATTTGAATTATGATAAATAATGATTAAATAATTATTAATTAATTAAGAATGCGTGGACCACGTTCAACGAGTCCTTGTCCTACTAAACAATAAGTTGAGAAACTAAAGCTTTTATAGACAGCAATTAAGAAAAGGACTACAAAACCAGATTTTATGACAAACTACAAAATTCATATCATAATATCAAGTAAGATAATACTCAAAAGCCTATAGTTGTGATTGGGTTTGTAATTATCTCTATTTTATCGTTTACCAAGTAAACAAAAGAATACATTATAATTAATGAATCTGAAATAAAGTCACATAATTCATAAGGTCATTCGTACAACTTAGGTCCAAATGCTTTTTTCTATGTTTTAATTATTATAATTACAATAGAATATAACATTAATGTAAGCAAAAACCTTATTTAAAAATGATTTCACTTAACAAATAAATGTAGAGAAATGCAAAATTTCTTTTATAGAGGAAATCCCTATTTATTACAATTTCAAAGAAGTCTATCCATCTTGCAATCATCCAGTTTATAATTAAGGAAATTGTTCATCATCTTATTCTATTGCTGTTTCTTCTTCATTCTCAGATAGAGTATGCAAATAAAATTAGACTTAATAATTGTCTGCTCAAAATTTATTGTCTTGTGATGGTAAATTAAACTTAGGTTGCAAAGGAGGACATTTAACAAGATCAGCTGATTACATCATAAAGCATGGATTAACTACAAATGAATGTCATCCTTTTAGAGGAGATGATACATTTAAAGAGTGTACAAATGCTCTTGATCATTGTTAGCGATATAAAGCTGAATCCTATTGTTAATTATAGAATAAAGATGTACTAATATTTATATCATAGGATATCAAAAGGGATATTTTAATTAAAGGACCTGTGGTTGCAATTATGCCAGTTTATAAAGATTTTCTTATCTATAGAGATGGAATTTATTAAGTATTGGATGGATAACCTCATTTTCATGGGGGTTAAGCAGTGAAAATAATAGGATGGGGTGAACATAATGGATAGTAGTATTGGATTATTGAGAATACTTGGGGAGACACTTGGGGAATAAATGGCTTGGCTAAAATCTCCATAGATAGTTTTTCTGAAATGTCTTAATAAGCATTGTCAATAAATATTTGAGTCGGTATATTAAATAATAAGTTTATTAATTTATTTGAAGTAAAAATTATTAAATAATTGAATAAAATACCTTCTTATTCTTTTTAATTTGTCATATAATACTTAATAGCTTCTTGATTATTTCGAATTATTATATTATTCATATCAATATTATAGATTATCAAATAATAAAGAGATTTCTAATATAATTTTGATTCTAAATAGAATAATCATAATTTTATTTATAATTTTCAGTTATTTTTATGGCAGTAATGAAATTCTAAGCAAAATCTGATATTCTGATTGGTTAACATCAGTTTCTGTAATAGTAACATTAAAAACATGCGAATTTCCATTCAAATTAGTTGAATTTCCTAAAAAAACAAATTTTTAAAGTTGCTATTTCAGTTCCTTAATTAATTTATTATCCAATTTAGAAATATAAGAAAAATGAGATAATACTATCATTAATCCAGATGAATTTTAATAATTTTATTTTTAATTGAATACCCTTAAATTTATTTATCAAGTTAATATATGTTTTAATACTACATCTATAATCTACTTTCATCCACTCTTTCATTAAAAATATCATTTCTAAATTTAAGCCATGAATGATATAATTCTTTTTATAAACTCAAAAGTATTTTATGAAAAATGACAAACAATAATTTAGTATATCATTTGAAATAATAAGGCCAAGAATTTTCATTCAAAAATCATTATTAAGATAATATCCTCCTTAAGGTCTATTTGGTGACAAACAAATTGTCTTTGATTACTATTACATTATTATTTATTTATTCTAATAAAAATAAGTGGAATTTAATGGATTATTTAATTTAAGATTTAATTTTTTTGATAATAAAAGATTACTTTAAAATAATTAGAATTTTTATAATAAAATCATAGAAATATAACAACTTTATTTAATGTACTAATAACTTAATTTAATTTAGTAATATCTAAAGATTTTGTTGACAAATGCTTTAATGGAATTTATATAATTTTGATTATTTCTAAAAATAATGAAAAAATTGCACACAGTGAGATTTGAACTCACGCGAAATGAATCACCGCATCTTGAGTGCGGCCCCTTAGACCACTCGGGCATGTGTGCTATATTAATGATTTATGAGAAGAATTTAATGAAAAATGAAAAATTGAATTAGAATTTCATGGATTGAATATAAATTCTAAATTTTTTTGTTTACTTAATTTCTTACAAATAATTAATATAGTTTGATTGAGAAATAAGGAAATGATAATATTTTTATGACTTGATGTATTATTAATTAAAAGAGAATATTCTTTAATTATTTTTATATTTATTATAATAAAACACGTAAATATGATAAACGATTTCAATAGTTGGTATAAAACTTAGCCTCTTTTTACAAGAACATATGTTAGTTTGTTAGTGTTATTTGGTATAATTGGAAAATTTAAGCCAGCATATTTATGGTATTTAATGTTCGATGCTAATAAAATATTTACTCTTTAAGTATTAATGATAATATAAAATTATATAGATACATAGATTATTTACTCATTACTTTTTCAGTGGTGTATTAAGTTTTAGTTTTATCTTTCATTTGTTATTTATAATCTTTTGTATAAAAAACTGCGAAGTAATGTTTGAAGGATCCAATTATGCTGATTTTTATTATATGATTCTTTACTTTTTTTTAACAGGAGACGTAATAAATTTGATTAAGTAGATTATGAGTTGGTTATTTGATTATGGATTTTTATCAGCAGCATTTTGCTTTGCATTAATCTATGTTTGGTGCAAGAGAAAACCATTTGAAACTGTGAGATTTTATTTTGGATTTCAATTTAAAAGTGAATATTTTCCTTGGGTTTTGATTGCTTTTCATGCAATAACAGATCAAGATATAGTTTAGGATCTTATTGGTTTAGGAATAGCTCATTCTTATTTATTATTAAAAGATTTTCTTCCAGTTACTCATAGCATTGCCTTATTAGAAACACCTTAATTTTTGTAAAATAATTATTTAATAATAGTAAAAACTTTGTGAATAAACATATTGTTAAATATGCACCATTTGCAAGAAACAGATTTAATTAATAATAATTCTAGTAACCTTAAAGATAAAATTTCTTTTAAGGATAAGGTATACGTTTAGGTTGATATATATAATATTTGAGTATATATAAATCATTAACCAAGAATCTTTCCAAACCAATTTTTATGTAGTAGTTTAAATATTTTTTTGGGATTCAATTTATTCTCTTATTTCTCAATTATTTAAATAATTGGTTGGGGTTAAACATTACCAAAATATGGTTTCTCATCAAAATAGTGATACTTTTAAAAATGTTAGATGATTAAATTCTATTTTTTTAATTTTTTCAATTCTTAATAATAAGATGAAAACATTGTATCTCTAAAAAATGGCATTAATTTTTCTAATTCATTCATCCTTGTTATTTTAATTGAATAAAATTCTAATATTCCAACAATAAAATTTTAAATAAATGCTTCTCCATATAATAAGAACATTTCTAATATTAATCTTGCAAATTTTTTTTCTTATTTTTGCATTAACAGAGTAAAATAATATTAACTAAAACATTAGCATAAGTTTTCCTAAAATAAATAAATAAATGAATACAATATTGTTACATTATAAATGTACAATTATTTCATTACATCTATTTTCAAGCATTTATTCTAATTATAATATTCTTCTTTTAATACCAGGTACATCTTAAATAAATAAATCTTCCATTGATTTCATTAAATGAACAAACATCCAAAACATTTCTTCTTCATTTTCTAAAACTTCAAATCCATCTTCTTCCAATTATTTATCATTTCCATCTATACTTAATAATAGAATTATCTTTCCACAAATGATATTCATTCCTTATGTATAACCAATTTAAGGATTATAATTTGCATATGCACATAGAATTCGATATAAGAGATTAGTATATTTTTTGTTATTCATTTTATCATCATAACCAGTTCTAGGAACATCTTTTTAGATTTAATCTTCAACTAAATAAGGAGGTTTTTTAGAGAAATATATTTTAGCATCACCTTTTTCAATAAATGTCATCCATATAGCTTTACGTCTAAATAATTTATAAGAATTACTTTAAATAGGGAATACCTCTTTATTATATCAAGGTGGCAGCCAATTATAATTTTTAATTTTCTCCCAAAAATTAGTTTTTAGATATTTTGTATAATTAATCATTATTAAACAAAGGTATTGGTATATTTTTTGGTTCTAATTTATGAAAGATAATACATTTTTCTATCATTTCAAACTCATCATCTATTTAATAATTGATAATTTCATCATCTAATTTGTTCTTTTAATCACCTGTTATGAAATTAGAAAGTAATAAAGATGAGAGTAGCTATGAATCAAATGATCCTCTTCTTTATCTTATTTCAGATTATTTCATATTATGTTTTTTATTTTTATTACTCAATATTCTGTATATTATGATGGCTTATAGAATGATAAATATATATATTAATGATTAATATAAACTAAGATGTTTATAGTATAAAATAGAATTACTATATTTTGCAACTTAGATCTAGAAACTTTATTAAATTATATATTTAAAATGAATTTGTGTGATAATTCAGGATGGGATATTGAAGAATAATGTTATTTAGACACATTATTTACAGGTTATTTACCTAAATTAGAAAGAAGAATATCAGAAAATAGTAGTCATAGAATAAGAACATTATCATAACCAAAATAATTTAACCAACAAGCATCTATTAACTCTTTACATCATCATAGACCAACTTAAAGTTAAGCATATTAGATTGGTTCTTTTAGTGCTAATTTTTATGCTCCTTCTACAACAAAGAGTAGAATTAGATTCAAATTCACTCCAACATTAACTCAAGAAGATTAGTAAAAATAGAAAAATATTTCATAATCTCCAATTAAAAAGAAACCAAAATATACTATTATAAATATGAGTTAATTACTATCAGTCACCCCAAAAGTTAAAATGCATTAAGATTCCTTGAATAAAGTTCTTGAGCGATTTTCCAATAAAAAACGATGAAACATACAACTATTTTATAATATAATGAACTCTTTTTTTGTTTACACCTTCTTTATTATATGTTCATATTTATTAATAATAACAATAAAATTTCTATCTATATATTTATGCTTCGTTTAAATGTAACTTAATTAATTAATATTTATATCATATATTTTTTATGCCTAAACAAGCATAGTAAAAATAAGCAGGAGGTAAATTTGTGTCAACAGGTGACCCAGTAGCAGATGATAGAAATTGGATTGGAAGAGTTAATAATGAATTAACATGTACAGCTGCTTGGAATAGAGATTGGGGATTCTTAGCAGGAAATTCAGAGAATCTCAAATTAGAGGATGCTACTAAACCTTATAATATTGATGAATAAATTAAAAATCTCTAATAAGTACTTTTAATTATTGATTTTAAAAGGAAATTGAAAAAATTTAAGTTGATCCAAATAAAATTACAATTAATAGAACTTATGGTAAAGGAGATACATTAGAAAAGTTTGAGACTGATTAAAATAATAAAACAAGAAACAAAGATCTTAAACCTTAAGATAGAAAAATTCCAAAAACATGGAAGTATTAAAAAGGATGGAAACCAGAACCAGATCCTTATGATCCAATCTAAAATATGTTCAAAAGTAATAAAAAGAAATGAACTATATGTTAAAATTTCCAATATTATCAATCATAGCATTATAATATATAACAAGATGATTATAAGGAAATTATCTAAAGTCTTTTTTCTAGTCATATTATATTATTTTTTTGTATCGATTTTTAATATATCTAATTCAAACTTAGATTATGAAGGGCTTGTCAAGTAAATATAATAATTAGTTAATTTTTTATTTTTAACTTTGAAAATAGATTAAGGTATCTATTCAAAAATAAATAAACTTTTTTAAGTCGCATTATCATAAATAAAATGATGTGAGTATGTATTCCTAATATTGTATATAAAATACCTTATTTATTTAGTATTAGACTATAAAATAATAAAATATTTTATACAATTAACATTAATAATTATAATTGTGTTATTAAATATATCACTTTAATGTTATTCAATAATAATAAAATTGTTCTATTATTGTTATATACAGATTATATTATTATATAAAAAGAGGTTAATGTAAAATTTAAGAAATGAGGATAATATAATAATAAATTGAATTATTTTAAGTATTTTATTGTAGTTATCAGTTGTTATATTGAATAATATATGGTTAATCGATAATCGAGAATACCATAAGTATAAATGTAATGTAATTTTAGAGAATTTTATTTTTAAAAATGAGTTTAAAAAGATGGATCTTAAGTATTTTGAGAAGGATTTGTTCATATTTATAATAGTATGGAATTAACAAATAATATTGTGAATTAAGATTAGATAGTAGTTCAAAATATAAAAAGAAAGGACAAAGCTGGGGTAGAAATTATGAAGGGACTTAAGAAACACAAAATAACATTTGTCGATGAAATAGAGAAAGGGAAAGAAATTCAAACTGTAATTATAGTAGAATGTTGGAAAAAATATAATTATGTTTCTCCTGATACTGAAGTGGCAGATGAATGCTGTTAGCTTATTTGATTGCAATTATTGTTTGATATTTAATTTCCTTATGAATTGAGTATCGCTCATTTTCAAATATTAAATATAGTCTTTTATTTTCATTTTACAATGGCATAATATATCATATGATAATGCTAGACATATCTGATGATTTAATATATTTAATTATTCAAAAACTATCATCTAAAGTTGGATAGGCAACAACAACATCAGATTTATCAAAAAGTAACATACTTTTTTAATCACTACTCCAATCTATTTTTACAACATGGAAGTTCTTATCAAATGGCATATCACAAGCAGATGTACATGTTGGATTCCAAAAGAATATCTTACTACTTCCAGTACAAACTGTTAAAGTAGTAGAATTCTTAGACCATGTAAAAGATTTAACAGGTAATATTTAAATCATTATGGCTTTTAAGGTCAATAATTCCATGTCCCAAATGAATACACAATTTTACATTCCATCAAATTTAGTTGCAATATAATCATCTTTATAACTCCATTCTAATAAACTTATACCATTTTATGTCTTTGATAAATTTATTTTACAACCTTATTCCATTTAAGTAACTAAATATCATATTATTATTATAATACATTTAGTAACAACTCTTTATGAATATTAATCAGAATATTCTTCTTCTTTATATATTAGTACATCTTTTGTAATTTTATGTTCTAACTCTGTTATTTATTTAAGTGTCAGTAAATTAATGATTCTTAATTTTTCATCATTTGCTCCAATAGCCATCAAATCACTTTAATTAGCAAATCTACTAATTTTAATGCCTAATGAATATGAATAAGGTTCAAATTTCATTTATAAACCTTAACAAGGGCAATGTAGATTCAAACGAAACTATAATATTAATTATAAATGAGATTACATTTAATTCAGTGTCTTAAACTCCTATAAATGAATCATTATAAGACCATTATAATAATGCTGTATCTAAAGTATCAGAAGATTAATAATTCAATATTTTCCAATCTCTAACACTATAAATTCCTATAAAATCTTTAGCATCTTTTCTTTCACTCATAACCATGAATCTCCCATTATGACTAAAAGAAATTTATTTTGGATTTTTAAAATGAGTGACATTTTTATTATTTAAATTATAAATTGAAGCTTTAATCTAAAATGTTTTTATTTATTTTTACTTAAAATTCACTTATAACAGCTAATTAAATAGAATCTGGACACCATTAAATAGTCTCAACACTATCATCAATTCTTGCACACCAATTAATATCATCTATTTTTCTAATTTCTATATATCCCTTTTTTGGATAACTTAATGCAATTAATTCACTATTTGGTGATATTTCTATTTATTGTATTTAAGCATCATTAATTTATGAATGAGTAAAATTAATTGATTATAATTAATCTGTCTCTTTGACAATTACTCTTGTTCCATTACTTAAGACAATATATTTGCTATTTGGTGCAAATTAAGCAAATATTACACCTGGAAAGATTTCACTAAAGTTCATTTTAATTTTGAATTTTAAATTATATATTATAACAATTCATAATTTCTTAAATTAAAAATACTGTGTTTTTTTTTTATTTAGTTTATTCAATTATCCTAATCTCTCTTCTTAAATTTTATTAATTTGTTTCATCTTTATTATTGAACACATAAAACAGGAATTTTGTTATTCATATTTTATAGGTTTTTATTCAAAATATCATCATAATTGATAAATTTTGTTTCTATATTAAATTTGACATTATAATCTTTAAGATTTTGATAAGATGTTATAATAAAGTACTTCATTCAATTTTTGTTATCTTTTTTTGTTGTTTATTATTTAATAAATTATTAATATCAGAATGGAAATTTATTATTTCTTATAGGTATAATATACAACTTAGAAAATAGAATATAATCTATTATAGGTTAATCTATAAATCATAAATTCACATAAAAATAGAATTAATATGTTAAACTGTATTTAGAATACTCTAAATATAAATATTTATATATATAAAGATTAACTTATTAGTTTTTTCAATATTCATTATCAGATCTCATTTATATATAGAAGCTAAAGATCTAAAGCTATCTTTAGTCTAATTATTTGTAATCATTGATTAATAATTTGAATAATTTGCAATTTTTCTAGATTTCATTTATGCATTCTGGTTTAATTAAAATTTAAATACTTTTGGAGAATATTGAGTTAGTTCAGTTTTTATTCTTTTTGATTGGATAGAATATTATCTCTAACTTTAACTAATAGGTTTTGTTTAAGATAGCTTTAATAATAGATTAGTAGTTCTCGAAACTGTTTTATATTTATTGATTTATGATTTATTTTCAATAATAAAGCATTTTTTCAAATTTTCTGATTAGATTTAAGTTAATAATTTATTGACTTTTGGATTAATTTTAATAATCTTTCTTTTCAAAAATTCGTTATAATTGAAAAAGTTGAAAAATGGATCATTTTAATGAGTTAATTAAAATTTACTTTGTGAACCACATTCTGAACATAAGCAACTATTTCTTCTTGTTTTTTCTAATACAATTTTATCATTAGGAATTCTCATTTATTTAATAAAATTTTAGATGTTTTTATTCTTATTTTTAAGCATTTTTAGTGTTTATATTACAGTTTAACATTTTGACAATTCTTAAAGACCTCTACGAAATTTCCTTATGACTGTATCTTCAGCTATTTGCGTTTGTCTTCTATAGGTTTCCTTAGTCTCCTTATCTTAAGTACTATATTTGGTTTTGAAATCAGGTAAAATATTATGGTATCGATTTTAGAATTTATTCATATATCCAAATAATGAAGAATAACAACTCTTTCTTCTTGTTAAGCCTTTTGATTATTCTAATAGATCATCTTAAACATGTAAAATCTTAAAACTTCTAGAGTTAGAGATTGTATTTTAAACAATTTCACATTTTATAGTGTAGTCTTTTTTACTTATTTATCTTTTCATTATGTTGAAAATATTGGAATAGCTTAAAAGAAATACAACTTCAAATAAATAATAAATATTAAATTTTAATAATAGTCATCTTTAATTCAAGATATTAGATTAATACTATTTAATTTTGGAGTAAATTTAAAAAGTTGAACTTCATTGACTATTTATATTGTTTTACTATAAGATGATTTAACAATTGGGAGATTTAATTTTTTTTTAATAACGTTTGGACTATTGCTTTCAGATTTAATTATATGTTCTCTGCTATTTGAATTGGTTTTAGAAAAGAATGTAGTTTTACAAGCATCTTTAAGTAAAATCTTTCTAGCATTACCTTACCAACATTTTTAGAGTGGTTTTGTATGTTAATTCATTTATATATTTGATTTTCTAGATGAATTAAATTGATTTGAATAAAGTGAATTATTTTCATCATCTTCAAGTTCTTATTCTTATTTTCTTTCTATTGGACTTATTCCTTTAAACATTTAATCTAAATTTCTTTTAATTCTAAAATTAGTATGTCTTGATTTAAGTATTTATTATATATAAATTAACTTTGCTTATTATTGAAATTTTGTCATATTTCCACATTCATCACAACAACAAGTATTTGATCTTTATTTCTTTGGATAATAGAATTAATTTGTTTAAATAAGACTTGTATTATGATTTATAAAATTGTGTAATTTAACTTCAATTATTTGAGGAATTCGTTTATGAATTTAATTATTTGCAATAATAGCATCTTGAGAATCAATATAAGTTGATTCAATGCTTTAATATTTCTTTAGTTTATTTGTTGAATATTGTAAAATTTATGATTATAAATTCATAAACTTGTATTATAGTGAGCTAAGTTATCCACATAACAAACAATTACAACTTTTTCTTCTTTATTTACATTATTCACTTATTTGATTATTTGAAAGATGAATAAAACTTTTGTTTCTCCTTTTTTTATTAGTTGATGAAGACATAATGAATTCTCAATTTATTTAATAAATTATTATACTTTTAATTACTGTTCTAAAATAAAATATTATATTTATTATTAAAATATAAAATGAAAAACAAATAAACTAATCATTCATTATCATAATATATATATATTCATATATTTTATAATCTTTTTTATTAAAAATACTTAATTAATTAATCATCATTTTAAATAATTCTATATATTTTATTTTATTTGATTTTCTTTTGTTATTAATTCTAAATTGATTTAATCTGAATTATTAAAAAATGATGTACATATCACACTATCTCTTTAATAAAAATATATTTGATATTAATTAAATATGAATTTAATCTCTAAATATATTTTCCTATTTTATAACTAAATTCTATTGTTAATTATTTTATATATTAACAAAAATAGACTAATTCTATGTAGTATTATTATAAATATTTGATGATCATTTTTATCTAAATAAATAATCTTTAAAAATAAATCCTATCAAAATTTGTGTATTATTTTAATTTAATAGCAAGTGTTAAATGAGGTATATAGAATTATTATTAAGAAGCATAAAACAAAAATATACAATTATAAAGAATATCATTATGTTTTAAATCTATTGTGTTTGATTTCCTGAGTTGGTTTTATTTTTGAAAAAGTTAAAATTTTTTTAGTAAACCCAATTAAGAGTGGGCACAAAAGTTTAGGATTATTACGGAGTTTAATTTTTTTATTTGTAGACCTTTCAGTTTAAGGAAGTCTCTCAGTAATTAATTGCTGAGATTTAAGTACAAGAGGTGATGGTCCATCATGAAAATGAAAAACACTTGGTCTAAAAGTTTTATTTTTGTAAGCAGTATCTTCCAATAATTTTTAGGTTGTACTAATAGATGATCTAGCAAATGAAGAATCATATATCATAAGTGGAGATCTTTATTCATCAGATTTATCATTTATTAATTATTTTCTACTTATACGAAAGGAGCCCTAACTTTTGCGAATATGTTAGATATNATTTACATTATTCACTTATTTGATTATTTGAAAGATGAATAAAACTTTTGTTTCTCCTTTTTTTATTAGTTGATGAAGACATAATGAATTCTCAATTTATTTAATAAATTATTATACTTTTAATTACTGTTCTAAAATAAAATATTATATTTATTATTAAAATATAAAATGAAAAACAAATAAACTAATCATTCATTATCATAATATATATATATTCATATATTTTATAATCTTTTTTATTAAAAATACTTAATTAATTAATCATCATTTTAAATAATTCTATATATTTTATTTTATTTGATTTTCTTTTGTTATTAATTCTAAATTGATTTAATCTGAATTATTAAAAAATGATGTACATATCACACTATCTCTTTAATAAAAATATATTTGATATTAATTAAATATGAATTTAATCTCTAAATATATTTTCCTATTTTATAACTAAATTCTATTGTTAATTATTTTATATATTAACAAAAATAGACTAATTCTATGTAGTATTATTATAAATATTTGATGATCATTTTTATCTAAATAAATAATCTTTAAAAATAAATCCTATCAAAATTTGTGTATTATTTTAATTTAATAGCAAGTGTTAAATGAGGTATATAGAATTATTATTAAGAAGCATAAAACAAAAATATACAATTATAAAGAATATCATTATGTTTTAAATCTATTGTGTTTGATTTCCTGAGTTGGTTTTATTTTTGAAAAAGTTAAAATTTTTTTAGTAAACCCAATTAAGAGTGGGCACAAAAGTTTAGGATTATTACGGAGTTTAATTTTTTTATTTGTAGACCTTTCAGTTTAAGGAAGTCTCTCAGTAATTAATTGCTGAGATTTAAGTACAAGAGGTGATGGTCCATCATGAAAATGAAAAACACTTGGTCTAAAAGTTTTATTTTTGTAAGCAGTATCTTCCAATAATTTTTAGGTTGTACTAATAGATGATCTAGCAAATGAAGAATCATATATCATAAGTGGAGATCTTTATTCATCAGATTTATCATTTATTAATTATTTTCTACTTATACGAAAGGAGCCCTAACTTTTGCGAATATGTTAGATATAGAGATTATAATATAAGATTATAATTTATATATTAATATAAAATAAAGTGATTCTATATCTTAATAATGATTAAAAAATATACTTGGAATCTAAATAGAGAATCTATTTTAATTTAGTTTATGTTCAGTTGATGTATGGAGAGTATAACTCTTATTTGTTTTTTATGGTTAATAATGTTTAAGATTCATATATTTATATTGGAATTTGCTCATTGTACCACATTCATTACAATAACAACTCTTTCTTCTTATCTTCTAATTATTACGCTGTTCTAATTAATTATTAGAAAAGAGATCACTAAATGAATGTTTATGTTTTTATTGGATAGTCTTTGTAAATTTAAAATGAGATTGATCTCTTGATGTATGAAAGGAATAAGTAAAGACAGCTTGAGATTTCATAATTAGTATTAAATAATCTAAAATTATTAATTTGATATTTATATTAGATACAATAAACTTTAATAAATGTTCGACAAAATAACATTTATCATTCACAACATCTAGTTACTTTCATAAATACTTCTTCTAATGTTGCATGACTCAATCCCCAATCTTTAATTAATTTTCTTAATTGTAATTATGTTTCAGATAAATCTGATTCTTTCTTTTCAAAAACTTCAAATAAAGACTTCAAATCTTACATATATTAGAATGATATGGAAATTCTGAAATAAAATTATAAAAATTTACAAAATGCTACCTCCACTAGTATCTAGGAGTTTAAATTAATTTAATATTAATTTTATTTTTGATAAACATTCATCTACTTAATCAGTAATAATATTAACTCTATAACCATCTGAAAAATTGTTCTTTAAAAATAAACTTGTACCAATTGCTTTTAATTAACCTTCAGCCATTACAGCTATACGATCAGCTAAAACATCTGCTTCTTCCATAGCATGTGTTGTTAATATTACAACTCTATTTTATTTCATATTCTTAATCATTTTCCATACTTACCTTCTAGCTCTTGGATCCATACCTGTTGTTGGTTCATCCATTATGATAATCTTTGGATTACCAATTGCACTTATAGCTAATGAAACTCTTCTTTTCATTCCACCACTATATGTTTAAATTTATTAATCTTTAACATGTAATAATTCAACTTCTTTTAATCTAAGATCTATTTCATTTTCTATTTGATCTCTATGTAATCCTTTAATAGTAGCATACATTCTTAAATGTTCTGCAGCTGTTAATTGATTCCATAATATATCAAATTATGGACATACACCTAACATAGCTCTAATATTTTCCATATCATTAAGATCATAATTCATAATTTAAGCAGTTCCTTTAGATGGTTTGAACATACCTGTTAATAAACCAATTAAAGTTGTTTTCCCTGCTCCATTATGTCCTAATAAAGCTAGACATTCTCCAGAATTAATTTCAAGATAAATATCTTTAAGTGCATGAACATCATCTTTTGATATTATATTAAATGGATATTTATGATATGTTTTACTTAAACCTATTATTCTTAATCCATCAACATAATTATTATTACAATTTTTTATTACTCTCTCTTTCTCTAATTAAGCTGAATCATTAGTATGACATTAATATTATAAATCAGTTATTGGTTATGGGGGAGATTTGAAAAACTTATTAAATGGTTTTGTTATGCAAAACAATAATGAATCTGCCTTTCCTCTATTCTATTAATTAATAATAAATATACACTTTCAAGAATGTGATCAAAATAATATGTCAACATTATATAAAACATACATGCCAATAATAAATGAAAATAATTATCCATTGCACATGGTGATTAATATTGGACATTCTTATCCAATTATACTTTACCACTATTTACTGCAAATAAATCTTCATAAGTAAATCCATCTCCTTCAACCCATCTACCTTCCTCTAAAGAATAATGTCTACAAGACTTTATAGAAATATCTGCAAAAATCAATGAATATTTAAATGCTGGATACAAACTCATTAATGCTCTTACTATACTTACCCAACTAGAAGCATCTAATCTATAAAATAGAATTGACATTCCTGCTTAAGTAAAACACATTTACATTAAAATTGCTGTAAGAATAAATCCATAAGCTATTGTATATCCATTTTTCACATCTGGACATACAACAACTATAAAAAATGCAACTAAAGAAATAGAGAATCCAAAAGTTACATATAAAATGAACAATATCATATTAGGTGTATTTATAAAAAAGTCCATTCTAAATATTATTCCACATATCAATAGATTTATTGTTAAAATTATTACTAAAATTAATGCTGTGATACTCCAACTTATCCAATATATTGTGTGTGTTAATCCCATTACCGTTAAACCTTATCTAAGTTTTTTCCCTTTTTCTTACAACATTTCATTTATTAATACTAAAAAATTAAGCAAATAAGGAGCAAAGAAATAAAAGGCTCCATAATTACCCACTATATCTATTCCTTACATAAATCTTGTAGGAATTGTGGGAAATTCTTATTAAGAAATATACAAGAATTCTTCGTCATCTTCTTTAGGAATTTTAGTGAATTCTCTCAAAATAGCATTATCTAAACTTATTTTCAGAGATGATGCATAGGCATCTTTAGGATATGCTATTTTCATATCTGATAAATAAGGAGATCTATACAATAGAGTGTAATTATACAATATTGTATAAAATACTACTTATTTATCAAGTCTTTCAAATTAACAAGGAATTGAAATCTCTGGTTGTTTATCGTACAACATCCAAGAATCTGTACAAAATACTACTGCTATTTAAGTAAGATTCATATGAGACAATAAGTATTCTGAAATCTGACTTGGTTGATCATAATTTCCTATAAATTTTACATCCTAATCATATTTCAAGTGATTTGTATGGGCAACTCTTTTCATTACATTTGTTATCCAATCTTAGGTTTATCCAAGGATGAAATATCCAATTGTTATACAATTATTATCATTATAGGATGTACATCTAGGTATTTATTTCAATATATCTTTTATGGGTGGATCTATTATTAAGAATCCTGTGAATCTATCTACAAGATATTGCCATAATAAAATTAGTAAACAAATCAACAATGGCGATAAGAATAAAAAGATAGATAGACATTTCTATCTTTAAAATAATAATAGATTCTTTTTTAACATTAAAGTCAATAGTCGTAAGCAATTATATTCTTGCTTTCGATATTGTATTATTTCTTATTCTTATTCTTCTTATTATTATTCTTTATTTTTAGTATTGCTATTGAATAATTCAATCTCTTTTTCTTCCATATTATGTATAATTTATTTAATAAATAATTATCAAATTCCATCAAAACTCTTCTAAATCCTTTATGTTGATATCAACTTTTTTAAGATATCTTTATTTAATATACTAGCACTAATCATTTAAAAAATTTATATACTCTATCAAACTCTTGAATTTTATTTCATTTTTTATAAACTTATTTATATTTCTATTTGACTATGATTATCCTTCTTTTTATTAATCAGTTTTTAATTCAAGAATATTAATCAAACAGCTTCTTTATGAATGAATTAAAACATATCAAATATTTTATTGTGGTGCCATAAAAAGAATTATCTAAACTCTTTTAAAGATATTTGTACATCACTTAAGATATAATTCTAAATAGTATTTATTTTATTTTGAAGTATTACACAATATATACATAGTAATTATCTTATTAAAAAATGATAATAATAATTATATATCATATAATTAATTCTTCTACTTCTCCTTCATTGTCATCAATTTTTTGACTTGAAACTTCAGTCATATTTCTAAATTCATCATTGTTTCCTCTCTTTTTCATTAATAATACTATACCATAACCAATAATCAATCCTACAATGAAACTGATAATGCATGCTTAAATCACTTACTTTTTTGTCCATCCTAAATAAAAATCACTTATTTTTTCAGCTTAACACCATTCCCCAGTATAACCAAACCAACAATAGCATTCATTTTCAATACATACACCATGTTCTGAACATCTTTTAGGGCATTCATCTAATAACATTAATTAAAATGGATCTTCTTCTTTTGATGAAACCTTAGGAGGTACCATCATAAAATTATATGTAAAAGGATTGGATTATAAAATATTATTATTATTATTATTATTATTATTATTATTATTATTATTATTATTATTATTATTATTATTATTATTATTATTATTATTATTATTATTATTATTATTATTATTATTATTATTATTATTATTATTATTATTATTATTATTATTATTATTATTATTATTATTATTATTATTATTATTATTATTATTATTATTATTATTATTATTATTATTATTATTATTATTATTATTATTATTATTATTATTATTATTATTATTATTATTATTATTATTATTATTATTATTATTATTATTATTATTATTATTATTATTATTATTATTATTATTATTATTATTATTATTATTATTATTATTATTATTATTATTATTATTATTATTATTATTATTATTATTATTATTATTATTATTATTATTATTATTATTATTATTATTATTATTATTATTATTATTATTATTATTATTATTATTATTATTATTATTATTATTATTATTATTATTATTATTATTATTATTATTATTATTATTATTATTATTATTATTATTATTATTATTATTATTATTATTATTATTATTATTATTATTATTATTATTATTATTATTATTATTATTATTATTATTATTATTATTATTATTATTATTAATATTATTATTATTATTATTAATATTATTATCTTATGTTTTATAAGGTTTAAATTTTGTATCATATTATTATGATTATAAATCGTTATTATTAACTTAATAATTATTATTTTGTTAAGTATTATCATCTTAATTATTTTAATTTTAATTATTATCATCTATTATATTTCCGTTATCATCTACATCTACATAATATACTCTGTCAATATCATCATCAAAGATTGGCATTGGTCCTTCTTATCTTTAATTAAATTTATATCCAGTAGCAATAAATTATTTTAAATCTTCTTCTCCTGCATCTGCAACTGTATCTAAATCATTCTCATGTTCACCATCATAATCTTTCAATAAATCCCAAATAGATGTATATCCAGATTCTGTTCCTTAGACAAGTGAACAATCAGGACCACTAAATCCATCTTCACATGCACATAATCCAGTTTCATAATTACATTAACCTCTATGATTACATTCATCCAAACATCCAGTTGATTATGGTAATTTACTATCAACTTCAGGATTACCACTGCAAGTAGTACCTGAGAAACCTTCAAAACACTTACATTTTCCATCCAATTCACATATTCCATGTTCTTCATCTGTACAATTACCTGGACATGGTACATTCAATTAACAAATAGATCCTGTATATCCAGGATAACATTTACAATATCCATTACTTAAACAAATTCCTTGTTCTAAACAATTTTATTTACAAAGAACCTATTAAGTACAATCTATTCCTTGCCAACCTTATTTGCAACTGCAATGACCAGCTCTACACTCTCCATCATTTTTACATGGAGGACATGTTTCAGATGAAGCAACAGCTAATCCAATTAATGAATCACTACAATATTATAACAATTTGCATCCACCAAAATGAATCAATAAAGATCCTGCAAATACCATACTACTATAAGCTACTTATCTTAAATTTCTTTTCTTTTCTACTGTCACATTAGTAAAACTCATTGATTCAGTATCTAAAGTATAAACATCATTGTAGCATTCAAATAAAATTGGATTACATCCTCCAACTATAAAAATTCTATTATCATATTCAGCCATAGCTGCACCTTATCTAGGACTAGGAATATCACCTTCAACTTCTCTCTTCTACCAAATTAAATCTTCATTAATTGTATAAAGATCATTCATTATCATACCTTTAGCATAACCACCAAATACATAAGTCAAACCATGATGATAAGTCATTGAAAAACTTTCTCTACCTAAAGGAACATCTCCACCACCTGATGGTTTTCCCCATCTCTCATTTACAAAATCCAAAATGTAAATATCATTTGAATATACTTCACCAACAAACCCTCCAAATATTAATCCTCCTAATTTAGTCAATACCATTTTATGACCTGCTCTTGGTGTTGGTGCTTAGCCTGGCCAAGATAATTAATTCCAACTTCTACTTTCTAAATCAAATACAAATAAATCATTCACTAATCCTTATAAGGTATGTCCTCCAAATATATATAACCTTGCACCATTAACTAATGATCCAAAACCACTTCTACCTACTGGAGGAATTCCAAATACTTTTGGTGTTGTCCATATACGTGTTCTTGCATTAAATAAAAATAAATCATTAAAGCATTAAATGTTCAACAAACATCCTCCAAATAATACTACATAATCTCCTATTGAATGCATTGAATGACCTCCTCTTTATCTAGGAAATCTTTCAAATGCTAATAAAGGTGTCCATTCCATATCCTTTAATTTTTATTCAGGTTATTTATCAGGTAACGTTGCTTCTATTTCTTTCTCTGTAAATTTGATTCTACTTATATCATTCATATTTATTAGAGTCACTTATTAATTGGTTGAATCCTCTGATCTCAAATACCAATTTCCATCAGATAAATGATACAGAGATCCTATTTTCAATGGGTATTCTTTTGGTGTAGTATCATCTTCATCAAGTTCATCAATGCATTCAAAATCTGGTGGAGGTGATTCAACCTATTTTTTATTGCTCCTTCCAAATTTCTCAATCAAAACGGGTCCATTTTTAGTATTAATTAACCACAATAATAAAATATATATTAACATAAAATTATCAAATTTATTTATAACTTATAATTCATTATTCATTTATAAGATCATTTATTGTACCTACAACAAAATAAATAAAGCAGAAAATTTAAGAAAACTCTTATTACAAAAAAATCAATTATAAATGTTTTTTGAATTAAAAAAATATTATTAAAAATACTAATTTAATATGAATCAAGTTTAATATATGTAGGTGTTAAGGGATTCATAAGAAATTAAACTTAGAGATAAATTCACTTAACTTTAATCAAAAGCACATGATTATGTTATTAAATAGATGAAATAATTGGAATAAAAATACAATTAATAACTTTTGTTAATTGTTCAATAATATTAAGAATGTAAATTAATGTGTGAATAACTTCGATTAAAGAATGAATAATACTCAAAACTTATATTAGAGTAAGAATTTAAATCTATTCAGACCAAAAATTATATGTGTCTTGAAGTTGTTAATTAACTTTTAACCTAGAAGATAAATTCTCTACTATTTTAATTAAAAAGTCATAATATCATTTCTGAATCCGAATATTTTTCTCAAAAAAATACACTCTAACTACAACTAGCAGAAATTATTTGTAATCCTAACAACCATGATTAATCAACTTATATAATGCCTTTAAATGATACTACTAAGGCTACTTTGATTGTTTCACAGAATATTAAATATGATGATTAATTTGAAGTGAAGAATAATAATAATTATGAGAATACCTCTATAGGAATATAAACAAACCTTTTTAAATAGAAAAAAGAGAAATCTGGTAAACAACAAAAGATCTAAATTGAAGAATAATAAACTATTTCTCCAAATATATCCAATCAACTTAATGAGTGTATAAAGTCTATTTAAGAATTATAAAAAAGTAAAGTTGATTTATAAGCCAATAATGAATTATTAAAATCTTAAAATCAGAATCTTTAATGCAGATTAAATTAGAAAGTAAATAACTCTTTCAAATGCAATCATAGTGTTATTAATAATAGATAAATAATAAAAAAATTCTTAAAATTTGATGATATGGTTTTTAAAAATGTAACATCATTTTCTATGGCCTAAAGTTTTGATTTAAGATAAGGAAATATAAGTAGCCGTTAATTCTTTACAAGACCTAAATCTTCTGCTCCAAGTACTACCAGAAATAGATTTAATTCAACTCAATAACCATCAAGCACAGGCTTCCATGTCTTATTCTGATTCTACTTATTAAATATAAAATTATGATTATTTTTAGTATAATTTAATATGAATTTATAAGAATAGATAGACAATCATAATTTGATTTGATTAATTTATCATTAATAGACAAATCCTGTGATAAATAATAATGTTATATTAATTGATAGATTCAGAATTAAACATTATTTGTTATCTTTGAAATTATAATTAATAATTATTTTTTATAATGAGAAGGTATGATAGATAAAATGAAAGATAAAAGGAAATAAAATTAAGTGATAATTAAAAATTTTTAAGCTTTTCATTGGAAGCACCTTCAAAGTAGTTAAAATTTATGCCTAATACTTATCCAGGTTTGCCATCATATTATCAAACACCTTATGATGATTATTTAAGATGTTTTAAATAAAAAGATGAAACAATCGAAATATAAGATTTAAGTAATTAGTATGTTAAAAGACAGTTAATTAAAATGAAGAAAAGCATGAAATGAATACTTTTCTTTAGAGTTTTAGATTAAAAAATGGACCAAAAAAAGGAATGGGAGTAGGAATGAGCAGATAAATGTTTTCTGGATTATCAATAATAAAACCTGGAAATCTCTCAAGTAATTAAGATATGATTAATGGAACATTGAGGAGTATGAATGGAGGAGAACTAAGTAGTATTGCTCATGATGGACCATAGAATCAAAGTTTAATAAGGGTGGAAGAGAATATTTTGAATATTTTCAATATGAAAGAAGAAGTTGATAAAGTTTATAAAAAACTCATAAATTGATATATAAACACTTTTGTTTATACGATTATCAACGCTGTAGTTAATTATTAATTAATAATACAGTATTATATATTTAATTTATGCAAACTGAGACAAAGGAAGTAAAACTAGCTGGAAGTTGTGAGATGGAAGACTTAATAAGTAAGTTTATTTAAGTTATTCTTTAAGTCTATCCATATGAAGTAGTAAATCAGCATTTCTGCAATTTTGTAGAGAATACTAAAGAGTTTATAGAAACAAGAGAATAATTAAGTAAAATAGGTGCAAATCTTCGATTAAAACTTGACAATTGGCCTACAATTGAAGAAGCAAAAATGTTATTCTAAATAAACATGTATTTAGATATTTAGACTACATTATTATAGTTAAAATGCAAGAAGAAGAAGTGTAAAATGGAATGACACTGATAAGCGTTTATTCTATTGGATAGTTATTAGATATTGTTTAGTGAAGGATTTAAGTTCGCTTGTAAAATTAATTATTTTTATATCTATAAAGACACCATATGAATGGAGAGATATAGCTAAAATGATACTTGGACGTAATGCTCATTAATGTAGACTTAAATGGGAACAAAAGTATAAGATTTCCCTTTCAGAAGCTCCATGGACTGAAGAAGAAGATTAACTTTTATAATAAGTTCATGAGTATGCAATTCTTTATATTATAATTTTTTTAGAGAATTTAGTAGATTAGGAAAAGAGAATAAATGGTCTTAAATAGCTAGAGAGATTTATAAGAGATCTCCTAATAAGATATTTAGATAACCAAAATAATGTAGAGAAAGATGGATTAATAGATTGGATCCAAATATTTGCAAGTAATATATAAAACTATTAAAATTAGTGAACCTTGGTCAAAATAATAAGAGATTGATTTATTAAAGACTATTTTAATAAGAGGGAAGAAATGGTCAGAATTATCAGCTTTATATGGTAGAGTAAGAACAGAAAATTCATTAAAGAATAAATATAATTCTCTATTAAAAAAAGAAAAATTAAAATATGAATTTGAAACTATAAACCCATAATTATTTGCTAAAGTTTAATAATTAAGAATGGATTATGCAAAGAAATATGGTAAGATTACACCAATTGAAGAAATTGATAATTATGAATGGCAATTTATTGTTTTAGCTATACAAAGTTTATATATTGATTTATGTGTTTAAGAGGGTAAATATCAAGAAGCATAGAAGATTAAAAATGATGACTTTTTTGATTTGTTTCATAACGAAATCACTTCTAATAGTAAAAATGGCATTTTATATAAAAAGCAGTTGAACATTAAAAGAGTAGATAATTAATTCCATGTTGAAAATGATAGATCTGGAGTTGTAATTTTTAATAAAAAAACTAAAAACTTATTTATTTCTCCATTTAATACATTGGATTTTTAAGGACTCATACTAAAACATCTCTATAAATCAGTTAAAAGTGAAGAAAACAATAGTAAATGTCCTACATTAACATAATCAGATCATAATATGTTATTTTTGCAAAAATCCATTGATGATATTAATAGATAAAGCAATATTTAACCAATACTTTTATTGGCTAATTAACCTTCATTTATGATGCCTTTAGGTTAAAGTATGATCAATAGTTATTGGTTACCTCCAGTTTTACCTTGTATGTCTTAATCTATAGGTGGATATTAATAATAATAATAAAACATATAAGAACATGTAGCCTTAAATATTAAAGAAACGAAAAAGTAAGCCAGCTTCGATGATTTATTCGGAAATGATATTAAAGTCGTTGATTCAGATGGTGAAAAATGATAATTTTATGATCGTTAATCTTTTATTTGAAATATAAATATATAATATGTCTTTTTCTTAAGATGATGAATTACTAGAATTAAATTCAAGATATGACAATATCCAAAAACTTAATCAAAATATTTTCATTGAAAATTAGAAATTATAACATGAAATCCAAATATTGAAATAGGTAAATCATTTAATCTAATTCTAGTCTTTGATTCAATTTGAAACTGAAAACAATGATTTAAATGATTAAATTGAAAATCTCAAGAATGATTTAAGAACCTAATTTACTATTAGTTAGAATTTAAGATAAGAAAATGAATTCTTTGAAAATTAAATACATGACTATAAAAAATAAATTGAATTTGCTGGAACATATTACAACTAGATTGTTTAAGAAAATGATCTTTAGATATCTTAAATTTAGTAAAAAGTTCAATAAAATGATTATCTTACTTAAGAGAATCATTTATATAAAGATCAAATCATATCCTTATAAGAGGATAATGATTAATTAACTTAAGAATTAAATAACCTATAGGAATCAATAAATAATCATGAAAATTTTAATTAAGACATCAAACATTACTAAAATTAAGATTAAAACAAAAATATTAATAAAAAAAACAGGAAGAAAAATAAAGAATTAGAGAGATTAATTATTAAAAAAGAATAAGAAATAAGTCAATTATATTCTACAATAGAGGACTTAAAAAATTATATTTAATAAATGAAATATCAATCAGAAAAAAATGAATAAAATCTTACTAATTTATATAATAGTTATTAATAAATTGAAATAGAAAGAAATAAATTAGTATCTAAAATCGATTCAATTTAGAATTCTAATGATAGATATTCTAATTAATAATAATAATATTAAAACTCAGAGTAAAATAAGAATAAAGAATGTTAATAATTAAAAATATAATTAGATTAATTACAAATGTATAATTAAAAATATTAATAATAAATATAAACTATAAATGACGAATTTACTATTATTATTTAAAAGCATTCTGATTTATAAGATTTGAATAATCAACATTTGTAGGAATTATAAATCTTAAAAAATGAATTATTTGAAAAGGAATAGTTTTTAGAAAAGATATAATAATAATTACAATAAAAATAATTAAAAGAATAATAGTTATAACAATAAACCAAAGAAATTAATTAATAATTAAAGGAATTATAATAAAACAAGTCTGATTAATAGACTTTTATTATGTAATTATAAAAAGAAAATCAAATATATTCAACAAAATTAAATTAGTTAAAAGATTAATAATCAAAAGAATTTAAAGATAATATAATTTAAATAGATTAATTAAAAAAAGAGAGATAAAATCTAATAGATCTTATTAAAATTAAAGATGAAAATTAAGTAGAATTAGAGATAGAAAAAAAGAATTTATAAATTATGTTAAAATAAATATAAGAAAAAAGAATTCATTTAGAATAGACAGAATAGTATAATAATAATATTTAAATAATTTAGATCTTTTGTAGTAGTCACTTAATAATGTATGTAATTGTAAGATTAGAATAGAGATCTATTAAGGTAAGTTTCTAATCTTGAAAATGATTTATAAAAAAATGAAGAAGAATTGAGACAATTAAACAGAATTAATAAAAAGTATAAATATATTGTAATTTAAGTTCGTAAAATTTTGATAAAAGTACATAATAAATGATATTTAAAGATAGAGAAATAATACATTTATAATAAGTAGTAGAAAGATTAGAAGGAATGAATAGATAATTATAATAAGAATGTGATAGACTTGTTGCAAAAATTTAATTAACTTCACATGAAAATACTTTATTAAGTAGAACAAATAGAGAATTTGGTTAGATGGGAAAATTATTAATTGAAGGATAATAAATTAAGGAGATGTTAGAAAAGAAAAAATATGAAAAACCATCCACATTAATAAATAGTAAAGCTCCTTAAGTGATATAATAATTGTAGTAATATAATAGAAGGCCATCTTTAAAAAAGTCTTGAAGTACTAAATTAATTTTGAAATTAATTAAATCTCTAGTTAATAAATTAATTGTTTTGATACTAAAATTCTAGCAAGATTTTTTAGATAAATGTTTCAAGATCAATTTTTCTCCTTCTTGAAATATTAAAATTATTATTTTTATTCTTCTTTTCTCAATTTCCTTTATTAAATTGCTCTTTCATTTATTTTCTCCATATATTCACTAAATGATATAGCCTTTTCTTATCCATCTTTACTCTTTTCTTCATCTCCAAATATTGCATGAATTTCTGAATCTAATGATTATCTACCAAACCTAACATAAAGCAATTCCAAAGTATCCTATTATTAAGATATATATAATAACTTCAACTGTTATTTTTGGATCTTTTCTATCTAAAGGTAAATACATTAGAAATTAGACCATATGATACAAACTCTTAGGTTCTAACCCTGTTTTATCAATTGTACATTTCTTGTACATATTCAAAAATTCAGTCCAGCTAACTTTGCCATCAAGATTTTCATCAACTTCCTATTTAATTATTAAAATATAATACCCACAACATAAGATCAATTTCAGATTTAGTAAGTGCTACTCCTAAAAATCTAAGCATTTTATCAACATCTTTCATATCAAAATAATCAACATCTTTCTTTTTAAGCATCTAGAACACTCTATATATAAGAAAGTATAACAAGTACTTTTCCAATTATTTTTTTTCACTTGCCTTGATTTCAATGCTCTCTAATTTTTATTCAATTGGCTACTCTTTCTCCATTTTTTTCTATTTCATTCTTTATACATCAACTTAAATATTAGCTTTAGGAATTTAAGGTTTTGGAAGAATTCCCATAGCAGTATAACGTTCTTTTAATGATGAAGGTAATAAATTCAGATCTAATTTATTACCTTTTTTTTTCTTTTTTTCATCATCCATATTTTATTGATCAAAAAATAAAATAAAATTTAGATATAGAACTTAAGGTGAAATTACAACAAGAATATTTAATACAGTATTCAAAAGAATAAATAATAAAATATATATATATATTCTTTTAATCTAATTTGATAACATGTTTTAGATCTCTAATTCTTACTTAAATGAATTAATGTATAATTTATATATTCATTTAAAATTTATCAATCTAAATTTAAATATTTTTAACTAACTATATATATGTTATATTATCTTATTACTAATATTTATTGAATTTAATATTCTAATATTATTATTTTAATAATAAAATTCTAATTAGCAAAGGATATAATCAAGAAATTATTGACCATATATAAGATAATATTATTCTTAATTTAATCAACTCTCAATCTTTTTAATATAAACCCTAGAAGATTCTTTACTCTTTACTGTATTAATATCAAAATCAATAAAAGAGTGCAAATAAAAGTAAATCTCAAAATTATATATAGTTTAATCTATAGAATTTTAGAAATCAATCATTAATATTATGTTGAAATAGTTTTCTAAGAATTATATCTGATAATAAATTATAAGAAGGGTAATATTTAAAAGACTGACTACTACTATTTTAATTACACGAAACATTTAATCATTAAGTTTATTATAAGGCACTTAATAATTCCTTATCTTCTACTGGCTTTGAAATAAAGATATCCATTCCATTTTCAAATCCTACTCTTTTGCTTTCATAATCTGTAAATCCACTGCATCCTATTATTTTACACCTTTTAATCTATTTCTCTACTTCCATTTATCTTATTAATTTAGAAGTCTAATATCCATTTAAGTAAGGCATATTAATATCTATAATGATGAATTTAATCCAATTACAACAATATTCTCTGTTATTTTACCAATTTTATAGAATTTCTATGCATTCTTATCCACTTTTTGCTTTTAAATGAATATATTTCATACGATCTAATTTCCATCCTAAAGTTTATAAATTGAGTGGTTCATCATCTACAATTATTATTTAAGGACATCTACAAATTGAAGTTTATCCTATTAATTAATCTTCAAACTTTTTTTAAATAGGTAAATTAATAGAACAACTTTCTTTTCTAATGAGAAATTTAGATTCCAATTAAGTTGATATTTAATTATCACTAACATCCTATATTTTAAATAGAAATCTAGATCCTTTATCTTCTCCTTTTGAATCAACTTATAATCCTTCATCATTTCCACTTAATTTTTAGGCTAACACATTGCTTATCATTAATCCTAATCCTACTCCTGATGTATTCATATTTTTTGTATCTTCTAATTTTCCAAATGGCTAAAATAATTTATTTTTATCTTCTGGTTTCAAACCAACCCCAGTATCTTCAACAGAAATTTCTATTATTTTTGGTTATAACAATTTTGCTGATACAGTAATTCCGCCCTCTTTTGTAAATTTGGTGGCATTGCTTATTAAATTAAAAATTATCTATTATATTCTTTAAGAATCAGATTTAATTATTTATGGAAGTTTAGGATCAAAATCTTACTTTAAATTTAAATTCCTTAATCTTACAGGGTATTACATAATTGATATAACATCATTTAATAATTACTTTATTGAAAATTCTTAATAAGTTAATTTAAATTTTCCTGCTTTCAGTTGGGCTAGATCCAATAAATCATTGGCTAACCCTTAAATTGATACTGCAGAACTCTACAAGGGTTATAAATATCTAAAATATATTCAAATTAATTACTCTGAAATTAAGTTTTCATCTTATTGAAATTAAATTTTCAATTATTAATTTATTTCAATTATAGCTGCTAATGGATTACGCAATTCATGAGAAACATAAGATAACATTCTAGATTTATTTTTATTTTGTTATTATAAAACTTTGAATTGATTAAATAATGATACATCTCGTATCAGTAATAAAACACTTCTTTTATTTTCATATATGTATGGTTTTATTGTTATTTGAATCAATAAACCTGGATTACATTCATCTTAAGACTTATCTTCTTATAATTCATTATTTTGATCTTCTGATGATTCTTCTATAATGCAAAGCATTTTTTTGACTCCTGGTGAAAATCTTATTTTATCCTATCCTTTATATGTTTTTTAAGAATGAATAGATTATTATTTATAATATGGAGAAGGTAATCCATTTTTGTCTTGATTTTTCTCTTACAATGCTTTATCTAACTCCTATTTTAAAGTTTCAGCTTTACTGAGTTCAGCTTGATAATAATAATCAGTTTGATTATCATCGAAATTATTATTAAAAATACTCTCTTTAGAATTATCATCATTTATTTATTGATCAAATTGTTAATCGAAAGGTTAATAATATTCATGTTAATTATATTTTAACTTTTTATCTAATTTTGAAAAAAATTAATCAAATTATGCTTATTCTTCAAATTAAAATTTCGAACTATAATTTTTTAATTCATATAAACGAGATAATATATCATCTTATCTGTTTTATTTATGTTTTCTACCTAATAATGTATAAACTTAATTATTATGATAATCAATCTTATTTTGATCATTAATAATAATTATACCTTCAGGAAATTAATTAAATAAAATCTCATAAAAGGTTTTCTGTTATTCAATTTATTCAAGAACTGATTAATCTTTTGAATAAATTGAAGGGTTTTTTACTATACCTTAATTTAATGACATAAATTTAATTTAGTTTGAATCTTCATCAAAAATTTATTATTAAGGACTTTCTAATTTCTCTGTAAAACTACGAGAGCTTGGTTTCTTTTAAGGTAATGTTTTTTCCTGTGTTCTTGCTACTACAAAGAATTAATATAACAATAGCAAACCATAAAGAGCTTCTCCAAAAATAATCCCAATTGATGATGAATCTATCAATAAATAAATTGAAGTCAAATTTGCTGATGCAATAACAACCAATAAATATCCAATTCTAGCTATTTAATTTAGAATAGTTGTGTCTGCTTCTAATTAAATTGTCAATCCCAACCAAAAATATTAAAATCTGCTTAATAATCCATCATTTTTCAATCCATAATCAACACTACCCAAACAAAAGAGATTTAGAATTTACCATAATGATTTACATATTAATTATTATTGTTCAACACAAGTATTGATATATCTATTAAATGGTATAAATAACAGTGTCAAAATCATACTAAAGATAACTTAAAAGTATTCTGAATTATGATTAACTAACTTTATTGTAAGTACCATTATAAAATAGGTTAGTTGAATTACAACTCTTAAATTTACACTATTCATTATAATATAATAATAAAAATAATAAATTTATAAATTATACAATTTACTTACAATTTATTATTATACAAAACAAAAATATCTTATTTTATAATTTCTTAGCTTCTAATTTTTATAATCTATTATTTTTTAATAATTAGAAAGAATAAATCATAATATAAGTGTATTACACTATTTATAACACATCAATAATTTTCTAAATAATTACCATTCTCTAATTCAATCTTTATTCTAGATAATTCTTCTTTTCTACTTTCAGTTAATCTATTAGTTTTAGCTAGATTTTTAAGTTCATCTTCAAATTTTGTCACTTAATTCTCTGTAGCCTTGAATCTACCCTCTAAATGTTATTTAAGTCTTTTTTAAATTAATTAAAATTTAGAATATGAGAAACTATCATTATTATATTCTTTCATTTTATCTTAAATACTATAATCTCTATTATGTATGCAATAATATAATTATCTATTAAATTTATCACTTAATTTATTCTTTTCTTCATATGATTCATTAATTTAAGTTACTAATTATGGTAAAACTTTGCTATTCCTTACTTTATCATATCTTTTATATAATTCTATTTCTTTATTTTTATCATTTTATTTTCTGTCTTCGCAATCAATTATTGATAATTGCATTTTAATATTTTCTGTTTTCCCAAAAGATGTACTGCCACTAGTATTTAATTTAATTGTAGGTCTTCTTGCTGATTTACTTGGTGTATTAGAATAATAAGAAGTTTGTTTATGCTAATTAATAAGATAATCTGAGAGATCAAGTTCTTTTTTTATTTTTTCTAATTTCTCTATATGATTCTCAACTCTATTTTTTTCATTTTTTATAGTTTTAAGCATTTAATGTTTATCTTGTGAATGAAAATACTCTTCAATATTGGGTAATTGAATTGAATAGTTATAGTCTACTGAAATTCTCTTAAGTTTAAAATTACGTGATGACTTAGCTTCAAGTACTCTAAATAAACTTATCTGTTACTGTTAATTTTATTCATTAAGTAGCTGTTTCAAAATTGTTTAAGTTCTTTTTTATCTTATGATTGGACTCAAATCACTTTTATATTTTTCTCTTTAAGTTGAAATGATATTGTTTTGTTATTTATTCGTAAACTTTTCCAATCTAACACTTCCCTTATAAATGATTTTTTTTTATTCAATGAATTAAACTTTATTATCTTTATTTTCTTTGATAAATTTCATTCTAAAAATTATCGAAGAATGTTATTCATTAAAGTTATAAATATTCTTCAGGATTTATTTTTTAAGAAAAAAGAATGATTTTTATTTGAAAATTCAAAATGATACTCATAAATAAAGAATCAAATGGAATTAAATGACATTGATTATATCTTGCTCTATTTCAAATGGTACATTATATTTATGTGATTCATATATTAATTTAAATTAAATGGGTAATAATTGTGTTTCAGAGAGTGATTCATTAATTAATGAAGACACATAAGCTAAATTCAATAAAATAGAATCCAGACCTGGAATTTATGCAGTAGAGCATTCAACAAATACTTGTTTAGAGAGCATTTCGATAATGTCTTCTCCAGACTCTGCTTATCCAATCACATTCAAAGACAATATGGATGTGATTGCATTTAAAGGTCATAAATATGCAATTCTTGAAAGACATAGTGTATACTATGGTGAAATCAATTAGAAATACTAAAAAAATGGAAAAGGAAAACTATATTTATAAGATGTGGATAAGAATGGAAACTAAAAGTTAGTTATAAAGAAAGGAATATTTAAAAATAATAAATATTTAGAATCAGGATAAATTTCACCAAAAGGTGAATGTTTAGATGAAACTTTAGACTCTAAAATTACAGAAGCATAAGATTTATAGAACTCTCTAATGTTAAATGAGTAATACAAATACAATAAGTTTATAAATGATAAGGATTTAAATTCTATTAGGGATACAAATTAACTTAGATCCAACATTGTTAATGGATATATACAATATCTTTAATAACTTGATGAAAAATTATATTGGGACACTCCTCCTCATAAAAGAGAGAAATTTGAGAGAACAATTATATTCTAAAGCAATTGTTAATTGGATAATTATGATGAATTTACTTAACTAATTAAATAATTTAGATTTGTCAAATTTTGGCTTATTTATAAAAAGATTGGATTTGTTATTGAACATAATCCCAATCGTTGGTATTTTGTAGAAGTCTAGATTACAGAAGATGAATTTAATATCAATATTTATGATTCCATTAAATGCAGTAAGGCCTTTTATTCAAAAATAACACTTTAATTAACTCAACTATTCTAAAGATTATTGAATCACAACCTTGAAGCAAAAGTGATAATAAAAGACAATATACCTTAATCTTACAATACTTATGATAGTGCAGTCTACACTTGCATTTTTGCAAGGATGCTTAGATGTAATTGCAGAAATAAAGTGCTAAATCTGAGTCCTTCTTAAATGAGATCAGATTTAGAAAGACTATTTGTTAATTGATTATTATTTAATTAATTATTTAATATATAAATATAGATGGGTACATCTGAATCATAAATGCAATAACAAATTGTTAACAATACAGAATTTTAGAAATATCTTAAATAGATTTGCTTTAAAGTTCCAAAATCTGGTCTTAACAAAAACTATTTTGATAATGTTCTTGAAAACCTTAATTAATTTAAAGTCATTTAAATAGGATCAACACCACTAGGTGATCGTCTCTATGATGTATTAAATGCAAAAAACTAAAACAAAGTTACATCGGACATTCTATATTAATTTTTAACTGATTTATACACTAATAGAGAATCAAGATGTTTATGTAAATAAAATCTAAACTATTTTTTTTAGATACATTTTAAGCCTACTGTTTGGAAGGCAAAAATATATAAAAGTAGGTGATGGAAAGGAATTTTATTGCTATGGTTGTGGAGTCATGGGAAAGAGCATTTACAGTATTAGTTGAACAATTGCCAGAAAATAAAAAAAAACAAGATGGTGATTTAATAGAAAATTGGAGTAAATCTTAGTAATAGAAGGAAATAGTAAAGAAAGCTGCTTAAGCATGTTTTAAGAATTTAAGCAAATCTTTGAATAACTAGGCAGAGTATTTAGCATTTAAAAATTGGATATGTTCTGAAAGTTAGGATAAGATAGTGGCAAAATATGATGGGAATGTTGTAGTAATACCATTAACATTATATAAATTTGTTTAATGATATTTATTCAATTATCATCCATTTATTCCTCCATGTTATTTACTTAAATGATCGTAAATATATTTTTCATGATCAGCTTAATGTAGGCAGATCCAACAGAAATGATTTTTACAATTTTAGCATGTCATATGATTACATCCTTCATTTTTCTAGACTCCCGTTTGACATTTTGGACATTTTTTGATATTAAGTTTTAGTAATTCTGACTCATCTAAATCTTTTCCTTCAATATATAACTTTTTAGCCTCTTCACAACTAATTTTTGGATGTGCATTTCTCTTACATAGTAAACAAAATGATTATAAACAACTTTAGCAATAATAAAATTATTCTTTATTTTATGGTAGTTTTTTAAAGAATTCTTCACAATCAGGTGTAATACATCCTATGTACTCATCAGCATGTTGATCTTTATATCTTTTAAAACTTTAATCTAATAATTTTGAAAATTCTATTTCACATAATAATTATTAAAGATCATAAAGACTTATTGTATTACCGCATTATTATTAAGGACATTTATAAGGAGATATATTATATGCTTTTATAGTTTCATATAGACAACTTTTACAGAAACTGTGATTACAAAGAGCAAGTATATATTTGTCAGTCATTTCACCATAACAAATTTCGCATTCATTTTATATTTAATTTTCTAGAGATTTTTATAGGGATCTTAATAATTCTTCTTTACATTTTTATGCTTATTAATTATTTCCATAAATGATTACTTGCTTTTTAAAAAGAACAAAGTCTATATTAACTTTATATTTTTCTTACAAAATGAACATAATATTTTCTTTAGTAGTCAATAAAGGTTTAAATGAATAATTACTTACATTTACAATAAGACTACTGGAGACTTATTATGTAATTAATTATTTAATTGCATTCTAAATTTCAATTAAAGATTCTTAATCCATATACACTCTTATTTTACCCCATTATAATAACCTAATATTATACTTAAATCTATGACCCTCTTATAATGATAATAAATCTTCATAAAATTATTCATCCATTAATAACTACTTAAATATATGTGTCTTTAAATTAATTTATATATTATATCCAGTCAATACTCCATGTAACATCAAAGATGCTTTTCTAACTAAATTTGGATTCTTTCCAATAATGATCATATTCTCACCTGATGAGAATATTCTTAATAGATCTTCTGAATATTTATTAGATAATTCTTTTTTAATATTATCAATTTTTTCTTTATTTTAATCCAATATGTTTTTACTGATCAATTTTATTATTTTATATTCAATTTTCATAGTTACTGATGAACAACCTATTATATTATTAGTAAAGTTTATTTCTTTTCTCATTTCTTCCAATTTCAATGGATTTGTCTAAGTCATTACCCTCACAAGTATTCGATAATTATATTTATCAGGTCGAATATCCAAATGTAAAGGTTTTTCCCCAGTATACTTTTCAAATAATCTATTTATTTCATCTGACCAATCTTTCGGCTCAACTTAATCTTTAGCAACTAAATTAATTTAATATGGTTTAGGACAATTCTGGTGTTGGGCTAAGTCTTACAAATATCTTAACAATTCATATTCATTTGCATTATCTGGTACATTAGATATTTTTATTTTAGATTTTTAATCCTAATTAACTAGTTTCAAATCCTAACGAATTCCTTTAAATTAAATTATGGAAAATGTTTCCTCCATAAACTATTCCGCTTCTTACTCATCATGAAATAACAAAAATCCATATCCTTTATTATAACAACCATAAAAAATTAATTCTACAGATGATCTGATTACTCTATTTCTTATTTCTTTGGGTTTTATTGTAAATAATTTTTATCTATCTTACCATTGTCGTCCTTCATATTAATCTAATCTTTATTTTGCCATTTAATTTAAAACTTAAGTTATTTAATTTGCAGATTCTTAACTATTAGTGAATATCTATCCACTATAACCAAATTAATTTGCACTTATTTAGAATAGATTTTAGTATTATAAATTTGATTCTTCAAGAATCTATTTGATTTCTTCAATATTAAAAGGAGATGTTGTAAATTGTACTATAACTAATTCAGATGCTGTACATTATAATGTATCATGTATCTATGCTCCATGTCTGAAATAAACAAGCATACCTTATCCATAAAGTCTAAAGTAAAGATAATGTTTCATTTTTTCATAATAATCCTTCTAATAAGATTCAAGATCTACTGGTGTTAAAGACCACATTTCAAAAAGACCATTTTCTGTATCTATATTACAATAATGCTAGAATCTTTTCTCTTTCTCTTCATATGAGTGTTTACTAAAAGTATGTAATAAATGATTTAACAAAGATGATGAAATATTTTTAAGCGATTAGTAATGATATTTATTTGGAACAAAGTTCTCAATTGCTTCAATTTAATCTGGTTTTAAGATTTCTTTTAATTTTTCTAATTTGACTTCTTGAGCCACTCTACAAAAATCAAAATAATTAGAAGAATAAAGATCTGAACAAATAATGTATTTAGGAAAATGATTTAATAAACTTAAAGTGCAAGTTCCATAAATTCTTACATTTCTTTTTGATTTCACAAATGTATATCCAATATAGGGACTTCCATTATAAACACATAAATCAGGGTAAAAGGCAGTTAAAAAACATGTCATTACACTTTCTTCTCTTGTAGAATCTGAATTCCAAAGCATTTAATTTTTAATTTCTTAATTATCCTATAATTGTCTTGAAAAATAACTAAAAGCTTTCTCCATTTCATCAAATGCTTTTTCACAATTTTTTAATGTCTTATAATGATATCCTTTTTCTAGACAAATACTTTTAATTTGAAAATTCTAATAATTTGAATTAGTGAGTGCTACAAATTCCCAATAAATTTTCGAATATGTAAAGAAATCTCCCATTTCATGTAAAGCTTCTATTTTATTAGATATATCTGTATTTTTCAAGTATAATGATTGATTATTTAACATAACACAAATAATTGAGAGTGTTTCTCTAAATACATTTCTATAAAAAGCTTCTATTAATATTCTACTCATTCTTGGTTCTGTTTAGATTTATGACATAAACTTTCCTAAAATTGTAATTTTTCCTTATTCATCTAATGCCTTAATATCTATTAAGTATTCTTAACTATTTTTCATGGCTTAGCAATCAGGAGATTGTATAAATTCAAATTCAAATGGATCTTTATTAAATGATTATATTCTTAATACAACTAAATCAAGACAGCATCTTTAAATTTCAGGTTTCTTATGTTCTTACATTTATGTTTAAAATTCAGTTTCTGAATATAATCTATAACATTTTCCTGATCTTGTTCTTCCTGCTCTTCCTGCTCTTTGATTGGCTTAGGCCTAAGATATCCAATTAATTTTTGTAATTTGCATACCTCTTCTCTAATCATATTCTGTAAATCTATCTACTCCAATGTCAATAACAACACTTACATCATTAATAGTAAGAGAGGTTTCAGCTACTCTTGTAGTAAAAATAATTTTGATCTTCTTAGTTTCTTAGAAAACATTGAATTATTCATCTGAAGTCATTTAACCATGCAATCCTAAAAATAGAAATTCTTTCATATCATATTGACTCTAAAATAAATTAAGTAACCTATTAATTTCATCTACTCCTGCTAAAAATACAAGTACATGTCTTTACTTATAGGTGTGGTACATAACTTTAGAGATTACTTTGGTATAAATTAATTAGTGAATTTATTCTAAGTAATTGTCTTAATATGAATTTGAATATTTAATTTTTACATCAAACAGTTTACCTTCAACTTTGTATGTTTTACATTAAAAATAATTACTAAATAATTATTCATCCATAGTAGCACTCATAATTATTAATTTAAGATCTTTTCTTTTATTCAATATATCTTTTAATAATCCAAGTAAAATATCAGTATTCATATTTCTTTCATGTGCTTCATCTATGATTACAATTTCATAATCATTTAAAAGAGGATCTTTTTGTAAGATATTTAAAATGATTCTATCTTATGTGAATACAATTTGATTATCATCTTCTAATTAATCAAATTCGTTTAAATAAGCAACACATCTTCCAACCTTTGTATACATCTCTTCTGCTACTCTCTTTGCTAAACTTCTAGCAGCTATCATTCTTGGTTCCACACATATAATTTTTCTTTTGAGCTCAATTTCTTCATACACATATTATACTAATTAAGTAGATTTACCTGATCCTGTAGCTCCTATCAAAAGGATTACTTGACTTGATTGTATATTATCAATCAACTCACGTTTTTTAAAATAAATAGGTAATCTCTAAAACACTCTTTATTTTTCTTATAACACTCGTTTATATTATTTGGTTAAAAATATTTTATTTTATTAAGTTGTCTTATATCCTTAAAAGTTTATTACATTATTTTTAATTTTATTTAAAACTCTTTAGTATTCTTGATAAATTTGAATAGTTTATTCAATTTTATCTTTGATAAGCTTAGCTTATTCTTATTCATAAATTTCTTCAGACATCTAATGAAATTAAGTAAACTCTTAATCTGTATCGTTGATTTATTAATCTTATATGTATTTTTCTTAAATTTATAGTTCTCTTATTTCATCTTCTATTTCAGGAATAATTTCTAATTTTTCTATTAATTCTATTTTATTTTTAATCAATTTAATTAAATTTTGAGTATTATTTTATCCAACATCCTTTTTAATCATTTCAAGTCTTTATATACTATCTGCTATTAATTAAGTATATGTTTCATATAAATAAAGATCATTTTGTATTAATTCACTTTAAATTATCTTTTAATGATTCAAAAAGAAAAGTCTACTTTAATTTTATATAATCATAATTTTGCAATCTCCAAATCTTTTATGTGTATTAAAACTCCTAGGTAATATTCCTATTATATCCCAATAACTAGATTTGTAGATTGAGAGAGGATATTTAATGTTTTGATTGTAACTAGATTTACAATCTTAAACTATTTATGAGATACAATATCTTAATTCCTAAAATTCTATTTCATCTACATAAAACATTTATTCAATCATAGATAGTGTAATCTCTTGAAATTATTAATAATTGTAAAGATGAGCAACTGCATCTTTAATTTCACTCCATTTTCTTCTTTTAATTTTTTTTAAGAGATTTAATTAACTATCATTAATCTTATATTCTATTATAATTTCAAAATCCTAATTGATATAGAATCTAATATCAATTAATTCTCTATTATAAGTTTCAATGAGATTCTTTTTTAAATATTTCTTTAATATTTCTATAATAGTTTATTCATCTTAAACTTTAAAAGAATCAAATCTCTCTTTTAATGATTCAGCACATTCATCTTTTTTGAAATCATCATCCAAATTTGTAAAATCATCATCAATATTATGTTCTCTACACTCTTTAGATTTATATTAAATATTTTTTAGACCTAATTCACGTAGCTATTTCTTCAATAAAAAGTCTTTCATTTTTGCTGGTTCTACAGTATGTAATTCTAAATTCAATCGAACTTCAAAATAAGGAAGATTTTTTTGAAAAAATAAATGTACATCACCACCTCTTTTTAATAAATCAATCATTTAAGGCATTCCTTTAGCTAATTCCTAAAATATAGCTTTGTCACTATCAATGAGTCTAATCCTTGTTATTAATTTGTGTTTTTCTTTCAAACTTTAAATCATTCTTGTTGCCTTCTCATATACCATTTCTACATCTCTTAATTAATATTGATTATAATTTGTTTTAGAATCCATTAATATTTTAATAATCAGAAATTTTCATTAAATCCAATTAATTATAAAATAAAATAAACATAGTAAATTATTATTTAATATTCTAATTATCCATTTTTGATATTTATTTGATGTTATTGCTATTATGGTTAAATTAATTTCAAGATATATATATTGGAATGCTTATTAAATTTTTTCATTAAATATATAAATGCTTAAATTTTAGAAGAAATCTAAAAATGAAGTAAAGACTTGCATTCTTGATGTTGTTAATTCATTAGACTTCTTTGGATAACCTCCTTTTTTTAGAATTTTGAAAAGACAAAAGTTTAATACTATTTTAGGTCATTTCCTGACTGTTATTCTAATGATCATGTGTGCCCTATATTTATATTTCTAATTTTAAGACTTACTTGATCAAAGAACACCAAATATAATTATATCCGAGACTTAGCCTTTTAATACACCGGTATTTTATGGATTTATTTAATCAGGCTTTTTCATTAAATTCTGAGAATTTTACCTTTGCCATTAGTATTACAGGGCCATCTTTATCATCATTAACTACATACAAGAAACACTTTGATATTGCTATGACTGCTTGCAATAGAACACGTTTCTATAATGAAACAACATAAACAACAGATATTTCATTAATGTTTAAAAGTTCATTTATTTTTAGATGTAGAAATATTCCGTTAGAAAGTTGTGATCTTGAAACTCATTTTCCATCAGAGTATCAGAAACAATACTTTGGAAAATTCCGTTTAAAAAATATGTTTTGTATTAACAAGGAACTTAGATAAGAAAATCCACCTGTATTAAACCAAAATATTATAGCAACTTCAAGGATATACTAGTGCAGATACTTATTAATATATAAACATATCAATGACTCCTTGTAAAAATACTTCAACATATGATGGATGCAGTCCTGTAGAAGAAATTTAGGCAGGATTAAAGACTGGGTTTTTTGCATTATATCTAGGAGATACTCTATTGAAATTAGATAACCCAGGTAGACCTTATGAAGAAATTGTCACTGTCTAATTTGCAGCATTTTCATCTAGTCTATCAAAATAAATTTATTCGAACTTTAAAATGATTGAGACTAAAACTGATGTTGGTTTGATATAATAAGACTTTGTCACTGAATTAGGATTAATATAATCTTCAATAAAAGACTCTTCAGGACCATTCAATTAGAATTCATATGTAGAAAATATTCTATTTATGGATTAAAGAGCTAATAATTATAAGAGATCCTATATTAAGGTGTAAAATATTTTAGGTAATGTTGGAGGTCTTTGGCAATTAGTTGCTTTGACTATTACTACTCTAGTAAGTCCAATAATAGCTACATTAATGAATTTGTAAATGGCTAATAGGATTTTCAATTTTGAAAATGTAGGTGAAAAAGTTAAAGAGGGAAATTCAATTTCCAATTCAAATTAAAATATAAATATTAAAGTAAATGGGAAACCTGAGAAAAATGATCTTATTGTAGAATTAAGTAAGTAAGGGAGATAACCATAATCATCTAAAAGAGATTTAGAGAAAGTTTAAAATAGAGGGCAATTAAAATAGTATTTGAAATAGAGAAAAAGACAATTAAAAGTAGGTTTATGGGATTTGATGTGTATGAATATAGGACTTAAGAGGAAACATAAATAATAGATTGATTATGCAATAGAGAAGATATTATGTAAATTAGATGTTGTGAATATATTGACTAAGATATAGGAAATAGACAAATTAAAATATGTATTATTGAATAAGGATCAGTTAGAATTATTTAATTATATTCCAAAACCTTTAATTCCTATGGATATGTTTTCATAAGATTTTGAGAAAAAATTAAATGTTTTAGAGGAGAAAGCAGAATTTCAATTTATATTGTAGGAAGAGAAATCAGATTTAATTAAAGTAGAATCAGCATTTAATGCATATATGAAATTGTAAGAGAAAAAACGATTAAGTGATACTGACAAAAGTATTCTTGAATTAGTTGGTGATGATATGGCTGCTATATTTGATAAGATTAATAAAAATTAAGATGAATTTTTATTGTAAAGTAATAGATATTTACATTCAAATTTAAATTTACTTGAATAAAATTAAATAGAAATCTTATCACCAATTAGTAGTAAGAGTGACAATGATTAATACAATAAAAGTGAGAATAATTTTGATAATGAAAATTATATAGGTAATGAAGATAATGAAGATTAAGTTGCATAAATTCCACCGAAAATACCATCTAAAAAATGAAAATATTATTATAATATTTGTTATTTGAATTAAATTTTTATGGGATCAAAATGTTCAAATTGTGCTTAATGTTAGAAAGATAAATTAGAGTAACTCAATGAAGTCACAATAACAAAGAAATCTGAGAGCCATAAAAATGTTATTTCTTCAAATTCTTAATTATCTTATTAAAATATTACTCATCTCCGTAAAGTTTATAAGATCTTAATCATAATAGTAAAAATCAAATTAAAGTATTGATGAAATTGACAAGAAAGCTAAGTAATTATTGTTTTCTAAAATGGCTATTGTTATATAAAAGTATTGGAAAGGATATAAAATAAGGAAAGCTTATTTGTAAACTAAAATCTATTTAAAAAAGTCATAAATTGAATAAGCAATTATAGAAAGTAAAAGCAAAAGAAATACATAGAAATATTTTATTTAAGAGGAGTATGAATGTAATATCATATATAATTATAAAGAAAAAGTTAAATCTGATTGTTTATAAAGAGAATTTCGATCAAAATATGAATTTAAGAGTGGATCTACTTATGAAGGAGAATGGATAGGTGATAAAAGAGATGGATAAGGAATTTAAATTTGGATTGATGGAGCCAAATATATTGGTTAATGGAAGAATAATTAAGCTTGTGGATAAGGAACATTCTATCATATCGATGGTGCTATTTATGAAGGATAATGGGAAAATGATAGAGCAAATGGATATGGAATATATAGATAATCAAATGGTGTTGTATACTCTGGATAATGGAAAAATGATTATTAACATGGATAAGGTTAAGAGAAATGTATATCAATATTCCTAATATATTTTAGGGATTGATAATTCTATGTATTAAGGAGAATATTATTAAGGCAAAAAATAGGGTTAAGGAATTTATAGATGGCCAGATGGAAGTTATTTTGAAGGAGAGTGGTTTGATAATAAGATCAATGGTTATGTATAAAAATAATAGAAATTAGGGAGTTTATGTTTGGTCTGATGGAAGAAAGTATAAGGGAATATGGAAGGATAATAAGATGCATGGTTATGGAGTATATTAATGGTCAGATGGTCGATCTTATCATGGTGAATATTTAAATGATAAAAAACATGGTAAAGGAAAGTACTTTTGGCCAGATGGGAAAGTATTTGAAGGAGAATGGTATGAAGGTAAATAAAATGGAAGAGGGAAATATTTAATGACAGATGGAAGAGTGAAATATGGATAATGGGATAAAGGAAAAAGAATAAATCTTGAAGGGAAATTTGAATGAATTAATTATATATATTATATATGAGTTACAATAATACATTTGTAAATTATACTATATTTCATTATTCTAAGCTCTAGTTTTGATTTTAGGGAGTAGATTCAGATACACGATCACGAGCTTAATTTATTTTGAAACAATCAAAAAACTTTTCCAAACAACTTCTTTAAATATTGTATTATTCTGGTACTACTTTATCTATACGAGGGAAACAGCATTCAGTAATTGTACCTCTATATTTGTAAATTAAAATGATTGCAATAATTAATGCAATTATTGCAATGACTAATCCAACTCTTGCATTTCTACCTAATGCTCTATTTGAATTTGTAGGTTCTTAATAAATATATCATATTAATACCATCATATAAGGAGTCTTCATAAAATAAGATTTTGGGTTGTAATTGTGGTTAATATTTTAATGGACCATCATCTACAGTTTCATTAGATCCATTTGTTGCATATAATTCCTTATATCCATATAAATATAGTATAAATCCTATTTCTAATGAATATCTTCCAAATAAAGGTTCAGCATTAGTAATTTTAATAGGAACTTCGATATATTTTTATCCTAACATTTCTTCTAATGTCAAATTATAGTCAATTTAAGTGGTCTCAGATTATGATAAAAATGTCCAATTTATAAATCTTACATAAGGTGTAATATCGAATAATAATGAACTACATAATGTATTTGATTCTGCTCCAACACATGAATTTTATTAATATTTGAAATATTCCTTTTCTGCTTCTTCTGTTGCAGTAGCATATTAAATATATTATTATGGATCATTAGGATTCTCAGGAATAGGAGCTGAATATTTATATTATTGAGGTAATAATGCACTAATTCCTTTTGTATAATTACTCCAAATTACAGTATAGTTTTCTTCTGGATGAAATACACTACTATTTAATTAACTTTAAAATTAATTATAACACACAGTTCTGACATTCTAAATGATTTAAATAATTATACATCAATAAATGAACTACTCTTAAATTAATTGCATGGAGGATTACCATCTATCTTTTTGTTATAATAATCTTCTTCTACTATTAATTTACAATCCTTAGATGGTTATTCTATTTCACAGACTATAGGATTCCAAAATTTGCAATATTCTCCATAAAAATCAGGAGGACATAAGCATCCATAATGTAATCGATATCTTATTGCACAATTTGCTGAATTATTAGCTGAAATATCTTAATATTATTGATAAGTGACTCTTTATTTGAAACAATAATGTTAAGTAACATTGATTAGAATTGGTTAGGCAACATAACATTTAAGTGGAATTAATGGCCCTTATCTTAAATATTCATTAATTGTAGTATTAAGAACTATGGGAACTGGTGGTTTTTATGTTTCATTTTCTTACATAACTCTATTTATTCTAGAATATTTTAAATTCTAATTAATCTCTGGCATATTGAACTATTCATCCTAATCCTAATCTAGACTTCTTAGTCCTAATGTTGATCTAATCATTTCCAAAGGTGTTCTTGTAACCAACATTTATGCTTTATGTCTCCAGTCCTCATATAAAGTATTGGTTTCCTTTAATAAAGATGTTCCTGTAACACAATGTATTACTAATAATAAAAGAATCATTAATTATTATATTATATTCTTAATATGTTTTCATTTAAATTTCTACCGAAGATATTTGAATACTTATATTCATCCTTTAATATCATACACATTAAAATTTAAATCATAAAAACTCTTATATAAATTTAAGGTAATGCTTTAATCCCTTAATTATTTACATTTTCTAGGTTACATTCATTTTAATATTAGAAAGATAGCTTTGTCTTAATTATTAAGTTTCCTTAAACTTATGTAATATAGTAATTGCTTCTTCTACTATTTTATATTGGTTTATCAGAATTTCCTTATTTTCTTTGTTGATATAAATCTAAATAATATAATATTCAATATATACAGCAAATCTTTTACGATATTCAATTTTCTATTCTAATTATTTAAGATCTTAATTTAAATCTTATGAGTAAGAATTCATTAAAAAATGTAATAATGAATAATAAAACTGCATTACAAAAATTTCATAATTTATTGACACAGGAATTGTACTTAGTAAATCTTATTCATTTCCATAATGTAATTATAATAATTATCTTAAAAAGATAATTATGTCTATGTTCAATTTATTCTTCTTAATTCTAAACTCTTTTGATAATTATGAAACTGGAATTTCATTAGAATTATATGAAATCTTATTTACAATTGATTCAATTTCAGGTATTAATTTTTTAATAATTATGGTATCCAAGATCTAATCTCTACTCTTATATTAATCTTTGAAAATCTCAGTATTCATCCATAACTTTAATTAGTTATCTATTTACTCTAAAATTAAAAGAACTGTAGATATTTTCTATCAATGCAAATCCATACCAATTTATCAAAAATCGATTTGTCCTTCTACCATATGAAAGTGTAACCTATTCAAATTTCTTAATTGGTTCAGTAGTAGCAATACAAAAATAAGCATCTGAATCATATTCATTTAACCAATCCCATTTTGACTCTTCACTAATCTCACTTTCATTATCACTAGATTATGTTATTTCATTTTGTAATCTATTTAATCTTCCATTCATAATTTATTATTTTGCTTTAATGGCTTCAATCTAATATTAAGGTAAACCTCGAATTATAACTTTGTTTTACTTTTCTATTATATATTATATTAATTAATTATACCTGGATTCAATTTAACAGAGATAATAGGTCTATTTTATATTTAAATAGATTGACATTCTTTTTCAATTCTCTTTTATTCTTCCCTTAATTTCCATTCTGCTAATTCTTTAATTTTTTTAATTTCAAATTCTTTATACTTAGTTAATTTTATTTCTTCATCTGAATCATTATCTTCACTATCAGAAGAGGTATTTGATGCTATATCCCAAATATTCATTTTCTAATCTTAAATCATTTACTCATAATATATATCATTTATTATTTCTTTTTTCTCATTTATTGATAGTCTTTCTATATTCTCAACAATTTTTAAATCTCTTAAATATTATTTATTTTCTAAAATAAATTTAATTTTTTCATCTTCAAATTTCTACATTTCATTACCATTCTCAATACCTAAAATACTCAAATTAATTTTGTTTCTTTTTTAAATGTATTACTATTGAAACTGTGTCTGATCTTCTTCTTACTGTAGAAATATCCCTTTTTCTATACCTGAATGAACCATATAATGTGTGCATGCCCTATTAGAATGATTAAGAAAATCAGCTATAGGAATTAGACAAGTAGATTTTAAACTCCATCCAAAACATCGACTCATTACACATTCAACTGCCCAGTAAAAATCCTTTTTATCAGTTATTCTAGGTATTCCAAATACATCTTCATTATTATCAAAGATTAATTTTCCTTTTCCCCATAATCCTAAAACATCATATTTGATATTTGCAAATTCCTCCAATATAATAGGATCTTCAATTTTCTTTAAATCTTCATTGGACCATGTTAATAATGTATTATTGTCTTAGATGGCTTAGATGTAAGGGTAATAAAATGACAATTCTCCTTTCTTCTTTTCATTAAACATATAAAAAACTCAGTTACATATCTATTAGATACTTAACATATTATATTCTGCATTATTAGTTTCTTCTTCATCGAACATTTCTGGATGACTAATGTAAACTTTATTAAGAATGCTCTTCTTACATTTATCAGGCGAAATTATTAATGATTAAGGTATGCAAATAATTGCCTAATAATTTCTAAATTAATACTTACAGTATTAGATGGTATGTCTTCAGAGGCAACTACTCCTGTGATATCTCCAAAAGAAGCTGGAAAATCTACATTCTTCATTAAAACTCCATTCTCAATACTCCAATCTAAAAGTCTTTTGTATTTTGGATTTTGTTTGATTTCATATGTTTTTTATTGATCAAATTCCATGAAATAATAATTAAAATATCTGAATAATCAATTTAATTTCAACATTTTAATCAAAGAGGAGAATAAATTATAGTTAAGTTTAATTTTATTATAAAATAATTTATTAAACATATGGTATATTACTTTTGTTTTAAAAATAGAATTATTTGTATTTATAGATTGATGTAAATATTCATAATTTTTAATATTCTTTAATATTTATTATTTATTATTAGAATAATCCATTTCATAAGAAATAAGTTAAAGATACTTTAAAATTTAGGATATCAAATTTATTTATTATATGAATGTAAAATATTCCTCTTTAACCTTTTAATTAATAATATTATTAATTTTAGACTAAATTTTAATGAAAAATAATTTATTCATTCTTATAATATGATTAAAAAAGAAATGTTAATTAGTTTTTCGAGATCCAAAACTACAATTAAAGAAATTGAATAATTATTAGATTACCACATTTTTATATATTTATGTATTAATCAACTTTAACTATATATTTTACTCATAATTTCTGATGAATTATAATTTTAATGAATTATTAAACTGCTTTAGAATAAATCAAAGGGTATCAACCTCATTTTGAGGATTACAATTATGTTGATCTTCTAAGCATTAAATCTAAACTACAGATTACAAACAATTATCTTTATTATGGATAATTATTTAACAAACTCAAACATGGTAGAGGTTTCATATTAAATAAATTTTAGGGATTCTCTTATCAATAAATGGACGTAAATATGAGGGTTATTGGAATGAAGATTAGAAACATGGATATGGATGGGAATTATTATCAAATGGTTCATAATATGAGGGTTATTATTTTCATGGAAAACCTCATGGAAAAGGAAAATTTATATGGGCAAATGGAGAATATTATGTGGGAGAATGGAATATGGGAATTAGAGAGGGATAAGGTAAATTTGAATTCTCTATGCAGGGATATGGTGTGGCTTAAATGGTGAGTATTATTAAGGACAATGGAAAAGTAATTAGGCCACAGGTTTTGGAGAATACATTTAAAATGGCAATAAGTATATTGGCAATTTTATAGATTGGTTTAAAAATGGGGAAGGTTAAGAATTATTTAATAATGGAGATAGATATCAAGGTAATTACCTTAATGGATTACCTCATGGATATGGAGAATATTTTTGGAATAGTGGAGCTCAATTTCAAGGATATTTCAGAGAAGGATTGCGTTGTGGGAAAGGTATTTGGAGAAGATCAGAAGAATCACCAACTGATTGTTATTAGGGTAATTATGAAGGAGATAAAAAAAATGGATATGGAGTTTACAAATGGGCAAATGGAAATGAATATAGGGGATAGTTTATTAATGATTATAAACATGGTTATGGAGAAATGATTTACTTTGATGGTTAAGTTGTTTAAGGTAATTGGGAATTTGGAAAAGTTGTTAGTCAAATAAGAACTCAATCCGTTGAAAAAATTAAAAATGATAATAATTATCAAATTAAAGTAATTGATGAATTAAATTAAATGGCAGTAAATACTAATGAAAATAGAATAGTTCTAAAAATCTCTGAAGTAGCTAAGTAGTCAAATATTTAATATACCTCAAATAATAAAGAAAAAGTTAATTATCTAAATCCTTTGATATATGAGAATAAGAAATATTCTATCAATAGTAATCCATCTACATAATAGTCTAATAGAACAAAAAATTTAATTAGAATTAAATAGTATACAAAAGAAAGAGAATTAAGTAAAAGTTAAGAATGTCCAAAAGTATTTAAACCTGTTCCATAAACAGAAAGATAAAAAACATAATCTAAATTTTGTATAAAATCAATAGAAAAGCATAATTGGCAAATAAGAAACCCTAAATTATCTAATTCTTTAATTAATTGAGATCTACTTTAAATAAATTTATGATAATAATCATTTATATATTATATATATTTTGATATTCTTATATTTCTATTTACTAGTAAATTAATTCGATTAATAAAAGTAAATTAAAATATATATATATATATTAATAAGAATATATAGATACTATTATTTTGCTTATTCATTTTATCTATAAATATGAATATAATTCAAAGAATTTGTTATTAAATTAGTAATTCTTAATAAAGGAATGATTAATAATAAATATATATTAATAATTGTTTAATATAATGTATATACTCTTTTTTAACATATACTGATTTTTCAACTTAATTCTTTTTCTACTTCAGCCAAATCTTTGGGCATTTCATCAATTTTAGTGTTGTAATATTTTTCAACTTCTAATAAAAGATTAGCCTCTTATTAAGCAACCATATTGATTGCAACTCCCTTTCTACCATATCTACCAGCTCTTCCAACTCTAAAAAATATATTTATATTTATGATACCTATGAATATATTATTCTTTGAGTCTTGGGAATTCATAATTGATGACCAAAGATAATTATTAAACATCAATACCTCTTCCCATAAGATCTGTAGAAACTAGAATTCTTGCAGCTCCTTTTTTAAACTCTTACATAACCTAAAATGATATATATATGATAAATTTACTTATTCTCTTTCTTTTTATTCCATTTGACTATGGATTTTACTAACAGTAAAACCTTCTGTTGTCAATTTATCATAGAGATCATCAACTGTTTTTTTGGAATTGCAAAATAATATTGATTATGAAACTGTAAGATTCTTATATAATTCAACCAAAACTTTGAACTTTTGGTCTTCTTATTAAATGGCAATGTAGAATTATCTAATACCTTCCAAAGTCAATTATTCTTTCTTGACTAAAATCTTTGCTGTTCCTTCTCTCAAAAATTATTTACTTAATTCAATAATTTCTTATGGGAATGTTGCACTAAATAATGCTATGAAGAATATATGATTAAAATATACCAATTTAGATATCTCCTGGTACCATTTTAAGGATTTCAGCAAAGTTATCACTAAATCCTTAATCTAACATCTAATCAGCTTCATCAACAACTAATAATTTCATGAAAGTGGCATCCAAATATTTGTTTTTCATCATATCAATCAATCTACCTGGAGTGGCAATGATGATATGTACACCTTATTTACATTTCTCTCTAGTTTCTTGAGTTGATGTTCCACCAATGCAACAAAAGGCTTCAATATTTAAATATTATCCTATTCCTTTGACAACATCATAAATTTGCTTTGCCAATTCTCTAACTGGTGCCAAAATGATGACTTATGTCTTTCTTTAATTTGGGTCGATTCTTTATAGAGCACCAATTGTGAATGTACCTGTCTTTCCAGTTCCTATAAAATATTTTTTAATTAGAGTGATTACCTGATTAAGCTTGTGCCAACACGTCTTTACCAATGATGATTGGTTTAATGGCCTTTTATTAGATGGCTGATGGTCTTTCAAAACCATATGAGAAGACACCTCTCAATAAATCTTTGCTTAAGTTTAATTCTTCAAATGTTTCGACTTGCTTATTAATTTATAATAATCATTTACCTCTATCCAATTTTCTTGTAAATCTTATGTAGCTTGATCCATAAATATTCTAATAAAAATATTTTTATTTTCATACTTTCGATAATGTCCTTTTTATTTAAAAAAAGATTTAAATTAGACAACATAATCAAATGAAATTTAATAATACTCATAATAACACACAAAATTACTTAGATGCTTCTTTTAATCATTAATCATAAAAACAACCTTAAGAGAATGTTATATATATATTGATATTAATATTAATATAATAATTTTCATCTATCCACACCATATTGCTATTATTTATATGATTCTCTGTACAAATTCAATTATCAATATAGCAAAATTTATCATATCACCTTATCATCAATTCGTTATTTAAGTTTCTCAAGCTTATATAATAAATTCTTATTACTTTTGCCTTAATTAATTTAAGTCTCCTAAAAGATAATTCATATAATTCAATAAATAATAAGTATATTATAGATTGAAAGTGCATATGACTATTCAAAAGATAACATAATTATTAAAGACATGGAATTAAAATTAAACTATGTGTATACCTATATAAAAAGACTTATACTAGTGAAACAAAAATCTATATTAGTTATACATGTAATCTAAAAACTATCATAAAATAAATTCCTAAGACTTTACCTATCAATTATATATCCCAAATAAATAGCCATAAATATGCAAATAATTTTAAGTTCATATTTAGGCAAGATTGAGTATTATGTAATTCTCTAAAAAGTAAGATTTCAACAATAGAAAACTTAAATATTCAATAGAAATTATGATCTATTTTTCTAGCTTATAGAATTTCTTCTAATAATAATCTTGGTTTGAATTATTGTACGGTTATTTAAGATAATAATAAAAGTATTATATAACAAAGTTTTTTTTATTATAATATCAATCTATATAATTCAATAATTTTCTATTATTTCTAAACTTTTCAAATTGATCATATGTAATTTATTTTATTAACACCTTGTTCCTTATAAATCAGCCAATATTTTAATTCTATAAGATTAATAAAATATAAAATTTTATAAGTTCAAACGAAAATTAATTATCCTTTTAAATATTTTAGAACATTAGTAATATTATTAGTTATATATTATAATCAATTAATTTGATGCATAATATAGCTATCAAATTATTATAATAGAAAAAGATATGTTATAATATTTCTATTAAAAAGAAACTTATATCTTTTGAACCTTCTGGTTCAATGTCCTTAGAACATCTTTATATTTATTATTATACTTATTTAAGTTGGTTTAATGTATAAAACAATGTTGATAATTACTTTTACTTTGAAATAATATGATTAATTATTATAACAGCATTAATAAAGTCGAAAAAAAAGAACAAACATATATATAATGATATAAATAGTTTAGGAAAGATAGGGTACATAATGAGAATAATATTAGAAGATTAAGAAAGATAAGAATTTGAAGTTGATGAAGTTCCATTTAGGATCTGGGAATAAGGTATTAATACAATAATTATTTAGTTGCAAATTAATATAGATAAGAGATAGTGGTAAAATCTACCAAATAATGATTATTAGTTACTAGAATAACAATTATGGTAGACCAATATTGATAAGGTATTTCAAAAGGGTAACGGAGTACCAAAGAAATTGTTATAAAAATTAAGGAGAATGAAAATGGGAAAATCAAACAGGTAGTGCAGTATTTGTTGTAATAATTTCTTAAAAGGTAAAAGTCTATATATATTTTAGATGAAACAATAATATAATTACCTTGTAAACACATTTTCCATTAATCTTGCTTATTTTCTTGGTTTGATCATAGTACAAAATGTCCTAATTGCAGAAGTGATATATTAGAAGCTTTGAAGAATTAAGAGAAATGATTTACATTTCTATCGACAAAAAGTTTATATTAAAACAATTCATGATAAAAAAAATAAATTGGATGAAGTAATTTATTCAAATAATCCAACATCTTGGAAATTTTAAAATCATATTTCTTTATACCAATAATTAGATGACTTTTCTAATTTTCAGTCTTTTTAATTTGTTCTATAATTAGATTGTTCTCTGTATTAATTGATATTATTTAATCATTATTAATACGTCTCTTTTATTCATAGTATTGATTACGAATGATTGTCATTTATAAATTATTTCTTTATATATGATAAATTTTACTATTTAATGATATTTTATATGCTAGATGATTAAATGATTTATTCTATTAATTTTTATTAAAGAACTATTTTATTGTTTAATTGCAACGAGAAAATAAAAATAAAGTTATTATCAATATCTGTGATGATTAATAATAATAATCAGAAACCATAATCATCAAAAGATGTTAGAAATAAAGTGAACTTTAGGTTAAATCGTAAGAAAGATATTCCTTAAAAAAATATTATCTGCAAAATATTCAGTATTAAATTATATAATTTACACTAATAAATTAATCAACTCAATTTGAAAATCTAATAGAATAACTTAATTTATTAATATCAAATTGTATTAAGGTATTAGAGCAATTCAAAATAGAATCAAAATTTTCAACTGAACAAATATAATTAAACAGAATTTATATTTTTCGTCATTTTGATAAAGATAAGTTTCTCGAAATATTGAGTTAATATATTTTGAAAATAAATTATAAAATTATTATAGGTCATGATGAATTATCTCTTGATAAAGAATTAGCTTTTGAAGTTATATTTGAATTATTAAAATATTCAAGAACGTTTGCAAATATAACATTTTTATCCAATTTTGAATAGGAAAGAACCAAGATTTTATGCAATATAAATAAATATACCTCAAAAATTACCTAACTTATTGTCTATTAATGAAGAAAAATTTAAGAAATATTCATAATACATGATTGAGTAATTAGAAAGTAATGAAAATGATTAAGATAATGTGGATGTTTAGAAGATAATGAAGATGAAGGTGATTTTGACAATAATTATATAATTTGTTTGGAGAAGAATTATTTAGAAATGAATTTGCATTAAAGATAATTAAAGTTGCACAAATTAATAAAAAATAAGTTTAATTATAGGTTTAGGCATTCATCTATAGACCAAAAAATACCTAGATATTCTCCCATTTAGTAATACAATTATTAATATTGATTTTATTGATAAATAATATACTGAATTTTGATAAATTAAATGTTCGATGAATTTAATGAAGAGTTGATTAATTGTCCAGCAGGTTGTGGACGCAAGTTTAATAAAGACAGCTTGATAATCCATTACAAAATATGTAAGGATGTATTCTAACATAAACGTTGTGTCTTTAATTCTTAATTAAAAAGAGTAGGATATGACTATTTTATTGGAAATCAAAAAAAATTACCTTAATTTGTATCACCTAGATCAATTAAAATTAAAACTGAAAATATTTAAATTAAAACACCTAAGATTACATCTAAATATTTATAGGTCATTTCCACAAAAAAATTTTGTAAAGGTTGTTTGAGAGAATTTGATATTAAGATAGCTGATGATCATATATAAAAATGTATATTGAAATTGCCAAAAATTAATGGTTATTCTAAACTCAATTGAAAATATATTAAATTTAATCTTATTTAGACTTGTTCATATAATTTAAACACAAAATTCTATTTATATATTCATTATTTAAAAATAATCATGTTTAATCAGCAAACTGTTTTTAAAGGTTTTGAAGTATTAGCATACCAATCTGGTATTAATGTAATCATTTATTATTAAGTCATTTTAGACATTTCTTCTAAAATTATTAAATAATAATAATACCATTTGAAAATTCAAAGAGATCACAAGCATTAAGTTTTATTGTACTTTAAATAGCTTTAAATGAACCTTAATCTCTTAACTCATCAAAATAAGGATGAGTTAAAGATTAAAGAGGAGTAAATCGAGTTTTTGGACAATAAGTCAATAATTTTGAAACTAAATCTATAGCCTTAGGATCTTTGGTTTTTAATACCTATAATATATTTACTATTTTTATACTCTTTTCCAATCTCTTTATTTTATAGTAGCAAATTGATATTATTACATATCATAATTTTTATTCATACTTAAAATTTAATCTCTAGAAGGAGTTCCAAGAACTTTTACAATTTCAACCATTTAATCAACTGCTGAATCCCCTAAGAATAATGGTTCACCATTTATTAATTCAGCAATGACACAGCCTACAGACCAAACATCAATTTATGTATTATAATCAGTAGCTCCAAATATAAGTTCTGGGGCTCTATAGCATCTTGAACATATATAAGCTATATTAGGTTCCCCTAATATTAGTCTTTTAGCACTTCCAAAATCACATAACTATAATTTATTAGTTTCTGGATTAACTAAAACATTATGTGGTTTGATATCTCTATGACATATTCCTAATATAGAAATATAACTATGAAATTATTAATATTAATTACGCAATAGATCTTAACAATTAATAACTAAAAATTTTAACTAAAAGTTCAGGCATCTTCTTAAAATCCTTAATAAATGATTTATTATAGGAATATAGAGTATCTTAGAAATACTCCATAACTACATTTAAATAATTTTCATCTTTATTCTCTGCTGGTGTATAGAAAGCATATTTCATCTTCAATACATTTTAATGATCTAATTCTTATAATATTTATAGTTCTCTATTTTTATATCTCCTATCTTGCAATACTTTTTTGATAGCTACTATTTCTCCAGTCTCATTCACTTTAGCCTGCAAATATTAATATATATATATTACTTTGTAAACAACTCCAAAAGATCCACTTCCTACAACTTTTAGATTTGTATAGGTAAAATTGCTATAATCATATCTTTCAGTTGTTGCAGGCATTAACACAGACTTAGTACTATTCTTTTCTGTAGAAAGAGGTTTGCGAGATTATTTTTTTATTGTCTATTATTGGAATGATTTTAGTGGATTATCAAACTTTCCAACATAAATAGATGTTGTAGGTTCATCTTTATTTTTCTTAAAAGACTATTTTGCCATTTGATTCATTTTTAAACGAGCTTTCAGGTTTGAAATATCTTATAATGTTTTAATCTCTTTATCCATTTCTTCAACTTCTGTAACTACTCTTCTATTTTATTCATCAGACTATCATTTTATATACATTTATGTACTTATTTCTTCAATTATTAATTCAGCATCTTCTGAAACATTATTTTAACGTAATTTTTAATTATATATAAATAATTCAAACAGTCATCTCTATTTTTATTTAGCTTGTATATATTACAAATATTCCTATTTTAATTAAACATAGAATATTACTTCTTTGCTCATTTTTATTGTAAACACTAATTCATCCTATTATGTCTTACTCTTGACTTAAGATGTCTTCACCTGTTAAGTTTACTTTTATGCCTTTTTATTATTTTAAGCAATAGGAGTAGCCTATTTTTGTTTATTTGTGCTATTATAATTGCTAGAATTAGTCATTTTATTTGGAGGTGATTGAGGTCTTTTTTGTTATACTTAAACGAATTCTGTTACTTTTTAAACATTTGATTAATTATCCTTAACAGGTGGAGGTGTTGTATTCTTGATAGGAGATGATCTATTAATTGAATCATTTATGTACTGCTGATTATAATTTTAGGTTTCCTCATATATTAATCTATTAACATCAATGTGTGGACTTATTAATTTTCTTAATCTCAATTTCATTTTCTCAAAATATCCAATACGATAGTCAGCATAGTTTCTATCATAAAATTTATCAAAATCATCCATTCTACCACGAATCTATTATTATTATATTATTATTAACTCTAGCTTATAATACTATTAAATCTTAGTATGCTTATTTATTTCCTTTTCTAACTTCATCACATAAATCTAATTATTAGATTATAACAAATACGAATATAATGTGTACAAATCTATTCTACTTCTTAAGCTATGCTAGGCAATAAATCTAATCTTAAGACTAACCATTACTCTGTACTCATTATTATTTAATTAATTAAATTTTATAATCATTTCCATTTAATTTTTTCGACAAAATATTTTTCTATAATTATTTTTCCTTCTTTATATTTCTCAGTATCTCTAAATGCTTTTATCTATATATTAATAACACTTTTAATTACATATTTCCATCCAATTATTTCACAGCAACCATTACACATAAGGTCTTGAACAGTGTGTTTACCTGTCAACAAGTCTTTGTCCACTGGTAATCCTACATGGTAATTTATTCTAACTTAATATAAAATATTACCCTTTGTCAAATAAATAGGCTTATCCTGTTCCTCCCTTGAAATTCTGAAAATTTAAACTAAAACTATACTTTTGATATTCTATTTTAATAATTTGTTAAGTGTATTCTACATTTTTTACATACATAGATCCTATTTCCATCTAAATATTCTAAAATTAGTCTTCCCATACTTAATTAAATATTTAAGAAGAAAGATTATATTATAAAATTTTTCATTCTAAAAATGTGTATTTATTCAATTATATTATTATACAAATATATATAATAAACATCAAATCAGTCAGTTCCTATAATATAAGAAATTTCAATAAAATGTTAATTACTCTTATTGTTATTTATGATTGCGAGATTAACCTTCTTATTCTAATACATTTATTATTATTAAGAAAAAGATTACTATTATTATTATTATTAATTTCCCTATTTTTCATTCTGTTTAACGTCTATAAAAGAACTGAATACTTTATTAGGTATAATATCATTGATAATCCTCATCTTATAATTTGTAAGATAATGATTATGTTTTTTCCTTTAAATAGTCAAATAACTTTGAAATTATTGAGGCAATAATTCCTATGATACAATTTAGAAATATCTATCTAATATAATTATTTTGTTGTTGTTTTATTGTTCTCTAATGAGTAATAAAATACAAAAATCTTAAGCATTATCTGGATTATTAATGATAATTGCCTCTTATACTTCCTATTTCATTTTACTTGATTAAATATTATTTATTATAACAATTTTATTTAGATTTTCTAAATACCATTATGTAATATTAAAATTTGAATCAAATGTGATAAATGAATTAGTATAAACTTATCTTATACATGGAATGTCTTCCCAAAATCTATTCATTTTGATTGGCAATAATTTAAGTTTATTATTGAAATATTGCCATATAGTAACAGATCTATCATTACTTGCTACAGCAATCAATTAATCACCTATTATCTCTATACTTGTAATACAATCTTTATGTTATTTAATCATTTAATCTATTTTTATAGTAAAAGTGTTGTCAATACTAATAATATAATTAAATAATATCATTGTTCCTTTCTCCATACCAACAATAAAATAATTATAACTACCCATAGTTTAACATTATTAAATAGTATGTATTTCTTATTCCTTTTAATCTTTGATTGTGTATTAACATTATATAGTAATTTAATTAGTCATAATATCAAATTGAACAATATAGATATTATTCTAACCACAAATTGCAATAATAGGATTTAAAAGCACTTTTAGATTTGCAAAACTCTATTTGCTATTTCTTGATTCACTAATAAATGGATTGTAAAGTAATTCCATACATTATATATATTACTGTTCTTTGGTCTACAATATTAATTATGATTCTAATCTCCATAAATTGGACTCTTTCTTATGAATCCATACATAAATTGAATTGCTATCTCCTGCAGTTAAAATGATATTTTAGTTCTTAATTACTAATATACAATGAGGAATGATTATTGGCAATTATTATTAATTATCCAAATGATTAGGCTTGATACTAAATTATCCTTAAGTCATGAGATTAAATTTAGTATAACCATAAGTTTAACTTTTTAATTTAATAGATGTATTTGTATTATTGAATTATTGACCCATTGCAATAATATTATCGATTTCATTAAAGACGGAATAAGAATTAGATGAAGAGGATCTACTTATTCTAATATTTTCAATCATCTCTGATTAAGCAATACTTTAAGCTAATGATATTGATTGTATTAAGAATACTTTTATTATCATACAAATGGATATTAGATGTCATTGAATAATATTTACTCCAAAGCAAAGTTAATATATTTTCTGAATATTCTATGATTTTATCCTAAAATTCTTTGTAAATATTATGATTAAATGATTCGATAATTTATTGTTCCTTTGTAATTTATAAACTATTTTCTTTAGCTAAAACTTCTAATTCAGGTTGCATTCTTAATAAGACATTAAAATATTCTTATAATTAGTTCATATCAATTTATTTGTAATATTCCTCAATGTGAACATTACTTTCTTATTAATTTACAATTGATTTAATCTAATCATATGATTACTTGTAATTATTATAATGTTTATCCATTGTGTTTTAGAATTCTATTAATTTATCAATCATATATTATTTTTAGAAATCTATTTAATTTATAATTTCAGTCTTAAATGAACTACTTCTATTCTAAATGCTTTATTAAAATTATATTATACTATTCAAGTATTTTATCAATTGCTTTATCATAATCATTTATTATCTTCTCCTATATTGTATTGAAATTACTAATTATTTTATTCATTTATTATTTGTAATACTCAATTTATTTGGTGTCTATGATTCATCTAAAAAATAAATACCAAAATTAGGTAATACTAATTTATTAATGAAATAGCTTAAATTGTCAAATGATTGCAAATGATAATTTTTATTACATTGTTTTATCTCACATTGTGTACAATAAAATGTTAGAAATTAAGGACACATTTGATTTGAACAAAAATGGGTAAGAATTTAATCTTAATGTCTTATGCAAAATTTATCAAACATATAAAATAATTATTAAAATCTTATCAATATATAAAAAGGTAAAAATAATATGTTTATTTATTTTCTTATGAATATCTCAGATTTTGTTTTATTCTTAGGTTTCTGGTTCCTTTTATTTATTTTCTTCGTCAAATTCCAAATTAGGAATATAAGCTCCACCTTCATTCTTCTTAATGCAATGGAATCCAACTAATTTGCACCATAAGAATAGATCTGCATCTAATTAAGCAGCTCCAAGATATTAATCATTTTTATTAATAAATAAGTATTTGTGATCGCAAAATCTTTATAAAGCTAATTATAAATAATAAGTGTATCCAGCTCCTACAACTATTAAGATGAGAGTAATAAACAAGTTTGATCTTGTTAATAATCCTAAAAATCCTGAAATAACTGCTGATACAATCAAAACTGTAAAGAATTATTTCTTTACCACTAAAGCAATATCTTAATTTTCACCTAAATATATATAATTAATTGATTACTAATTCCATTCTTAATTAAAAATAATAAAAATAGAATGACGATTCCAAATACTAATTGAATTAATTCAAATTTTATTGATTCAAAATGAATTGTAAGGTAAACCATCAATAAAATTTTACTAGCTGAATGAACAATACAGAATCCAAAATTTTTAGGAACCTAATAAATATATATATTTTCTACCTTATCAACAGATCCTGGACAGAATTGAACAATTAAAATTGATACTATGTATAAAATAATTGTCAATTATTCTAGGAATGGAATAAAAGTAAGAATGGATCCAAAGAAACCAAGTTAAAGAATCAACATAGATAATAAGCTGCCTACTAAATATTATGCAGCAGCAACTGATAAAGATTGTTATTAGGCAACTTAAGCTTAATTTCCACTAAAGGCAAGCATTTCTTATGCCTTAAGAATTTACACTTATGCTTGTTTCTCAGCTTCTTCAAGTTTTTATCCTCCTTATCTAAAATATATCTTTAATCATGAATACTCTTTAATCTTTTTTTCCATTTCTTCAGCTTTTTTGGCTCCTTCCAAGGCTGCTGGTATAGCTGCTTATACTAGAGTAGTATCTTCTTCTCTTCTTTCACTCATATATTATAAATAAAAATAAATATCTCAAAAACGAAATATGTAATTTACAATTCAATCCTTTTTCTCTTGTTCATTGTATGTATGATAAATCTTCTCCCATTTAATTATTGTGTTTTCTACATTATCAATAACATCCTGCAATTGTTTTTCCTATAAATATTGAATTTGCATAAAATTACATAAAACTCATTTAAACTAGCCCATAACGGTCTAACAATAACTTTGAAAAAACCCATTTCATTTTTTGCCATTATTTCTTGTTTGTCTAAGTCTTTCATAAATGGAGTTTAAGTAATTTAACGAGTTCCTTCTTCATCGAATTAAGCTTTAAATTCCATATTGACTTTCTCTGTCCAAGCTTTAGACAATTCAAATACTTTTGCAGCACCACTAAAATCTGAAGTATGAACTATCATTCCTGTAAATAATTTAACATCTCCATCCATCTTACCAAACATTTTATCTTAATTTTCTTTACTTTCTTTCACTCTTTACTCAAAATCTTTGATTAAACCAAAATGTTATTTAATATCTGTGAATAAAATATTTTCAATGAGTGTTTATCTAAAAATTTACAAATCCTCAACACTCAATCCTGTTAATATATTATATTTATCTTAATTTAACAATCTCAAAGTAACTGCTGCATGATGATTTTCTAAAGGCTAACATATAAATCAAATAGATTACACTTTTATCCAAGTATCGTGTGGCCAATTTGCTTTTACTATTGATTTCAAATTGATTCGTTCTTCCTGTATGAGAAATATCATGACATAAACCAGAAATCACAGTTGCAAAATGCACAATTTCACTCAAATATTCATGTGCTCTTGGCAATGAACATAAGAAATGACAACTATGCATTACAGTTATTCCATGATCAAAATTATGAAAAGGATTCTTTCTCTTATTATATTTTCTCTCAACTTCCTTAATAAATTTCATCAAAACTTCTTCATTCATATCATAATTGTCAATCCAATCATTTTTTTTAATAATATGATACACTAATTTGGCTTTCATGTTTTCCTAATACTATTCATTAATAAAACTATATAATTACAGAGAATATATTAAATTCGAATTTATCAATAGTTTTATCCTCATATAGTGTGTCCAAATCATCATCTTCTTCTATTTCTAATGCTGACTCTATAGATTTTATACGCTACTTAGATGCTTAATAATTAAAGGCTTTGATTTACTTACCCAACATTTGGATACTTAATCTAGGCTTTCTTGTTTTCATTGTTTATAATGAATTAGTTGATTATTATTATTATTCTTAATTATCTAAAGATTACTCTTCTGGTATAAATAAAGAAATATAAGAATTTTTAACACTTGGATTTGACTTTTGTAATTAAGATATGAATTTGAATGTTTAATGTTTATTATATGAACGTTGAATCGATTATTTGATTTCATCTTCTAATTACTCTTCATTTTTCAAGTTCTTTATGTAATCCTTCATTCTAGATCCTTCTTATAAATGAAATATTATCACAAATCCTTTGTAAACTTGATCAACAACCTTTAAAAATATTTCAAAATCCTCATGTTAAATGTATTCATTCTTCTTTTTCATCATAAATTCATCCAGATCTATATACTTTAAAATCCTTTCATCCATAAACAACTCTTTGTAATTTGGAGTCTTTTTATCTGGAGAAAATTAAATATTGTATTTTTATTTTAAAGTTTCCCAAATATAATGATTCAAAAATAATAATCTTCCATTTTTATCAAAATCAAATAGAATAGTATCTGAAGATCTTAAAAAATACTTATAATAAGCTGTTTTCTCATGACATAATCTCAAATGTCTCTAATATTTAGATTTCAAATTTAATATTTCTGTATAAATATATTAATGATCTTATCTATTTAGATAAAACTCTTCCAAAATTAAAGCAATTGGATTTCTGCATTCCATTTCAATTCTTACAGAATTATCCATATCAATCTTTTATCTTCCATCCTCAGAAAAAGCATAATCTTTCTTAATTTTAAAATGAGGATCCAAAGCCCTAAACATTTCATCAATTAAGATATATTGGGATGATTCAACAAAACTTAAAGCTATATCTAAAATTTAATCTGCAAACTACACTGGATTAAAGTATTGTACTCTTGCTTACATAATTACATCAATCAAAAAATTGGTTAAAGACAAGACTTCATCCTTGAATCCATATTCATTAGCTTCACTTTTATTAAATCATATATTGTACTTTATAAATCTTCTTAACAATTTATTTCTACCTGGTTTATTCCAATAGAAGAAGAAAAAAGTCTCTTATTTATTCTAATTAATGAATCTTATAATAGATAATTCAGTAAACTAAGAATTTAAATCCAATACCAATTCTAATTATTTGGTTTACTTTTCATTATTTTAAAAGTTATAAACAATGTTAGGTTTAAGATGTGAAAAATTTAAGAAAAATACTTATTACTTATATTTCTCTATTTATTTGATTGAATCTTTTTCTGTAGAATAGAAATCCCATTCATCATTTCTTTTAATCAGAAAGTATATTTCGTCTGAATCAGTTAATTCTTTAATAATCGATTTAACTACATTCACTAGATTATTGTATGATAATTCTTCCTACATTAATAAATAATGTGTATGTAGACTTCCCAAAAATAGACTCTATAATAATTGTAATTTTTATACTTTTAATTAAACATAAGTTTATTTAATTTAACTGATTATTTGAAGATGATATTTACTTTTTAACTGAACACTAGTATCAACTTAATCTGATTTATCATCTTATTACTCTGAAATTACTCTACCACAAACACTAATATTTCTGCATCTTACTGGCGATTCATTATCTAATTCTTATTCATATTAAATCCCTAAATATTTGTTGATTTAATCCCTTAATTAAGTTAATTTTTCGACATCTGTTGGAACAAATCGTCCTCCATTTGTCATATGTATAGATAGCATTGTGTCTAATTATTCTATTAGTTGCAAAATGAAAGGAGATAATGACTTAATTTTACATATATGATACTTCTTATTTGTTTTCGACTATAGGATCTTCTTGTTAAAATGAAATTTAACGAGCACTTACGCTAAATTTGTTACTTTTATTTTTTTCTAAATGTTTTATATGAGGCACAAAGGTATCCTTTTATCTTTGATTGGCATACTAAACTAATTTTTCGCAAAATTATTATTCCCTATAATTCATACTCTGTTTTTATTTTACATATCTTTATTTCCATATTTGCTAACAATCTCCATTATGTTTTTATCTTTTCTTAAAATACTTTATTCTAATTCAGTTTTTTATTTTTTATCAATTACCTTCTCATTTACTAAATTATTTATCACTATAAAAAATTAAGTGTATTGAGGAAGTCTTGGTTCCATAAATATCTAATACAATATAATTTATATATATATATAAATATTATCAAAATCAATACTAATTCATTATCCTATAGTCAATTATGTACTTCTTCTCATCACTATACTACTTTTAGAAGCAGGTACTAGAATTGGTACTGATACCACTTTTCCTAATATTGGATTAAAAACATCTAGACTTGGTTTTTTATCTGGTGTTACTAATTTATTTAGAATACTCAGTTACATGTATGAGTAATAATAGAGTGTCGTTTGTTTTCAAGGTTAGGATTATACGATTTTCTTAAAGAACAACCCATCCAATTTACTATTTTAAATTTAATTATATAGCTAAATATACTTAAAACTCTTTATGCTTAAAAATTTAATAACTAATCTTCATTATCAGTATTAAATTCAGTATTTAATTAGAAGCATTACTTAAATAAATTATTTCCTTCTCCATCTGTATCATTTATAGAAAATTCAATTTAAAGTGTATCATTATGTAAGAAATGGAACTTTTGTTTTTAAAGTTTCAAATACTAGTCTTATAAGTGGAATTATACAGCAAAACTAAAATTATACATTAATAAGGACAACTAAATAATAATTTTAATCTTAAATTTCTAAAGAAATAAACATAGTAAAGAACTATGATCATTATAATAATATATTATTTCGTTTGTTTAATTGAATAAAAGAGGGTGCGAGGGTTTCCCCTCACTAGCAGAAATTGAGCGATAAAGCCTTTCCAAACGGAAAGTTTTGGGGCCTCACTGACGCCGGTTGTGCGATGGCCAGCTTAACCCCACACTACTGATCTGCATGATCATCAGCAGTGCTCGCCAGGTAAGTAAAATTTTTATTTAAAAAAATTGTCTTATATAATTTTATATAAAATAAAATATTATGGGTTTATTAAGATGAATTGATTTTGTTTAATTTCAATAATTAGAATTATGTAATAAAATAAATTTGATTATTCATTATCATTATTTAATTGTCAAATTAAGAAAAAGAAACTAATAGGTTTGTTTAATCGATATGTTTATTTATTTGAAGACAAATTAATAATTAATAAAGATTCAAAAAAAGGATATCCAATGAAAATCTACTCATGGACTTAAATTAAGAAAGTTATATGGAAATATAAAAAATCAAAGAAAATTCCTAATACCTCAACTCTTAGAAACATTATTATTGTTACAGAAAAAGTACAAAAGAAATATTATGGAGATTCTGAAACATTATTAGCTTTAAAAAGAATCCTAGCTAAATTTGTATATCAAGAGAGTATCTAAGATGAATTTGAGCGTTTATAGATCTTAGGATAAGGCAGCTATTCACTTGTTGTTTAATTAAGACATTTACATTCAAATTTATAATTTGCTGCCAAATGTATTGATAAAAAATAATTATCCAATATTGAAAATGGAATAAAGGCTGTCTAAAATGAGATTTATATCATGAGAATACTTAGTCCACACACTTAAATTGTTAATCTCCATGAAGTTTATGATGGTGATAATAATATATATTTGATTATGGATTTTTGTTAAGGTGGAAGCCTTTTAACAGAAATCAAAAAAAGATAGTGCAAATTTGATGAATATGAAATATAACAGGTATAATAATATTTTTATTTAGATTATGGAAAATATTCTATCAGCTATTGAGTATATTCATAGCAAAGATATAATGCATAGAGATTTAAAACCAGAAAACATTTTATTTTCTAATCTTAATGATTTTTCCACTCTAAAAATCGCCGATTTTGGCTTATCTGCCATTAGTAAACTTACTCCCTACTTATTTCCTAAATGTGGCACACCTGGATTTGTAGCTCCTGAAAGTATAAAATAATAATAGAACAAGTTGCTAATATGAATGATAAATCTAGGGGATATAGTAAAAAATGTGATATTTTTAGTTGCGGAGCTATATTTCATCTACTTTTATTGGGAAAAGAAGTATTTTAAGGTAAAGGAAATGCTGAAATGCTTAAATTGAATAAAGAATGCAATATTAATCCTACTGATGCTTTATATAGCACTTTGCCTCCATTAACCAAAGACTTATTGTAAAATCTTTATATTATATTGTAGATTTAAAATGTTGGAAGTTAATCCTGAAAATAGACATGATGCTTATGAACTTTTGCAACATTAATACTTTAAAATTTATTAATTTAACAAATTAAATGACTTAAATGAATAGGAAATTATGAAATAGTGATTTAAGAACATAATAAAAATAATATCTTAAATTTATGTTAATATCAATTTTTTTATCCATCATCCTCCTCCAATAATCTGTGGTTATTTTTGTAAAAATTAAGGTTGCATCAATGGTTAAGCCATCTATTAAGCCAACTAAAATTTAATGATATTTAAATACCAACTACTCAAATTATGGAACATTCTATTACTATTATGGTTATTATAAAAATCCATTTTATTATTGTTATTGTTATTATTATTATTATAATTATTATTATTATTATTATTATTATTATTATTATTATTATTGTTGTTAAGCCTACTGCTAAGGAATCTATTAATAAGATTATTATTATATATTTTAGTATTGAACTGGCTAAGGAATCTATTATTAGAAAGCTTAGAATTATTATTATGGAATCTATTATTATTAAAATTATGGTATTTGCTAAGGAATTTAAGATTAAACTAATTACTATGGTTATGCTTATGGTATTTACTACTGATTTAATAACTACTGTTGTTATTAAAGAAGTTACTATTAAGTTAATTATTGAGGAATTTATTGCTAAGCCATTTATTATTATTATAGCAATTACTATTAAAGCAATAATTATTATGGGTTCAAAATAGGCTAGGTAACAGTTTAAGCATAAGCAAGTGGTTATTGCAAAGGAATTTGAAATTATTGTTATGTTTAAATATTCTCATTCTTTACTATCGTTGGACTTGATTAAAATGATAATGGATTCAGAATTTACTATTAAAGTAGTTGTTATTGAATTTATTGTTATTATTATTACAGCTACAATAAGTAAAGCATTTGTGCCTACTATTAAGGAGTTAGGTAATTAGAATCTACAACTTATGGAAAAAGTGATGGCACAAATACACCCTAAGTCTATTGCAACATAGATATTTGCTAAGTCAGTTAATTTTATTTTTCCATGAATTGCTTTATTAATTGTTCTTGAGCCTGTAGTCTTAAATCGTATTAAGATAATTAATCAACTTGTTAAGGTTGTGGTATATATTAATTTAAATTACTTTAAGTTCCTACTTGTAGAAAACTGAAGTCTTTCCCATGAGCTTTAGTTTTTTTAACAATGAATTCAACTTCTTCTCCTTCTCCTCCTTCTTAATCTCCACCACCCTCAGCTTCGCATGCTCCACCTCCTTCTACTTCTTCTCCTCCTCCTTCTCCTCCTTCTTCTTCTTCTTAAGCTGCTTCTGCAGGCGAAAAACTACATTTACAAACCAAGTTCTCAAAGAATTCTGGCCCTTAAACCTAAACGAATTGCATTGGATGCTATGTGTTGATCCCTCTTTATTTGATTTTAATTTGCTATTAGACAAATGAATAAAATTCTTAAGTTCTTTCTTCTCCTTAAACACGTAATCTCACATTCAACGATGGATGCCACGGTTTATATCCTTTGGGTTATATTTTTAACAGATCAGATAAGGCATCATCAACTGTGATATAACTAGAAAGCTCTAATAATTTTTAGTCATAAATACTAAGTGCTTTGTGATAGTGATCCTACCAATAAAAACAAAATAAGCATTAAATAAAATTAATAAAACGGATTTATAATTTAATTTTGAATTTAAGCATTAAAACTCATTAGATGTAGAATTAATTTAGAATTATATTTATATATAACCATCCCATATTGAATCTGCAATGAATTTATTGGTATATTTTAATATTATCATATTTGTTATGAAATTATTACTCATGATGTATGTGTTATTTTATACATTGACGGTATATATCTTTAAAGAAGGGCTTATGAAAAAAATCCAAGAAAAGATGTTCCTATGACAACTGCTAAAACAACCCAATTGAATCCTTCGAAACTGTATTAATATTATTAGGAATACTTACGTGCCTTCTTTAATATCGATTACATCACACCAAGTCGCTCTTTGAGGGAATATAAATGATACTATTGCAACAACAAAACCAAGAGTTGTCCATAAGGTTAATAAGATGTTTTTATAGTATTTTACTTTAAAAGGATTTGATATGTAAATAGATACTCCAAAAGACATGAAGTAATACATTAAACTTAAAAACATGATTGAATTTAAGTATCCTTCTCTTTAAAATTTTTCAATAGGTTTAGAATATTCAAAGTATCTATCTGTTGTAGTGAGAATACCGTAATTAATACATAAACTAGATTATTGAAATTATACTAATACCCTAAAACAGCAAAGAAAATATTAGTATAGATTTGAATTTGATTTTAATAGGAGAATTAATCATCTAATGGTATATATTCTGCTAATTCAGTTGCAGGAGAAGAAATGCATAGGAAAATTAATAAAGGAATATTGGAAATGAATCCAACATAAACAGTTTAAAATTCAGCTAAAATAATAGAAATTAAAGTTTACAAAAATTCTATACTTCTAAAAACATAATAGTGACAGCAGCAAATTTAATTCCATTAACACTAAGTTGGTATTAAAAGACCTCAATAATAGTCATTATAGCTGCTTTTCCTTATGCTAAGACTTAGATACAACATTTTAATGAAGTTGATTTTGAGCTAAATGGTGCAGTATAAGAAGCATCAGATTCACTAAATGAGATTCCAACTTATGCCTAAGCAATAGCAGACTAATAAATAAATAATGAAATATTTTACACAATCATTAGCACCATCTCCAGTCATCATGACTTATCTTCCCATTTCTTGGAGTAATGCAACAATTTATTTTTTTTATTCTGGCTTTTATCTGGCAAAAACTCTAGTCTTAGATATTAATTTCTTAGTCATTTCTTTCATTTTTGTATCATCAAATTCAATAGAATTATTATCTGAGAAAATTTAATTAGATGAATTATTTTATGTCATACTAAGACTAGTGTCTCTATTAGGAATGGCAACAGTTATAAATTTAGAAATAAATTCTAAGAATTTACCAGTAATGGAAGTCATCTTAGGATTTTGAATAATTTATTCTATTAAATTTTAATTTTCTATGGCGTTTTCATCATAATTAGTTTAATTATCATTATCAAAGATGACTATTTATCTTTTTGATGAATTATAATCTAATATAACAACTTCAGAGTTTAAATCAATAATTCCAGAAATTTTAGCACAATAAATAGTAGTTAAAGGACTATCACCTGAAATCACCTTAATATCTAATCCACTTTTTCTTAATATTTATATTACTTAAGGAGTATCATCTTTAAGAGGATTTTCTAAAACAAAAATTCCAACAATATTTAATTATGTTTCCAATTCTTCTCTCTATAAATCTAATTGGTTGTTATTTAATTTACGATAACCCAATCCCAAGACTCTAAATCCATTTGATGCATATTTCTTGACTTCATCTAAAACAACTTACTTTTTATCTTGAGATTATTAATTAATCATTTCAGGTGAACCTTTAGAAAATAAATAGAAATTAGTTCCATCTGTTGCTATGACACTCATCATTTATCTTGCTGAACTAAAATCAAAGATCTTAATAATTTCAAATTCTTATTAATCTTTTTTAACTGAAAAGAAAGATTTGCCTTCAAAATTAATTTTCCAACCAATAAAATTTAACATTTCAATTTCTAAAGGATCTCCCTGTAATTCTCCATTAATTAATAAAAGATGATGACAACATGCTAAAATATAATTACCAATTTATTCCTATAAAATATAAATATAAATTACTAATGATTGATCATGAGTCCAAACTTTTATTGCTTTCAATCCTAGAGTAGTTAGAGTTCCTGTTTTATCAAAACAACAAGTATCAATACGTCCAGCAGATTCAATCTTATCAGCATTACTACCATTAATGCCAATTGAACCCAGTCTAATTAAACTAGCTGTTTTACAAATATTAAAAAATATTGGCATTGATGGAGGTATTGACCAAACAATATTATCAAGAAATCTTAATACTAATAAACTTGTTTTAAATTCCATTGGTATATATTTAATTAACATAAAACCATAAACTACAGCTATTATTGTTGCAAAAGTTAAAATAAATTTAGCGGCTTAGATATAAAATCTTTATGATGGAGGTGCTGGAAATAAAACATTTCTAAAATATTATCCTCTTAAAGAACTAAATCCAGTTCTAAGTACTATTGCTACATTTTCTGTTGTTGAATTTACTTTTACAATACTTGTCCCTTCAAATAAACAATGTTAGTTTAGTGATTCAAAATTAAATTTAGCTGAATGATCAGGTAAGGATGTTTTAGGAATTGGAACATTTTCTCCTGTCAATGTTGCTTCATTTACCATAACATCTCCTTAAAGAATAGCACAATCACAATTCAATTATTATCCTTCTTATAATATTATGTAATCTCCTGGAAGTAATTCAGATCCATTCACTGTTCTTAGAGTGTCATCCTTCAAAATTACATTCTGATGAATATTAGCTAATTTTTATAGGAGACTCCTTGATCTTCTGTATAAGATATAGTTGACTATAACTGCAATTGCAGTGAATGCTAATATAAGTATTGGAAATGTAATTGAATTTTGAGCAAACCATACAGCAACGGCAAAATATTAGAGAATATTAAATGGGCCAGTTAGGTGCTCAAATAAAAACTCAGCTAAGGGTTATATGGGAATTTAGAGTTGACATTTCCCATAATATTATATTTTTAAATTTTGAGTTAATACATTACGATTCGCTATTATATCTTTAATTATCTTTCCGTCAGTTTCAAATTCAATTGGTTGATAACATTAAGTTTTTGGATCAAATGCATATTTAAGAAGTCTAAATTTCAAACTTATAATACCTGAATGTAAAATAATAAATGCCATTCATTTACTATTTTTCTAATGTAAATTATTGACCATTTTATGTATCTACCCTATAATGTGTTCCTGTCTCTTCAACATTGCAAGGAGTAAATAGAAACCAGTTATACAATTTTTTACTCCATCTCAAGGCTAATGCAAACATACAGCCTGTAATAATGGAAATAATAATCTAAATTGAATATAAACCTTTACAATCAAAATAAGTCTGATTCTAAGGAATCTGACAGGAGTAACTTTTATAAGTGGATGTTGTCCCTCAATTTCTGCATTATTAACACGATAAGACATAGTAAATATTTGAAAAGTTAATATATATTTATTAATAATCCTAACTTAAAAAATTTATATTCAAAAGATTTTTATCGATCATATAATATTTAATCATATCATTACTCCAATGAATAAATCTTTAATTAATTTTCATAAGTGATTATTGATAATTTTTATTAATTGATTTAGCAAATCCCTTTGGCAGCTGATATTTTTTATTTCTTGATTGGTTAATCAGAAGAATCAATACTCCAAATTACTGTTGTATCATGTGCACAACTTATTAAATGATTGCTTTCTTCAATCAATATCAAATTCACAATTGGACCATTTTGAGTTCCTATTGTTAGAACCTAGAAATAATTCTAATTTGTATTCTGTCTATCCCAGACTTTTATTGTTGAATCCCAAGAAGCACTCACAAATCTTGATTAATTAATAAAACATATAGCATTAACTGATTTATTATGAGCCTTATCTAACTTCTAACATCTCCATTTCTCATTAACAACACTCCAAACATAAATTGAATGATCAATACATCCAGTAACCATTAAATTAGATAATCTATTGAAATTTATGCACAGTGTTACTCTTGGAGAATCTACAATTGTTTATGCTTTCTGCCATTTATTTTACACATTTAAATACCAAATAATAATATTAGTATCCTAACTTCCACTGGCCAATATATTTTCAATTCTGTTTAAACTTAAACATATGATAGAATCTAGATGACCTTCCAAAGTTTAATCACAAAAAAGACCTTCTTGAACTATTTTCCAAACTTTTATAGTATTATCTTCGCTTCCTGTTATGCAGAAATTAGATAGTAGAGATGATCTTAAGCAATTAACTGTTCTTTAATGACTTGTATATTCTTCTTTCAAGAATACATTAAAATTGTTATCAAATTTAATAATGGCCAATTCATTTTAATCATTATCATATTTATAACAACCAAAAATTAGTGTTTAAAGTTGTCTATGATAATCTATGCATTTTATATTTTCAATATTATTTAATTCTTTTTTAATTATGAATTGCCCATCAGTTTTAACAAATAGATCTTAAGGAAAAAAGACTTCAATTTCTTGGTTAAATTTCACATAAGGAATGATCTTATGAAGATGTAAAGAAATTTCCTTAAGTATATTAATATTTTTTTGTAATTACTTGGCAAATTAAATTTAAGAGTTTTTTTCATTTTGTTTTTATATAAGATTTTCTCCTTTTTTTTCTAATTGAATACTTAATAACTCACCTAATTATTAATAATCTTCCAAAAGTAAAGTGGTTTATTTACCTAAAAAATATTGAAATACACTATCATTAATAACAGTCTTTTATGTATTCATTTCTTTTTCAATCTCCATTTCTATTTGTGTAAATGCTTACTTTAAATTTTCAACAATTTTGTTTTTCATTAGGAGATATTCTTCTCTATATTTTTCAAGAACTGTTTTTTAATTGAAAGGTTAATTTTATTGCTAATAGAGATAGACAAATGCTTAATGTATAGATATAGGATTATCCAAGAAACATTCATCACATAAAGTTCTTTGAATTTTAGGAACATTTTCTTTGATATCAAGAAATCTTATTGGGTTTTAATGTTTAGTACATAGAGGATATTCAGATTAAATCATATTATTTTTTCAATTAATAAATTGTATATTGTGCTTGCAAAGAAATTTATATTATTATAAATATTTAGCGGTTAAACTATCTACCATGTATAGAATACCCCTTGATGATTATAATTCAAACTTAGATACTAAATTCAATACTTGTTCAAGCACTAGAAATAGTAATTAACCCAAATTTAATTTTTCTACTGACAGAACATCTAGAGCAATGTAATGATTCAATTAATAAAATTTAGGTCTGGCAGAAGTTGTAATGTCAAGAATTAATTTGATGTCATGTGCTTTTTAATGGGAGTTGAACTTGAAAGATTGAATTAAGAGAATGATAAATTAAAGTATCAAAACCTAGAGATTAAAGAAAAAACTTATGACAATAAAAATTATGAGTTATAGTTAAAAGACATATCAGAAAGATTAATTAAGAAGGAACTTCAATGTCAGCAATTAGAAAATCAATTAACTGATGCAAATAAAATGATAGCTTAAAAGGAGGTATTGGTCCAAAATTAATATTAATAAATGAATCAGCAATTATAAGTTATTTAGTAATTATAATACACAATCAAATAATTGGAATGTAAATTAGGGTTTTTGGTTTGTGAGAATGAAAATCTAAACACTAAAAGAAATGATGAATTAATAAATTAACAATAAATAACTAAGTCACAGAAGGACTATGAAGAATTATAGAAAGTTTATAGTTCTTTGTTGGATAATTATAATCTATAGAATGAGAAATTAAAGAGAATAGATGTTTAACATAAAGAATTAGAATAGAATTATTAATAAGTATTGGAAAAGAAATAATAATAAGAAATGGAAAATAAAAACAAAATGATTTAATATGTTGATTGTAAATAGAAATTGACTCTATTAACAATTGAATTAGATCGTATGAATGAAGTTATTTAGTAGTAAAAATGTGAATTGGATTAAAAATAAAAGAAATCTGATAATAAATAATAGATTTTAATGATGAGAATAATTCTGCATTGTGCTGAAATTGATAGACTAATTGAAGTGCAAAGTAAATTAATGAATGAAAATAAATGGTATAGAAATCAAGTAGATTTATATGCGATGATGATTGGAGATAATAATAATAATAATAAAGTAGTTAAATTAGATTTTTGATTTATTTATTTATGTTGTTGATTAATTTGATAGAAAAAGATATGATTATAAATTGTATAATATGAGTTCATTTTTGTTTTTCATCTGAAACATGCAATTATAATTAATACAATGTGAGCAAAAAGATAGATAATGTCTATGTATATGAACATTGCTCCAATGATGTAGTCATCAATCGATAATTTATGAGTCTACATCAATAAAATTGATTACACTTCCTCCTATGATTAATTAAGTGTCATATATTAAATAGACTCCAAATAACAAGCTAGATATTAATGAATAGAGTAAACTCATGGCTTAATCATAATAGACTCCAGATAATATCGCAAAAAGAAATAAAGAAGTACTTGCCATAAATAAAAAGGCTCCTTTGATAATCTTTTATAATATATAATACCTTTAGTTGTGAAATCTTTTTTGGTTTTGCATGCATAAAGAGTTAGTCCAATCACAGCAGCTAAAGTAAGGGCAGCAGCCATTACAACAATAAATCCTAATTAAGAATTCAGTATACCTCCTTCTTCGCTATATTTATTGAAAACATAACTACAAAGTTGCGAAATGATGTAACTCTCAGCTAGTGTAAAAACAAAGAGAAATATATAATTATGAGGAACTCTCCATGAATATTTGGGTATCCATAATAAAATCAATTCAATAATGATTGCTATTGCAATTGCCAAATAAACCCAACCTGAATATTCGTTTTGGAAATCACGATAAGGAATATAGAAATATGAGAGGCAACAAGCCACAACTGTCAACATTAATTGTAATATCATTATACTATAAACCTTGTTAATTATGAAATGAATGTATACTTTCCTAATAAAACCAGGTCTTTGATCAGCTGTTAATGGCTTATAATTTTCATTTTTAGCATACCATCGTTCATCAATTTAAACTATTTATTCTTCTGATTCCACTTATTAAGCAGAGTTAGGATAATTATGAATTGGTTTCACATCATAAATGGGTATATGAACAAAATTAGGTTTTTTCTTTTCATCTCCATTATTTAAGACAGGAGATTATTAAAAATCTACATCCATATTTTGCATGATCTTAATTTTAAATATATAAAAACATTCTAACAAAGTTAATGCTTTAAAATAAAATAATTAAATAAACTAAATTTCTAATCCAATTATTGACCCATTTATATTATATGCTTAAAGTAATTAAAATTATACTTCACATTCCACTTACAAATAGTATAATATAATATTTATTACTTTAAAAAATATCATAATTACCATCATAATTTCTATTCAATAAACATTTTTTAATACTTTTGAAGATTAATCAAATTATTCAATAAATATTTTCCTATTGCTATATATCTATAGAATATTAATTATAAATAAAAAAAACTAAATAAAACTAGTATTTACATACTCTAATTGAAGAATAGTGAATATATTAAAAAATATTATTCTAGATTATTCTATTTAAAATATGAGATAGATGATTATAGAAAATATATTTTCTGATAGTTTATTTAAAGATGTAATAGTTTATGTCAATTTATTAATTAGAAAATCAACACAAAAGAATAATTTATTAACTAATCTATAATCATAGCTAATAAATATATATATTCTAAATTATTGTTATCTCATTTAGTCATAAATTAAAATATACTTGAATTAGATTATTAAATGAAAATACTAAACATTTTTCAATTTAAATACTCTTATTCATAATATATTATAATGTTAGGATTGATTACTTTGTGTTTTTTGTATATAAAAATATTTATCATAATTCTTAATCTCTAAATCCAAGCATTTCAATATCAAATTATAAATCTGAATTTGGTGGAATGACTCTTCCTGCACCTCTATTTCCATATGCTGTATCAGATGGACAAATAACTGTAACTTTATCGCCAAGTGTTAAATTTAAAACAACTTCATCCCAACATTTAATTACTTATCCAATTCCCACTCTGAATTCAAATGGTTAATTTCTATCCTTACTACTATCAAATTTAGTACCATCAAGTAATTTACCCTAATTTATATGTAATATATTACTGTATAATGTACTTTCACTTAGTCACCTTTTTCTGGATAATTGGCATTACTACCTCTTTAATGGATTTTAATAGAATATTTCTATACGAGATCTTAATCATCAAGTGAAGCTAAGGAAATTGAAATAATCAAGGAAAGCAATAAATATTTATTCATAATATAATTAATATTTGAACAATAATGACTGAATAATTGTATTTAATATTTATATCATTTATTTTTAGACTTTTTACATAATATAAATATATAATTATTTTGATAAGATAGTGAATATATCATAATTTTGTAATTAGTGTATTATTCAAAAGAAAATTCTTAAAATGAATGAATTCTTAAGATTTTTAATGTAAATACAATCTCGTTTAAATTTAATTATAATAATTTTTTGATTAATGAAATAGGCTCGTTTGCCTCTTCAATAATAGTCTCCTAGAGACATTGGATTTCATAGACATTGTTAGAGATTTCAACCTAAGGAAAGATCTCCATAACCGAATGAAGAAGATGCTATTGTATATGTTCGGCTACGTAAATCGGGTTTAGTTAAAGATAAAGCATTAAAATATTGTTTGGCTGACCATTGCAAAATAGATGCATCATTAACAAAACATGGTCCTCCTAATTATAAAATATTCTCTACTTCTTTAGATAGATAAAAAGTTATTTAAGGTTGGTAAATGGTAGGAAAACTTAAAGAAATGAGTCATGAAAGATATATAAATGCTAAAAGAGGTGATGGATTAACTGAATTTTAAAACAGAGATGAATAAATTAAATTTGAAAGATTAAAAGATTATTTTATTGGTTTAAGTAATTCTAGTAAATAAGTTGAACTTCCTAAATTTTAAATGGGAAATGGAAAAGAACATTATTTTGAATTAGCAGATTATTATTAACAAAATAAACCATTATCTAAGACTTTAATTACTGATACAGAATCTTTTGATGACATTATTCCTAAATATAAGAAAGAGCATTTTAGAATAGAACCAAAAGCTGATAGACCAACTATAAAAAGGACAGAAGAAGAAAAAGGAGTCAAACAACGATTGAAGGCTTTAAATGAATTAATTAAAACATATAAGGAAGCAAAAAGAGCTGATGATCCTTGTATTGAAATAGTATTTTTAAGAGCTTATTAAGGTTTTAGATCAACATCATTCTAAAAAGAAAGAAGATAGAGTACCTTAAGAAATAGAAAGTCTGGCCATCATTAAAGAAAATTATAATTATGATGAAGGAACAGCAAGTGCCAGAAAAAGATGTAGTATACTTAGCCATAGATTCTCAAAAATTGTTCATAATGATGAATTGATAAAAAATTAAGTATTTTAAGAGAAATTAGACAAATTTGTTTCTAAAGTTTTAGGAAGAATTAATTGTTAATTTGATGGAACACTTTTTGGTAGAAGTTTCAAGAACTCTTGATTCTGTTATTAAATTAATTTTGTTGATGTTTTATAATAACTTTATTATCTATTAATACAACTTATTTTAATTTGATAGTGTTGAGATTTATTTAATTTAAAACTTGTTTTTGCTTAATTATTAATTTATATATATATATATCAAAGAAATAATAAATTTATTAAAGAGATGAATTATATTATTATTCTAATGATTTTATTTATTTATGATTCATTTATTAAATCTTTAATTCTATTATATATAAATTTCGAATCCAATAATTAATTTACATTTTTAGTTTTTGATTATAAAAATTATTGTTGAGAGTTAAATATTAATTTAAAATAGATTATCAAATATTACCTTTAAGTATTTAAAATACAAATAAATTGAAAGAATTTTATTATTCAAAATATTATTCTATTCATTATTTTCATTCAGTATTTATATTATTTGATATTTCCTTATAATCAAATTCTATTCTAATCAATCAATATATTTTTTATTTTTAATGATTTTTTTGTTTATTGATAACATTAATTATTAATTAATCAAAAAATTATATACTTTGATATCAACATTACGTCCATAAGTAATATCTTATATAGTAGATTTAGTTAAAACAATCAATTTATTTTTTGATTTTAATCCTATCTTAAATATTAATTGAAATATTTTATGGTTTTCTAATATTTATAGTGAAATTTGTATTTTTTATTCCAACTCTTAAGAAATAAACGCTTAACTTAATAAATGTGTAATTTATTTAATCTTTTTTGAATTTTCATCAAATAAAATAGTAGTTGATGATAACATGGTTTTTTAATTTGTATAAGAACTTCTACTTTTGAATTATTTTAATGATCATTCTATGTATGGGTTCCTTTGTTATCTTTCTTTAGATAACTGTATTACATCATCATATTATCAATAATATTTTTTATTTATCTAAGCATAAAGCAAATAAAGCGATAAAGGAAATCTAAGCATTATACCATGTTTCATTTATAATAACCAAAATTTAGATAATATATAGATATAATAACAATTTTAGTTACTATTTCTTTTAACTTATTAACTAAATTTAATTTTTAAGAATAAGAACATTTGTAAATATATTTCTCATTTATTTTATTGTATTTCAGAACTTCATATATTATTATATGGTTATATAATATTATTTATATATTGTGATAAATAATTATAATTAAGAATTGATTGAGTATTATATTTAAATACAAACTCTATTAATAAATTTCTTTTATAAAATTATTTTTATAAATCATTAATATGATATGAATTATTATTAACTCAAGTTTTACACTAAATGTTAAGATTATTATTGATAATTCAAGTTTTCATTATAATAAACAGAAGGTTGTAGTGGTTAAACTTGATTCAAATCTAAGAAATTATTAGCTTTTTATTTATCTTTAACAAATTCTTAAAAGTGATTTTAATTTTCTACTTATTCTTGGTTTTCATAAATTCCAAATGTCATTCTTTACTTCATGTCAGTCATAGTTGTATGTTATTTGGCTTTAGATTTCTTCTTTAAGACTTCTTATATTTTATTAACCATAATTTAAGTGGATTATGGATCTAATGAAACTGACATCCAGTTTTTAAAATTTTAATCGCCAACCAATTAATGTAAATACATACAAATTTAAAATGCGTATGTTTATATTTCACCTCCTTAAGAATTTAAAAATGAACTTAAAGCTTGCAAAAGTAATGTTAGTGTATTTACACTAAAAGACTATAAAAATGAGCCAATTGTTTATATTTATTTAGCCAGAACTTAGAGACAAAATTTTTGAAGTGGAACAGTAGATTTCTTTTATCCAGTCAATTAAATCACTGCAAATAAGCCTGCTTCATATTATGAACAATTGAGTATATAATTACTGACAGCAACCTTTAATAGTAATAATAAATGTACCAGACATTCTTCTTTAATTTATTTGTGTTCAGAGTTTTATGATTTTAAAATCAACTTTGGCACAAAAACTTAAAATATTTATGGACATATTTGTACACTTCGACCTAATGAAAATACTTCATTAATCAATGTTACAACATTTCTTTAAATTTTGGGCTGTTTATTTAATATATTCTTACTTTAGAATCATCTAATGATATCATTACTTATTATCCAAACATTTCAAATAATTGATTGACATATTATGGTACATATTTGTTAATGCATCTAAGATTTGTGATTGCCTAAAATAACTATAACCAAGCTTTTGTTCCATAAGTAAATAGTTATTATGTCTCAGCTGCCAATTAAGTTAATTGATTTGGATCGATTTATGGTAATTCGTTGAAACCTATGACTTAAATTGTCTGGGGATCCATTAATTCCGAAGTGCAATTTGAATTTTAATTTATTTCAAAATTACGACTGTTAATTTTCAATTAAAATCTAAACTTAATAATTATCATTTCTAATTATTCACATATTCTTACTTTTTTATCACTTCATAATCATTTTATATAAAGATCATTTAGAAATTGAATTACCCTTCATTATTAATACTTATTCTATTTATTCACTTCCTTCCCATTTTAAATAACTTAAATAAATTCCAAACTTTTTATTATGACATACTTTCAAGAATTATATATAATAAATTATAAAATGTAAATTTTTAATAATAGTATAATTAGGCTTCCTTATTAATTCTCTTCTTAAAATTAGAATGAACATAGAAATTCTCTTTATTTAGTAAAGATAATTATTATATACAATATATTCCATAATTAATAGTTTCCATTCTATATAGTAAAATAATGAAGTAAGAATACTAATCTAAACTTCATTAATTAATTAAATGGGAGGAGTATAATCAATCAATCGAAACTGTAAAAAATCTTTACTCATTTGCTTATAATTGCTTGTTGAAGATGTTGAGTATTATGCTGATTCTAAATTCCTTGCTTAATTAAAAACCATATAGATTTCCTTTTCCAACAACTTTGAAAAAAATCGGTAACATTTATATATACAATTTTTATAGGAAAAAAGTAATAGACCTTCTAAAATAATCCATACCTCCATAAATTAGTTTCCATGAAGATGTTTTACTTAATAACATAAGTTCAGCTTTCTAATGTTCTTTAATTAGAAGCAACAACTATAAATCTAAAACTTTTAAGGATATCACTATGGATAAAGAATTCGTTAAGACTTTTAGATTAATGAACTTTTCAGGTTTACAATAAAAATATGAGAATTGTTATTAAAATAATTTAGTCCTTCTATATTAGGGTTTAAAAAGCTATTGTAATCTAGCTAATTAAATCATCAAAGAACTGAATTAAAATTTAGATGTTTAATGTAAAGTTTATGTTTTGATTTGGGAACACTTTTAAAATCATTTATGTAAATTATCTATTTCAGAAATTTATGACCTTTAACCACTTAATTAATTTTTTAATGAAAATTACACCATCATATCTCCATCTTTAAAAATTGAAAGCATAGGTGGAAAACTATGGGGTACTTCAGTTTAATAGTTAAACATTGATTATATTAAGCAATAATTTAAAATTACTAGAAGAGATCATGCTTAATAAAATATCTGTTTATTCTAGGTTTTTAATGCTTTCATTGATATGAACATTGATGCTGCTCATCTTTAATGGATAGGAGTAAGTGATTTTGAATTTAGTGGATCTCTTAAGCTTTTAATTGATTTCATTATTGAAGATACTAATGAATTTTTTATTTAATTAAACGAAAAATCATAAGGAAATTTACTTTTATTATTAGATTTATGGGAGAAAGATGATAATTTTATGAAATCAGTGTTACCAACTTGGATTTGTGAAAATATATTAAATACACTATTTTTCAGTTTTTTTGAATAGAAAATTAGAGAGAAGATTAAATTAATGTAAATTAATTAACAAAAAAATTTAATTGAAAAATATTGTAAGTAAAGAGTTGATATAGATTTCTAAAATTAATTAGAATAAGCAAAAAAGAGCTTGGAATCTGTATTTTTTTAATTTGACTATTACCATATATAAAACATTGAACCAACCTTATAAATTATGATTAAATAATTAAGATCTGAAAAAGAATTTAGTAGTATTATATTAGCCAGTGAAAAAACCTAATAAGGACCTAGTGATTTATTAATTTAATAGAATTCAAATATCTTGTCAGATGCTGATGTTGATGTTCATCATATCTAATCTAATATTTTCGATCCATAAGATGCAGATCTATTTGAATCAAAACAATAAAATTCTGATTTATTAAGTCCAGAAGATGAAATTGCTCAAATTTGTTAAAAATATGATCAAAAGAAGAATAATATATAATTAAATATTTAATAAAGAGATGAGAAAATTAAACTTAGAAATAGAAATATATAACCAATATCTAAGGAGTTATTTAAGGTATTTAGTTTTGTTCATTCTATATCATAAGAATAAGTAGATATTATAGTGAATCTCTTAATTGAGAAAAAGCATAAAGAAATTAATTTTATAAATAATAACCTGTTTGTAAATTAAGAATGTTTCAAAGGATCTATTGCAGCTGAGTTGTTATTTTTAATGTAAAAGTGAGAAAATAAAATAATTATTGATATTTATCCACCTTTCTTAAAATAAATATATATATATATTAATTTATTCAATCTAAATAATATTAGATTTTGTCTAAGCATTTCTAAATTCTTTTAAATAAAAAAGATATATATATATATACAATCAATTCAATAATTATCTAATTTCTAATTATAAACTTAATTTATATCCATTTTATTCTTTTTTTATTGAAAATATAATAGAAAAGATAACAGAACAGTTTAAAATATCTTTAAAAATTTAAGAATAACTATTTATTTAAATTGAAATATCAAAAGAAAAGTTTTGCATAAGAGTTCTTAGATCTTAAGGATGTTAATTGAAATAATCTTTAAAAATTATCACTTTTTATTTTTTCATCTGACATAGATCCTTTATATATAGTTTATTCAAACTTTTTGCTTTATTTATATTATTCTAGTTCTTTTTGAATCCATTATTGTAATTTTTAATTTGATAATTTGGGTATTTTAGGTGGAGACCTTTTAGTTTGATTTTAATTTAATAATTCTTATTTTACTTATTAAGATTATGGTTCATCTTAATCTATACTATTACTTTTATTCTTTTTTAATTGAATTCTAAATGAAGTTTGTTTGCTCATATCAACAATTGATTTTTAATTTAAAGAACTTTCATTAAATTTATAATATCCTAATGGTGGAGGTTGTACTTAAATTAATTAATAGGGTGAGGTTCTCTTTTGACGAGAACTATCTTTTAATTTAATAGGATTTTTAGATGAAAGTACAAAAAATTTATCTAGCTAATCATGATGCTTAATTAACTTAGTTGCTTTTTGAATAGTAATTTTTTTGATTTCTGGTAATTGAATTGGTACATTAATTAAGACTCCTTTTTGAAAATCATATTAAGAAGATATTCCTAAGATTGAATTGACATTAATATTGGATAAACTAGGTTAATGGGATAATGAATAGCGAGTTTTCATGTATTAAAATATTATTATAATAATAGATCATCAGACAACAAAAATCTTTTTTTTTGTATTTAATACTTTATGATCATTTTTTTAAGCATTATTTAAGAAATGATGACTAGCAATTATTTATTTATGTTATTTTGGATGTCCAAGATCATCTTCTTCATAAGATTTATCAGATGATTCTGATTCTATTAGATCTTCATTTTATTTTTTATAGAATTTGCATTTCATTTAAAGAATTTCATTGTCATCACATAACATTTATGGACTTACAGATTAAAATTTAAGAGAGTTTTGATAATATTTGATTTTCATTGCTCTTTAAGATTCTCCAAATTGATATTTGATATCATGAACAAATTTATATTTCTTAGATTCAGTATGTGGTCTTGTTTATACTTAAGTTTAAATAAATCTATAATTTCTTTAATATTTTTATAAGAATGTTGAATGACTAGTAGATGGTTTCATTTAAGGTAATTCTTAGATTCTTTTTTAATGAATATTTTTATTAAGTTATTTCTTTTTAGAATCAATACCATCTTCTTTTGCTATATCTTTATTATCATTAAATGCTACTATTAATCTTTAAACAAGACCATGTTAAGATTGAGGTCTTTTAGATTCTTCTTATACTTCAGGTAATTCTAATTTCTTCTTTTTAAATTAATCATCTTTCATTTTTTGTGTTAATTCTTTATATGGTTCAGCAATCGATTTCAAAGCTATATTCATAGGTTAAGATTAAGATTAAATAAGACGTCTATATTTAATATGTATTTAAATATTTACTTTTTTTCTCTTTAAACAATTATTTATTCAGGTTAAGCATAATTTCTTTACATTTCTTCAAAAGCTGATTCATTAAAATACTTATTAACTAGAAATCTAACTTTCACTCTTTCTTTTTCATAAGGAGATAAGTTCTCTTTTTCAATCAATTTTAATGCATCAAATACTAATTCAATGTCTTTTAATTTTTAACCAACCCAATCAAAAGGAAACTTCCAATAATTAGATCCATCATATTTAGCCAAACTTATATCAGACCATAATTCTCCTTTCATAGACCATATCTTAAAATGTTTATCCATAGATGAACTAATAAATGATACTAATTCTCTAACTTTATTGATTTTCACAATTGCAGAACTATGAGCTACCCATTATCTAATAAGTAAAGCAGAAATATTGCAAGTAAGAACAGGAGATTGTTATTTCTCTTCTTAAACTAAGAAGGTTTCAACACTTTTTGATACATCAATCAAATCCTTTCTCTTTAATTAATATGAATGACCCTTCTTTAATTTTTCCATTTCAGTAATCCCTTTTCTTTATAAGAATTCTGTTAATGATAAAATATGCATATATCCTTTTTAATCACCCATATAAAGCAAGGCTCTCCTTTTATTTTAATGTTATTCAGTATCATATTATTAAATATCCTTCATTAGACCTTCTTATTCTTCTTATAAGTTTAATTTTGATTTTTTATCTTAAGCAGTTTTATCAACAAGTGGTCCTGAAAATTCAGGTAACAATTCCTATCTTGATGGTCCAGATGAAATGTCTGAAAATATGGCAACAGATAACATTGGAGATAAGGGATTAGTATTAATTCTTAAAAGACATTTATTTGTTTTAATATTCCAAATGCTTATAAGTATTCCTTATAAACTAACTAAGACAGGATATGTATCAGCAAATTCTAAAGCAGTTACTTCTGCTAATGGTTATGGTGTATTAAGAACTCCACATAATTTACTTGTTTCAAAATCCCATAGAGAAATCAATCCATTTGCACTTCCAGTTGCTAACATAGTAAAATTAGAACTATATGACATAGATAAGATTTCAGAATTTTAATGTCCACCACAAAATACTTTTAATAAGATTGATTCTTCTGGATCTGTTTCATCATATATTCTAATAGTAGAATCTTAACTTGCAGATATCAATAATTTCTCTTCTTATAAAAATATAATTGAACTAATATCTAAAGTATCTCTTTTTTTAATGTTAGCCAATTTATTAGCAAATTCTGAATTCTCAATTTCATTGTGCATATTAACCTTTTTTAAAAACTCTCCTGTTTTCATATTATATTATCTAATTAAACCAGCATTATCAGCTATAAATAGTTTTCTTTATCTTCCTCCAAAACAAAATGTTGATAAATCCAATTATATTTTATCATCAAATACTTCATTCATTACTTTCTTTAATTTACCACCCATAGCATCATATATTCTTAAATCAAATTTAGTTAAAACAATAAATTAATTAAAATACATATTGAATTCTACATGGATTGGATATACTTCTTCATTAGGTCCTTTCTATTTCTAATTACTACTCATTTATGCAGCATTATAGAAATAATTTAATCTTTTACCAGAATATACAAATCTATCAGTTCTTGTTATTATACATAAATCAGTAACTAAAGATTATTAATCATTTGGTATAACTTAAACACTACTCATTTATCTAATATCCCATATTCTAATATTTGTATGATCATCAATACTAACACAATTAGGTGATTAAGGAATGAATTTACAAGTAACTACTAATGAAGAATGTCCTTCTAATCTTCCAATATAAGCTCTAGTTATAGATACTTCTGGACAATAAACATTAATAAATGTTTCAAATCCATAACTAATTAAATTTGATCCATAATCTTGATTATAACTTAATCCTTTAACTCCTCTTTTTGAAGGAGCTGGTGTTTTCAATTCTGTTATAAATTTTTAATCTTGCATATCCCATAATTTAATTTTACCATCTTAACTTGCTGAAGCCAATAATTTAGGACTAATTAATTCAACAATATCAGTTATTTATTTAGTATGAGCATTCAAAAATTTAATTACTTATCCATTTGAATCTTTTTCATTCCAAGGAATACTCCATCCTCTAATATTATAATCAGATCCAGCTGTTACCCATAATTCATGATAAGGAAAATACCAAATACCAGTTTATAAGACTTCTTACTTAAATTATTTAATCACTTTAAATGTTGTTGCATCCCAAAATATTAATTATCTATCACTTGTAACTGCTGCTATATAATTATCAACAGTATGAAAATGTAAGATGAATATTTTTCCTGACTCTGATTCAGGTGCTAAAGTAAATTTTTTATCCTAACATTCAGGAGTATAAAATCTCAAATGTTAAGAATTTTATTCCAAACAAATAACACTATCTAATTATGCACAATAAGCAATCTATAATTTTGATCATACTATTGTACATTCTTAATTGGATTCTTATGATTTGAATCATCTACTTAAGCAATTGGTATATAACGCTTAGATTTTCTTGAATAAGCCCTATCTAATACTTCAATTTCTGTTAATTCTCTCTCCTTCTCAAATCTAGTATCATAAAGTTATGCATCTTTAGAACCAATTACTGCATCTATAATATACTAAGTAAACTCAGCCCATTCCATATGACCATCACCATTTATATCTATATCTTAAAATAACTTTATCAATCCATTAACTAATTCATATTTATCTTCTGGAGCATGAGAAATTGCACATTTCATTAACCATATAAAATTTGGTAATTCAATTCCATTTGGATGTTCATGAAACTCTTTATCTAAAGCATCTAACTTCTCATTATCCAACATCATCATCAATCTATCTGCTTAATAAGGATTACGTTCAACTAATATCATCTCTTAATGTTCTTGTAGATACCTAATTAATATTACTTATATTACTTTATCACATCTATTAAGGATGGTTCGAATCGTTTAAGTAAATTATTCATAAATTATTAAAAAATTTAAATCTTATAACATGGGTGAGATAGTACCAAATCAATTATTTGTTGCAGGTTATAGTCGTAAAAAAATACAAGATGAAAAGGGAATCAAAGATATATTTAAAAAATATGGAACTATCAAGGAAGTTGCCTATAAAGGTTCCTATTCTTTTGTTGTAAGAAATTAAACTTCTATTAATAGACCTTCTCCTCAGAAACAGAAGCTTAGAATGCTATTTCTGCTCTGAATGGATAAGAGATCAACGGATAAAAGCTTAAAGTAGATATAGTGGATAATCGTAAAGGAAGACGTAATGGTCCTTAAGAAAATGATGAGTGCTTTAAGTGTGGAAAAGGTGGTCATTGGTATTCCTTTTTTTGCTATTTTAGGGCTAGAGAATGTCCCAATAGATCATCACCAACCAGAAGGAGAAGATATTCAAATTCAAGATCAAGGTATTAATAATTTATATATTTTTTTAGACATCGAAGATCAAGAAGATCTAATTCAAGATCACGCTCATATTCTTCTTATTCATCATCTCATTCAAGAAGGAGAAGAGATACAAAGAAGAGAAGCAGGTACAATAGAAGAAGTAGAAGTCCAAGAAGAGACAACAAGAGAAAGAAAAGTACCAGTTGCAGAAGATCACAAAGCAATTCAAGATCTAGATCTTCAGTTAGCAATAAATAACGCTAGTCAAATAAGTCATCTTCATCTAAATGAGAAAGGATCAAATTAAGAAAAAAAAAAAAGAAATTAGAAATTAAATCAATCCTTTTCTTCAATTTTTCATTTTCTCCATCTATTTCTGGACTAAATTGTATAATTTTTGTAAAAGCACACTCAAATTAAAGTTCTTAAGCAATAAATTTAAATTAGCAATTTACTTTTATATGAATTTTACTAATAAATAATTCTTAAAATCTATCACTGTCAATTTAGAAAATTATCACATACTTTATAATATCTATTTATTATTCTTCATATTATTCTCAATTTTTTTTTAATATATATTAATTGTTTCTAAAATCAAATAATATTCAATTTTAATTAAGACCTAATATTTATAAAAATAAAATCAGATAAATAAAAGCCATATTACGCTTCAATAATAAAAAATATCAATAAAAAACATGTATTTTGAATCAAAATTTGACTAGCATAAAATAATAATTATTACCTTATTCACATATTTTCAAAAAATAAAATAAAATTGATTAATAAAATTTTGAAGCTTTTTAACTTCTATTTGAGGCTGTATTTTATCCTCTAATTTTTAATTATTTTATAATATATAATAATTTATATAAATAAATCCGAAAATAAATATCAATTAATTTAATTCTCCATGTGGTGTATATTAAATTTTTAGAAGGAATACTAGTATAGAAGTCAGTTTGGCCGAGTGGTTAAGGCGGTGGACTTGAAATCCACTGGGTTTACCCGCGCAGGTTCGAATCCTGCAGCTGACGATTTTTTTTTAAATTTGATAAAATATGAAATATTATAATATTGTTTAGTTTTGAAAGAAAAATCTCAAAAATATAATAGTTGGAATTGTTTTTTTGTTTAGAAGGATTTTTTTTAATTTGAGAAATATATTTTATTTTTATATATTATTTTATAAATTTATTAAATTGTGTTTTGTAATTACAATCCAAGTTATAAATTAGATCAATTACTTTGCGATTTTTAATATTTTGGTAAATTGTACAAAACTCACATTTAATTTGATTTAAACTTTGTAAAATTATAGATTTCAGTTTTTTCCTGAGATTGCCTCTTTTGATGATTTGATGTTCTTTTTATCATATTTGGTTTTAAAATTACGAATCTGTAAATTTATTTATCAATAATGTGATATTGAAATTCAATAATTAATTTTTATATTATAAAATAATACGCATTATTCTGAATTTTCTAAAATTTTATTATCAACTCAGTGCTTTATAAGGAAACAAAAAGTGTAGAGATTAAAATAATATTAATTTATGATTCGACATATTCTTTCTTTAAGCAAGCGCAACTAATCTTTTGGTTCGTCTAAAAATATTGTGGATTTCTCTGAATTTCTAGAGCGCAATGTTTTATCATCGGCCCCTAAACAAATATCTACCGCAACAATAAGAAACACAAAAGAAAGAGAGCACTATTCAAAATGTTTTGATCGAACAGGAAAATGTCAAGGATGTGAAAAAAATAAAAACTGGAAAAAAGATGAAAATCGCCTGACGATAAGTGAAGCTATTCGAGAAGCTCAAAGATGTTTAAAATGTACCGATGCCCCATGTTAAAAGGGATGCAGTACAACAATCGATATTAAAAGCTTTATTTACAACATAGAAAAAAAGAATTGGTATAAAACGGTTTAACTATCTATTATAGGTATGGAGCAGCAAAAGTGATCTTAACAGACAACCCTCTAGGCTTGAGTTGTGGTTAATTATGTCCAATTAGTGAATTGTGTGCAAGAAATTGTAATGTATCAACAAGTGAGAAGGGCGCTATAAAGATCAACAAGCTCTAAGAGTTCGCTGTTTCAATGTTTAAGGTATATAAACTTAATAACCATCTAGGAAATGGGTGTTAAATAGATTCGGGATCCTAAATTGCCAAAAAATGATCATATAGTATTTGATTCATCCATTGCTTTAATTGGAGCTGGGGCAGCATCATTATCATGCGCTACATTTCTAGGTAGGTTGGGATATAAAAATATAACTATTTTTGAGAAGTAGCAACATGCTGGAGGATTAGTAGTAACAGAAATTCCCATGAATCGATCTCCAATTGATGACATCAATTGGGAAATTGAATAAGTGAAATAGTTAGGAATCAAATTTGTATTTGGGAAAGAATTAGGAAAGGACTTCACTATAGAGTCATTAAGAAAGGAGGGATATGAATGTGTATTCCTTGGATGTGGATTGAATGAACCTAAAAAGGGATTAGGAAATGTATATTAATAAAGCCACATTTTAAATTCCAAGACCTTTTTGCCCAAAGTTAATAGAGCTGTCAAGCAAGATAAAGATGTAGATGCTACTCCAAAACTCTCAGGACATGTTATAGTATTAGGTATAGGAGACACAGCATTAGATTGTGCTAGATCTGCTTACAGATGTGGTGCTGAAAGAGTTAGTGTTATATTTAGAAGGGGATGGTAAGACATCAGAGCAAATGATGAAATTTTGATTCCTTCAAAGAATGAAGGTATTAACTTCATTCCTTATGAACAACCAATTTAATTAATAGAAGTTGGTGGAAAATTCAAATAAATTGAATTAGAATAAAATCTTCCAATCAATAATGATCCTTATAATTTACAATATAAAGTCACAGGAGAGAAAACAAGAATGAGTTTCGATTATTTGATTACTGCCTTTGGTTCAGAAATATAAAATAAAGAATTAGAATAATTTATAAACTAAAAGAATGGATTTGTTTAGATTAATGAATAACATTAAGTAAAAGGATATGATTGGTTATATGCAGGTGGGGATGCTGTTGGTGTAGCTAATTTAGTTGATGCAGTCAATGATGGTAAAACATCCTCTTGGTATATTCACAACTTTTTATAAAATAAATATTCAATCTAAAAATTAACACCAGATCATCTGCCATCTTACACTACAGAAATTGATAATATAGATCTTAGTATTAATATACTTGGAGTTAATTTCCAGAATCCTTTTGGTTTAGCTTCAGCACCACCTACCACATCATATCCAATGATAAAAAGAGCATTTTAGGAAGGATGGGGTTTTGCTGTTGTAAAGACATTTGTTTTAGATAAAGATGCTATAACAAATGTATCTCCAAGAATATATAAAAGCACTACAGATCCACTCAAATAGGATCCAGGATATGCTAATATTGAATTAATTAGTGAGAAATCTGCCAAATATTGGTTAGAAGGTAGTAAATAGATTAAAAAGGAATTCCCTAATCATGTACTTATTGGTAGTATTATGTGTTAACATATTGAAAAAGATTGGAGAGAATTAACTAGAAAATGTAAAAATGAAGCTTAATTTGATATGCTTGAATTAAACCTATCTTGTCCTCATGGAATGACTGAATTAGGTATGGGTAGAGCTTGTGGAGAAAATCCATAAATAGTTAAAGATATTTGTTAATGGGTTACTTCTGAAATTGACATTCCAGTTATTGTTAAAATTACTCCCAATTATCCAGATTCTGCTGTTATTGCCTAAGCTGCCAAGGAAGGAGGAGCTAAAGCAGTTACATTGACTAATACTTTTCCAACTTTAATGGATCCAGATCCTCTAGGTACACCTTGGCCAGCTGTTGGTGAAGAAAATAATGTTACTTATGGTGGTGGATGTGGATCTATGTTGAGACCTATTGCCCTAAGAAAAACATCAGAAGTTGCTAAAGCTATCCCAGATCTTACAATTTTTGGAAGTGGTGGTATTATTTAAGGGGATCATGCTCTCTCGTTTCTCAGATATGGTGCATCTGCTTTTCAAATTTGTTCAGCTGTTTAAGATCAAGATTTCGCAACAGTTCTTTATGATCTCAAAACTAGTCTACAGGCTCATCTTTATGCTTCATAAAACTTAAATTAAAAATAATGGAAAGGACAATTCCCTTCAACTTCAAAACCTGCTTATGGATTTAGTTCTAATAATAAACTAAAGAATTTAGTTGGAACTGGATTACATCACATCAAAGATATTGCTGACATGAAAAGAGAAGACTTTTTGATTCCTAAAATTCATGAAGATTCATGTTTGAAATGTGGAAGGTGTTATTTAACATGTTTGGATTCTGGCTATTAAGCTATTAAGTTTGATAATTTTAATTCTTTTCCAACTATTATTGAAGAATTATGCACTGGTTGTGCACTATGTCATGCAGTATGTCCTGTTGAAGGTTCAATATCTATGGAGATCCGAGCGACAGACATTGTTGTTAATAGAGGAATTCCATTAGATAAAGAACCTGAAGGTCTAATCAATCACATTCCAAGTAGAAAAAAATGATCATTAATAATATTTAATTACAAGACCCAATTATTATAAACTTAAAATTCTTCTTTAATAACATAACTAATTTAATAAAACTTTAATACTTTTTTTGCCAATTTTATTGCTTTTTCAAATTGTGTGTAATTTTTTAATTGTATAATTAAAAGTATAAAGTTATTTCTTTTTTTAAATTAATAACCGAATTGCTATTGTTATAGAAACAACTATTTTAGAAACCAATTCTTAATTATATTGAGATAAGTTAACTCCGTTTTTAAACAATTTATCAATTTTTATTTTCTTATGTTATTTAAAATATCTTCAAGAATTTAGTTTATGATAAACATATCTATTTGATTAAAAAAATCCATATATCATATGAATGGACTCAACTTTTATAATCTGAATATGTTCAATCATGAATCATTATAAAAATATACTTATATTTCTAAAATACACTTTTTAGATTTCCCATTTTTCTTTATACAATACTTCTTTTAGATTTTGTTAATTCTCATTAAAATCATAATAAATCTATAAATGATTTATTTAACATAATATTAATTATATACTAAATAATCATTATTTTTTTAAACTCTCTTAATTAGTATGCTTATTTTGGCCTTATTATTTTTTTTATAAATGCTTAGTTTGTGGTCTATTATAATTTTATGTTTAATAGAATCCTGCATTATGATTTGATACTTTCTATTATTATTATTATTATTATTATTATTATTATTATTGTGTATTAGATTATACTTAGGAATTCCAAAATGTAGATTATGCTAGGATTATCAATTATAGTTATACCTACACCATACCAAGGACTTTGATAATAATATTGACATTATTATAAGTACTAATTTTGATATTATTATTGCTTTCTTCTTTAGAAAGAAGACACAGAGAAAGAGAAAGGCATTTATTCAAAAACAGAGATGTATTCTGAAAATGATATATCAAAATTAGGATTTGTATCTCTATCATTTCTTTTTCTTTTCTTTAATCAATAAAAATATCTAATACTTCAGAATTATCTAATTCCTTAAAGCTATTAAGCATGCAGCTATTTTGTTGTTGTTTTTAAAATGCACTATAAATTTATTCAGTATTTTCAATTTGAGTACAATCTATCAATTCATGAATACACTTTCCACATGTTTATTATATCATACTAAGTTCCTTATATGGTAAATCTCTTACAAACACCTTATATGTCTTTAATTCTTACCCATTCAATTTGAAATGATCCAAACCATTTATTTTCTTCAGCCCAATACTTGAAATGCATTTTATCCCTAAATTCAGAAACTATTTTTGCCAATCCAATAAAATGAGAAGTTTATGTAACATTGAATAAAAGGTACACAGGACGAGGAGCATCATTCAGTTTTTTATTATTTCGACTCGAACTAACTTCATATAAATTTGTACCTAGTCCAAATACCATATTTGATTGCTCGATGAACATTATCTTTTGTTGGAGCACGTATCAAAAAAAATGTAGCCTCAGGTTCAAGTGGCTAATGGATATTTTAAAGACACTTAAAAGTAGCTTTAACTTCTTCAAAATTGTCATAATTATCTAAATATTGAGCTTCAGGCTAAGCACATATTTGATTAACTTGCATATTATATTAATTATATTATTAACTTGATTTTATGTAATTTAATATTAGAAATTGATTATCTTGATAAAAAAAGGTTATCTTTATATATAATAAAAAGTATAAAAAATTAATAAAACAAATAATGAATTATTTTCTATTTTTAACAAAACTCTTTTCTAATTTTTATATACTATTAAATATAAAAATTTTAGAAATGAATTCTATCTAACTAATGAGTAAATACAAAATAAAGTTTCGAATATTAGAAACTAACTCAGGTACATTGTACTAAATTGAAGAAGAAAATGGATAAAATAAATAAAATTTTTACGCTTTTGATTTATCACCAGATTTTCAAGAATGGTCACTTAAAATGGAGGAAAAATTATCAAATTGCAATACTGTTAGACAGCATGTCAAATAAATTAATTATCAAAATTAAAGATATATTCTGTTTACATATTTAGAAGGTATAACATTAGATAGATAAATATCTAATTTCAGAGGAAAAAAAGAATCGATTAAGTTAGATATATTAAAAAATTACTTAACATAGAGTCTTGAAACATTATATTAAATTCATAATTAATATATTTTAGGTAGAGTTTTCTCAACCAAAAATATTTTAGATTGTGATGGTTAAATTCTATTCTTGGACTTTGGATTTGGTCCAAAAATGTTAACATAAAACATTGATTTAATATTTCCACCAGAAATAATTGAGAAATATGTAGAAAAATGTAAGTATTTTTTTTTATTAGGTCAGAATAATATGATTATTATTACGATATTAAAATTGATTCTTGGTTATTAGGAGCAATGTTGTTTCATTTAGTTAAATTAAAACCTATAAATGCAGTATAATTGATTGAAAATAAAGTTAAAATAATGTCATACAATGACATAAACGAATATTGGTTGTATTTAAAAAAATAGATGGAAAGATCTAATCATATCGATGCATTTACTGAAAGATATCCTAAAGAATTATGTTAATTTATTCAAGGACTTTTAACATACAATCCAATAAATAGACTCTCTTTTCATTAAATTTATAAAAATGATTTCATTAAAAGCTTAAATCTCCCTAAATATGAAGAATACTTATAATTTTATGAGAATTATAATGAAAAAAAGTTGGATGAAGAAATAAAAACTAACGAAATTAGTGCTTCTGTAATTATAATGACAAAAGATCTTTAGATTGAATAACATAAAGAGCGATCTAATCAAAATGTTCAAACACCATAAACTTCATGTGTGTAAGAATATAATAAGATTTTATTATTCCAAATCTAGATATTGCAAGTAAAATTGTCGATGTTACATATACAATTCCTAATACTTCTTAAAGATTAGCAGATGATTTTTTTGGAAGCAATTAAGATAATATTGAAAATTTCTTTTGTTATTAAATATAGGGTCAATATGTATTTATAAAATCTATTAATAGGAATCTAAATTTTATGTAATTTGGTCACACATAAAAATGGAATTATTTAGATAAACATTTTTAGAGAAAATTTCAGAAGAATTTGCAGAAGAATTGAAAAAAAAAAATTTTTAATTAGAAAATGTTTTAGTTTATTTTTTAAGGAAAATGGGTTATTTAATTTTAGTTGAATTATTAAAGAAAATAAACTAAGATGTTTGTCCTTGGAAATGCGCACAAGAAGTATAACAAAAATGGAAGGATTTTAAAATAGAAGATTCAAAAAAGCTTTTAGAAAACTCTATTAAATCAACAATTAATAAATTAGAACCTATTTTAAAGGAAACATTTATTAAACATTGTCAAATTTATTAAACAGAAGAGAAAATTGAGGAAGTTATTAGAAATCAATTAAAAGCAGATCAAAATTGTTTTTTAAGTTAAAAAATTGATGGTGATTCAATATTTAATTGTAGTTCTGAAGATTTTTTGAGAAATGGATATAGATAATTTATATAAATAACTTCTAAGTTTTTGGAAAGAGAAAAGAAACTTAACTAATAGCCTTCATTAAAATATAATACTTTATTGTTAAAAATTCTTATATGTCATTTAATCAACCGAATATTTAATCTGAATAATGTTAAAATTAATTTCGAGAATCTATTGAAAGACAGGAAAACTTTAGATTTTCTAACTCCTCATGAGATATATCAATATATATGCCGAGATGATGAAACAAAAAAAGATGATGATATTAAACATATATTTAATGTCAATTTTAAAAATGAATGATGCATTTATGAAATAAATTAAATTTATAATAATTAGTTTTATTTTTGATTTATTGGAAATGTTTAAAATAATAATAAAGTATTTTAGTTAATTATTAAGATGTAATTAATAAAAATTCAGTGAAGGAGAACAATTTTAGAATATATAATATGATCTGATAATTAAGATAATTTGAAATTACTTAAATGATTTTCATAATACTTTTAACATTTATATTAAATATTATTCAATCAATAAATTTTTAATGAAAAATAAAGATGTAAATAATCAATTTTGTCTTTCGTAACATAACACATATGCATGTTGAGTTATGATATCTTAAACTTATATTTCTTTGACTTGAGAATCATCATAGCAATACCATTTTTAATCCTCTAAATTTTTAATTAAAGAATTATAATGACCTTCGTAAAGTTCTCCATAATGATTAATTACTCCATATAGTTTATATTTTAATTCATTTTTGTTATTTCCATTTAAATAGTCGTTTGGTAGCTAAAATATTTATTTAATAATACATTTAAATTTGTAACATATTTAGACATATTAAGAATATGCGGAAACTTGACAAATATATTGTTTTTTATTTTTTAAGAGATATTATCTGATGATTTAAATCTCTTCAATTGTATGATCAAAATTTGAGGTGTAGAATATAATAATAGTTATTTGATTCCTTAGACATGTTAATTGCATTAATTGCAATACCATGAATTATTTTCATCTAATTATTATTGTTATTATTAAAAATTTAAACAATCATAAATTGTTAATGATGTTTTATTAATTGGAAATTACTCATTTTTATCTTGCATTAGAAAAATTGAAGCTTCTGTATTATATATTTATGGAACTCCTTAACCATACCATTTGACTATGATATTTAATTGAAAATTAGGTTAAGAGATGCAATTATTATAATATTTTAAACTATGTTAACATTTCTTTAATTCACAGAATTTACAATATTATTTATGACAAAAATAACATTGTTATTCTGTTTCTTAAGAATTTGATTCTAAGAATAAATCAAATTAGCATTGAAATTATTAAGAATAATTTTTTTCAATAAAATCATAGATTTCAAATATTTTTGTTCTGAAATCAAAAATGATTGTTATTATTTCAGTCAAATTAAAAAATTCAGGGTTTGTGTGAGTTATGAGAGTATAGCATCTATAATTATATGGAATTTAGATTTCTTAAAATTGCATAGGTCTAACAAGTAATTTTGAATGTAAAAGTTATTGTTTTAAATATTGAATATCATCTTCTGGTCGAACTAATTTAATTAAACAATTAGATACTTTCATAATTTTTTACTTTGTTTGATAAATTGAAAATTAAAGCTTAAGTTCTTAATTAGTTTCTAATTTCATTTTAAATCCATTCAAAATTATAATTTTTAAAGACAGAGAGTGTCATTTATTTTTATTTATATTAATCATCCAATAAATAATAGACAATGCCTTTTTCACTTTTCTAAGTGGTCAATGGTAATTAAATTATCATATATGGATCGAAGCTAATTAGGAATATAAACATACGTTATGGACATATTTTTACAATTAGGACATTCAATTTTGCTTTTAAATTATGCTTAGAATAGTTGAGTTATAATAGATTAATTTCTTTGACTATGAACATCCCACTATTCGATTGCTACAACTAAGTCTTCTCTACCTTTACTAGAAGGCATAATCAAATAAGGTTTTTTTTTAATTAAATTTACATCCTCATTAATAGCATCAAGTAATTATAATAGAAATTCTGCTGCATCATGTTACTCATTTCCATAATACTAATAATAATAATTAATTCTTTACAATATTATAAAATTTAGAAAATGTTTTTTTAAATAAATTTGCAATGATGCATAATTATTTTCTGCTTTTTAACTCCTTAATCAGATAAGCAAAACTTTAAATAATCTCACCATTACTTCCTTATGGATTTATTAAGTTTATATCAAATTAATAAATATCATTTAATATGTAATCTGCAAATCCAGGAGTATTGCATAAGATTTGAATGGCACTGTTCATAAAACAAGTGTTACCAAAATTTGCTAATCCTGTTTAATAAGTATATGATATCATTTTTTTATTATTTTTTATAATTTAAATTCTTATTGAAGAATTATTATATGATTAGAAATGTAAAAACACAAATATTATAATTAGAATTATTAAATCAAAATATTATATAATTAGAAATATAAAAAATCATTCATATCTAAATTTAGTATAATTTTATTGTATCAATAAAGGGAGAGATTACAATTTATATCCTTTTGGAGGATGTGATAATTTTAAACTAAATACTTTTGGTTTAATATAGGCTCCATTCATCCCTTGTGGATTACTTTACTAATATAATTATTGAGATTATATAATTTATTATTTTTATTAGTTTTCTTACAGTTTTTCATGTTCACTTTCATTTATTTATTTTGATGAGGATTTAACATTTTTATTATTTTTTCTAATAGCAAATTGCTTTACATTCTTAATTGCTATACCCTATAACACTCCCTTAATTGAAGAAAGTGGAGATAAAATGCTTTATACATTTTATTACTAAATATGCGAATTATTAAGCCTATTATCAACTTTTCTATATTAAATCAAATCCAAAATCTATAATTCTCTTCCTTGTTTTTCTGTAAAAGCACATAAATCTTTAATTGATTCTAATGACTGTTATTAATAATCTTCATAAGGAACAAAATTATCATTATCCACTTCAGGTATAGTATCTATTTAATTTGGAGGTTGTTCTTCCCCTTCCTAAATAATTTCATTTCCTTTATTCTACTCATTTTTATTAGTTGGAAATAAATTTGTATTGATTCTACTCTGAACATGTTTATATAAAGTGCTCTTCTTTTCAAGTATAATCTTTTTAGGTTGAGATTAAGATTTATTTTGAGGTTCTTAATTTATTTGAATAGATTCTTTTTTCTGATTTCTTCTTATATCTAAATTATTTAATTATAATTTACTTGCTCCAGTCCACTCTTCATACAGTTTTAAAGAATGTTATAAATATTCATCATAAGACTTAGAACATGGATAAATCAATTCATAATTTCCCTTATTTTATGATTCATAATCATCTCTTTATTTTTAACATTATAATTTAATTAATTTCTTTTCTTCAGTTGATAACTTTGTCTTTTTGCCTGTTAATACTCTTTTCTACATTTCATCTTTTTTTTATTATATTATCTCATTTTTAGTTTTTAGATTGATATTCATTAATGTAATAGTATCAGCTATTAAATTCTTTTTAATATATTAATCTAAAGGTGTATCAGTAGTAAAACTAGGAGTATGGTTGACTTCAAGTAAATATGGTTTCAAGGAACTATCTATTAAAATATCAAATCCAAGAATCTCAAAACACATATTATTAGCATAATTATCAACTTAAGTATAATTTTATTGTAAAATTGGCTAAACTGAACAAAAAGTTTTGATTATTAAATCTTTTATATCATCAAGCAATTAATCAACATTTTGATTCTATTTATAATTAAAAAATAATTACTTAATCTCTTAATAGTTAAAAAACACTGGACATACTTCTTTTATGTCCAACATCCATTTTCTTTTCATCAGAGTTGAATATAAAATTAGGATTATCTTTATTTATAGCATAATTAGTTAAATGCATACAAACATCATCTAAATTATTTGTATTTGGAACAATATATGCTTAAGTTGCAAATCTTGCTAAACCTTCTTTATATAAATATATTCTTAAAGGATCACAACCACAAATTAATACATACATTCTTAAATCAAACTTTAATCCATCAATAAGAAGTGGTTTATGAATATATCTTTATGCAACATAATGTTCAGTAGGATTAATAGATTCTATAGAGCGAGTTAAGAAGATTCCTTTTGATATGAGCTGAAATTATACCTTTGCCTTAACAAGATGCTTCAGGTTTCAGTATAAATGTTTTAGCTTTGCCAAATTATTGTTTGAAATCATTATATTCACTTGGTAACATCCAAGTTCTTGGATAAAAGTCATATTCATCTGGAAATTGTTTCTACATTTTGTTCAAATTTTTGCCTAGATGATTTTTACGAGCTAACGAATACATACCTGGGAAATGATTAATCTTTTAATGTGCTATAATAATTTATATATGATATCTTACATTGCATTTTAGCCAAAGTTTCAGGAAGTACAGCATTGTCTGTCCAACAAAAATCCCAGTTATTTACTTCCTAATATGGAACATATTACAATTTAAATTTGTATATCATTTTTCCAACAAATTTCACAACAGGATACTAAGTATCTATTTAATAATGTAAGTATTACCTGAAACATTCATAATTAAATTTTTATTTGTGTTTTAAAGCAATTTCTTTTTCTTTTTTTTAGTTTATTCTTCATCGCTTTCTTAATCTTATGATTAATCGTCATCTTCTTCTTCACTATCATCAAATTCTCCATTAAATATTATCTCTTTTTCTTATTTCATATTTTATATACAGTTATTTAATATAATGATTAATAATTGATCAAAATAATGCTATATATATGTATTATAGAAATATAAAATAAAATAATATAATTAATAAAGAATTCAGGAATGGCTTCTAATTTAAATGAGCCTTTCATTGTTTATAAAAATTATAGATAATAATAAAAGGAAGCAAAAAAAGAAGGTCTCAAAGAAAAAATAGTTCCAAAAGAAATGAAAAAAAAAATTGAAAAGCCTAAGAAAAATGTAAACCCTTAGCCAACTTAAAAAAAGATTGATCAAAATTTACTATTTAGAGTTATTCAGTAACATCAGTAACAATAACAAATACTATAATAATTCATTCTTGATTAACGAATAAACCATGCAAATGTTTAAGATGATGATATTGATGAATTTTCTCCAATTTATAAATTTGGCATTCCAACTACACCTTAGAATGTTGCATTATAAAGAAGAATGAGCAGAGATGACGACGATTTCAAAATTTGATCATTTATTTTGCAATAACATTCATTTCTATACTATTTTTTAATATTATAAGTCTACATCTTCAGTTCATATATAAAATACTTAATTTTGTCTAAAGATATATTATACAACATAATAAAATAAGAAAATTGATTAATTTATGATTTATTATTAATTGATTGAATTAAGTAAACAATTACACATAGATTAATTATGTCATAACATAATTTATTAGATTAAATTTAATATAAATGCAATTTATTTTAATTTGTGATAATTGCAATTGTTTTAATCAACTCAGAAGGTTTTTTCCAAAACACATTCATATTCTAATGTAACAGACCAAAAAAATAACATATATAATTAAATTCTCACTTCAAAATATCATTATTTATAGACTATGATTATTTTATTAGAATGGAATTTGTAATGCTTAATTAATTTTCATCGTTAATTGTGAATCAGTTTATGACTTCAAAAATAATGAGATAAGATTTAATATACTAGAATAAGCATTATAAAAATCACTAATATTCCACTCATCAACCTACTACAAATTATCAATTTCGTGGTAATGATATAGTAATTTTGATAATGCTTAAACGTTCTAATAATTTGGCTCAATTTTTCGATAGCCATTCTAAACATCTTTATTTCTTATCTAATGTAAATTATTGCTATTACCTTCTGTAAATTACTTCTCTAAATAAATTTAATAAAGCATGTTAAAATCTAATTCTTTTTAGTGTTGTTCTTTTAATATTGTGTCTTCGCTAAAAGTGTTTTACGAAAATGGTGATTATTCAGAATCATCATTGTTAGATTTATTTTAATCATTTTAGATTTTTCTATTAGAAAAGATATCAAAGTTGAGTGTGAGAGAATTCGAAAGACGCTCAACTTCTAATTCTTCTAATTTTACTTATTACTATTTTATAAACTCTTTTTAGATTAAGTGAGGATTAGGTTTTTAATTATATTGTTTGTATATTTTTCGAAATTGTTTTAAAATAGGTATTTCTTTTTTCAAGGCAAATCGTTTTGAGGTCTATTTATGAGGAGATTCGGAAGGCTATTAAAGCATGTTTAAGTATTTTAAATAAAATATAACTGATAATAGATCAAAAAACTGATTATGAATATGCATAAATTACAATTATATTCAATACTCACTGGATTTTATCCATTTATATTATGATTATAATATATTTATTATCTAAATAAGAAATTTCTTAAATATAATGGAGATATTAAGAAATATTTCTTCTTACATTATAAATTCCTTATTTCCACTATTCTCACTCAATTTTTTTTTATTATTCTCCATTAAACGTTATTTTGTTTACAACTCTAATTTACATAATTTCTAATTAATTTAACAGTATAAAATCAAATATTGACATTCAATTTAATCATATTCTTAATACCCCTAAGTAAGAAAATAAACTATGAATATTATTTTGAAAAAAAAAGACTTAATTATAAATAGTGTATCAAATAACTTTTCAATTGATTTTTTAAGAGAAGATTGGACACTCATTCATTATATATGTTTTGAGAGGAAATTTCTTCTTTTGCATTTTTAGAATAAAAGGAAAAATATATATTTAAATTTATATTTAATATAAATTACTAATAATATTTCAACTTGTTATAATCTTATATTATTAAATCTAATAATCCAAAATAATATTTAACTAAAAAGTTTCATTAAAATTACTCAAATCAATTCAATATTAATTTATTTATATATATATTAAGAGGATAAATAAGTCTAGTTTCTTTAAAAGATTTTAATAGAATTAAGTATCTTTAAATATATATGTTAGCAAAGAATTATTATTATGTTGAAAATAAATGTAAGATTTCAAATTAATTGGAGAATTCTTAAAACTTTTGTTGATTAAGTAATTTTGAGTGTAGATGTATTATAAATTAGCTTTGATTTGTTATTTAAATTATATATGTTACTATTTAAATTTTACAAGAATATATAAATTTTATCTTTTGTAGTTTTTTAGAAATATTGGTTGAATTTATTGAATCAAACTCTAAGAATTGATATTAAGTGTCATATTTTAATTATTTGCACTCAATATTGTATTTAGAATTAAAATCATAAGAAAGAATGATAGATATATATAAATCATGACAATATAGTATTAATATCTAAAATCTTAGATCTATAAGGAAATACTAATATTTTGGGTTAAAATAGTATAACAATTTCAAAATTAGAAGGGAACCATCCACTCAGTATTTTAAGGTGAATGGTTGTTTATTAATAGATTAAAGATTCAAACCCTTAAATTATTTTCAAAGAAATATAAAAAATTCTTACATTTAGTGATGAGCTTTTTACAAATTGATAATGAAATATTTTTATTTAAGATATTATTAGAATAATTTAAATGTTTAGATTATGCATAATAAGAATGATATTAAAATGATTATGTTGTGTGATTTAATATATTGTATTTATGTTTTTTTTAATTATAATTTATATAAATTATTTTTATTTGGATGTTACGATTGATTTAATTAAATTTGATTTTGAAATTATCAAAATTCTAATAAAATAAGAAGAGTTTCTTATAAATTCATAATATGGCAATTAAGAAATACAACATTCAAGTTTCAAGTATAGAAGTAACAACTTTATTGAAATGTCATAATTTAGGGATTTATTTTATCATTATAATCTAATGCATTAATATTATTTTAATTGTATTGATTGTTTAAGAATAGCTTATAGATATCTATAAAAATATCATAAAATTTTCTATATTGATATATGATTTATTGTAATTTAGTCATAATTTAAATATTACTTAAATTGAATTTGCTTTTTGAATGATGTGAAAGTATAATAGATAGATAGTTTTAGTGATACATCTTTTATTTATTATATCTTTATAATAGTCTATATTTATTTAATTATTTTAATTAAATATTTAAGAATGAGTAGAAAACAAACAAGTTCCAAGTATCAATAAAAATTTAACTTGTTTTAGATCCCCTTAGATTGCAAAAGCCATTCATAAGCAAAGTAAGGACTCTGATTCAAGTTCTTCTGAGAGGAGATATGGCAAATTTTGGAAACCTAATGAGGATTCTTTATTAATGGAATTGCACATTAGGCATAACGGAAACTGGAAATTAATTGCTGAAGGCATTCCAGGACGAAATCTTAGTTAGTGTTAATAAAGATGGAAAAGAATTAATCCAAATAAAGTATTTTTGCATCTATTTTTTGACTAAACTTCGAAAATAGTGGACAGATTTTGAAGATCAAGAAGTTATTAGGCTAGTTAATGAGCATGGTCGTAATTGGAAATTGATTGAAGGACTTATGGATGGACGTTCAAGTAAATAGATTAGAGAAAGATTCTTAAATAATTTGGATCCTGAAATAAATCGAGAAAAATTCACTTTATAAGAAGATCAAATAATTTTAGAACAATATCGAATATATGGTCCTAAGTGGAGCGAAATTGCAAAGATGTTAAATCGAAGACCAGTACAGTGAGGACCTATCATTAGGAAAATTAAGTGAAGAATCGATTTTACTCTTATATAAAAAGAGTTCATATGTTAGATGAAAGATCAGATGATGATGACCATGATCAATCAATTGAATCAGAACCAGAGCAACCATAAAAAATAGTTCCAAATTCTATGTTGAATGTTTCTTAGCCTATATATTAACCTTTAGAAACTATATAAAGTTTAAAAGAGGAACATGATAATACAAAAAACGATTCATTACTAATAAATTAAACACCATCTCATCGTATACAACCATCCATTAATTTGATTTAAGGTCGTCTTTTATCATTTATATCTAGATTCATTTGATTCTAAGCAATTTGGTGGGATGGAAGAATAAGATAATTCCCCATTTAATTAGCATAGAAAAATATTAGACTATAGTCCAATTAACTTTTAGTATTATCATCATCAACCAAATTTCGATATGATATAAGAGGATATGAAAGAGTTAAAATGTTAAATAGAAAGTATCAATATAGAACATCCTATCTGAAATTTCATTTTATTTATTTATTTTAAACAGTTTCTTACTAAGTCTTCAATTTTAAATATATTTACTATAAATATAAATAATTATAATCATACTAAAATATTAAATACAATTTGAGTTTATATATGAACCAAGAAGAATATTTTCAAAAAAATTCAAGTTTTATAATAACAATTAATTAATTTTGAATATAAAGACCTAATAATTAATCTTTTTTCTTATGAATTTATTGTTTTATTTGAACTCTTGATAATTTGAATTTGAATCTTGTCCTTTTTAACAATCCAGAACCATATGATCTTATTCAGTAATTGTAAAAAAAAATTTATATAAAATTTAAAATCTAAAATGGGTTAATGTAATAACTGTTAATCATGTTAAAAACCAGATGGAAGAGAGCTAACAGTGGATCAATAAGTATATTTATTATATTAAGTATTAGGCTTATAGAACTAGTTAATAATAAAGTCAAGTATAATATTTATTCAACTCTCATAGACCAGCAAATAAAGAGTCTCAAATATAAGTGGTGATCATGGAAGTAAAAGTAAGAAGATTAAAGCTGCCATTACTATATAAGCTCATTGGAGAGGTTATATTGTTAGAAAAAAAATATAAAAAAAGTCAATCGGTACAAATGATATTGCAAGTGCTCCTCCAATAGCTAATAAATATTTTAGCAGTGATAAAGATTATGCTCAATAACATAGCAATTCTAAAACAAGAGAACAAAGACCTCCTTTTAAGTATAAGAGCGGTGCTATATATGAAGGTGAATGGATTGGAAATTCTAGAGATGGGTAAGGCACATAATTATGGAATGATGGAGCTAAGTTTGTAGGATAATGGAAAAATAATATGGCTCATGGAAAAGGAAAGTTTTATCATGTAGATGGAGATATTTTCGAAGGAACTTGGTTAGAAGATAAGGCTTGTGGATTTGGCATATATAGTCATGCTAATGGAGCAAAATATGAAGGAGAATGGCTAAATGATTTACAACATGGATTTGGAGTAGAAACTTGTAATTTATAATTAGATTATGATTATAGGGGCAGATGGTTCTAAATATGAAGGCTAGTATAATCAAGGAAAGAAGCATGGTAAAGGAAAGTATATTTGGAATGATGGAAGTTTCTATGATGGAGATTGGGATAACAATTAGATCAGTGGAAAGGGAGTATATTAATGGAGTGATGGTAGAAGGTATGAAGGAGAGTGGCTAAATAATAATATGCATGGATAAGGACATTATACATGGCAAGATGGTAGATCCTATAAAGGAGGTTATATCAACGATAAGAAACATGGTTATGGTATTTATACTTGGGCTGATGGCAGAAAATATGAAGGAGAATGGGTAAGCGGAAAATAACATGGTAGAGGGTAATATATTTTATTGGATGGATCTATAAAAAAAGGAGAATGGATAGAAGGGAAGAAGATAAAAAACATCTAAAATTGACTTATTTATTAATTTTAAATGTATATAATTATTCTCACTTGTAAATCAAATTTAATAATTCTTGATGAAAGATTCATAAATAAATAATCTAATCCTACACAATATTTCTTATTCAAATATTACTAAAAATAAACAATCATTCAGTAAGTTTTATTTTCTAAAATTAATGTGTAATCTCAAAGTTTATTAACATGTTCATTTTTTGTTATTTATAGAAGATAATATATATTTACAATTATAAATTAAGTATTTATTAATTGTACATTTTTTAGAAGCAATTTTAAGCCCCTATTTATATTTATTTTATACACTGTTATTTGATCCTTAATTTTCTTATTTTTATTGCATAAACTTCTTAAAATCTCTTATGATTATGAATTCTCAATACCATATTTTCATTAAATTTAAGTAGGCTATCTATATATCTTTAATCACAAAGAAAATAATATAAATAGCATTATTGAATTTATAAAAATGCAAAACTTTAATAATATAATTTCAAAGCTCATCATCCTAAAATGATATAGCTCTATAGATATAATTATAATCTTATTTATTTGATTCCGACAATAAATTCTAAATAACTTTATAATATTATTAATTTCAAAATCTCATAAATGAAAATTATAATATGCTTTCCTACATAATCTTGCATATTTTATTTTCTAAAATAGTAAATATTTCATAAAAAATAATTTAATTTATGTAAAATAATTGTTTTTATGTTATATCCATTATTTGATATAAGTCATTTATAAGGATACGATTGATTTGCTGGGGGGGGCATAGGAACATAATTTGGTTATTAAGTTGTGTTTTAAGTTTAAGGGGTATATGCTTACTATTATTAATTAGAAACAGGATTATAAGCATTTGGGTTATATTATTGAGTGTTTGAAGGGGGATAGCCAGGTGATTGTTACTAGTTTTATGGAGGATATCCAATAGTACTTGTTTACTGAGGATAATTAGGATAGGGTTAACTTGAAGTTGGATAGCTGGTTGGATTATATGGTTGTTGTCCTTATTGGTATGGTTAGTTTCCATAGCTGGTTGGTTATTAATTAGGATATGATTATTATTAGGTGGGAGGAGGATATTGTCCTGGAGGAGGATATTACCCTGGAGGAGGATATTATCCTTGAGGAGGATACTATCCTGGGGGAGGATACTGTCCTGGAGGAGGCTATTATCCTGGAGGTGGGTATTACCCTGGAGGAGGGTATTATCCTGGAGAAGGATACTATCCTGGAGGAGGTAATTAACCTGGAGGTGGCAAAGGATTGTTGTATGATTAAGGATATGTATTAATGCTTGATCCATAAGGAGGAGGAAAGGATTAATTAGGTAATTGGGTTGTTGGATATACATTACTGTATCCTCCAGGAGGAGGGAGGGAGTAATCCTCATCTGGTATGTAAAAGTCATATGTCTTATATAATTCTGTGAAATAATGTCCGTTTTATTAGATTGTGATTGCCATCAATCCATAATTCTTACAAAAGTAACTTAAATAAATATTTTTTAAAAGTTAATGATCTGTACACAATTCCACCATCTGGGAACAAACTTCAAATTAGTCAATATTCATTCCAAAATATTCTCTGAACATCTTTCCTAAAGAATGTAGTTCTGGAAAATGATGAATATGATGTCCAGCATATTAGATTGTTCCAACTTATTTAGTTAGTTTTTTATTCATTTAAAATGGATCATGAGAATAATTGAGTATGACGTGCAAATGTTTTTCGACATGTTTCACAATACTTATTTATAAATATGATATTACTTCTATAAATATATGTACATCTATTAATGTCTGTAATCCTATAAACATTAATCAATAAGATTTAGTTCTTTAGAGTGATTATGATGATGACTGTTAGATAACATTAATAGTAAATGTTATTCATCTCTTAAGAGATTTTGTCTATTTACTCCTTCCTTGTAGTAGCATTAGCTAATAACTAACTCACATTAGGCTTTGAATTGATGATGAGTATACATTTATATTAAAAATATTAATCAATATCAAAATAAATGTTTTTCATATTTCAAATATCATCAAATCTTTATATTGTTTTTAGAATCGTATTTAAAGCTAATTGAAAACAATCCTCTAAATATTTTTCTTAAGATTACTTCCAGATCTTTTCAATAATATCTTCAGCAATTAGTTTGAATTCTCTTTTATTTAAATACGGAAATTTATTTTTGATAAGTAAAACAAATTCAGATTAAACATAGATTTTCAAATTCTCTTGACCTTTTATATAATATTTTTCTAATTCTAACTATTAATCCGCATTTGATCTGAATTAACTTTAATAAAATTAATTCAATAAATTTGTCTCATATTATAACTGATCTTATAATCTTAATTGAGTTTCTCGATAGATTTAAATGTTCATATCAATACTATTTAATATAGAATGTAATTAACATTCTTAATTTTATAATGACAAAGAACAATTATAATATTATTACCAAAGTAATACTTCAATAGAAGAAGATTTATCAATATCTTTTAGTTTTTCATTGAATTTCTAAGTAATTTTATTAATATATTCACTCTTAAATGGATTAATCAAATGAATAATTTCTTCCTTTTTAGAATTAATATTCTGTTTTATTTTATAACCTTCCTTATTACCAGAATATTGTTTATTTTAATAGTTACTTTTAATTTTATCATTTAATGCTTTTAAATCTTCGGTTATTTAAAATATTTATTTTTAATCATTTGAAGTTTGAGAGAGAGAATCTTAAAATTCAATAAATTTTATTTTAATCTTTTTAAGGCTCATATTAAGAAATGATTTAGTATCAGATTAAAAAATTAAGATATTCTCTTAATTTATCTAATTATGATTTAATTATTTTTCTTTTAATTTTTCATATTCATCATTTATCAATTTGATTATTTAAACAATGAATTTACTTATATAATCTTATTATCCATATGATAAATTAGTATTAATTAAATCAATAAAGAATTTTAAAGTGATGGTATTGAAAGGATTAAAAATTATATATGAAAAATAAGGTGTTTCAAACTTTGATAAGATAATCTATGAATCTTCTTAAAAATAACTAAAGATATTTTTTAACCTGTCTTAGTTTTCTATTTTTGTAGATTATTTTGCTAATAACTTCATTTCTTGTTTTTTACTTTAAATATTATTTATATATAATAGAATTTCTTTAAATAATCCCTAATTCAGGGATGTTTCATTTATATATTATATATATATCATTTTTTTATTTTTTTAGATGCAAAATCAAGTTTCTTTGATATTGATTTCTTTTTTTATTTCATATATGCATCCAACTTTCCAGTTGCTTCAAGTTAATCAAACTTTTATTTCAATAATTCTTATTTTATTACACCTAAATAATAAAAATATGATTTACTTTATTTAGGATGATAATTCTTTTTCTTTAATTTAGAAACTGCTTATTATTTTTTCAAATACTATTCTTATTTAATTATCTCATCTTTCTATTTTCCAATTATTTATTTAATTTTTTATTTAGATTCTTGATCAAGCTTTTCAGATTATTTTTTTAAGACTTATATTTCATTTGTTTTCATTTTTCCAATAAAATTATAAGATTTATAAAATTTGGTTAAACTTAATTCACCAGATGTTTAATCAAATCTTGGATCTCGTTGTTCTTATTTTTTCTAAGGTTTATTATAAATCTTTGGCAAAGGTTTTCTTGCATCTCTAACTTCAGGACTTTATATTAATAATAATTCTAATACATACCCTCCTTTGATTTTCTTTGGCAATTCTTAATCCTTTATTTAGGTTTTAGATTATTATTGAGATTTCATTTCCTTCTCAAAACCCAATAATGTGTGGAATGGTACTTATGACAATTATTGTTTAATCTTTGTTAATCCATAGAAAATTTACTTGTAATTCTTCATCCATTATTAATTAATTTCTTTTAATTATAAAATATATATATTGAATTTATTACTTAAGAAATTTAATAGTAATTCTAATATATTTATGAATTTAAAATTTATGTTTATTTTTATTCTCATCAATAAAATATAATCCAATATTGCTTTATAAAAAAGCATTATTATTATTATTATTATTATTATTATTATTATTATTATTATTACTATTATTATTACTATTATTATTATTATTATTAATGATCTCTTTAAATAAGTTTATATCTTTATTTTAGCTATTTAGTATTACATCATCATAAAAGAAATAGTCTAAAAGTTCATGATTACCTAAGAATTTTTATTGGTTTTTATTTAAAAATATTTTATCTTATTTCTCTGATTTAGGAACTCATTTAATACATAGTCTTTTTGATAAATAAATAAAGATATGAGTTAATTGCTATATGAAGAAAACATTAACTTTTCTAATCAATTTATCACTCTACGTTGATAAATTCTATATTGATAATTTTGATAAAATTCCTCAGTCTAAATAATTTTATTACTCTTTCATTATTTCTAATCTTAAATTTATTCACTTTTTTATTCCATCTTTATTTGAATATTTAACAAGTACTTCATAAGACTTATATCAAAACATATATAGCTAATTTAAGTTCTTGACGATAATTAACTAATTCGGAATGTAAAATTAAATTGTATAAAGAATGAAATCAAGTAATAGTATTTTTAATTTACTAATTGTAGCATTAAAAGGTGTATTTTATGTTAGAATATTTGTACTTTGAATTTGTTTAAAATGAAAAGTTATGATTATATTAGAATAATATAAAGTCTTGGAGAATATCATATTAGACAAATAATTAAAAATAGTTACCATAGATAGGTTAACTATGAATTTTTAATGTTAAAATTTAGATATTCATTAAATTTGAATCATCAAATCAGAATATGAAATAAATTAGATTTAAATTTTATTTATATTATACTTAAAATAAATAAATGTATATATAATAATATATCAATAGAATAATAATTTTAATAATATGATACTAAAAAATATCAATAATTATTACACATATGAATTTTAAGTTTGATATCAATAATATAATTTAAAAGGGTTTATTAAAACAATTATTGAGAAACAAATTAACATTTTTTTCTTTTTATTACTCATATAAAAATTGATTTATTTATAATTTTGATTCTAATTTATAAAATATGTAAATTTTCTAAAATATTTTTATCAAATTTAATTATTTTTTTTTTATTTCAAAATAAATTTTAGAAAAGCTGAATTTCTATTTTGGAAAAGTAAAAAAAGATCGCTAAAATAATTTCTGTTGTTATAAAACAGGCAAATTCCAGCAGAAATCAAACGATTATGTAATACTAATATTAATTAATTTAATCAAAAAATAATAACTTATATTAAACAATATTTCATATTATCAAATTTAATCCAGCATATCTGATTATTTTATTATTGAAAAAGAAATTACTTAAAACTCAGTGTTTTTATAGTAACAAATTTCTTACATTTATTGATTATTTAATATCTATATCTTTTTACTATGAGCAATAATGTATATTATACAACATCACTTTTGAAAAAGCAAAATAATGGGATTGAATAGAGATTTGCTTATTTAATGGAAAATTTTCTCATCATAAATAAAGTATGAGTTTAATTATATTTTACTTAGAGAGAAGGTCTGAATTTCATAGATAGAAAATTTGATTTGACTTCAATGGACTGCCAAATCAAATGGCATTATGAGTATCATACTTATATTATTTAGGAACAACATAATCACAGAGATGATGGTGTATGACACAAAATATAATTAAAGAATTGTGTATTATGAAAAACCAGAGATCTTACAAGGTTTACAAAACAAACTTAATGGAAAAGCATACTATAGAAATTTTAAATAGTTTTACCAGAAATTAGAGGTAATTAAATCTCATAAAAATGTCGAAGTAATTTCCATTATTCTAATATAGATTATGATCTGTAAAAATATATTAACAGAAGAGATTGTAGTAGCTAAATAAGTGAAGTTTCCAAAAAATAAACATGTTGATTCTGATCATAATGTATTAATTCCAACTAATTTAGTCTTTTGTAATGAGTGAGGCTAAGATTTATATGAAATTATCTTACAATCCTCATCAATATCTTTTAGGAGCCCAATAAATTTTCATATGTGATCAATCAGTTATTTATACTATGCATCATTGTAAAGGTGGAACACTCTATGAATATCTAATTGAGAATGATTTAAATTTGCCAGAATTAGTTACTCAAGAAATGATGAGAAAATTATTAATAGGACTTAATCATCTCCATAAACTTGGAATTATGCATAGAGATATAAAATTAGACAATATAATGTTACTGAGAAAAAATGATCCAAATTCAATTCGAATTATGGACTTTGGGTACTCAGCATTCATTGATAATGAGATGTTTTCCTATTAAAGATGTGGAACTCCTGGATATATAGCCCCAGAAATTTTAAACATGAATCAATATAATGAATTATGTGACATTTATAGTTTAGGCTGTGTATTCCATGCTTTATTGACAGGAAAAAAACTATATTAGACACCTAAATCAACCAAAGCTTCAGAATTATTGATTTTGAATAGAAATAGCATTATTTCATTATCATAAATCTGTAATCTCAATGCTTTAGAATTATTGTAATCAATGATATCTGTAGTTAAATACAGACCCAGTGCTTCAACCTGTTTATAACATTCATATTTTGAAGAAGAATAATTTTAGATAGAAGATCTATGCACACAGTAATTTATTATTAATATTGTAGATTGAGACAACTAGATTTTCCTTAGCTTAGAAACCCATTTAGATCTTGATTGAGAGATGTGAATACTTTTTCTTTGTTTATCCATTTATTTTATACTTATTTTATTCAAATATTAATCATCATATATTTAAAAAATCATGACAACCTCCAATAATAATAATTTTAATTAATGAAAAAATTTTCCTTTTTAATAATTAATTTTTGTTAACAAAATTTTAAATGCTTTTTTGCACAGATAACACTCTTATTCCAATTAATGTATTAAAGTAAAATATCTTTGAATTTTAAGTTATAATTATCATTAACTGGGTGTATGTTATTGTCATCATATTCAATGCTTATATATTATTTTTTCATTCTTTAATTTAATATTTTCTCTTGAGATATTATATATTACTTTAAATTTCTAAATGATTAATACAATTATATTTTTATGTCAAACATTTTTTATACCATTTTTAAACCTAAATTAATGCAAATTCTATAATAAATATAATCTTATTGGATATCTAATTACAACTACTTCAATTTTTCTTTTATTTTCTTATAAAAAAGAATACACAGCTAATAATAAATTAAAAAAAATTCAGTAATTTTTATATAGGAATTATATTATAATAAATGTACCTTTACTTCTTTCATGATATAAAACAAAACAAGGGTAAGATATTCTTATAGTATATTAAAAAATGAAGGTTTTGAAGTCCATAACAAAATAATTTTAAATCGCAATATATTTAAAAAATATAGCCTAAAATATGCATAGATTTAAGGTTAAATTACGATTTAAAGAATGAATTTTGTGAAGTTGATCAAAAAGAAAAATAAAAAAATTTTAATCCATAATTTAAAGTAGAAGATTTAAATTAATTTATATTATTTAATAATTATGTTTTAAGTTATTATAAGGAACTTAATATTTTAATATTAATTAATTTTCTTTTAAGCACGATTTGATATTTAATATATTGATTTATATTAAAATAAATCCTTTGTAGACATTAATAAAAAGTAAATTATGAGTATTAACTAAAAAAATAAAATGCCTTCTAATATTTTATAATAATTGACTCTTCTAATTCTTCATCTAGTTTTTAAAGTTATCTGATAAAAGTAAATAAGCAGGGGATAAAAATATTTATTTTAATAATTTCCGAATTCTAAATTACTTTTTTATAAATCCATTTCTGAATATTAAGTTCCTCCAATTTATTTATAATAAGCGTCTTTTATAGAAATTGATCATTTAAAGCTTATTAATTATGATTATTTTTTTTAATCACTTTATAATTGAGTAAATGATTGATTTTAATTTATAAAAACAATGAAAATATTATTTTTTTTAAAACCAGAAATATTTACAAAATATTCTATCATTTAAGATTGTATTTTAAATCAATAAACACTTATATAGATGCAATAAAATAATAATAGGTAATAAATTAGTTATTTAAATTTCTAAAGAAATAAATATATAATAATAATAAAGTCATTTTCTTTTTGATTTAATAGTATTGGATAATTTAGTTTGTTAACCAGGAATCCAGAAAGAACTGAATTCCATATCTAAAGAAGGATGGAGGAGTTTAATAATTTCATTTCTCGTCATACAAGATTAAGGGGTTTAAAAAGTTTATTATTCTTATTCAGCTTATTCTAATTTCAAATTTCTCAACTTTTTATTTAATGGTAGTTTCTTCATCATTTATGGAGATTAATGAAAACTGTGAGGTGAAATGAAATTTTATGAAGTAAATATTTATTAAGATTTTTTAACAGCAAAACCACTATGTTTGAATGATTATTATTATGAATGTTCAGGGGAATTAGGAGCTGATCGATAGAGTAATTCAATTTTTAGATTTCTTTTAGCTTTAAATTTATTTTTCCCTATATAAACTCCTTATGATTATTCTTAAATTTTTGCTCCTCCTTTTATCTTATCTACTGTTGTTTTAATAAAATTAGCAATAATCTATGTAGTTGCTTCATAATTTAATGAAATATCAAATAAAGTAGCTAAAATATAGGAGCCATATTCAATAATGATTGGACCTCTATCAGATTCTGCTAATATTGTAAATGCTCTTTCAATAGAAGGAAAAGAAAATGAATGAACATCCCATTTTGAAGATGTAGTGGCAACAAAGGATTAACTTTTAACACCTTCAAAAATGTAATGATTTATATGAGAAGATTTTATATGTACAATGATTTCATTACTTTTGCTAGCATATACTTCAATATTTTTAAATGGACGATAAATAGGAGCTTTGAGGATGTATTTTCCTAAAGTTTGAAACTCTTGGGCTGCTTTATTATTATGCAATCCTGCATTACTTTTAGGTTACCATGTTTTTGTATCAGGATGATATACAAATATATCACCAGTGCTTTTCTCTATAAAGTATTTTTAAGGATGTAATTCATCATTTGTAAAATAAACAGTTCTATCAAAATTAGATGCTGAAAGAAATACTAAACCCATCATTCCACAACCACATGCAAATAAATATTTATTAATTTTGATGCACATTCTTTATAATACTAATATCTTTTCCATCTATTGTGACCATGGTAATGTAGTTCCACTTCCTGCTATAAATATTATATCAAATGAATTAAATGCTCTTATTATGATTATACTTATACTGAACAGCATTTTGATTCACATAAGAACTTTAAATTTCATATAAGAAATCAGAAATGGATGAAAAATCCCTTACTATATATTCCATCTCTTAATCTGGAACTTCAGACTATTTATATCACAAATAATACATAATTAATAAAGGCTTTTTAAACAATATAGCGGAAATCTAAAAATTATTTTTATCCTTTTGGTGTTGGAGCAAATGCATTAACTAATAATATTTTCATAATAAAAAATATATAATGTAATTAAATTCAAAAAAATAATTAAAGATCAATATATTTATATATAAAACCTCAATACTTTTTTTTGTGATGATGTTTCTTCTTCTTTTTATTTCTACTTCTACTTCTAGAACTGGAACTAGAACTAGAACTTGAACTCGAACTAGAACTAGAATGCAAACGAGCCAATTTCATTTCTTCTTGTTTCTTTTTAAACTCTTAAATCTTATAATATGTAGTATCATTCAAATTAGGTCTTCCCATTTGTAATGTAAAATCAGAAGTTTGACTTAATTAACATTAAACTTTTTGAATTTCTATACTACAAGGTAACTTTAAATCAATCACTGATTATTCACTTTGCATCATTATGCAATACTTTTATTCACTATTTAATATAATTATATATATAATTACCTAATTTAATGAAATAATACACCTCCTATTCCATTCATATGATTATAGACTTATGATAAATTCACTTTGCCACTTAAGATCACTTATTAAAGTTTCAATACATCATTAAAAGAATCTGTTCGCTTTTTCTTTTATATACATAGTAAAGAGATATTCTTTAATACCAATGGCAATTTCTTCAGAATCTATTGACAAGGTATTCTTTCCACTTGCAATTCCAAATATTCATATGTAATGTCTCCAATCTTCTCAGATTTAAAAATTCCCTCAGGCTTAACAACTAAGTCATATATCTGCTTAATCTCAGTTATACATTCCTCTACAGTAAATTCTTTAGGAACTCCAAAGATGTATAATTATTCCTTTGATATATTATCTAAATTGGTGTTATTTATACAATTATATGTTGGCATATATTATGATGGTTTCTCCTTTTCACGAGACAATTCTTTCTATTGAGACTTACGAAAATCACTCTATTATTCTTTCACTATATGTCCTTGTTCTTTTAACATTTCAGTGTAGACTTTTGATAAGATGGGCGTAAGTTTATCTTTTGTTTTTACGGAGACTTTTCCTTAATAAACTTTGAGTGCATCGTCATCATATTTGAATCCCACAGCTACATCAATTGTTTATGTTTCCTTATTAATTGAACTAATTTGTAACAAATCGCATGGACCCTCTTTTAGAAAGAGAGATTCTTACAGCCTTTTATATTCTTCCATGTAAATAAAACAAAAATTCATCTTCTTGTAATCCTCCAATGTACAAATCTTTGAAATAGAAATGTATTCTAATTTCAGACTATCTATCTTCCTTATACTTGTCACATTGGTTAACAAAGATCTTTTTCTCAGGAGAGGAAGATGAAGACGAGGATGATGATGAGGATGAACTATTCTTTCTTTTCTTTGACATTAATTTAAAATAAATTATATAAAATTTTTATTTATTTTAATAAATATAGAATTAACAAATTCTAAATAGTTATCCTTAAAAATACTATCATTAATGAATTAGAAATTGTATTTATTATTTATAATTTAATAACATTATTTAATGATCATTGAAGTGTTTTCATTTAAAATCTATTTTTTTAATATAATATTACAATTTTCTAAATGTATACATTACTTTTTAAATTAAAATATAAAATAAATAAGACAAAACCTTATAGTTAAATAAATAGAAATAAAGTTAATTTTTCTTTAATATACATTTATAAATACAAATAATTAGTAGTTTAATATATTTTAAGATGAGAATATAAATGTATAATTAATGAAAATACTCTTAGATTAAAGAGATTTAATTAATTATTAGTAATAATAAAATGGATTTTGATTCATAAGAATAAATTAGAATGAATAAGATATATGATTAATAATACTTAGTAGGATATAATCCCAAAATTAGAATGATAATCAAATAATTAATTAATTTATTTATTTTTTAATGAGCTCCTCATCTAGTTCCTCATCTTCAAGATCTTCATCGAGATCATCATCTTCAAGTTCATCATCTTCTTCAAGATACTCTCACAAAAAATAATAAAGAAGAAAAAACAAAAAGAAAGAGGATTAAGATGCTGGCCATTTTGAATATCAAATAGGCATGAAAATAAAAGCAGGATAATTTGTGATCACACGATTTTTAGGAGATGGCACCTTTGGTCGTGTTTTAGAAGTTAAGACTTGTAATACTACTAATAATAATTATTATGCCATGAAAGTAATATTATTTGGATTTAAAAGTGCATAAGGGCTGTAGAAAGGTACATTGAATCAGCCAAAATCGAAACTAAAATATTGTGGTATATTTAAGATAAGGATAAAAGTGGAGCATTTAATATTGTGAGACTCTTTACATCGTTTGAAAGATATGAAAATTATTTCATGGTTTTTGAGAGGGTATTTCTAAAATAATCATTAAGTTAGGGAAATCATTATATGACATAATAAAATAGAATAATTACATTGGTTTTCCTATGAAATATGTGTAATCCTTTGCCAAATAGATTATCACCTCTGTTGCCTTTCTTCATCAAAATTAAATTACTCATACTGACCTCAAACCTGAAAATATATTAACTACTAATTGTGAATATAAACTTATTCCCTTCAAAGGAAAACAGTAATAATTTATATTCCATTAAATTTAGAATTTGGGTTCCTGAAAGAGAAATTGTAAAAATTATTGATCTTGGAGGTGCTACCTTTGATTATGAATATCATAGTACTATCATAAACACAAGATAATATCGTGCTCCTGAAGTGATTATGGGTTATCCAAAATGGAATGAGTATAGTGATATATGGTGTATAGCTTGTGTCTTATTAGAATTATATACTGGTATTAATTATATTTAATAACTTTAGGTGAATTGTATTTCTAAAATAAAGATGATTTAGAACATATAGCCATGATAGAAAAAGCTATTGGACCTATGGATTAACGACATTTCAAGAATTCCAAATATAAAACATTCTTCAATTATGATTAAAAGTACACTTATTGAAATTAGAGGTACTTTGATTAACATCGATCATATTTTAAATGGAATTCTGTGGCACCAAGTGATTCTGCTATAGAAAGAGTTAAGAAATTGAAAACTTTCGAAGAATTAATACCAGCTAAACATGCCCTATTTATAGATCTAATTAGAAAAATGCTCCGACTAGATCCTGAAGAACGAATACCGTTAAAAAGACTAATTCATCATCAATTTTTTCAACAGGTATTCTAAGATTGATTATTATCTAAATAAATTGTTCATCATTATATATTAATTATCTCTTATTAATATATTAATATCAATCAAACTTAATTTAATATTTAAATAAATTGATATCCTATTACACATTATATATAGTATATCTTAATGAGATCATCTTAAATTAATTATTTCAGGCTCTATAATTTATAGATAACTTTATATAATATTTATAAACATGTAAAAAAAATAATACTATTTATATGAAAATAAAGAAAATATTATTACTTAAAATAAATGTTGTAATAAATTAGATGAATAAAGTATTAGATCATAGTTTTCAAATAATATAGTATTTTAATATAGGTAATTCATAAGCTAGGTTTAATTTCAGATATTTTATTACAGAATTTCACAAAAGAGATTTTTAAAAAGAATTAAATTGGATTAATGGCTTTAATTATAATTTAAATAATCCAAATTTATTTTTTACTTTTTTATTAATAAGTTGTTAAAATAAACAAAAACAATATATAATTTCAATAGATTTAAAACATTTTAAAGAAGTGAAGACATATTTCTAAATAAATTTATTGAAAAAATGTATATTTTATTATTTTAAAAAATCTAAAATTGATATAGAAAATTAACTGAATAATTAATATTCTAACTATTAAATTAGTTCCTTTCATTATTTTAATTAAAAAAATTCAAAGCCAAGTTTCTTACATTTGAGTATTGATTTGTTGCCACACTTGTAATACTGTCTGCATCATCTTATTAAAATGTTTATTGTATTAATCTGTAAATTTTTCATATTCATCTTTAAAATTTTCAACAAATTTACTCATGTTTTTTTAATGATCATTCAATTATGTCTATATTAATGCTTATTATTCAGGCTTTTAAATAAATAATATATAATACAGTATATTTAGCACTTGTTAAAGCAGCTGCATGATCAGTTATCAATTATTATAAATCTGCTCTATATTTGACAATATTCAAAACTACTTCCATATCTAATAAGTATTACTAGCCTAATTTTCAATATATTATTACATCAATTGTATAGATTATTGGCATAACATTAGTAAATGAATCTCTTAATGCTAATGATATAGTTTCACATTTCGAATTCATATGTTCTTTATATCCTATATCATTTTAAATTTCATCAAATAAAGTAGATAATTTCATAAATTATTTACTCTATTCAAATTTATTAAGAAATGTCTTTTCTAATTAATCTTTAATATTCTTAATTTTAACTTTCTATATATTGATTTCTTACACAGCAATTTAGCAATATTTTTCCATTTCGTTGTCATTATTTTATGCATCTGATTATATATAATTAATAAAAAATACTAAAAAAGATATTTCCAATTTTTCCAAATGCATTTACTACCATATTTTTACTGACATTTATAAATAATTTCTATTATTTTTATGTTTAATAATTCTAAACAAGTTTTTTAAAGTCTTAATCCTATAATGTCATAAATTTTTCAATTATTTCACAATCCTTCAATTAAACATGACTTAAACATTTTCTTAAAAATTCCTCAAGTCCTTTTTATCGCTAAGATCTAATAGAATTTGTATAGCCTGTTATATTGAATTTAGCTAACATATTCTTTTAAGGAATCGAAGGTATAATTATACCTGGAAAGTTTTCAACAAGCTCTTCGAATAGCCATTCAAAATCAGAATATTATCTAATAACAAGTGCTTTATCATTTTCATCAATATAACTTTCAATTTCATAAAAAACAGTCTCATATTTTAACAACTATTAATTGATTTCCACATTTTTAAAACAAAATTTTCTTTCTATAGCTTTGTTTATCTTTTTAGATAAAGGAGGTAACTAATTAAAATTTAAACAGCATACTTAGACAGGTTGAATCTTAGGTTTAACAATTTATGTACTTTCGTATGGTTTAGTATCTATTGAAACTGAGTCCTGTTCTTTAGGTGGAATAACAAATTCATCCAATCCTGAATGGTAAATATTTTATTAGCTGTATTAAGTCTCATTTTTTTCCATTTAAAATTCATCACTTGAATCTAAGACTTCAACATCATCCATTTTTTTAACTGTATGTAATTAATTAAGGAACTTTTGATAATCACATTGGGGTTATTCTTCGTCTGACATCCTATAAATTAAATTAATAATATAACATAAATAACAATATCGATATTTAAAAAACCAATATATAGTAATCTTCAATATTCTTTATTTGATAAACTATTTGATTTATGATGCTGAAGAGATTCAGTAAGATTGATATTAATAATATCTATATTTTATTTATTCTAATACATAATTATTACAAATAATGAAACATCTATTATTAATTATAAGAAAATAAAAGAATATTATTTAACAATAATTTTATATGATTTTAGCACTTTCATCTTATACAGTTAGATGATACTATACAAAATATTAAATTTCGAATAAATTTTTTTAATTGATAAGGAATCAAGTTAATTACATAACATTAAATAACAGATCCTTCTGAATTTTTATAATTCTATCAAGATACAATTATTTTTGAGTAAGTTTAATTATTTCAATTAATGTGGATAATTTATCATTGAATTCAATCCTATTTTTATAAATTATAAAAATAATATTGAATATCAAAAATGAAATTTGAATTTAGTAATGGATTTGATAATTAATACAAATATACTATTATATATTTACTAATATAAATTTTCAATTATAAATGATACAAATAAACATTCAATCAACAAAAAGGACAATATCTTTTGGACATTTTTTTCAATTATTTACCATATTATTTCTACTTTTATAATTTAGGATCATTAATCCAAAAAAAATCACACAATGGATTTCTACATTTTTCAATAGATATGGAATTTACAATTTCTTTTAATTATTTTATGTAAATTGAATTTATTAATCCTTCAATTCCTTTAATATTAATTACTTTCATTTATTCTGGACTTAGTTTCTTTCCACATACACATATAAAATTAAGCTAATTATTTACACATAATTCTTTAAAGTGTTGAAGAATACAACGTTCATGTAGATGATGCTAAGTTTTACTACATTGCAACGTAACACTATTTTAAAATATGAACTTTTTGCATTTAATGCATTCTTATTCGATTGCATTTCCTATACTATAGCTTCTTTCAAATTTGGAATCATATTTTGTAAGTGTAATGAGTTTAAAATTTTGATTTTTCCTTTTTGGAGAAATTGATTCATTGCTTCTATTTTCAAGTGCTTTTACTTAAAAATCTAATTATTTCAATATTTTCCCTTAGACATAGGGTGGAAGAACATTTTTATTTTTAATAACATCTTTTATAAGTTAGATATTCTCAGATCTCCAGTTTTAATGAATAATCATTAATAATTAAAGAAATGCAAATCATTTTGTTTAATTTCAATGGTTTATTTATATCATTCATTAACATTCAATAAATTTAAATAACATCAAATATTTAAAATCAATTGTTTCCCATATTAACTTATATTCTTGGTATTCTATTTTATTATCCAATATGTTCAAATTCTTAATTAATTGAACGGCTAATACTTTTAATTTCGATTAATTCATGTTCATGTTCATTTTCATCAATTCGAAATCTTTTTGTTTTAGAAATATCAAATTATTTGATAGAATACTATAAATCTTCAACTTACCGTGATAATCTTAATGGATTAAATGCTATTTCTACAACATCCAATAGTTTCTCTATAATCCTATTTTACTAATGATAATAATCTCTCTTTTTTTTTTATAAAGCTACTTATAATAAATTAAGTTTATCATGATCCATAAAGTTTGTCAATGATTGAGCACTGCTACCTTTTTTAATATCTAAATAACAATTAATTAAATATAATCTATATTGCCATTATTATATTGGATATAACATTATTGAAACACAAATTTTAAGTATTGTAAAAAATCCTCCTAGTTTTGCAGCTACATCCATCAATGTTTAATATGTTACATGACTAATGTATTTTTTTACACCTAAATGTATTTCTACTTAAGCTAGTTAAATATCATTATCAGAACTCACTATTGCATCAATTATTGATTAATCATACTCTACAGATTAACATTCAGTTGTTTAAGGAAAAAAATAAAAAGGATTATACTCTAAGTAAGCAACACTATAAGAATATAAAACTTTAATATATTTTTTTAGTTTTGGATACAGAGTTGTAACATCAAAATTTTACATAGTTTCAAATGGATAACTATCTAAATCCTTTCTGAATTAATAATGAGTATAAGAGTAATAAAAATTAGAGTTAGTTACTATTTAATCAATAAGTTCTTGTGGGGCACAATCTAAAATTAAGAAAAGAAATTACCATTTTTTTCTGTGTTATTTACACATTTATTAAGTAATGCTCCAACTAATGTAAAATTGTCCATTCTTTGAGACCCTTGTAATCTAAGTGTTTCAAAATTGTCTGTCTTCTCTTAATCAATGCAATAACTGATATACTGGTAATCTTTTGGTACTCCCATTTTCTAAAACGGATTTAAATTCATTATACTTATGATAATTCAGTGATAATGTCACCACAAATAGTACTGGAAAAATAAGTACATTGTGTGTCTGACAAAGATTTATTACAAAAATAATATGTAACAGAATAGATACTATTATTCTAATTCATTATTGGTTATCCTGCTGCATCTAATAGACCAGCTATAAAAATGAAGTCTTTTGAATCAAATTTATATCCCTTTATTATATATATATATAGATTATACTTCATTATTTTACAGGAGAGCCTCTTGTCTATTGAGAATAGCATTTTTACCTTCATTCATTTATAAGATAAATGAATAGAATGAATAAATGAGAACAGAAAAAATAAAGAGTGAGGCTGCTGCTCCAGAATAAGTTTTATGTGTTGTTGATCCTTTACTTAAGAGATGTACATCCATTCCAAATATATCGAGGGTTCTTAAGTTTTATGCAGCAGATTGAATTATGTACATAGATAAGCTCGGTTTATATTAATAAAATCAATTAATATTTCGTCAGCGAATTCATTAAGAATTGATATACATATTATTAGTAGGATTTAAATTTAAGCAATATCAACACATGTTTTTTATAAATTAAAAATTTAATAATTATTTAATAATTATTTTTATACTACTGTCAATCATCCAATTATGTAAGTAAGGCAACACCTCTTTTAACCCAGAATCTCTCAGGTTTAGAAGTATATAGTCTGACATACATCACAAAATTAGTAGAGTGACCAGTTGTTGATAACACTCCTCTTCTAGCACTGGTTTTGTAAAGTGGACAATTATAAGTGGGAGGAGGATTAATTTTAGAAATATGCATAGGACATAATTGAATTGTTGGACATTTTGTGAATAAAACCTAATTTTATAAATATTAGAAAATACTTTTGGATCTGATTCATCTAATTCCATAGTATTGAAGTTCCATTTGGCACCTTCTAAGTATAGACCCCAAACATAAGCTCCATCTTCTGGTCTGGATTAAATATGTTCATTAATTGATTAATCCATAATCTAAAAATATTAATATAGAATTACTTTATATTCAAATTTAATTTCATCAATTGGAATCACATATTTTCTTGCAAAGTTTTATAAGACACCAGTAAGATAACTTTAAGTAAAGAAAAATCCAGATAACCAATAATTATAAGGAATTCCTTCATCTAACCATTTCTAGAAGAATGTCAATCTAGCTTTCAGATCAATTACATAACTTCCTAATGGTTTTAAAGAAGGATAAGATTTTTCCATCCAAAGATCAGGGACTTTACCATCAAATAATTGTCTGCTAGCTCTTTCGAGTTATGGACTCATTAGGATCTTACCCATAAGAGCAAGTTTAAGATCATCCATACTTTTTCTTATAATATTGATTAATTTATTAAATCTAGTTAATTCTTATGTAAGCACTGTATTCATGGATTCTTTAGGATTAAATGGATATTTTTCAGTAGCTTGTTCATAATTAAATTCTTCAGGGAAATCTGTCATAATTGTTTTCACTAATTATTCTAACACTTATTCAAATGATTATCCACTAGAACTACCACCTTAAGCAGAACATAATAATAAAGAATCTAAAATGAGATTTGTTTCATTCATATCTTTAGTGATATCTGCATTTGGATGAAAACCAAATATTTGAGGTGGAGTCAAAAGTGGAAGCTATTTAATATGATCCAAATATTCTTCCCTTGTTTCATAATGAGGTGCATTGTATTCTTCATAACCAAAATTGTATTTCTAATCTTCATCAATTACTTATGGACAATAATAATCTTCTAGTAAAATTTTAATAAGATTTCTATCTTTATCATCTGTTACTCTACCACCATAATTACATTCTGCAGTTAAATATCTTAATGCTTCAAAAGGTACTTGATCATTTTCATCTAAGAACATTCTTAGTTATCTTACACATATACGTAAATCTGATTCATTAAATTCATAAGGAATATTCCATCCAAGAGGTCCATACTTTCTACGTTCTTGAATAACTGCATGGAAGAAACATAAACCAAATAATAATCTTTTAAACCATTCAGGTTTGTTACATCCTGAAAAGAATTCATCATTTGAAATAGGATCTGTCAAATAAGATCCTTATAAATTAGCTTTTAATCCTTTTGGAGGTTCATTTGTCATTTTAATACCAGCTTATAATATAGCAGTAGGGAATTATGGACTTGGATAACTTGTTAACCATAATCTAAATTCAGGATGAGTTTGCTTTGGATCTGGTGATAATTCTTCACATATCTTTTCTAGAGTATTCATCCAAGAAACTGCCAAGTGACAATTTTACAAGACTACCCAACTTCCAATATTTACTCCTTCTGATATTAATTTTTATGCTAAAGGTCCTTAACCTTAACCCAAAGAAATTTGAGCAAAAGATTTATTCTTAGTATTAGCAAATACACTTAATGAAGCAAATGGATCTGATCCTGGTGATAAAACAAATATAAGTGGAGTTACTGAAGAACTATCTTCATAGATTTCAGCCAAGTTAAAAGCTGGTGGGAAAATAAATTCTTCTCCTAAATATCCATGAACAAAGATTTAAATAGCAGGAATCATTTTATCTGGTCTGATACATCTTAATACACATAACTTTATTAATGGATTTGTATATTTATCTTTTAATTCTCCAGGTAAATCTTCAGATTATGGTTATAATGAATCATATATTCGTTTAAATCCATTTAAATATTCATCTTTATAAAAGTATTCATGAAATCCTTAAGTTGTTGGCAATAGACTCAATCTTGTTATTTCACCCCAATTCTTAGGTAATACCCAATCTGCTTTAGGTTAATCTGGCATCTTATCTTATAATGACAAACCTCCTGTCATTAAAAATCTGAAGGCTTCTTAATCTAATTGTTTACGGAATTCCATCACTCTTGTTGCTAGAAGGAAGGAGAATAACAATTTATCCTTTTCAAATAAGGATCTACAAATATTTCTATATAATGAGAGTAGGAAATAGTTTTTAAGATTTTCCAATCTTATTCCAATATTATCAGACTTATCTGATTTTACAATTGATTGAGTGAAAAGATCAATAAAATAAACTAGTGAATATTGATACATAGGATCAATATTGTTAAGATCAGAAATAACAAAAAATAAGCAAGATGCTTATTATGCAACAGAGACGTATTCTTATCTAGCTGAATCAATATTTTTTTCTGTCTATTCAGCAATAATTTATTTTTCACTAATTTCATTTGATTTTAATTTAGATGCTGTTAAGATCTCTATTGCAGTTTCATCTGTTAAAATATTCTTATTTCCAGATAAAACTTCCAAAATCTTTTATTCAATTTCTGCCAATTACTTTTTATTACTAGCACCTTCCATAATAAGTCTTTCCTTTTCTCTTTCTAGATCAGGTCTCTCTTTTTTAACCAATATACCTAATAATTAATCACTTAATCCTTCATATGTAATCATAAAATTAAGTAAGGTAACTTTAGTTGATATTTCAGGTAAATAGTGAGGATTTCTTAGTTTAGTTGTTATATAAAATTAAAATTGATTTGAATATTCAATTGTATTTTCTCCTAATTTAATATATGTTGTATTCCCTTTAGTAAATACTTATTTTAAGAGAATAGGAGTTAGTGAAGCATCCAATTCTTCAAGAACATTCTCTAATAATACTGGTTTTCCAAATTAAATGGCATTCTCCAATTATCTTAAGAAATCAGAATCTGATAATTTTATTATAGCAATTTTTCTTGATTGTTCCATCTTTTTAATCCATTTATTAGCTTATCCTTATGGATCAATACAAAGTGGCCATCTTCTTGCTTTGAATAGGATAATACTGTTTTCAATTGAAAATTGATCAGAAGGTAATCCATCAATATTCCAAGCTCTGATTTTAACAGGTTCTCCTAAAACTGTTAATAATGAGAATATCTAAGAAGATGGAATACTTTTTTCAACGCATTTAGCTACCCATTCTTTTACAATTTCAATTCTAAATGCTTAAGTAAAAGCACCAGAATATGCAATCATTCCTGCTGATGTCAATACATCACCTGTCAATGTAATATAATTTGCTTCTAATTGTTCAGCAAAGGCACCCCATCTACCTTTTTCTCCTCCTAATGATTCAATAAGCTTTTTGGCTCTTTCTAATTATTTAGAACATTCTTCATATTCATTTTCTAATCTATTTTTATTGTCTATAGTTTATTGTAATTCTTTATTTAATTTACTAACTTTTTCATTTGCATCATTCAATTCTTTTTATTTTACAGCTAATTTAGCATTCAAACCATCCACTTAAGCTTAAGATTCTGCCAAAGCAATCTTCTTAGGCTTAACCTTTTTATTTACAAAATAAAAGTTATAAATACCATTAATCCACATCATAATAACTTTACAGGCAAGTGATGCATTTTCAGCTGTAGACAATTCAAACGAATCCTTGTATTCAGGATCTTGCAAATATTTACCCAAATTAACTATAACTTTTTCTTCAACTGTATCAGTATTGAAATTAACCATTTCTTCTAGAAGAGTTTATCTACCTAAAACCTTTAATGAAGCAGTCCACCAATCTGTCACCAATCTAATACCATCCTTATCCTTGGTTTTTTCAGTTGGATTTGGGTATATTAGAAGACATAAAGCTCTTAAGATATTCCTAATTGTCACTGATGGAGCTTTCATTTATTTCAAGAATTCAATTTGCTTTTTATCTAAGACATTCAAGGCATCTTAGGCAGCTTTGAGTGCAGGCATAGCTTCAGACAACTCAGCTTCACATTCTTCTTTGATGGCACTGGCCTTATCTACTGCTTCTTGTACAACAGCCTCCTCAGATTGAATTACTGTCTTAAGTGAATCAGCTTGTACCTTTTCTTTTTGTACTTCATCCATTTTTATTTTAGTTTTTTCAGCAGCATCCTTTAATTAAGGTTGTAATTGAATTAAATTAGTTTTCATACCTTCCACATTATTTTCAGTGGTTGTAATCTTACTTAAACCATTTCTATATTTATTAATCTAAGCAGTAACTTCATTTCTCTTTTCATACAATAAAGATTTGAATGTCACTATTAATTCCAAATAACTGGTTGGAGTAACATAATATTTACGTTTCAAATCATCATAGAATTTCTTAGCCCAATGCATAGTACTTTAATGGAAGAATTAAACCATATCTATACATTCCTATTTGATTTTTTCATCCATTTCAACTGGTTTAAGGAATCTTGTAGCCACACTTACTAAGGCATCTTAAGGCCATTCATTAAACCAATCAATCGTACAACAATTAACTAAAGATGGGAACATTCTTACTCTTGTTCTAAAAGCATCTCCAATAGGTGACATACATAATACAATATGGAGATTCTTTTTAACTCTTTCTAAGAAGTAAGCATATAATTAATTCAAAGTAGCTTCTCCTTCCTTAAAAACAGATTGATAAGCTGGTC